GATGTCCCCAGGTCCCCTCCGTACACAATCCCCCCCCCATCCCCTGCTTGTGTGTGCATCGTAATGTTGAACTTCCTTCGCACCGTACGTAGCCGACCACGCTAATCGGAGGTGTGCAATAAAGCGACGGGAATCAGACATCTGATGAGATTGTGCCCGGCGTCTGTGCCGTATTGGTTGATCCGTGCCGTATTTTGGTGGTTTAGTGGGGGCTGGATCTGCTTCTGCCGCAGTGCGTGTGGAGGTTGGGGAGAGCGGTGGCGCAGCGGTTAGCGCGCTGCGCTACGAACCCGGTAAACCCGAGTTCGAGTCCCGCTCACGGCCAACAATCGGTGACGACTATCCGAACCAATCCTGGGCCTTCCCTACGCCGACTTAGCCGCAAATGTGTAAACATCGCCACCGGCGAGACAAAGGCGGCCGGACGTGGTCCTGGCCACCCTCCTCGTGTACCGTTCCGGCCTTCATAGGTGCTCGCTAACAGCACTTGCCCCAACAGTCTGTTAAGGCTACACGGGTGTGTGTGTGGGGGCGTCTTTGTCTTTATCTTTCTGGCGCTCGCCATATAATAAAATGTAGCACGTGTGCGAGAAGCGGCCTAAATAAACTTGCGGGTGTGGAACTTTAATGACTCCACAGCCTTGGCGACTCATGGTTCTGCGTGCGCGCGTGTGCCACTGCGTTCGGCAGATGTTGACCCGCGCTCTCAGGGTGAGCGTCAGAGCGAGTTGTTGAGCCTGCAGTTAGAACTAACAAAAATATATAAACAAACACCGTGCTCGCGTTTCTAGCCGCAAATTGTGGGTAACTTCCACGTTCAATTTAGAGGGGGAGGAGACGTGAAGGACAAATGAATGACTGGACGAACGACGCGTCGATCCGCGAGCCTTCCGCGCGTGTCCTCTACGGCCCCGACGCGAATATGCAAGCGGGTTTCGACGAGTCCGCGGCGAACGAAAGGCTGGGAGGCTGCTCGCCTTCGCGTTGTCGTCGTTCGTTCAGTTGTGGAACGAGGCGGAGGTGCATCGCTACGGGCAGCTCAACGTTTTACACAATTCTTGCGCGTGGATGGCAACACGCTCGGGAGATTAAAATGCCAACGTCGAGCTTTGCCAGCCACGGCGAGAGGTCTTTCGCGGAGGAGTAGTTCGTGTAAGTTGTGTTTGCTTGTTGTTATTGTTGTTACAACTCCGTTGGAAGGAGCGAAGATCGCTCGCCGAACCGAACGAAATGAGCTGCGAAGCCCTCGGAGCTGGGCCTCCTCTAGCAACGACGTCGCCAGTAGCAACCGAGCGGAAGTGACGTTGCGCCGGCAAATGCGGGGGGGGCCCGCGGGTGTGGTAGGGAGGGGGCGCCCCGGACGTGACGTGCGTTGGTGCAGCGGAAGCGAGCGGCGCGAACCACTCACGCGCCGTGATGTGGCAGGTCGAGGCCTCATCACCGCTTGCGGAAGAAGCGGACGGTTCCGCTGCCGCCGCCTTTACGCCGCCAAAAAAAAATAAACACGCAAATATTACAACGCCGGGAAATTCAGAGATAACCGTTCAACCTTGCCCACGACGTTGCAGATAAACGTTGCAACTACGTAGCTAAAATACCTTAAGGGTGTCGAAACATAAAACGTGCGATCGATGCAGACCGAAAGAAGAAAATAAATAAAAAGTATGTAATTTTTGGGGGATGTAGTAGATAAATATTTAAATAACGCCGGCCGGGGCATCGAGCTGTAACGATTCGTCCTTCCGTGAATCGATGAGCTGTAACGAATTCTACTCGATTCGATTCAAGAATCGATGCCCCACCACGAATTTTGCAAGCTTAAGCGAAATAAATTGGCGGGCAGGCGTCTTCCTGCACAACATCAACCTCTCCGCATGACGAATAAAACAACCATTTTTTTGCACAAGCCTTCGACGAACACGATCTTGTGGGAGGGCAAGGCTTGCTTGAACCCAGTGCCGATATTCCATAAAATGTTTATTGGCAACGGACGCCCTCTTCGCAGTGCGGGGACCCCGAATTCAGTGCACAAAAATGTATCATGCACAACACAAAGTCATGTTGCGGATAATTGAGGATGCACTCAATACGTTTCTTAAATACATTGCCGAAAATCAAATGCATAAAAAATAAACTAATAATTGTCATGATATATCCTTCATATGTCCATATACTCTATTTCGTGTTGTGGTCAGTCTGTAGGTTCCTGTATGTGTGGGTCTCTGTCTATGGGTGTCTGAATATCCTGGACAGTCTTATATATTGGTATCGTGGGTGTGGGTCTCTGTGTAAGTTTATGGGTTTCTATGAATATCCTGGACAGTCTTATATGTTGGTATCGTAGGTGTGGGTCTCTGTGAGTCTACGGGCCTCTGTATAAATCTACGGATCTTGCTATAAATAAGTGGATCTATCCAAATCTAACATGAGAGAACGCAGTCTCAATTTGCCCGGCATACTCGATAGTCCATGAGCACACTTTGGTGATTTCAATTCCTCTTTGGGGCCAGCAACAGTGAATATTCTTATAGCCACTTGGAATTAGCGAGTTATCCAACAATACACTCTTATTAGTCAATATACAGCGAAAATAAATCGGTGTTACTCAAGTTGTGCTTATCTGAAGGTGGTACTAATTTTTCCCCTGGTTCATCGTGGACTAATATCAACTTGAAACTCAACACATTTGTCTATGACACTGTGTGTGGCCTTAAAAGGGGAACAAATATGCATAAACAGCGACGTTTCGGGCAATGGCCCTTCTTCATAGCACATATGTGGGGCAATTTAAGGACGTTACGTGTTGGGTTTTTTGTTAACTGTTGCTTCTGCATCACTGCCAACGCAGCAGCAACAGCAGCTGCATCATCATCATCACTCGAGCATTAGTTTAGTTCCTTACTCGGATAATTACACGTCTCGCGAACGAATATGACATATCTATATTTATGTTTGGATTTGCTTAACTTTTCTCTATCTTACTCTTGTATAATGTGTTGTATTGTTTTTGTTTGTTGATGTAACTTGCTGATCCTTAACACCAATACTGCACATCTATGAAAAATAGCTTTATAGCTCAGATTCATTCTCCCGGATAAGTACAAATTCTGATTTATCGTTCCGAATACAGTCCCCGACTTACAAACGCCCGACTTACGAACATCCGCAATTACGAATGACCTTCCACAAGATATTTATTTTTAATCAATCCAACTTGCAAACGTGAATTCGCAATTGCGAACCGAACCGGAAATGATTTGGTTCGGCAAACGTGCACCATCCCTTCTCATTTAACTATGCTTTCCTTGTTTTTTTTTTACCATAACACATTATTCTAACACTGACCGTATTGTGCCACTGCTATTCATTGGCATAAAATAAAATCAAATGTTTCGCTCCGGATAACGCTGCAAAGTATTATCTGTATTTTGATTTAGCGTGCTGATCTTAAAGGTGCATTGAAAAATTTGATACTCCGACTGATGCTTCTGTTGTTGTGGAGTAACTCATGCAGCAAGCTATGGCTCTAAGATTTGGTGTTACATGTTATTTATGTAGTTTATTGTAAAAATTCGGTCACAGTCCCTATGATCACTGTTACGTTGCAATTATGGCTTTATTTTTTGGTGATTTCGAAAAGTTTTTTGGTTTGGACATGTTTGTTTTGTTATAGTACGGAGTTAGACTGATGGCCTTAATCTCAGTTTTCTTGTGGTTGTTGTGGTTGTTGTTGTTGTTTGACTTGCATCCCACTGGGATTTTTTGCACACAGCGTTGGGTGTACGGTGCTTTTTTCAGGAATATTTTGATGTTTTTTCATGGATTTTCTGTTTGCACAGTCACATAGTCACTTTAAGATGTTGTCTTGTTCGTGTTTGTTTGTTTGTTGTGGTTGCACCCGATTCAAGAGCCGAATGGCTCACAGGGCTATACAAAAATAAATAAACTAAACTGAAATACGGTACTTTTTGGTTCTATTCGGTAAAGTCACGTAGGTGAAAAAAATATAAACAAAAATCACGACGTTTCGGCCACAACACAAGTGGCCTTCATCAGGTGAAGGGACCAACCTGTCCAGAGGACAGCGTTGGAGTGAAAAAGTCAAGCGCAGGTCGCCTCCTTTAAGCTGTGAGTGGGTAAACAGAAAAAAACGCCTTGACAAAGGAATTAGCATAAAATGTAAAGCTGTGCAAGCTCGCAAATAGAATCAAAAATACATTAGCACAACCGTGAGAGTTTGGGATGCCACTAATTGAATGAATATACTGTACCATTAAAAATTCCTTTAACGTTTGGTTCGATTTAGAACGTCTTTCCAATGGTTGCTTAATTTGAAGCCATCTTCTCGGTTGAAATTGTGTCTGTGTTTGTAAATCTGAATTGCCTCGTGAACAATTCTGATAGAAACCCGTGGGTTTACATAGAACCTTGGTATCGGAGAAGACTATGTCGTGATCACCCACACCGTTGTAACAGTGATCAGCCACGGCAGAAGAATTCGTTCTGCCGTGTTTCAAATCTGATTTGTGCTCGCGAATTCGCTCAGAGACATGTCGCTTCGTCTCCCCGATATAGCAGTCCCCACATGTGCAGCTCACTTTGTAAACCCCGGGGTACTGTAATTCAGGACTTTACCGAATAGAACCAAAGAGAATTGATCCTTGCAGTCACGAAAGTGTCAAATCTAGAATTGAAATACCGGTACAATTATTATTGTGTCCCGACTTACGAACCGTTCTACTTACGAACGAGCGACGTTCGTAAGTCCAGGGGGACTGCCCGTATTATTTGTGATCCGGCGACTTCTGAAAATGAGCTAAATATCTCAGTGAGCCTCACCTGGTCAAATAAAGAAAAAAAACCATGGTTTTATATACTATTTAATAGTGTTAAGTTTACTATGACCAAAACTTAAAGAGTCGATTCGGCGCATCGAATTGGCGAATTCATTGTCCGCGGAATCGCGCGTGGATCGCTCCGCGTGGAGGTGGGGGGTTGGGGGGGGTTTTGCGCAGGGACTACTTGACGCGGTCGCCATCTCCGGGACGCGGAGCCGCAGAGCCGCGACCCCGGGCCTCGTCTCCTCCCGATCCTTCCTCCTCCTCCGCCTTCTCCTCCTCCTCCTCTCGCCATGGCGCAGATCCTGCCCATCCGCTTCCAGGAGCACATCCAGGTGAGCCCGTGCCTGCCGATTGAGTGACGACGGCGGCGGCGGTGATTGTGAGGGGAATGCAGACGTGGTTGGAGGGAGGGAGAGTGACGGGCAAAGTAATGGCGCTTGCGGCCGGGCGCGGTCAGGGCTACATTGGCGAACGCCTCGACGCTCGTTGAGGCGTCGTTGTTGCGATGTTACCTGTTGGCGATGGTTATTGCGGTTGTGATAGTGGTTTGGTTGCTGGTGGTGGTGGTGCTACGTTGTTTGAAGTGTCCGGCGTCCGGGTTGTTGAAAGGTTTGTCCGGGGGGGGCGGCCTTTGCCAGGGCGGGCGGGGTCCGGCCCTCGATCTCTTGAAATAAAATGTTTGAATTAACGATTGTAACGATGAATAAGTGATGTATGTTTGTAACAACGATGTTGTGTGTGTGCGTGTGATTTTGTTTGAATGTTGTGCTGCTCGACGCCACGTACAAGCGAGCGCTGTGTTCGCTTGAAGGCGAGAGGCTTGCGAGAAATGAGCGGAGATCCATACAAACCCCGTTTGTATGTCCCCGTTTCTCCTCAATAGAACATTAAGTCCATGATATTTCTTTATGACACCTAAACTAATGTCGCAGTGTTGCCACGTTTAATATTTCGTTGTGGTTGGTGGTGAGGTGAGTGCGAGGCGAGGCTTGTGAGATTTGCTGTGATGGCTCCGAACAGGAAATGAAGGCCCCGGGGCCCAGCTCATTCAGACTTTGACGGGAAAATTATTAATAAAAATGTTTAATCTTTGTGATTCTTGCCTAATGCTGATCCTTCTAAGGTGCCAACGCCTTATAGTGTCTTAACTCATACGCCAGCCGGTGTCTTGTGAAAGAATGCGCGGGCTTGTCATTGCCCATACGAGTCTGTCATTGAATTTTTTTCTTTCATTTCGCATTTTTTTTAACCTTATCCTATTTAGTACTTTGACCGTCCGCGCGCTCTCTCCCTCTCTCTCCATTCTTCTGCATCTGAGTTACCACTTTACGGAGATGTGAGCAGTGCTCTGTGATGTGCAGGTTTGCCTCGCCCTTGCCATGACTGGAATTTTCACCAACTGGCTGGCGCTGTCGACGATGCTTTGGCCGTTTCCTTCCAACACTCCGTAGGAGAAATGGGGCCAAACATCGCAATGCAGCACCCTTCGGCAACGTTCCCCCGACTCCTTTACGTCGTCTTTGCACTGTGTTGTCACGTTTGGTGGATGGGTAAGGGCAGGTGCGTGTTGTCACCTTGCCACATCTAAGGGTGTGTGTCTTGTAGATGTCTATACTACGAAAAAAGAACAGCTATTTTTATTTGTTAGCAGGTAAGGCCCCACCGAGCGACGTCGCTCTTTTTCGAAAGCGACCTGGCCACGAATGAGATGGCTCAACGAAGTGGCTTATTATTTGGAAATGTATAGCGGCCAAATACGCGTGCCTCTAAATGTGGAGGGGAAACCCGGAGAAAAATCCACGCGACCACAGGGAGAGACATGCATACTCCACAGCAGGCGTCAGGGTCTAGATCGAACCCACGACCCCCTGTATACCAGGCGAAGTAGTTAACATCTCGCCACCATGGCACCCGTACGACTCAGATTAAAAAAAATCGTTTTGCTGTGTTTTTTTTTTCCCGAGAGACAATTTGCATTTAATCAGGTTGGTCTGCGATTGTGTGTATTGCGGTTATTCGTGTACCTCAGGTGATTGTGTTATGGTTGTTGTGAATGTGTGTTTCAGATGCTGTGTTTTGTGTACAAGTTTTCCAGATGAGTTGTGGTTGGTGAGAATGTCTGTCTTCTCACCCGCGAGACGCATTCATTCTCAGCTGGGCAAGGCTCCTCCAACTCGTCCCCAACGCACCTGCAGCGCGCGTCGGGTGTCATTTAACATTGCCCTTAAGCCGCGATAGCCCCCATTGAAACTGTCGGGAGTCCTTTGCAAAGGAGACCTGACCTAAATACAACAATTTAAGACTATACATGAATGGAACAGGTGCCCATTCATTAACTACCCCAATGGACAGTGTACGTTGTGTACATTCGAGGCTGTATAATATGGTAACTTAACCCTATTTGACATGGTGAGTCAGCTTGTGTCTGTTTGATGGGAGGTCGTGATACACTCGGGCTACGACAGCTTGTGTGCGTGTATACTGTATATGTATTATATTGTACACATTTTCAATGCTATATTATCCTGTTCATACTGATATGCACACGTATTATACTCGTTTGTTTGTATTGAATGTGGTCAACATCTTATCATCCCTTGAGGACTGCTAAAGTGAGTACCTTTGGTCAGGGCCTGTATGAGTCATGTATGTAATACACGGTATTCTGTGTATTTGTCATCGGGGAGATTTGGAAGAGATTAGGAAAATATTCACTCGATTGCACTAATTTTCAGGACCATAGCATGAATTGTTATTAATATTTTATGATCACAGTAGTTGGTGCATGGAGATAGGGTTTCAAAGCGCAACAGTACTGGGGAGTACGTTACTGCAACTTGGTGTGATGACTTTGACAGCCATTGATTAATAAACTGCCGAACTACATTACGTACAATACTTGTTTTACACCAGCGCGTGGACAAATCGTGCAGAAGATTGATCGAGAGCCTATGGGCCAATAAACCCAAATACCTTTAGATTTTGAAACTGACCCAAATCTGTAAAAAAATGTTATGACTATAGTAACGCCTACCCAGTATTCTTTGATGGTTACGGTTGCTCTTGTGGAATTTACAAGTTTGTGCCGCAGTCCCACACCTACCACTGCACGCTGGGTAGAAAGTCATTATTCGGCCGGATTTACCAGTATAGTTGCTTGCGTGGCTTGCGCTGTCCCAGGGCACGTGTGCAGCCCTCGTAGTTTGACCGGTCAAGGTACACGCTGTTGAATAATCCACGTGCCCAGAGTGCACCCAGTCTGTAGCCCTGGCTTGACAGACGTGACACAGTAATCTGCTTAACGTTGACGGCGTTAATGTTTCTTAGTTTCCTCGGTGCTGATGGTAAAGGTGGGTGGGGGGAGGGGGGTTCAAGTCAAGTAAAAACAGGTATTGCACGTTTTATTGAAAAACTATATTCGGAATGAATTTGTGTGGAAAGACTACCGTATATTTGGTGTGGTGGCAGGGAATGTAAATCAACCCAATGAAAAACATTTTAATGCTTCACTAGCATATGTGCACACACGAAAAAAGAAATCTACTCGTATTTTGTCTGGGTTAGTTGGAGCACGCACGTATTGTGAATTCAGGTCGAAGGCTCACTGTTTCCTATAAAAACCGGAGATTAAAGAACAAGGACAGCCATAATAAAATGTTATTCAATAATCCAGGTGCGTCATCTGACTTGGTGATGGTTTACCAAGTGCATCGGCAGGCCGTAGCTTCCCTCATACTCCCGTGCGCATGTCTGTGCAGTGGGGAGCGGTAGTCGAGTGGGTAGCGCGCTACGCCATGAACCCAGCGACCCGAGTCTGATTCCCGCTCGCGGCCACCAACACAAGTGACGATTATCTGAATCCGTCCTGGGCCTCCGCTAGGTTGACTCAGTCTCAAATTCGTACCTGGTGTGGTGTGTAAAAACATCGCCAGTGGGGGGGGGGGGGGGGACAATGGCAGCCGGGTGTGGTGCTGGCCACCCACCCGCCCCCCCCTCGTATGTTGTGCTGGCCACCCACCCCCCCCCCTCGTATGTTGTGCTGGCCACCCACCCCCCCTCGTATGTTGTGCTGGCCACCCACCCCCCCCTCGTGTGTTGTGCTGGCCTTAATAGGTGCTGCTCGCTAAAGGCACTTGCCCCAACAGTCTGTTAAGCCGATACTGGGGATCTCTGTCTTTGTTTTTTGTACAAACTGTGTGGCAGGGGCAGTTGTGGTTACTGGTCAGTACGCCCCGAACGCTCTTTAATAACGCCTGTCATCCACGCCACGGTTGTTAACCTTTGACTTGATGCGTGACGCTGGGGAGGAGACCCCTGGGAACAAGTTTCTCATTGAAACAGTCCTGTAAATGATGGAACACATTGGCCATTCTGTCTACTGCTTAGTGTAGACCTTGGTTACGTAATAATCGTTTATTTTAATAATGGGTACATTGGTGACCTTCATAACCAGGTAAGAGCCAGCGTTATTTAAGGGAGATCATATAATAATATATTGTATGACCATTATTGCATAGAAAGGAATAGAATTACAAGTTTTAGATGTTAGAAATCAAACAAACGTTCTTTTATCTGTGGATACAATGGCTTAAGAATGGTGACAATGTAACTATTGGCACATAAACATGAAGAAAATCGCTGCCTTTTAACGAAACATTTCTTGATTCGCCATTTTAGAGGTTTCACTGATTTATTGATTAGGTATATCGTGACGCGACAGTGCAATGACAATAAATAGTCGTCTGCGGTTTCTGTGATCGCTGCAACCTTTTCTTCCATGGGCACTCTTAATTGCCTGTTGAGATGTTTTATGTGTGTGTGTGTGTTCTCTGAAGGTTATGTACAATTTTGGCAGTGAGCAAAACAAGTTAGAGATTATACATACAAATGTTCTCCTGCATGCCTCCCCTGCCTTCCAATTTGTTTGTTCTAGCAATTCAGACCCGTGCCAGTTCTCCGATTGTTCTCCGATTAAAATTGAAATGAGGCAGATGGGGCGTAGGTGGTGTTGGGAGGGAAGGCCTGGGCAGTGTGCTGGGTCCCCTGGGGGTGCTTGCTATGCAGCGCAAGCAAGGCTTCATAACCAGCAGCAGCCTCTGGCTCTGCAGCCAGTAACATTTGGTGATGCGGATCGTGCTGGGATGTGCTGAGATTACCAGCGAGTGGCTAAGCCCGATCGGAGGGTGGATTTTCACGAGTGGACGGTGTCCGCCATTAATCAGTCGAGGAAAGAGTCTCCATTGAGTGCAGCCTTTACCGATGACTTTAATCAAGAACACGTTGTGATATTACGTGCTGTCATCTTTGTGCCTGACCGTGCTTGCGTGACGCAAGAGCTGGGCGGATTCGTCTTTTATTCCTTTTTTATTTCCTTCCCTCTTTACGCATTTTTTAAATGTTTGTTTATGACGTGGTTATTTTTTCTTTGTTTTTTTGACCTAGGGATTTTGCCAAGCACAGCTGAACAACTCATTCTTTTTTTGCATTAATCCTTGAATCATTTATTTTCTCCTCTCTGCATGCCAGCGGACGAAATATTATAATTAGGGATATTAATTGGGTTGTTTCACTGTGGTTCTAGGTGGCTTGTGGGAAAACACTGATCTTACTGACACATTTTAATTGAAGCTGTAGCTGAGAGGAGTGGGTAGGGCTGCGATGACACGTCCGCTTGTGACGTGGATTTCGCAAAGGAGTGGCACTGCCCTCCAGCATTTTTAAATGTCTGCTGGTGCTGAGAGCCTTTGTATCAAGATGGCAATATAAATATCCCCAAAATAGCCACGTCATTTGTCAATTAAGATTGTTGTGTTATCGATTTACTGTTGGTTTAGGATATGGGTGGTTGTCAACCGCTGGTTGGTTGTATCCCTTTAAGGCTGGATGAGTCATGACACCGATCACGTGTGTGGGAAATTAACAGCCAGCACCCACGCAGGGAGGGGAATCGGGGAGCTTTGCCGTTCACCATTTATCGTCTTCGGTGCATTGCATTCCTGCCGCTCTGCGGAGCTCGCCGCTTTCCGCTCCACTCTCTCTCTCCCTCTGTAGCCGCAAGGCTCTGGGTAAAGAGAACACGAAGTGACCTTGGTGATGCTTGATGCTGGGATGTGTGTGTGTTTGTGCACACGCCGAGCGCAAACGCAAACAAGACGTTGACGATTAATGATGGCGGAATGTTCGGGCCAGGGTAGGGAGTGGGTTTGAGTGCTTGTATAATTTGCAAATACCACAATTTTGTTAAGAAACATGAATGAGTGGATGCAGTGGAGGCATTTCCATTTGTTTAAGCCACCGGTGATCTGACCTGACTTTAATGTACAGTGTTGCGTCTGAGTGAAATGTGTGATGCTAAATTCAGGGACATTGGTTACCGCTTACCAGTTGGGATTTACTTAATGCGGTTTGATGTTGGAGATCTATAAAATTATAAATGTGACCGTGTATGAAGTAAATTACCTAAATGTCCTCTTAAATGTTAGACCTAACCAAGCTTAACCGCTGGGTCAAGTTGGATCGATTCATTTTTTCTGCATACATTTTATGATTTTTTAATGGGAGAAATAAAGTAACAAAGACACATATCATAACGCTTCTGTAGTTGTTTGGCATGGATGACGCAGAGTTTTGGTTCCAGCTATCTTGTGTAATTGACAGGCAGTGGCCTCAATTAGATGCCAGTGTCGTGAATTGAACACAATGTAAAACGGATTGCGTTCGCGTCCGTTTTCACAGCTGCGTCCCCTTAATTAGGCCGCATCGCACTGCACGAAGGCCTCACTTTGAGACCTGTTAATTCCAGTGAACAAAAATCCACATTGTGCTTTCTAAATAGTACAAGGCGATTTTCCAGTCGGTGACTCGTGTTTCATGTAAGTGTACATAACAGATAGCTGGCTGGCAGAAATCCACGGCAGTGCACGGTTTGTCTTTTTTCGGTGGCAGTAATTTTTCGAAAGCTGGAAATGAGGCAGGAAGCTAGCGTCAGACATTTTCTCTCTTCAGCAGAATTGAAAACCTGCCCTGCGTGCCCTTTTTATTTGTTGCGCTTCCGAAATGTAAAAAAACCCCAACATTCTCATTCTACAAGCTGGCTTTCTACTGATGTTTTCGTTGGCCGAGCGATAAGACCCTCTCCGGTGCCATGGAGAGGAAAGTACTCAAGGTGCTGAGGTGGCACGGCGCCGGCACTGCCATGCGGCAGCCAGGCCGACTTAAGTGTGTCATGTGAGCGTGCTGCCCTTTCAGCACCGGGGCATTTTTTACCATCTGGGTTTCGGAACAAACAACATCGTGCTAAGCCTCGTCCGTCGCCCCTTTCCTGCTCCTGCTCCTTCTCCTACGTCCCTTCACCTAAATGAATACTCTAGCCATCAATAATACATGGGGGCTCCAGTAAGTCACCCTTGGCGGTTTTACTTAACGTCACTTGGTTTAGAAAGCTGAAACGTCACATCGTGACCAGTTTTTTTTGTCACGTATCTCCATAAACTTGGAATGCAGCAGAAGGAGGTGATGGTGGCACACTTGCTTACTGTCGCAATCTCCTCCGTCCCTGGCAAACATTTATAGTTTGTTCCTCCGTACAGTGGGCCCGACTTTGCTTTGGATAAGCAGCAGAGCTCAAACGAGAGCCTCATTACCGGCTGCCCTCCTGCGGGGGACTCAGTTGGCTGCGAGGGATTATACAGTGGGTGCAGATGGCTCATGTGTCTGCACCCACACCACCCCGGTAAATTATTAATGGTGCTGCACGATACCCGTTGCCAAACATAATTCGGTTTAATGAACCTCTCATTCAGACTGTGTACCCATCATGCTTAAGAATGCAATATTTGCAGCGAATATAAATTGGAAATGAAGGCCATGTGACCTTTATCGGAGGGTGAGGTTCTGTAGATGAAAAATAATTTCATTTAGAATTTATGGAGTAATGCCCAATACAATCTCAGGTTTTATAAGTGGAAGTTGCAGGTTTTGCAGGATTATCTGTTAATTTAACCGGGACCCCCCCCCCCACCAGCCAAAAGACACCCCAACCACATTACCATCTTGGCACAGAAAACCAACGCAATGCTACGATGTGCATTATTGTGGAGCACATAGGTTAAAGGTGTTATGTGGGTGACATTATGATGGTTGTGTTCTAATGCAAAAACCAGTGAACCATTGTTGACAAGTACCTAAGCTGTTTTCCATGGCTGTCCGATAAGAGGTTTGAAGTTTATTTCATGAAAATGAAGCCTTTAAAATCATGGTCAGGTGTGCGCTAATAACTGCCTGTGCTCTTTAAGAACTTTACACGTTTTTTCTTGAAATTCTTCTTGAGCAGCCAGCGCACAGCCTGGATGGAGATGTATCCATTTGAACCTTATGGCGGGACCCCGGGGTCCCATAAGCCCCCCATCGGCTCTCGCATAAACTGCGTTGTGACGTAATTTTATGTCTGAAGGCGAACGATACGGCAATGTATTCCTCTCGACGAGCTCTACACGATGCGCTAATGAAAATTTTGTTTATGACTACAGCAAATTCGGCAACGGCGAGTGCTCGTTGAAGAACGAGAGGATTGATTTCTGGTGGCTCACAGTTTTTTATGTGCGCGGTGGGACGGAGTCGCCAAAAATAAATAAATTAATTGCGATTTTTGACTTTCGTTTATTCGGGTCCCCAGGGTCCTGCCATGAGGTTCATTTGTTTTTTTTTAGATTGCGTCTTGAGCAGCAAACGGTCGTTACGTTTGTTTTAATAGAAGGCCTGTGTGTCTGTCCGCATGTGTGTGCGTGTGCCGACAGCTCCAAAATGTGGGCATCAACCCGGCGAACATCGGGTTCAGCACCCTCACGATGGAGTCCGACAAGTTCATCTGCGTGCGCGAGAAGGTGGCGGAGCAGGCGCAGGTGGTCATCATCGACATGAACGACACCGCCAACCCCATCCGAAGGCCCATCTCCGCCGACTCGGCCATTATGAACCCCGCCAGCAAGGTCATCGCGCTCAAAGGTGGGCGCCCCGTGTCCGTTCCCGCGTGCGCTCGCCCAGCAGGTCGTTATGCAGAGCCCCCATCCCCCGTGTGTTATTTGAAGCTGGGAAATGTAGGAGCAGGTGCCTAGTCTTGTTTTGCGAGCACCCAGTTTGTTAACTAGCGGAGTAGTTTTTTTAGTTCAGATAAACCACAGCAGTTTTTGTTTGGTTGCCGTCACTGCTTTGCCTTGCCTCTCGCTTCAAAAGCCGAGCGTTCTGTTAAGTGACTGCGCAGTCGATGGTTCCGCAAGTTTATGCTGCTGCTGCCACCGCTACTGCTCATGCGTGCTCATCCCCTCCCCACCCCCCTCCCACACCATGAGTGTGCCTGCACGCATTCTCTCTGCTGTGTGCATGCTGTCGCTTGTGTATGCGAGCGTGGCCGCTTTGTGTGCTGCGATGCTCTCTTGTGTGCATTTGTGTCGTCTTGGGGCCCCGTGTGCGTGTCGCCATCGTCCGCTGCACTGCCGAGTACGCTCAGGTGCAGGCAAACTTAGAGAGGAGAGATGTTGCACTGCACCTTCGTACGCTACGCTCCTTTAAAAAAATGAGTTGGGTCTCATTGCATAGTTGTAGTGGGAGCGCAAGCTGCTTCGGAGGGAATGACAAGCCAAGGGTGCATTGCCAAGTTGCCCGCATATGCATTGCATGGCCCTTGAAAGGTAAGCCCCACTGACAAACCTCTGTTTGCTGTACAGGTAGCACATTTTTTCCAATGAGCTGTATTTAGGGCTTCGTTAACCTTCCTGCTTCCATCAGATTGCGATCTGCGTCAACGTTCCTCCCTCGGCATGTACAGCCATTGTTGTGCACTTTTTTGCGTTGGAACTTGTTTTGGCGTGAAGCCAGAATGTCAGCGCTAGGTTTATCTTTATACACGATGCAGCAGTCTCCTTGATCCGCTGCTGTTATGCTGTAAACAGTTGTCAATGTGCCTAAAAAAATTGGCCTCCCAAAACTTGCTTTCTTTGTTTTGTGATGTTCATAATTGCGTGTCTCTCTCTCTCTCCTATGTATAACATGACAGCCTGGTAGGAATAAACTGAGAAAGTTAGCAACCTGTCGGTGCCTGCTTGCTCTCCATGTGCGTTGCATCTCTTGTGCCATATACCCAGGGCCAGTAGAACTTGGCAGGGTCTCTAACTAACTAACCCCCCGTTCAAAAAGTTCCTTTTTTGAGCAGGAACAAAGTCTCGGAGCAGGTAAATAGAGCACGGTGGTGTCTTTTTTTCTTCTCCCTTCCACAATTTTATCCAAATACACAGCAACGTGATTTTAATTGATGTTGGCTCTTGGCCAGTTTTTGCTGTTGGCTCTGCGTATATTCTGACCGCAGCCAAGGTGCTGGTGTGACGTTTTAAGTTTTTTGCCGCTGCCTCCTGTGTGTCACTGACTGTACACTTTCTTTCTTGCTCTCTTTTTGTTTAATTGTATCAGAGGGTGAGTCCTTTATTAAAACATACTCTTCGGTGCTGTGTGTCCTAGCCGGCCTTGCTTTCACACGTGGGTTATAGTATTGATAAAAAAAACACAATATGATAATGATTAACGATGTAATTCGTTATTATTCGTCTTGAGAGCCCACTTTTAAAGCATGGCTAGAGGCCCGTTGTGAGCATGTGTGTTGTACGGTGTACCCCCCTTGTCAAGTTTTGTTTTTTGCGCACAGCTTCACAGTCATTGTAGCTGTTTTTCATAGGAATAAAGATAAGGCTTTTCACTTTTGCTTATCTTTAATTCTATATAAAATGTGTTGGATGGCTTCATGAAATATGTGTAGCGTAAAATTCTAAGCTCCGACCGAAACGTGAATTTCGTTGCATTTTGGGAAATACGTAAAGATATTCTGACATCGGCATAATCTGATGCATTACTTGGTTCATTCACTGAAAGCCGTGTTGCTTTAAGTGTGAGCAGCGTCAAAAGTAAAATTTTTAAAAAAGATTTCACTGGCTCCATTCACGAGGGCATCGCTTTCATCGCGCGCGTTGTGTCGCGACCACCAGCGCTGCTCTCCCACTCGTTAACCGGTTTCTCTCCCCCCCCCCCCCCCGTCAACAACAGCCGGCAAGACTTTGCAAATTTTCAACATCGAGATGAAGAGCAAGATGAAGGCGCACAACATGACGGACGACGTCCTTTTCTGGAAGTGGATCTCCCTCAACACCATTGCCCTGGTCACCGAGACAGCCGTCTACCACTGGAGCATGGAGGGCGACTCGCAGCCCGCCAAGGCCTTTGACCGCCACCCCAGCCTCGCCGGCTGCCAGATCATCAACTACCGCACCGACGTCAAGCAGAAGTGGCTGCTACTCGTTGGGATTTCCGCGCAGGTTTGTAATTTTTTTGCCCCTGTAACATGTATGTACGTATGTTTAACTTCTTTCACACCGTACGTAGCCAACCGTGCTATAATTGCAGGTTTTGCCTCCTTGCGGCATTGCGACCCTCACCCGCTGCAGTCGCCAAAGTACCCGCTTGACTTGCAAACGTCAAGTTTCTATCACGGGTTTAGGGATGACCTTCACAAAAGCCGAATTAGGATGTTCAAATTCCTTTTGCTGACCACGCATTAACTCGCCTCCTGTTGCTTATGGCGCAGCTAAAGGCCACCGAAGAGACGGAGCATTGCTAAAATGACTCGTAGTGTTGCCTGGTCAAAAACGGTCACTTCTGCTAACCCCTTTTAGTGTGGCTAAGTTGCTTGCATTGACTGATACATATTTGTTCGCATGCTGTTTCGGTGTGGAAGGCCTCGTGTTGTTGTAGGCCGTACGAAATCTAAGTCGTGGACCGTATTTCACCTGTCGGCCATTTAGGGTCCCCTCCCCTGTTTTAAACGAATGATGCCAACCCAAATACTCTTTGTGATGCTAATTGTGGCCTGAATTCATTTGTGCTCTTTTGGTTTGCACTTTTAATTGTGGCTCCTGTGAGTCATTGCCTGCCCTACTCGGATTACAATGATTAATTTGTAAGAAATCGATTCTTAGGCTAACGACACTTGCCTTGTGTAAAAGTCGGGTTTTTCCCCTTCATACGTTCATTGTGTTTGGTTTGTGGAAACTGCAGTGAAAGGCGTGGAGGCCAGTGTGCTTGTCAAAGCATACAGTACAGTAGTAGAAGCGATATAACAATTCGGCGGTTTAAAATATTCTTCACGCTCGCAATGTACGCATCGAATTGTCCGTCTAATCTGATCCGTGTACTTTCTTACACATACCTCGGTGAACAAATAGATGAATCGTCGTGATGCCGTATCGTGATGATTCATCCATACGTTACATCCCTTCACCGTGCCGCTCCACATCCTCCCTTCTAAGCGGCCTCCTGCTGCAGTCTAGCGTCAGACGTTAGCTCTATAATTGATGCCTAGTGCGCCCCACTGTGCTCACAGTAGTCAAGCCAATGTATGCTTCCTCTCATTGTTTTATGTTGCCTTTTATGTTAGCTTTTTTTGTTCTCTTCTGAAGCATGGTAATATAATATGCAAATGTGAGTTTCGACGTTTGTGTTGCAGCAGTGATAAGATTGTGTAAAACATTTTAGTAGTGATTATGAATTGACTTCTCACCTTTGGCTCCCAGTGTGTGACCAATCTAGCACTGTCGTCCTTAGATTTACGTTGTGGAGTATTGCATTTGGCTGTCCTTTTTTCTCTTAATCCACGTGTAACCAGATAAAATACCTGCAAGAATGTAATAGTTTTAGCAAGCACACAGTTTCAATAATTTAAACAAATGATTCTTGCATTATTTATGATGCTCCCATTAACAAAGTCGATTTCGATTTTTTACGAGGATATAATCCAGATATTAAGGATAAAAATATAGATGCTGAATGTCATACATTGTCAATAATAGACCTGTTAAATGGATTATGGAAGTAGTTATGCGATATCCTCTTCCAAGGCTCTCTAATGCAAGTTGGTGCTCCTCACTGTAAGAGTTTAGAATGGAAATGTTGCGGTCACGTGACATGACGCCGATGGTACAATTGGGGAAGAGTAATAAAAGCGGGAGCTTTAAAAATGAAAGATGAGTTCTTGCCCATGAACCAAACTGCATTGTTAATAATTAATACTTATCAAACTGACGTTGAAAGCGTTCGCGCATTAACTGGCCGTCTAGGACTGGTACGTCTAAAGTGGGGTGCATCTACGGTATGTATGTTTAACTAATTTCACACCCTACCTAGCCAATCGTGTTAATCGGGCATAGAAAGCAACACATTCTGTGCGTATGTATGATTTTTCTTCCTCGTTTTGTTTTTTTTGTTTTGCCGGGTGCAGCAAAACCGTGTCGTGGGCGCGATGCAGCTCTACTCGGTCGAGCGGAAAGTCTCGCAGCCCATCGAAGGGCACGCTGCCGCCTTCAGCGAGTTCAAGATGGAGGGCAACGCGGAGTCCTCCACCCTCTTCACCTTCGCCGTCCGCAGCCAGGCCGGGGGAAAGGTGCTTGCCTCTCACCCCCCGGTGTTCTCATCATTGGTCTTCCTCGTTTGCCTCAACTCAAGCGCTGAAAATCTTTGCTTTTCCATCTCTGCAAATGCTTCTCTTTTCTTGTTTACTCCGATGTATGTCCGATGGCAGATTCTTGGGTCAAAAGCCCTCCATCCTGCCCAATCTTGAGTTTTGTTCTTAATTTCACTGTAAGGCCGCCCCTTCCTTGAAGTCCTCAAGCAGCGTCTTTTCTTTTCGGCTGCTTCGCCGACATCCTTCTAGAACTTCCTTCGTCAAGCTTTCACCTCTGAATGAGTGCCCCCCAATCCACCCCCTCTCACCTCTTCTGAATCGTCCGGTCATTTCGTGGTTGGCTCGCGAGTCGGCCGCCTGCTGATTGCAGTACTTTTGGGAACACAAAACCTGAAGTTGTTGTTTCCGTATCGATGTCTACCGCAGCTGCACATCATTGAGGTTGGGCAGCCTCCCGCGGGGAACCAGGCGTTTACCAAGAAGGCGGTGGACGTATTTTTCCCTCCCGAGGCTCAGAACGACTTCCCGGTGGCCATGCAGGTTCGTGTCCCAGCGCACACGTCATGCCCCGTCGCTGCCCCCCCCCCCCCCCTTGCCCTCTCTCTTACCACATGCATTGAGCATTTACTAACAGCTAGATTCGATTAGAACTTCTCACCGACAAGGTCAATGCTTGATGGAAAGCAGTTTTAAATGGGAAAGTATACGAGAGGTTAATTTTCAGACAGTTGCACTTTGATTTATAGTGACTTTCCAGGGAATTAACATGCTTTGAGGTATTAAATTACAAGGCATAATGATGCATTAATTTAAAACTCGTAAGTCGATCTGTTTGCCCTCTTTCTGCTCTGAAGAAGGGCTATTGTCTAAAACATGAATCTTTAAAAAAAATTACGTTTTAATCCAGTGTTACAAATGAACTTAGGTGAATTGTATTTCATACTTGCACACCGCTGCCAACACACTTTTGTTTTAAACGTTTCCTGCTGCTTGTAAAAAAATATCCGTAAACTGTGAACAAAACTCCTTGTTTTAGCGAATTGACATCATAGTTGACTTTCGAGGCGTAGATCATTATTCCGAGTATGAAATTACTTTTGTTGGCGTGATCTGTATTGTGTTTTAATGATCATTGTAAATTAACCGCTGCTCAGGTGAGCCAGAAGCACGGCGTGATCTACCTGATCACCAAGTACGGCTACATCCACCTGTACGACCTGGAGAGCGGCGTGTGCATCTACATGAACCGTATCAGTGGCGAGACCATCTTTGTCACGGCCGCTCACGAGGCCACCTGCGGCATCATCGGCGTCAACCGCAAGGGACAGGTGTGTGACCAAAGCTGTAGTGTAGGGTTTGCACCGTGGGTGGTAGCGCTTGCCTTACGGTTACTTAAAAGTTTTTTTCTTTTGGCTTCTGTGAAGCTTTCGACTCATGTCGGATAGCCTGGGAGAAACGCAGTCCTAGGTGTGTATCTACATGCTACAGCCATTTTGTCAGTGGACTACGGGATGAGGTTGCTGTTTAGAGTCGTGGGGGTTATTTGACCATGTTATACCGTGCTGCGGTGATGAAGGCAGAGCATAGATGATGTGGAAGTATGGAATACAACACAACAGTGGACATTGCTGCACTGTCCTCTGCTACCAACCACAGAACACCGTGGCCTAGAACTTTCGAATGAGTAGTGGTCGCCCATCCAACCACTATCCAGGCTTAACCCTTCTCAGCAGAGTTGGTGGTTGACTTAAGACCATGGGCCAATGTCTATGCTAAGATTTGTTTTAGATTTCATCGACTATTGGGCAAGGCCTCCCACCTCTGTGAACTAATGAGTTAACGAAGCTCCAACTGGTGCGCCAGCAGACACATATCAAATGTATCAACACAAGTATCATATTACTTGCGTTGGCCTTTGTGTGGTGAGCCCCCAAAGCAAGAATATTAAATAACGTCCGTATATTCGTGCGTGGGACAGAAGCCAATTGAATGACTCTTCGGCGGTTGCTCTTCGACATCTACTTCCGCAGACCGTTCTCTTAACACGAACGACCGCGTTACTCTGCGCGTGCATCAAATCGATTCTTCGTCTCGCAGCACAACGCCGACATAGCGAGGTCGGGGTAACATTTAGCGTTGTGGAAAAACTAAAATAGTGGGATATTGTCCAAGTGAAAGGGAGCAGGCAAAACGGGGGGGGCTATTTATTATTATTGGCGGGACGGGGCTGTCGTGAGGGAGAAGAGAGCGATGAGTGTGATAAAGGTGCAACGACATGCAAATGCAGGAATTTATGTACTTATGCAATTTGTACTTGATTTATTTTGACGTATTTATTTTTAGTGACTTGCTTTTTTTTTGCATTGTTGGACATCTACGGTAGGAAGAGCTTTATAGCTCATTGGATTCCTCCTCTAAATAAATATTCTGATTCTGTTTACCTGCACGCGCACGCGTGTGTCTCCATTCGCAGGTGCTGTCGGTGTGTGTGGAGGAGGAGAATCTCATCCCGTACATCACCAACGTGCTGCAGAACCCCGACCTGGCGCTGCGCCTCGCCGTGCGCAACAACATGGCCGGCGCCGAGGAGCTGTTTGCGCGCAAGTTCAACACGCTCTTTGCGCAGGCCAATTTCTCCGAGGCCGCCAAGGTGGCTGCCAGCGCGCCCAAGGTACGTGCCCGCATACCGCCCGAATGCGTGCGCTCGCGTGGATGTGCATGCGCGTTTGTTGTGTGTCATGGTTCAAAATCAGAATATATATTTGTACTGGAGGAATCCAATGAGCTATAAAGCTTTTTTTCACGGATGTCCCTTAGTAAATGAGACGGGTAATTAAAACCTTTACACGTGATGCACGCGTCGGTATGTGAGCGTAAGAATGTGTTATTTTGTGATTACTTATCGCGTTTTTATACCTTAACGCAAAGGGAATAAATGAGACTAACCGACCAAGGAAGGGCAAATGAGAAGCCGTCTGCATTGCATGGGAGGCAGCCGCAATGGGGCAAAATAATTGATTCTAGATTCAATATGCTTGAATTGTAACAACAAATGTGGCACATTCCTCAATAACACTGCTGTATGGTAACAGTGGTAACAATCAAATCGCCATGTGTGAATTGTTATAGGCATACAACATGGAAGGGTTAGCTCACAGTTAATGAATGAATGCGTTTGTGTTAGTATTGCACGTACCGCAATTTCAACTTATTGTACCTCCACAATACAATTTGTCTTTACAAAACATCTAAACGTAACCACGTATCAACATGTTGTACAGATGTGGGGGGGGGGGGAAGCGCAAAGAGGCGACTTGGAATATAGGAGGTAGGAGGGGTATTTATTATTTAAAGGGAAGACACTAATGCAGTGCACAGGACAGATGGTATGCTAATGTATAAATGAATATGCTTCATGGGGAAGAGGCAGCTGGTCAGAAAATCTAACCACGTATCTTTTAAGCCAGAGCTATAAACGAAAAAAAGTCGTCTTCCACCCTTTCAACTTGTAAGCCTCGATTAATTTAACCCTGCGCAAATAAACGAAATTCCATCTCGTCTTTGCTTTTTCCTGAGTAATAACAAACCGCTTCCCCCCCCCACTGCCTCAACCCCTCCCCGAACCAAAACATCACCCCTCCCCCCTGCCTGCCGCCCCCGTCGTCAACTCGCCCAGGGGATCCTGCGCACGCCTGACACGATCCGCAAGTTCCAGTCGGTGCCAGCCCAGCAGGGCCAGACGTCTCCGCTGCTGCAGTACTTTGGCATCCTGCTGGACCAGGGTCAGCTCAATAAGTACGAGTCCCTGGAGCTGTGCCGCCCTGTCCTGCAGCAGGGTCGCAAGCAGCTCCTCGAGAAGTGGCTCAAGGAGGACAAGGTAGGTGTGGCCGTGGGGGTGGCGTCCGCAATTGGCACTTGGCTACGTACGGTGGGAAAGAAGTTCAACGTACATACAAATGAACTCTTGGCGGGGGGAAAATGTTGTAGAAGGAACGGTGTAGTCGGGGGGCGGGGGGGGGGCGGAAATAAGGTCGTTCCATTTATGAAAGGCGAATAAAAAGTTGTTGCTTGAATTGATGTGTTGAGAACATTTCGTAGCAGAAGATTGCGTCTGTTGTATTTTACAGGCGATTGGCATAGGCAGCTTATTTGGTTCTTTCGGTAAAGTCACGTAGAATGAGAATAAAATAATAAATTGATAAAATAAAATAATATAACACAATAAAATTCTCACGACGTTTCGGCCACAACACAAGCGGCCTTCATCTACGTGACTTTACCGAAAGAACCAAAGAAGATGAATCCTTCAGTCACGAAAGCTTTAAATTGGCATAGGCAGGTTTATAGGTGCAAGTGACAAATTACGAATGTTGAAAATCCAGAGAATATCGGCGCCTCCATTTTAGATTTTATGAAAACCTCTTCTCACCAGACATGGCTCCCAGTGACTTCCACGTTTCTATCATTACAGAGAAAACAAACTCGAGTTAATATTTGAGTTGCGTGTCCTGTGAAATAGGGGTTTGAGTGTAGGAAACTGTATGCAATTAGTTTCATGGTTGGTGTACGTTCTTTGTCATACCGTAGACTTTATAATGGCCCCTCACAAGAAGAGCGTCATCCATTTCCAAAACGAGAGCTGTGTTTTGCTGTCACTGAAGAGGAGGTTTTTCCTTTTTTTTTCGTGATCAGCTGGAGTGCTCGGAGGAGCTGGGAGACCTGGTGCGCACGGCCGACCCCACCCTGGCGCTCAGCGTGTACCTCCGCGCCAACGTGCCCAACAAGGTCATTCAGTGCTTTGCCGAGACCGGCCAGTTCCAGAAAATCGTCCTCTACGCCAAGAAGGTGAGCAAGGGATCCCCAATTGCCGTAATAAATCCTCTTGAGTGAATTCTAGCTTTTCGAGAGATTTCTGACAACATCTGTTTCTGCGGTAACTCCTGCTTATAAGATACATGTTCGTTTAGACCTATTCACAAATGGGTCTTCCCCAGCCAAGGCTTAGTGTCTCAAAGGTTTTTGAGGTCGCTGGTAGATTGGCGTAGGCACGTGACGTGTAGCCACAGCCCCAGCGAGAGGCATACTTGACGCGGTGTGCCAGGTGTCGATACATTTTCTGGATCGCAGACCCGGCTGAAATTAAGCCCCATGTCTTCCAATCATTTCAAAATTAGCGCCATACTATTTGGTAAGCTCGCTGAAATTTACCGAGGTTGAAATTCCTTACAAAGAGTCCACTTGTTACTCAAAGGTACTGTTTTAACTGTTTATGGGTTTTCCTGCAGCAGCGCACATTTTCATTTCAATGCTGGTATTAGTATTTTTGGCGGTTTCCTCAATTTTTGTGAGCTTGCCGTGGTGCATACTGAGAATGAAATTTTTAACCAGGCCAAGAGCAACTCTGTGTCTGGAAACACGACTCATTTTCATCAGTTGCAGTCTTTATCCAGTTGGTAAAATTATTAAATCAGAATTGTCTCGATCTGAATGGACCTCACAATACTTGCGTCACCAATCTACCCAGGAGATGACATCAGAGAAAGTGGGTTCATAAAGCTGTCTGCAGACGTGTAAATATTATTCCCTCTTATGTGTGGTGGGTTTTCTACAGGTGCTGCAGTTTCCTCCCATGCAAGAAGTGCTCTTAATAAATACAAAATTGCCTTCAAATTTAGAAACATGCGTTTAGAGTGTTTTGGCTGCTAATACACTTCCACATGATAAGCCACTTCATTCAGCTATCATGTGTGGCCAGGTCGCTTCTGAAAAAGAGCACTATAGCTCAGTGGGCTTTCCTGGTGAAATAAAAACGGTTTAGTTAAAGACTATATGGCGGATCTTTGTCTTTGCGCGCAGGTGGGCTACACCCCGGACTGGGTGTTCCTTCTGCGTAACGTGATGCGCGTCAACCCCGAGCAGGGCACCCAGTTTGCCCAGATGCTGGTGCAGGACGAGGAGCCTCTTGCCGACATCAACCAGGTTGGACTCCCACCAATCCCTTCTCCCTCCACCCCAGCTTCCTTCCTCCCATATCCCCCCCACACCTTTGCCAAGCATTCGTTGTTACAGCTCTCCCCCTCTTGGTAACATGGAAACGTGTTGTGCTCTCTTGTTGCAGATTGTGGACGTGTTCATGGAGGGCAACCTCATCCAACAGTGCACCTCCTTCTTGCTCGATGCCCTCAAGAACAACCGCCCGTCCGAGGGCCACCTGCAGACTCGGCTGCTGGAGATGAACCTGATGCACGCCCCACAGGTGCCTGCCACAGCGCCTGCTGTCGGTCAGACTTTTAAATCGATCCGCACTCGTCCTAATGATTCTTCTTGAGTCCTTTGCCCAAAGGCAGGGTCGCAGAATCAAGCTCCCACCATCCTATCAGACCCCACTCCACCCCCCCTTCACCATAAATTAGCATACACCAAAGTTTCTTTAATCCTCCCAATAAGCTCCTGATTGAAATTATTGTATTAGTTTTTTTACATTTTCTCTTAAGCCTCTCTTGCTTCTCCCCCTCAATCAGCTGTGGACCACCGTGCTGCCTCCTGACCCATGCATCCACCATCCTTCCACCGCCTTGCACCTTCTCACCGTTTCCTCCAGTCGTCTCTCCTTGGCCCGGTCTGCCCCTGGATCTTGTTGGTGCTAGGTCCCGGCGCCCCTGGGACTCGTGGGCGCCGGCCTCCATTGGCACCGATTCCTCTCGGACTCCCCAGGGACTCGTTTGCTCCGTGCGTTGTGCTGCCATATTGTCTCCCCCCACCCCTTCTCTCTCCCTCTGTTCCCCTGCGCCCCCACGCTCACTCCATTCCCTGGGTCACCTAAACATTCCCCATAATTTCCACTTTTCGGTGTTCACCCTCCACCGCTCTGTACGGAATCTGGAGGCGTACTTGCGCATGGCTACGATGTCTACATCCAACATCATTGTCGTTATCGTTTTTATGATTCCGTTTCCAGGTGGCAGACGCTATCCTAGGCAACCAGATGTTCTCGCACTACGACCGTGCGCACGTGGCGCAGCTGTGCGAGAAGGCGGGGCTCCTGCAGCGTGCCCTGGAGCACTACACGGACCTGTACGACATCAAGCGCGCCGTCGTGCACACGCACCTGCTCAACCCGGAGGTGAGCGAGTGCCCCCGCTCCGCCTGCTGCTCAACCTCGAGCTTATTTGGCAAACGAAATGATGACGGGTGCGTCGTTGGGATGAGTCTTTTATTAAGTGAATCAGAATATGTATTTATACTGGAGGAATCCAATGAACTGTAAAGCTATTTTTCACAGAAGTTCAGTAGGGTAAGGTCAGAACACCACAAAAAATAAAAAAATTGATAGGAGTGCAACGTATCGGTAAGGTAAGCAAATCACTTAAAACAATATATACAAATATTTGATTTAAAGCTTTCATGACTGCAGTGATTCATATTCTTGGTTCTTTCAGTAAAGTCACGTTGAAGGGAAACAATAAAATAATAATATATTGTTTTATATATATTTTATTGTTTCCCTTCAACGTGACTTTACCGAAAGAACCAAGAATATATATACAAATATGTTTATCGTACCAAGTAAAGCCCACTGGGCTATTAGATTATCTTTCATAAGCGACCTGGCCACAAATGAGCACTTGGCTACAGGACTACAAATGGAACCAGGAAGAATGCGCAATAAAAAAAAGTGGCAGGATGGAAGACATTTTTTCTTCAGCCATCCATTTTAAAGCCGTTTGCGTTACTCAAGAAAGACAATCACAAACGATTGTTTTTTATTATGTAAATATTTGCAGAGGCTCTGTGTCCTGGGCTGTCCGACACAAGTTTGAAGCTTCCTTAATGAAAAATAATGTTTTGTCATTTAAAACTCGAGCGGATGCACGTATCGTGAGCGGTGGAATCGATTTCAAAATCAACAAATCGTGACTTGTCGTCTTGTTACTTTGTCATTTAGTAACGTGCCCTCATGTCCCCTCCACTCGTGCTCGCCGTGTGCAGTGGCTCGTGAACTACTTTGGCTCGCTCTCGGTGGAGGACTCGTTGGAGTGCCTGCGAGCCATGCTGTCGGCCAACATCCGCCAGAACTTGCAGATCTGCGTACAGGTGGCCTCCAAGTACCACGAGCAACTGGGCACCCAGGCCCTCATCGACCTCTTTGAGTCTTTCAAGAGCTTCGAAGGTGAGGTCACAGGAAGCTTGCAAGATTGAGGGAGGGGGGAGGGAAGGAGGTGGCCGGGAAGCTGCTCTACCACGTCGACTTCCATTTGAAGGCTTTTGGGGCTAACCTGTGTGCCGCCCACTTTACCGGGGCGACTCTGCGGGAATATCTCAAGATGCGTGGTTGCGTGACACCGGGTATTCAGTGCTCCCCCGTTCCCCACCGCAGGTCTCTTCTACTTCTTGGGCTCCATTGTCAACTTCAGCCAGGATCCTGACGTGCACTTCAAGTACATCCAGGCGGCCTGCAAGACCGGCCAGATCAAGGAGGTGGAGCGGATCTGCCGCGAGAGCAATTGCTACGACCCCGAGCGCGTCAAAAACTTCCTCAAGGTGTGCGTGCATCGTGTCTCTCTTGGTGGGATGGGGGGTGGGGTTTTTCCAGAGATGGGAGCTGGCAAGGTGTAAATTCTTTGTTCTAATGGCAGGGGGGGGGGTCGATCGCATAAGGAAACGAAAGATAAATGTAAAAATATACCAAAAAAAATTCGCGCAATAAAAAAAAGCTTGCCGTATTTCATCGTTAAAACCATCTTGAAACGGAAAATATATTCAATAGGCTGATTTCACACATTTTGCTCTTCTCTGATGGCGGGGAGGGATGGATACCACAGTCAATGTGTATAAAGGCGATCAGTTGTATTGTTACGTTTTGTCGAACCACCCTGTAATGTCTCCTAAAAATAACCAAAGCGTAACAACCGCTCTGAAGTGGAGATGAATCAAATCGCACCGCCATCACACGTCCGAGTATGCTCCATTTTGAAAATTGTAATGCCTAAAATCTCCACTCTGAAAATTACTCTGAACCCAGTTGCCTCCGTCTACGGTTATGGACATTTCATTTGCGTAATGGCTCTTAATATCTAATCCAGGCAATGGAAGGACATTGATTTTTTTTGTACATATATATACAACAGCACTCTGAAGCACACCGCATCACTCACACCCCATGTGTTATGTAGCCGAGTTCTGTTTGGCCAGTCCTCACTGCTGTGCTTTGCCTCGCTTCTCCGACAATCAGGACCTACACAAGGTAAACAGAAACTCCACTGCGGTAGCCTCTTAGAACTTGCTCCCTCTGTCTTCCCTCCGTCTAGACGTAGGTGATTATATCCCCCGCGGCGTCTTGCTGGATGGGATATAATGCACGTGTCGATTTTGCCCCGTCTGCGAGAGTTTTGCTGATTTAGTGACCGCAGTTTCCTCCTATTCTGCCCGACGTTGGAAAAAAATATCTCCCAGCGTGTAGAGTACCTCGCGTAGCGCACTGGGCAACGTGTGCTCACTTCTTATAGCGCACGCTGGATTTTAAAATTGGACGGGCGGCGGGGCGTCGCTCACCGTGGTTGGGCGTGCCGTGCGCGCGTGGTTGTGTTGTCCCGCCAGGAGGCGAAGCTGACGGATCAGCTGCCGCTCATCATCGTGTGCGACCGCTTCGACTTCGTCCACGACTTGGTCCTCTACCTGTACCGCAACAACCTGCAGAAGTACATTGAGATCTACGTGCAGAAGGTGCGCCCTTTGCTGTACAGGCCGGCGTGTAACGCGCGTGCTCGTGTTTCTGTGTTCCTGTAACGACAGTAATAATATAATGGCGACTTGCGTAACGCACACCAAATTTCGCGCGAGTGGGCAAACATACGGACACGACTCGGGAGGTGCGTTTTGCGTTACACCCTCAGGCTTTTGTGTGAATTTACTGTTTTCTTAAATATATCGTTGCATGCTAAACATCCATATTGAATTAATATTAACATAGGTATATATATAGATATTAATCTTGTGTTTTGGAGAAATATACTATTGGGATACCTATGAGATTGTTCAAAAACACATTTAACCTGATAGATTTTCTATGCAGTCATTTTTGGGTGATTTGAGACCATTAACGGATCACTTTTGAAAACCCAGTTTAACAATGGCTGTTCGAAAACCCAGGATCTCGGTGTTATCCGCTAAATGCTAGGGCATGGTATTTATCCACCTGAGCTCCCTTGGAAGAGGATTTTTTATTTATTGGTAATTTCTCTTGAGAATAAAAAAAATCATTTTCTTTGGCATGCAACTGACATTCTTTGCAGATCGTTTCAAAATTATGTCCCCTGTGGGTGAATGAGGCCGTTTTTTTTAATGTGACTTCACAAGCGGTTGTGACGTCATCTTTCGGACGCTATTCCAGCACAATGCGGTGTGCATTGTTCAGCTGCAGCAGTTCCCAAATGAAAACGTCTTCATGCATCACATGACGTTAATAAAAAGCGTTGGAGGGAGGAAGCAAATGGGGAATTACTAAAACAACTGCACCTGACCGTGACTTTTGTGAAGCTGCACTTTTCGGTCATCCTGTGTGTGTGTGTGCGCGTGTGTGCATTGTTCAGGTGTGGGGAGCGGTGGTGTAACCGTTAGAGCACTGTGTTACGAACCCGATGGCCCAAGTTAGTTTTCCACTCACGGCCAACAATCGCTGACAATTATCTTGACTGGTACCTGGTGCGGTGTAAACATCGACCACTCGGGAAACAAAGGGGGCTGGGCGTGGTGCTGTCCACCGACACCCCCACGTGTGCCGTTACTTCATAGGTGCTCCCAAACAGCACTTGCCTGCAACAGTCTGATAAAAGCTTATACGGTGCGGGGGGTTCTTTGTCCTTGGTTCAGGTGAACCCGAGCCGTCTGCCCGTGGTTATCGGAGGGCTGCTGGACGTCGACTGCTCCGAGGACATCATCAAGAACCTCATCATGGTGGTGCGGGGCCAGTTCTCCACGGACGAGCTCGTGGCCGAGGTTGAGAAGAGAAACAGGTGCGCGGTTTCACTCGCGGCCGACTCGTTTCTCACCCTCCCCAGGGTCGTTTATAGTTTCCCTGGCATTGAATTAAGCTGTTGCGGTTTTCCACTTTATAATGTTAGAGACCTGTAAGTGCCTTGTAATATGTTTGCATGTATATGCGTACTTTTAAAGTTAAATGACAGTACAGTCTGTTCTATAAAAGCAGTGTTGTGTTCCTGAAGAATACCGCGTTATGAAGAAATCTCGTTATAATGAATAATATAGGGTAAAGCATCGTCTGCTATAACACGTGAGATGCGTATGCAGGCTGAATAAAGACTGAGGCGCGTGGGTAGCATCTAGAAGCGATGCTTTGCCGAGACAGCCGTGCAACCACTTATTCCTACTCGCGTGATGTAGTTCTGCTCACTCAATCGCTTTATATATTCGCTTTATGAAAACACATTATAGGAGAATGGACTGTAACTGAGATCTCAAATGAATGCTATCCATCGGTGAGCAGAGTTTAATTCCCAGTCGTGGTTAATGTCGGTTCGAGTGATATGCTGTTGTAACTTTCTGAACCGCCCATACTGGGCATCTGTGAAAAAGAGCTTCATAGCTTATCGGATTCCTCCAGGCTAAATAAAGATTCTGATATCTGAACCGATCCTAGGTGCCTCTTTCACCAACCGGCCAACCAGCGTGGTGAAGTATGGTCAAACAGCATTAATGACTGACAGCGTGGGGAATTTTTTTTTAATATATATTCTTGGATTGGAAGCTGTAAAAAATTCACGATTAAGGAGAATACCCCCCTCCACTCAATATGCACCTGCAGTGTGAGCCACCTGTTTGACCTCTGTTGTGACGCCACGTTGTGGTGCAGGCTGAAGCTGCTGCTGCCCTGGCTGGAGTCGCGCATCCACGAGGGCTGCGACGAGCCGGCGACGCACAACGCCCTCGCCAAGATCTACATCGACAGCAACAACAACCCCGAGCGCTTCCTGCGCGAGAACCCCTTCTACGACAGCCGCGTGGTCGGCAAGTACTGCGAGAAGCGCGACCCGCACCTCGCCTGCGTCGCCTACGAGCGCGGCACCTGCGACCGCGAGCTCATCAACGTACGTGGTTTGCGCGTGTTACGCGTGTGTGTGTGTGTGTATGCACGTGGCCACCGACACCAGTGACGATTATCTGAACCCGGTCTTGGAGCTTCTCCAAGGTCGACATGGCTTCGAATGAGTACCTTGTGCGCTGTGTAAACATCACCACTGGGGAGAGAAATGCGACCGGGTGTGGCGCTAGCCCGGTTTTTCTCGGTGCCCGCTAACAGCACTATCCCCAAAAGTCTGTTAAACCTATACGGGGTATATTTGTCTTCATTGTGACGTAGGTTGTGGGCATAAAACGACAGATCGATTTTAAAACCGATTCTTAGGCTCGCAATCCATGCCCTGAATATTCCATGTGAGAATTCTGTTTTTTTGCAAATGTTATGCTGTTCCTGCCATGGTGGAATGGTTAGCACACTGGCCTTGGGAATCCCGGAGGTGCATGTGAATCTTAACTCCACCCCCCCCCCTTAATCGCCTCTGTCCATCCAGCAGTATAAATGAGTGCGCCACAGTCGATCACCAGGTCACACGTGGTGGGATAAAGTGCGAGTTCTCCTACCCCTTGCAAGATGTCTGGCCAGCGTGGAAGAGTAGGCCAAGTACCAGCTTAGAGGGGCTCTCTAGATCTCCCTGTAGTGGAAGCCCTTTCCACAAGCAGTGGTGTGAGCGAGCATTTGCAAGGCTGCATCCTTACATTTAGGCTAATTGAACGTAACGGTACGAATGAGATTAATTACGACAATACACACACGAGATGCTAAAATCGAAACAATGTTGCTTGCCTTGAATGGTGACCCTGAAATACTTTAATGGGGTCATGATGAATCTTTGTGTCCCAGTACTTTGTGTGGTGATGCATGTCACGATGGTGTCGGGTATTGACATTCAAATGTGTATGACGGGTTGCCAGATTTTATCCGAGCGTGGCTCATGAGCTGGCGTGCGGGTTGCTTGCACCTCAGAGACTGTTTGTGGGACTGCGTGTTTGGATGAACGAGGTTGAGGCTATGATTAGCTCTAATCCTAACGCCAGTGCTGAAAAGTTGCCTTAATCCCGTTTTACAATTTAACCTCTTATTCACCTCACAGGGTTGCCTAACCTCGGCTTTGCCTTAGGAACATCGCTATGTTGTGGATTTTATTCCCAACTGTTTATTTTTAACGATTCATTGGTGTGATTCAGCCCAAAATTATAAAAACTATATTATAATGCCACTCCACTGCTAAATGAAGGCCTTCCCATATCCTATGCTAGGTCATGGGGTTTATTTGATCGTAGTTCTGGCATGCTTGCCAAAGCAGCGAGCGTACGAAGGGAGTGCCCACGGCACGGCTGGTTGAGATTATCACTTGCCGCTGATGCTACCCGTCGGGGCTGGGAATCGATTTCCGGCCGCCGGCTTCGTGGCGCAAGCGCGCAAACCAACGCACACCGCTGCTCCTTCGTACCCGCCACCACGAAACCAACCTGTCGATCAGGCCACGAGTTTCTAGCTGTCGCCTTTAGACCATGGTCGTCCCGCCTGTACCCTGACGGTCCGGTGCCATTCGGTGCTGCCTCCCGCTGATGGTTGACAGGTGTGCAACGAGAACTCGCTGTTCAAGAGCGAGGCGCGCTACCTGGTTCGGCGTAAAGACCCGGACCTGTGGGCCGAGGTGCTCCAGGAGTCCAATCCCTTCCGGCGGCAGCTCATTGATCAGGTTTGCCCCGCGCCGCCACGCCACACACCACCACCACCACCCACCCCCATTGCTCCGTGCGCCCACTGGCGTATGGTCGCACCTTCGGTGGCCGCAGGGGGGGAGGGGTCACACCAACTCTGCTCTACGAATGCTGGATCGACCCCCCCCCCCCCCACACTGACAATGGCTCAACCCCCCCCCCCCCCCCCCCACTGCGCACACACACCCCAATGTGCTTAGTGTGTTTGCGCTAAATGTGATCGCCGTTCGTTGTCGCCCCCCCATTGAGTTGCGTCTGTGTGATCACAGCAGCAACAACAACAACAACTGCCGTTTGCCACTTAGTGGCGGAGACATTACCAGGGCGCTTGTGCCACGCTGGGCGCGCACGCACGGTGTCCCTCGCTTGGATTCATTTGTGTGTGCTCACAATGCCGATGGGGCCACCCCCATGGCTCCGCTACTGTGCTCCGATCAGGTGGTGCAGACCGCCCTGTCTGAAACGCAAGATCCGGAGGAGGTGTCTGTCACCGTCAAGTCCTTCATGACGGCCGACCTGCCCAACGAGCTGATCGAGCTCCTGGAGAAGATTGTGCTCGACAATTCCGTGTTCAGCGAGCACCGGTTCGTGCCGACCTTGTCCAAGGCGGCGGGGTGGGGGTGGCAGGGAGGGGTTGGTGCGAAAGCTTCGAGCCGAGAGTCGTGGACTAATGGTGACGTGTGATGCACAAGAGGAGCAGTTTCGTGGTGATCGTTGCCAACAATCTGTCACCGACAAATGGTTGTTGTACCGGTTTCTGTTGGGTATCTGTTGAGTAAAAAAAAGTAAGTTTCCCATGAGTGGACAAATTTGATCGCTGCTGCCCCCTAGTGGGCAACTGGAATAGCAACTTCTCATCTGGTCATTGAGAGGTCACGTGACTACGCAAGGTTGCATGCCACAAACCAATCGGTGTTCATGAAACGCAAGTAATGTGTGTTATAATGCATAACTTTACAGATGCATTTCTAAAAGAATTTCCCTTCAAATCTTGAGGCCAATGCTGTAAAGTCACATCGGCTAATGCTGCCCGTTTAAGGGCAGGAAGAGATTTACAGTGGCACATATTCCTCTGCATTGAAAACGGATTTTAAATTTGGTGTCCTCTGGTCGTATGTAAACAAGTAACGCTTTGTTGTTATTATTTGCAACACCTTCAGAAACCTGCAGAACCTCCTGATCCTGACGGCCATCAAGGCTGACCGCTCGCGCGTCATGGAGTACATCAACCGCCTGGACAACTATGATGCTCCCGACATCGCCAACATCGCCATCAGCAGCGAGCTCTACGAGGAGGCCTTTGCCATCTTCCGCAAGTTTGACGTCAACACCTCCGCCGTGCAGGTGCGGCGGTGTCGGCGTCTGTGTGTGTGCTTGTGTACATGTGGGGAGTGGTAGTGCAGCGGTTTAGCGCGCTGCATTACGAACCTGGGGACCCGAGTTCGATTCCTGCTCAAGGCCAACATGAGTGACGAATATCTGGACTGGTCCTGGGCCTCCCCTAGGTAAATTCAGCCTAGTACCTTGTGCGGTGTGTAAATCTAGCCACTGGGGAAACAAAGGCAGTCGGGCATGGTGCTCGCCACCTACCCCCTCGTGTGCAGTGCCGGCCAACATAGGTGCTCACTAACAGCACTTGCCCCAACAGTCTGTAAAGGCTAGATGGGAGATCTTTATTATTGTACATGTGCGCAGCGGTTGTGGCACAGTGGAGAGCACAGGTGGTGAAGTTGCAGGTCACGTGTCCTCAGTGCATTTAGCATGGCACGCATTCACTTTTAATAGAGCATGGTGGCAGTCGTTGCAATTGTGCATTTGCACATATATTTATACCTTTATTCATACTTCATTTTTATTTTTTGTAACTGCAAAGTGCCATTTTTTAATGTAAGCAGAATTATTTATAACCGGATTAATGTGGATTTTCCTGATGTCCCTTAACGTACAATGTTACTACTGCAGCAATTGTTGCAGTAGTTTGAGCCCTTGGGCCAGAGTGGAAACTTATGGCACCAGTGGTGACAGAGCTTTAATGATACCAATCGTTTCTATATACAGGGTACTTAAAAAATAATGTTAACACTTCTGAGAATTTGCAACAATACCACAACAAATGTGCCTCCGGGCTCTGGAGACCACCTGGAGAAGATTCCAGGCGTGTGTTGACAATGATGGCGAACAAGTGGAGACTCTTTGACTTTTTGAAGTTATTAACATACATTTGTTATCATGTTACAGTATATTATCTATTCTTTTTACATAAAAAACGATTGTGCCATTTAAATGTTACAAAAATTATGATGCGCCCTGTATAGAGGGTGGCGACATGGCCTCGTGGTAGCGCCTTCGTCACACTTTGCAGGAAGTTAAATACCCCGTTTAAACTTTGTGATAACCAGAGGTACTTGCCCACTCGCTCAGGTGCTGATTGACCACATCGGTAACCTGGACCGCGCCTACGAGTTCGCGGAGCGCTGCAACGAGCCGGCGGTCTGGTCCCAGCTGGCGCGCGCACAGCTGCAGAAGGGCCTCATCAAGGAGGCCGTGGACTCGTACATCAAGGCCGATGACCCGTCGGCATACATGGACGTCGTGCAGGCGGCCAACCAGAGTGGTCCGTCTGCCAAACCGCACATTGTCGACCCCCTGTGACTCTTATTTATGTTGGGTGCCACAGTGGCAAGAATGTTGACTACCTTGCATGGCTCGGTCCATAAGCCAGGGCCAGATATTTTACTGGTCGGTACCATCGGAGGTGACAACTTTACTGATTCCAATTTCTTTGTGGCCAATAACAGTGAATAAATAATGTGATAACCATTGCAAATGAGTGGGTTATAACATAATTTGAAGTTATTGGCCATATAAATTGTTTGTTGTTGTTGTAATGTTCTGTCCTGCCCCTACTGGACATCTATGAAAACGAGCTTTTTAGCTCATCGTATTCCTCCAGGATAAATACATATTTAGATTCTTATTCATAAATCTGTATGACTGGGATTTTTGTTACCCGTAGATGGTTCCAGTTTTTGCTTTGACTGGCCCATGTAAAAGTGTTTTCCGCTGTCTTTAAAAACACCTTGGAACAATCTGTTAGTCATACTCGTTCCTTTCCCCCTCTCATCTCCCTCTGCTCCCTTCCACTTACACTGTGCGTGCTTGCGCAGATGACTGGGAGGACCTGGTGAAGTACCTGCAGATGGCGCGCAAGAAGGCGCGTGAATCGTACGTGGAGACGGAGCTCATATTCGCGCTCGCCAAGACCAACCGTCTGGCCGAGCTGGAGGAGTTCATCAGCGGGCCCAACAACGCGCACATCCAGCAGGTGCGAGCAACTCTACCAAATACCATTCTTTAATTGCAAGAAGACAGCAACAACAACCACCATTCGCCACTAAGTGGCGGTGACGTCACCACGACGCTTGTGCCAGGCTATGTGCACCTTGAGGCCACGTGAAGTGTCGAACGCCCGCTGACAGGAGTTGACGGGGCAGACCCAGATGCCACAGGTCGACTGACTGAGACGACTGGCTGATGCACCACCTGTGCCCCCTACTGTGCCAGAAGACAGAACCCACAACACAAACAACCCTCCTTGATGCATATGGATCATTCTCTGCTACGAAAACATAAGCTTTAAGTTGACGCTTGTCTTGTAGATAACTCGGCTGCCTGACGCCCTGTGTTGTCTGACACGACTTTGAAGCAGCATTATGGCACTGCAGTGATGTTACTCCGATACAATTGCTTGTGTGTTGACCACGATAAAATGTTTTATTATTGTTAACGAAGCCCCAAGCTTGTATTGGACAGCCCAAGACCCAGCCTATATGCATGTACACAAGGTACATGTTATGTAATTTATTATTTTCTATTGCTACGTGACTTTACCGAAAGAACCAAAGAATAATTCCTGCCGTCACGAAAGCGCCAAATCAAGTTTAAGAGAATTGTTTTTGGATGTGCATATTCCTTTAAATGAAGACCACATGACAGCCCATGGCTCAATAGAAATGGGACCACCTGAGGTGGGAAAACATCAGTGGAACTGATCTCTTTATATGCCGAATTGTAGTGAATTATACTTATTTGAAACGGTCGTTACAAATTAATTGCCTTTTAATTGAAATTGTGGAAGGAATTCTGTAGCGCTACATTGTTCCAACATTAGGTGGAACAAACAAGCAAAATGTCCTTGACTTATATAATACTGCCAATTTGATCATTTAAGCATCCTTCTCCCTGTTCGGAAATGGTGAAGGGAAGGGGGGAATAACAACCTCAAAATAAAAAAACCCCTACAGCCCAGCTGCAACAAATGTGTGCCTCCACTTGAGGAGCGACGGAGATCGAAGGGAACGTTGCATTGCTCACGATGACCGTTAGAGGCGCAGTCGTTACTCCACCGCTGCTACTACAGAGCCCCCTCTGTGTTTGCGACCACGTGGCCGCAGGTGGGAGACCGATGCTACGACGAGAAAATGTACGACGCGGCCAAGCTCCTCTACAACAACGTGTCCAACTTCGGGCGGCTGGCCTCCACGCTGGTGCTGCTCGGGGAGTACCAGGCGGCCGTGGATAGTGCACGCAAGGCCAACTCCACGCGCACTTGGAAGGAGGTAGGGTGGTGGTGCTCTGGCCTGCCTCTGCATTGCCTGCTGCTTGTGCGTTGCGATTGTTGTCGCCTGTCAAGAGATGAGGAGAAGAAAGCGGACCCTGCCCGTCCGATGCCTTCTGTGATGCACCCCCAGCCCGTTTTGAAGCAGACTAAAAATTAAAAGCTTGGCATAGTTTCGAAATAAAAATTCCTTCAGTTTTCCTCAAGATGAAAATGAAAGCTGAGGTTTATTTGGTTATTAAACCTGTTTGTGATTTACATCTGGTTTAAAATAGCTTAAACATTTCTAAGGACAAAAGCAGGTAACCATTTGGCGTAGCGGTGCACGCCTGTAATCCAGAGCTTTAAAGGCAAGGGTTTGATGAATGCATGGATTAGTAAAACCCACTGGACTACACGATGGCCAGGAGATAGCAGGACAGCAAGTGGGTTCTTGAACCCATCTGTGTTTACTTTAGTGTTGTCGCCTCATATGCCCGGTGAAAATTTCCAGGTATTCTAATTTCCTTCCATGCGTAAAACAGTAATTAAATAGGAATAGGTCACCGATCCCATTTCAGATCCCTAATGCAGGTCTTGTGCCTTTGAGCATTTCCTGGATTACGTTATAATGATCATTATTCATGAGAAATAAATTGGTCCAACATTACAACGGTATGAGACCGAATTCCTTTTTCCATTGATAACTTGTCCTTCCACACCTTGCTATGTCTTCCGTGCATTGCCATCGTTCTGACGCACGTGTGTGTGCGCTTGTGTGTGTACGCGCGTGTGCGCGTGCGTCGACACTTGTCCCCCCCAGGTGTGCTTCAGCTGCGTGGACGGGCGCGAGTTCCGCCTCGCGCAGATGTGCGGCCTGCACATCGTAGTACACGCCGACGAGCTGGAGGAGCTGATCAACTACTACCAGGCAAGGATTCCCATCCGCGCACTCGGCGGTGTCAATCTCGGCGTCGGTCACGAGAAAAATCCCCGTCGGCACAGGGAAGGGTCACGGGAAGGCCTTCCCCCGAAACAAACGGATGGGGGCTGGACAGCGTTGCACGTGGAAAATGTGGTGGTCACCCGTAACTTGCACACAAAAGGCTTTGATGGGAGCTATGCCCTCCTGCCCTGTTTGTAACCACGCCTTGACGTGTTATTATTATATCTAGCAGATAAGGGCGGGTACCTGTTTTAATGTCCTCAGAAACTTGTGGAAATTTCACATACCAATGGTGAGCATGAGTTAAACCTTTAGAACAACTACTGCTAACGTCCCACAAACTTGTAGTCATTTTATACGCCCCCTGCCCCCCTATTATTATTTGTATATAATTGCACCTACTACAATTTTTCTCCTCCTACACTCTCAAGTTCATCGTTTGCTTAAGGCCTGCACAAACATTTTCTTTCCGCTTGGACGCCGGACGATTTACATTGTAACCTATAAAAATGTTATGTTCCGTGCACATTCGCGCACACGTACACGCAGGACCGCGGCTACTTCGAGGAGTTGATCTCCTTGCTGGAGGCCGCGCTGGGCCTGGAGCGCGCTCACATGGGCATGTTCACAGAGCTCGCCATCCTCTACTCCAAGTTCAAGCCGCAGAAGATGCGTGAGCATCTCGAGCTATTCTGGTCCCGCGTCAACATCCCCAAGGTTCGTGCGTATGTATGTTTGTGTGTACGTTGAACTTTAGCACCGTTCGTAGCCAGCCGCGCTAATCGGAGGTGCGGGGGAAGTACAATAAACTGAATGCAACAAAAACGGTGCTTGCTCAGCCGACGATTCGGGGGAGAGCGTGCGACGTTTTCCCAACGTGGCATGAAATTGGGCCGCATTTGCAATTTGTACTTTATTCTAACTTGCTTAACTTCTTTCTCTGCTTTGCACTTCCATCTTTTTTTGTAGTGTTGTTGTAACTCGCTGACCCACCCCAACTGGGACATCTGTGAAAAAAGGAGCTTCATAGCTCATCGGATTCCTCCTGGATAAATACATATTCTGATTGACAGTGGTGTAGCGTTTGGAAGTGCACCGAGTTCATAGTTTGAGCCCCGATTTGCCAGAGATTGTCCCAAAAAATATGTCATTTTGTTTTTCACTGAATTCGACTCATTCCAGCGACGGGAATAACTCAAATTGTATTGACATGCGATGAACGCTGCTTACAGGGCTTAAAAAGATGTTCCTCTCTTCTGGATAGTGATACCAATTTTCGATGTAGCCACTGGAATGCACTAACTTACCAGATTGTTCACTTCGCCTTGCTACAGACATCTCCTTGAATCTTGTTTCTCTCTTTTTGGCTGTGTGTTGAATTATTGCGTGCGTGTGCCCGCCCGCGTGTGCCCGCCCACCCGCGTGTGTACGTCTGCGATTTCTCCCCACCGCGTTTGCCCGCCTGCAGGTGCTGCGAGCCGCAGAACAGGCGCACCTGTGGGGCGAGCTGGTGTTCCTGTATGACAAGTACGAGGAGTTTGACAACGCCATCCTCACGATGATGAACCACCCCACCGACGCGTGGAAGGAGAGCCAGTTCAAGGACATCATCACCAAGGTGGGGAAGGGCACCAGCGGACCAGTCCGCCAAATCCACCGCGATCTTTGAGTTGAACCGCACTGCCGAATCTCAACGAACCGGTCGCACTGCAAGCCCCGTCTCGTGTTTAACCACGTCTCCTGGGGTCGCTGAATGCCAGGATGGAAAGATCTAACGACCGGAGCGTTTGGTTTCAAGGCCCGTTTATCAGTTGTTTGAATGAAATGAGCTAGACCTATCATTTGGGTTACTGTTTAAATCACCTTAAACATCTTTTGTGTATAGATTTTTTAAATATGATTTTTGTTCGTAGCAAGTTTTTAGAGCGAACAATTTGCACAAGTCCACAGCTAAAGGTACAAGATATGATAACACCTTGAACATTAACACGAACGTGCTTTAAAAATGCTGACGTTTCCCGTGTCGACGTTGGCCATCTTCCCCACATCACACGGTTCTAACACCGCCGCTCAGTCGACGCGGAGGAACCGATGTTGAGTGGCACTCGCCACCATGGCTTTGCGTGCCGGTACCGTCGCCGTGGCATTGGCGTCTCCGTGTCCTGACTCGTTGGTTTGCACGTCCGGCGGCAGGTGGCCAACGTGGAGCTCTACTACAAAGCGACGCACTTCTACCTGGAGTACAGGCCACTGCTGCTCAACGACCTGCTCTTGGTGCTGTCGCCGCGTCTTGACCACACGCGCTCCGTCGCCTACTTCAGCAAGGTGCGTGGTGCGGCTGCTCGGCCACCTGGGGGTGGTGGGTGTGTTGTGGTGGGCAGCGGCGCTAGTAAATGTCTATGGCTGTACGTGCGAGTCTGTCCTGCAAGTTGATGTGGCATTCGCGTCATTTTAAAAGTGGGAAGAAATGTGTATTTTGGGGGGTTTTAGAGCCTCCATAAGATTTAATTGTTTCAACAAAAAAGTCCCCCGTGTAGACTTTGAATTATCTACAGTGTAGCATAACTTCAGGATCCTGCACCCAGGTTTTGGAGCGTTGTGTATTTACACAACACAAAACGGAAGTCAACGTGAGGGTTCATCTTGCTCGCCCCACGTCGCGTATAGACTGTCGGTTGTCTTGTCTCTCGCTCAACGATGGCTCGCTGCCATCGTCCCGCAGGTGAACCAGTTGCCGCTGGTCAAGCCATACCTGCGCTCGGTGCAAAACCACAACAACAAGGCTGTGAACGAGGCCCTTAACAACCTGCTCATAGAGGAGGAGGACTACCAGGTAAAGCGGCCACATTCACGCACCTGGTCCCATTCACCTGTATCACCCATGTCTCTCTCCGTGCCCCGTGAAAGTGATTTGTAATGTGTAAGTTGAACTATTTGCATTGTACATAGCCACCCGTGCCAGTCGGAGGTACGGGAGTGAAGGACAACAGACTAAACACAAAAAAGCAGTTCTAAAGAAATGTTTTCAATCTAGATTTGTGCACATTTTTCACGAATGTTACATTCAGGCTAATGGCATGAACGCGAGACTTTAAAAACCAAACGGAGAAAATGAGAAGGGAAACCAATCGGACAATAAAAAAATGAAATGAGAGAGAAAAATTCTTAATCGAATCATGACCCCCCCCGCCCCTCCCTGAATCGTGACAATGGAATCAAAGGGGTCGAGGGGTTGGTGAATCGTCTTTACATGCCTAGTAAATTAAAAGTTCACACCCAAATGTGTCTACATTGAGGTTTATGTACTGTACTATCTACCTGGCAACCTGTGTTCGATTCCTGACTGTGTAGAATATCAGTGGCAAATTATAGCTCAACTCGCCTAAAAATTCGTGTTCGTTGTTGTGACACGTAAATATCAGCACTGGCGAGAGACGAAGGTAGTCATGTGTGGTGCTCGCCTAGCCACACCATGATGGACGTTCGCTACCGACGCCTGGCCTCAACACTCCGGTCTCCTCTGTCTCTGCCTCTGCGATGTTGCCGTGCCCGACTTGCCACGCTCAGGGCCTGCGTGCGTCGATCGACGCGTACGACAACTTCGACAACATCAGCCTGGCTCAGCGCCTGGAGAAACACGAACTCATCGAGTTCCGCCGCATCGCCGCCTACCTCTACAAGGGCAACAACCGCTGGAAGCAGAGCGTCGACCTGTGCAAGAAGGACCGCCTCTACAAGGTGCTGCTGCGCGTGCCTTCTGCGATTCCCGCAGGATTGTGGGGTGTTGAGGTTGTGCGCAAGGCTTTCGATGGCCGGTTGCCGCTAGTGCCTGAGAAGAGCACGTACAGCGTTACTTTGGATGTGTGTGTGTGTGGGGAGCACTGGTGTAGCGGTTAGCGCGCTGCACTATGAACCCAGCGACCCGAGTTCCGTGCGCCCGTGCCGCGGCCCATAGGTTCTCGATAACAACACTTGCCCCAATAGCCTGTGTGGTAATATGGGGGATATTTATCTTTGTAGGTGTGTGTGTGGAGGAGTTTTAAAGTGCGTGTGTTTAACACGTAGGCTTTCGCGACCAATATTATTCATAATAAAGGTTTTTGGGTTAGATCGCGTTATTTATAAATGTGTCGGAACCCTCCACCACCCGACACTGCCAAACAGTATAAAATGTCACGTTTACATAAGACAAATAGTTCACTACATTAGCCCACCGGTGTGTTGAGTGAATCAACATCATTTAAAATTTGAGTACGACGTTTCGCTGGTAATTACATCCAGCTTCATCGGGCAGTTAGCCAGAATGCTGAGTCTCTCCTCTTGCTCCCAGTCTTAAATAGAGCAGCAGGGTGATGTCATCATTTAATTCATTCAGGTGCAGTGATTTGAGATGGGGAAGGTTTTTTTTAATTATATAATCGATTGGTAATCATTCCATTGTTATTCATTGGTATTTGTTTCCCTTATAAGGAATTGTAATTGTATTATATATATTTTTTTAATAATACGCTTCCAGGCCGAACTAAGCCTATAGCTGTCAAAGTAGTGAACTATTGTCCTTTGTAAATGTGACACATTTTTTACTGTTTGGCCGTGTCGGGTGATGGTGCGTGTGTTGATTAGAATCTGGGGAGCGGGCACGCAGTGGTTTGTGTGCTGCACTACGATTCCGGCGACCCGAGGGTTGATTCCTGCTCACGGCCAACACCAGTGACGATTATCTCAACTGATCCTGGGTCTTCCCTAGGTCGACTCGGCATCAAATGAGTACCTGGTGCGATGCGTAAACATCTCCACTTGGGAGACAAAGGTGGCCGGGCATGGTGCTGGCCACCCACCCCCTCGTGTGCCGTGCCGGCCTTCGTAGGTGCTCACGAACAGCACTTGCCAACAGTCTGTTAAAGCTATATGGGGGGGGAGTCCTTGTCATTTGTGCGCCCCACCAGAGTACATGCAACGTCACTAGTGGGGAGATAACGACGGGCGTGCCTGTCGGTACAGCTGTAACGATTCAAACAAACACCTCGGCCGCTACCCTTTCCCTGTCCCCGCGTGCGTGCACTCAGGACGCCATGCAGTACGCGGCCGAGTCGAAGGACACGGAGCTGGCGGAGGACCTGCTCGCGTGGTTCCTGGGCGAGGGCAAGCACGAGTGCTTCGCCGGGTGCCTCTTCTCCTGCTACGACCTGCTGCGGCCGGATGTCATCCTGGAACAGGCGTGGAGGCACAATATCATGGACTTCGCCATGCCCTACTTCATCCAGGTCGTGAGGGAGTACCTGTCAAAGGTGAGTGGGCGGGCGGGCAAGCGAGCGCTCGCGCGTGCATGTATTTGTCTGCCCGCATAGTCGCCGGGCAGGCGCCTTAAGCAGATAGCCGCACTTGCCGATGATGGCTCCCCTGAATGGGCGTTGCCTCCGAAGAAAGGGAAATCGTGTGAAGTACTGCTGTCCTGAAATTCGTCAATCGATAGCCGGCATAACCCTCCAGTCTTGCGTTTGTCTCGTCACGTATGGGCCAGCCCAAAGGCCAGTCAACACTCCCAATTGCTCGCCCTGCTGGGCACGTTCACAAACCTTCACGATTTGTTGCCTGCACTGATATATATATTCAGAGCAGCAGTATTTTACACCACAGAGCAACAAGTTCGATTGAATTAGGCCTTTTTCACTTTTAGATTCCTCATGGTCAACCGATTAGACCAATCAGTTGTGAAGTCTTGGAGTCTGAAGCCAACGTTCGGTGTCTCGGCACATTATGCAGCTGTTTTAATGCATTACTTTTCACTATTGCAATCGACAAATTAATGTGTACATTACTTTAGTGCGTTGAATAAAGTCGAAAAAGGGGTGATATAATCCTGATTAATCTTTTCTTGTCTCCACACTGACAAAACCTTTGTTAAAATAACGATCACTTCAGCAACGGATCTAACGAGCATTAACACAGCTTGGAGAGGACGTCGTCAAATGCTGTTTCCTGAAATAATACTGCCGTGGCAACCCCTAATTCTCACTCGCTCTTTTTCGCTTAATGATTTTTTATGATCATTCACGTAAACTTAAACGTACCTTTTCGCTTGGGTTTTGTTTCTCGGCTTAAATCAGTTTTTACTCTCGGATTGCTTACCCCCCCCCCACCTGTACGATGAGAAATCTAGTACACACCACTTGCCTGTCTTCTACTTGTTTTGCTTTGCACCGTGAAGTCGGGCCCTGCGTTCGATCCTTGAGCATTTCCTCTGGCCTCTCCTTGCAGGTGGATGAGATGAAGGCAAAGGTGAACGGTTTATCTCCCTTTGCTCTGTGTTCTGCCCCCGGCACTGTCCACAACACTCTGCCAAGTTGACCCTTCGCGGCATCTGCCACAAGCGTGAATACACCGCGCGCCCCCCCTGTTCCCTCCTATTTTCCAGTGCTGCAAACGGAGAAAAAAAACCTGACAATTGACACGTCGAATGGCAACTTAAGTTTGAGTTTGCATTGCTGAGATCCGAGACACGCGTGGCCTTGTGGCTGCTTCAGTGGAATGGCTTTTCGCAGCACCCACAAGGCATAAGCAGGCACGCAAAAAATATCTTTTACACATTCGCAATAGCAAAAGTCACATTCTGTCCACGAGTGATTTAGCTTGAATTTGAGTATGGGTTAGAGTAGGTGAACGATGCTGCTGATCATTGGTATTCTGGAAGCTTGTATTGCTGTCACCCTTTGGTGGCACTGCCCAAGCAAGGCACATCAGATTGTATAGGACATAACACGGGGTAACAATTGTGGTAGTAATGCAATGGAAGGCTGCAGTGGTAGTGATGTGTGTGATGAAGGTGTCACAGTGCTGGGCAGAGTGTTTGGAAACTTGTGCCGGTGGCTACCGTAGCGCCCCTGCATTTTGCCTGGCTGCTTGCCCTTCCCTTGTAGAGGCGGACTAACCCATTAACTCCCCAGGAAGGAGTGATGTTGATGACGACGACGACAATTAACCCGGGCATTCTTGCCGCTAACTCCTCCTTTGTGTAGTCTCCTCCCCAGATGTAACTTGTTCCGTCTCTACCAGACTGGATCATTGCGCCCCCCTCGCTTTAGATTTTCATACCATTTAGACGTCCAGTAGGTGGATGGCTTCCCATTCAGTCGCAGTTTTTCCAGTAAAAAATGTCCTGAATGGGTTATGCTTAGTGGTGACGGACGTTCTCCCACTGACATTATTAGCCGCACATTTCATCCCAAACAGCAACACTGAATGAGCACATGTGTTGAAAAGATGAACAAAATGCTGTTTCTATTAAGGTCCCTAAATGTTTATTTTATATATATAAACATTGATAATGCTGGTTGTTCAACTGAAACGTCTTACGTTTACAAAGGTGGATTGTGGCCAGTCGGCAATATGCCAGATTTTATCCGTAAAATTTCTAAACAACCGTGAAGCCATCCTTGGATAGTTTGGCGACGGGGTTTTGAGCGCGGTAATCTGAGAGCGGTCTTTGAGCCGCGCCCCGCAGGCATCCTTGGCCACGGGGTGGCGGTGCTGGCATCGCGGCACCACCGGCACCGGTCCGCCTTCCAGTCGTCGGCAATCGCAAGCCAGTCGGGAAAGGCTTTAGCAGAAATCGCGCGGTACTGTCGTGTTCTCTCCCACAGAAGCAGACGGCAAGGAAGCCACTAGTCTGCATCCCTCCCCCCCAGATTCACTAGAATCCCTGTCCATTTTTCACATTTTGGGGAGGAAAAAAAATTTAATCAAATCATACGGGGGGGAGGGCGGCAAAAAAAAAATTGGCGGCCTGAAAGAATCACGATCTTTAAAAGAGAAAAAAAAACCTTCCCAGTTAAATAACTTGTTATTAAAACGTTCATCAAAAAGTGTTAATTTTAAATGGGGATCCTTTTTGTTTTACAGCAGCTCTCCTTGTTCTGACTGGATGGTGTGCGGCCAATAGGGGCGTTACACATTCAGGAAGAGGAGCATGTTTGTGGTCTGGGAGGGCTGAGGTTCATCGCACAGAGAATGGCTGTTGGCTGCAAAAGCTGCGCTTTCCCGTTTTTCTCCACGGAGCCCCCACCAAGGGTGTTCGTCCACGTGACGGGATGTGTGTGTGCGTGCGCGTGCATCCCTGACCGAAAAGGTGGACAAGCTGGACGCGTCAGAGAGCGTGCGCAAGGAGGAGGAGCAGGCCGCTGAGGCTACTCCCATCGTATACGGTGAGCGCCGACCACCTGTGTCAGATGCTCATCCTCCCCACCACGGTGTGCTTCTGCAGTCTAATCATATGCCCTTATCTATCCCCTTCCATCTGCGTGCACTCGCGACCGATGGGCGTGCAACGATGACACTGATTTATTCAGTTCAGATCGACTCGAGCTTGAAGGCACGGAGTTGCGTGTGCAAAGAAAAAAAGTCCGCGCGTCATTGCAAAAGTTAATTGCATTCATGTAACTCCAAAAGAACAAAGGCTTGTCATGATTCGTCAATCAAAATGTATTCGTATGCTGATGATGCGTGCGTTGGGGTCACGTTTCTCACAATCGGTTATATATTAATTTTGTTAAAGTTATTTCAAATTGTATATGAACGTTAGCTGTATGCAAACAATAGTCATGATACATTAGAAACGAAACAAAAATGAACAAATGTATCCTTAAATTGAGCCATTACCCTCTTGTCAATTTATTCAGTGGAGATGAGAGGTTGGCGCAGAATCGTTAAATGCTTCACCCTTTCCCGTTCCAAGACATCTCCGAGTTGTGGGATGGGTCCCATTCACTGCTGAATCTCAGAACGTTCAAGCGCTTCAGCGTTCATTTTATTTAGAGAGGTATATCGCCATTGTTTTTAAAAGAAATTTTTACTCACCGCAGATTACTGTCGCGACACGACCGCGCTCTATGATAGCTGGTGGCAAACTGTGCCACAAGACCTCCCTGTATGGCCTTGTGGGAGCCTCTGTACGTCTTCCGACCTGAAAGCGTACCGATGAAGTACATGTACGCCATCCGTATGGGAAAGGGTTCAAAGGAACCTGATAATCTTCTCCTTGCCAACAACCCCACACGGGGGTTCCCGTTCACCACGCGTTAAGCCCCTCCGGCGTTATAACTCCCGGCCCCCTCTTCCTTTGTCGCCCTGTTCCCCTCCCCACAGGTCAGCAGCAGCTGATGATCACCGCCGGCCCCGCCACGGTGGTGCCGCCCCCTCCGCAGGCCGGATTCGGTTATGCCGCGTACCCGCCCGGCGCCCCTGGCGCCTACGGCCAACCGCCGTACGGATACGGCATGTGAAGAGGCCCTCCCATCCAGTCCTGCCCCGTCCTATCCCGTCTTGCCCTGCCCAGCCCTGCCCAGCTCGGCCCGGCCCAGCCGTCGACCCAGGGGCCCCCCTCCCCCCCACCGCCCGCGAGTCTCCTACGACACTACACGAGAGAATTCCCGCAAAGCGGCAACGGTGGCGGCGTTCGTTCTTGCCCTCGCGACTTCCCCCTCCTCCCGCCCCCCGAGTGTCTCCGTAGCTCCTCCTGTCCACCGGTGGCGACAGCACGGGGGACCACGACCAACCGCCCCACCCCCACGACCCTCTGCTGGAGCGCGAAATAAACGTGGCCGCGTCGGAGGGGTTCCGCGTTTTTCGTTTGTTTTATTCGTTAAGTGTGACGACGGCGGCGGCGGCGGCTCGGGGATATGTGTGCCACACTCCATTATAAGCTTTCTTTAGTGGGTGGTGTTTTGGGGGAGGGGCAGGTATCGGGGGAGGGGGGGGGTGGAGAAACGTGCGTCTCGTGTGAGGGCAAATCGGCTGGAGGTTGTGATTCGTGCTTGTTTGGGTTGGGTGGGGGGCAGGGGGGGCGAGGACTACTGCGGCAGATCGGCCGGTGGGCGACGCGTTACTGCTCCACCAGCGCCGCGTGTTTTGTGAAATTTACATTTTCACGTCGCAGACGCGTGGGATGCTTGCTCGACCACGATCTTTCCTACTGTTTTGAGAATGTAATGTTGTAATCTCCATTTCCTTTTTTTTCCAGTTTCTCAAACCCCCTCCCCCCACCCTAAACCGAAGCAAAGTGTGTGATTGTGTTGATTTTATTTGTTGGCATACATGGTTTTTTTTGTTTGCTTTATTTTTATTGATATTATTATTAGTGGCCTGCTGTGGAAAAATCTGCATTTCAGGCATGCGGAGGGCTTTCACTAAAGTATAACGAGCTGTAATGGGACTCCCCCAACGGCCCTCGTGCTGGCTCCTTCGGCAGACATATCGCCGGCTTGACGGCTCGTCTCCCCTCCCCCTCCGGTGGTGACAAACCGCGAGCAGTCATACAGACGTGGCACCGCCGTCCGGGCGTTCACACGCAGGATGAAGAGTGACAACGAAATGCCAAGGGGGGGGTAGGGGATGGGGTTCTGTTGTGAGCGCGCGTCGTCAGCCACGGTTGGCGTTGTCGCGAACCTCGTTGCGTGCTGCCGCTGTGCACCTTGGCTCATTCTCTGACCACCCGTTTTTGTTTTGTTTAAGTCGGCTGCTTGCGCCAGTAAAAGAAGAGGGCTCCCGGCCGTGCCACACGGTCCTACTGGTTCACAAAACAACGGTACGGCGGGCGGGCGAGCGAGTGTGGAGGGGTGGCAGGCCCCCATTGCGAGCGCGAACTCCCAACTTGATCAATTTGACTTTCTGGCCACGGTGCGCCGCTACCGCCGTCTCGCTCGGTTCACTGCCCACCTCCCCCAATGCTATTTTATATTTTCTGACTCCATACTCGAATGTGTAAGCTGCAGCAGAGCAACGTGTTTGATCCAGCATCATCTGCGATCGTGTCCGGTTTCTGGTGCGTCTGTTAACGGCGCGCTTCTACGAGTTCCGTCGCTCGATTTTGCTTACGGGAAGAATTTTGCCACCGCAAGTGTCGTTGATTTAAGCCTGGAGTGCGGCACAAGCCATGTCCCATTACCAAAAAAAAAATATCTAAATACAAATTTACAGCAGAAAAATGAATAAAATTAGCAAATTATATATGTACCTAGTACTCTCGCTGTAAGATTTGAGGATTGTTCACAAAATACGGTATAGCTAGTGTAACTGTCTTTGCGTGTTTAATTTGTGCGGACTAGATAATTAATAATACTCTCTCGTCGCTGGTGATTTTTTTTATTTCTCTTTTCCTCTCCGTTGCGTGTTTAGTCTATCGCTGTAATCGCCGCCCCCCCCCCCCCCCCCCCGATTTATTGCGTGTAGCTGCCGAGGAATTTTGGGGTGTGTTTGTGGGGCCTGGCGATAAATCAGTATTGCCATGTCCCGTCCCCCCCCCTTGGGCTCTGATCTGGGACCAGGTGTGTGGTGCGTGCGTGGGGTGGTGGGTGGGGGGGAGGGCCCCCCCCGGGTCATGTGTCGGAGCGCTAAGCGGTGTAGGGCCGCGTGGTTGACGGTCAGCCATGGTAAACGTGGAGTCGGCTTTGAGTTCCTTCAGGTGCCCTCTTGTTTTGTTATCCAAAACACTGAAGCTAATTCATTCCCCCCCCCCCAGCCCTCATTTGCCACATTTCTTATTACGATTCCCACCTTGATCATAAACCTAACCACAAACCTAGCCAATGCTAGAATTGTTGTTCGGCCAAAGAACGTATTGTAGTGAACACCACGCAATACCATATTGTGGTTTATTCCACGAACTCGAACCCACTCTCAGCCTTAACCCCCCCCCCCCCAGCCTTATTTACAGTTGCAGCCCAATTCCACATGCCTAGCCTTGAGAACATTACCACCACTCTGGCCCTGTAGCCAGAATGGTCCTAACCATATCCTAGTTTTAAAATCACTCATCGTCCCGCCCCCCAAGGCCCGACATGATTTCATGTATGTAAATTTTTACAACGAGCAGGTGGAAGTTTCAGTTTTACTGGACGTTTACCATGACGGCGGATGACGAGCGATGGTAAATTCACCACCACGCGTCGCTGTGGTAGAAAGCGTTCAGCTATGCGGCACGCACACAATTGCTGAACTCCAACCCCCCCCCCCTGCCCCCGCTGCTCCCTCCAGCCGTCGGCTCCGTTCCCCGCGTGCTGTACATTGAGTCAGTCGTGGCACCAGTGCTGTTTGCTTCTTCACGTGAAAAGAAACGCATATTGGAAGTAAAAAAAAAATAAAGCAAAAAATTATAAAGGACAAAAAAACCCCCAAAACGGCGCCTCCCACCCACCCACCCCTTGTCGCTTGCCCCCGCGTATCTGTGACGCTTTGGTCTCAGTTGGCCACGGCAGTATAAGGGGTCAAAATTCCCTCCCCCTCTCATCCTAAACACCGCCGGAATTTTTGCAACACTTTGAAAGCATGTTTCGAGGGAGCTCAGCCCTCGTGTCAGCCGAGTCTGTTCGGCTCGGGGGGGGGGGGGGGGGGGACAGTTCCACGCTCGACAAACCCCAAAATCCAGTTCGGCCCCTCGCTGTCCGCGTTGGCTACTTTGCGGTCCTCTGTCCAGGTCGGCTGCAGTCGATGCAGCAAACATTCGGCGACAATCTTAAGCCCCGCGTATGAACTGCACGTGCAGTCTTAGGCCTCGCATTGCCAGGGCACGGAAGGACTGCACATTTTAGACGTTTGTTGGCCAATTCCGATTTAAACGGCAAGTGGGAGGAAACTGGAGGATCTGGAGGAAAAACTTGCCCTCATGAGCGGATAACATTTACAGGTCCACACGTGGGTTCATTAAACCACTTGCTGCTGTACTGAAATCTGCTGGTTGGCCCGCAGCCACCAGTTTCATATCTGGGTAATTCCTCGGCCCTTTGATCTCTGAATTGCCGGGTCACGAGGCGTCTGCTCACCGCACCTGAGAACGTTTTGTCAGGACCGGTCGCCATTCCACGTGTCCAGGCTCTAGTCCTTTTTGTGGCGTCCACCCAATATGACGCCACAAAAGTCCATAAACTTCAGCGATCGTCACCGGCCATCCTGGCCCCCACTATTTTACGATCGGAAAGATGGGAGGGGGGGGGGAAGTGTCAGTTTGGACAAATGTCAATGTAACACTTAGTAGGCTTTCGCGACCAGTATCAATACTACAGGTTTGTTTGGGTTATGTCGCGTAAATGTCGTTAAACCCGCCACCACCCGACACATCCAATTAGTAAGGTTTGTCGCGTGAACAAAACGTGCCAATTCGTTACTAGTGTAGTGGGTTCAACCGAGTCGACTTTGGAGACAGCGCATTTATTTAGTTCCAACACGGGGTAACGTCCCCTTAACAGAAAAACAACCTCGGGTGGTTACCACCCGGCAAACTACACTATTTACCACACTAGTTACCACACTAGTTACCACGTAATTGTTAGTACGGACCCGGGACCAACAGCATCTGCCCGGGTCCACGTGCTGTAAGACTCGTAGAACGGAGATCGTAGAGAAGGGTTCTTTGCCCAGGATGAACAACCCCGGTCCCTCTCGGGACTCTGCTTATATTCTCGGCGGCGTGGCTTGCTCCGCCCTTCGCCACGTCCACCTTCCAGAACCATCGGGAAGGACCTGGGTCCCAATCACGTGACCCCCCTAGCCCCCTCTTGAGGGTCCCTCTGTCATCTTAACCGGTCACGTCCTCCCGGATCAACCAGAGTGCCATGGCCTCACACGACCTTCCCTTTTGGTCGGCACCCACACACCGTGTCATGTAGGGCCGGCACTGCACGTACAGCGTGGTGCCATCTAGCGATATTACTCAACGCACTCCGTGCCCCTCTAGGGCCGGTACTGCACCCACAACATGGTGGCATCCAGCGATGTCACTTTATTAGTACGGCACACCGGTGTGTTAAAGTTTCATGTATTAGGTATAACCCTGTGAGCCATGCGGCTCTTGAGTCGGGTGCAACCGCAACAAACAAAATATGAACAGAGAACATCTTAAAGCGACGACGCGCAACAGAAACATCCTGGATAAACCAGTAAATCTTCCAGAAAAAAACACCGCATTACAACGCTGTGTGCAAAAATCCCAGTGTGATGCAACAATAACAACCATAAGACATTCTTCTTTGGTTCTTTCGGTACAGTCACGTAGAAATAGAAAATAAGAAATTACATAATATTCGACGTTTCGATTGCAACGCAAGCAATCATCAGGTAAAAATGAAAGATAAACAAACCTACTAAACTTAGAAATATGCAATACAGCGCAGATAGTCGGCTAACATAACAGTCAACACCCTACCTGGTTGATTACGTTCTTCTAAAGATTGCTAGATTTAAGAGAGAGATATGACAGAACCGGAGACATAAGCAGAAAGAGTGAACACAGAGAGAGACACACGCATGGGCACACAGAGAAACAACGCCTCTGTGTCGAGGCCTTAAATAGGTAGAGAGGGGGGACAGAGAGACAGGGGGGGGGGGGTTAGAGGAATTAGCATGTCAATGAGAGATCCGGTGCCACCGCTGGAGGAGAGCAACAACCGAGCGGAGACAGAGAGAGAAGGCAACACTAAATCAAACAAACTTGGTAAAATTTGGAAATGTAATGTAATGCAACACAGAGAGTCGGTCAACACACAATTAACACATGGCCTGGTTGATTACGCTATTCCAAAGATTGCTCAATTAGAAGTTAAGTGTGAAAATTGAGAGAGAGACAGGACAGACACAAGCAGAGAGACAACAACGAGACGGAGAGAAAACCTCCCCGTAGAGGTGGTTCAAACTTCATCAAGTTTGAACCATAAGACAATTTAGATTAAAGTTATCAGGCCAACTCCGCACTTCTGCAAGAAACATGGCTTAACCATGTTTTCGAAATCACCAAAATAAAGCTGTAAAAACAATGTAACAACAGTAATCATAGGAACTGTGATTCAAATGTTACAATAAAAGATATACAGTACATAACATGTACGACCAAACGTGTTGGAGAGCAAAGCGACAACATTTACAAGTACTAGGATTGTAAATGTTGTGGCTTTGTTCTTCACACCGGTCTACTATACTGATAACGAATTGGCATGTTCTGTTTACGTGACAAGCCATACTAATTGGCTGTGGCGGGTTTGACGACACATGCGATCTAATCCTAAAAAACACCTGTATTTTGGACAAATGTGATCTCTGCACCCCCCCCCCCCCGGAATGTGCATTTGCAACTTTACAGTCCTCGCAGGCAAAGGTCGCACGCATGCAAAATCGAGATTGTGTTGTGCTTTGAGCGGCTGGACAGATCTCTGGGTCACTATGCCCAGCGTGTGCCAAACCCCCCTTTCTCACCCGGGGCGTTCCCCAGCACGGGTCCGTAGAGACGGACACCGCTAATGTTTTACTTTTAAATCGAATTTCAATTGGCACGGAAATAAATAACTAAACGTGTGCAGAAGCAGGAGCGGCCCCTGCCCCCCCGTCCCCCCCGGCAGCAGAGCCAGACACGAGTACGGCCCTCTTCGTGCTCCTGCACATTTATAAATTTAAAACTCCACGGCGAACCGGTGGCCACGTGACCGCCCCAAGTGACCCGGCTGAAGGCCGTGCGACCGACGACGCCATACCGAATATAATCACCCGGGAATGTCTGTCCTTAACGCTTGTGACGTCACTCCACGTCGACAAGCCCCCCCTCATTAATATTCATGGCCTGGTGACGTCCTCCATATGGGCACCCCCCCCCCGCCCGCCCCTCAATAATGAGCGGGTGACGTCGCTCAATATGGAGTACCCCCCCCCCCATCCCGCTCACTAATAATCATGAACAAGTGTCACTCCACATGGAACAGCCCCCCTCATTGATGATCATGAGCAGGTGACGTCCTCAAAATGGACACCCCCCCCCTCCATTATTATTAGCTACTATAATGAGCCAAGAATGTCTGTGTGCAACGCTCGTGACGTCACTCCACGTCGACCAGTCCCTCATTAATCATGAACAGGTTACGTTTTCTTTTTCGATTTAAAGCTTTCGTGACTGCAATGATTCATCTTCTTTGGTTCTTTCAGTAAAGTCACGTAGAATGAGAATAAAATAATAAATTGATAAAATAACACAATAATATTCTCACGACGTTTCGGCCACAACACAAGCGGCCTTCATCAGGTGAAGGGACGAGACTGGCTGGTAGGACAGCGCTGGAGTGAAAGAGCCACGTTGAAAGAGAGGTCGTGATCTGAACGTGGCTCTTTCACTCCAGCGCTGTCCTACCAGACAGTCTCGTCCCTTCACCTGATGAAGGCCGCTTGTGTTGTGGCCGAAACGTCGTGAGAATATTGTTATTTTATTTTATCAATTTATTATTTTATTCTCATTTTACGTGACTTTACCGAAAGAACCAAAGAAGAGGTTACGTCCTCCACATGGACCCCTCCACATTAATAATCATGAGCAGGTGACGTCACTCCACATGGAGCACCCTCCCCCCTAATTAATAATCATGAGCAGGTGACGTCACTCCACATCAAACAGCCCCCCTCATTAATAATCATTGTAAGGTGACGTCCTCCAAATGGACATTCCCCCTCCCCCCCATTCATAATTAGCGGGTGACGTCACTCCACATGGCGGGGGGGCGAGGCGCCTCCTCCCCCCTCTACGGCGTCAACTCACAACCCTCACTACAAAGGCAGAACCCTCACGTCATCACGTGATCTCCGTAACGCTGTTGAGACATCAAAGTAAAAAGGACGTCATGATGTAGGAATAGATTTTACCCTTTTAACTGGCACAAAACCTGACACCTTTATTCAAGGCATCATGTTTGCAATAACCACAACACAAGCAGTCAAAATGCAAACAAAAAAGACAACTCTGATAATAATATGCACTGTCCTTGAATTTGATTGGTCCACACCCGAGACAGCTTTTCTTAGAGCCTAGTCTCCATTGGTGTTGGACCAGAAGACGCCAAAAGGCGTACAACTCAAAAACAGCGCACTATCAGAGTATTGAGGGCTCGGGGTGAGCATTTACATTATGAGACCTCCTTTGCCAGAAACAAGATATAGGAATAGATTTTACCCTTTTAACTGGCACAAAAACTGACACCTTTATTCAAGGCATCATGTCTATTCCTATATCTTGTTTCTGGCAAAGGAGGTCTCATAATGACGTCATGATGAACAAGGGATTATAACCTTCAAATGAAATAGGTCTGTGTCACCGCGGCCTTACAAATTGCACACGCATTGATGCAATGAATATATCACGTCGCGGTCTGTGATTTTCGCTTGCAAGTTTCAGATTTACTGCAATACACCCGTCCTTGGACTGGCAAAAGGCGAGTGTGTTAATATTTGGGGACGCAGCTCTTTCGGTCAGAAAGTTTAGCCGGGGACACTGGCCGTAATCGATCTCGGTAAAAGTGTGTTTTGGTTTTTTGCGGGCGGCAGCTGACGGCAACACGTGAATTTGTGGCATTAATGCCGGTTGCAGCTTTTGCAACGGCCCGAGACGAAGTTTTCGTAAGGGCCACGTGGGGTCAGCCCACGCAAATGTGAAGTAAAAAAACATTTGCAGAGAAAAAGTAACTCTGAAGTCCCCGTCAAGCTAATTTCCTCTGCACTAACGAGCGTAGGGTGGCTCTCACGGTTCACATCCCCAACTCAACGGCGTCAACTCCACATTCTTGTGGCAGGAGGAAATTAGTCCACAGTACAGCGAATGACCCGCGAGCCACTGAACGCGGGACGCGGTCATGACGCCCGCGCCTGTGGATTCCACCTCGACCACTACTACCACCACAAAAACCACCACTACCATCGCCACAATCACCACAACCACAACCGCCACCAACAACAATACGACGCAATTCGCCACCAAGTGGCGCTTGTGCCGGGCTCGATGCACATTGACGTCACGTGGAGCGTGGACGGCTCTCGGTCGCGGAGGTCACGGCACGGTTAACCCATAGCACATGGCTGTGCTGGGCTCGCGTGACGGGCTACTGCTGGGGCAACCACTGCCACCCTCGCCACTTCAAAGATCCCCAACCCTTATAGTATTGTTAGTGAGCACCTATTAAAGCCGATACGGCACACGAAGGGGTGAATGGCCAGCACCGCTCACGGCCGCCTTTGCCTCTCCATTGCGGACGTTTTAGACGGCGCGCGAGACACTCGTTTGAGGCTGAGTCGACTTGAAGGAGGTTCGTGTCCCGGTTTCAGGGTCATCGTCACCACCCACGTTGGTTTGACGTGAGCTCGAATCGAACTCGGTGGTTGCCGGGTTCGTAGCGCTGCACTACCGCGCGCCCCCCCCCCCACTTCCAACAACCACTACCAACAACCCCCTTCACCACAACCCGACCCCCATACTGCTGCTGGAATGGAGGCGGGGTCCAGGGAGGGTGGTGGTGGTGGGGGGGAGGCTGATCCGGCCACGCAAGCAAAGTCTCGACGGCTTCACCGGGCCGGAGAGGGAAGCGCGCAAGACCCCACGACCCGAAGGAGCACGCCACATGTCTCGGGAGGCGAGCGTCGGTGTTGGAAGGAGTTTGGAGGCGACGGGGGCCGTGCAGGGAGCGAGGGCTGTCGCGGTCATGGGGGAGGAGGGTGCCCGGCACCGGGACCCCTTCGCGAGGCCGCGGTGTCTGGCGGCGGCGGCTCCCGCTGGGAAAGCGAAGCTCACGCACCCGGGGAAAGCGATTCTTGCAGGTGTGTGTGTGTGTCTCGACAGGTGTGTGTCTGCAGGTGTGTGTGTCTGGATAGGTGCGTGTGTCTCTGATAGGTGTGTGTCTCTGCAGGTGTGTGAGTGTCTCTGCAGATGTGTGAGTGCAGGTGTGTGTGTCTGCAGGTGTGTGTGTCTGGACAGGTGCGTGTGTCTCTGATAGGTGTGTGTCTCTGCAGGTGTGTGAGTGTCTCTGCAGGTGTGTGTCTGCAGATGTGTGAGTGTCTGCAGGTGTGTGTGTCTGCAGGTGTGTGTGTCTGGACAGGTGCGTGTGTCTCTAACAGGTGTGTGTGTCTACAGATGTGTGTGTCTACAGGTGTGTGAGTGTCTGCAGGTGTGTGTGTATGCAGGTGTGTATCTCTACAGGCGCGTGTGTGAGTGCAGGTGTGTGTATCTGAAGGTGAGTGGGTGTCGCTGCAGGTGCGTATGTAGGGGAGCGGTAGTGTAGTGGTTAGCGCGCTGCGCTATGAGCCCGGCGACCCGGGTTCGATTCCTGCTCACGGTCAACACCGGTGACGATTATCTGAACCGGTCCTGGGCCTCCCATAGGTCGACTCAGCCTCAAATGAGTATCTGGTGCGGTGTGTAAGCATCGCCACTGGGGAGACAAAGGCGGTCGGGCGTGGTGCTGTCCACCCACCCCCTCGTGGACCGTTCCGGCCTTCACAGGTGCTCGCTAACAGCACTTGCCCCTACAGTATGTTAAGGCTCTACGGGGGATCTTTGCCTTTTTCTGTGTCTCTACAGGCGCGCGTGTGTGTGTGCAGGTGTGTATCAAGGTGCGTGAATGTCTGCAGGTGTGTGTGTATCTGAAGGTGAGTGTGGGTGTGTAGGTGTGTATGTGTGTCTCTACAGGTGTGTGTGTGTGTGTGTGTATCAAGGTGCGTGTGTGTCTGCAGGTGTGTGTGTATCTGAAGGTGAGTGTGGGTGTGTGTGTGGGTGTGTGTGTGTCTCTACAGGTGAGTGGGTGTCGCTGCAGGTGCGTGTGTGTTCGTGCGCGCGCGAGTGAGAGTCTTGAGGTGTGTGTGTCTACGTGTGTGTTTCTGTCTATACGTATGTCTCTGTGTGTGCCTGTCTGTCTCCATGTGTGTCTTTGCGCCCACGTGTCTGTGTCTATCTTTGTGTGTGTCCAAGTATCTGTGTCCAATGTATGTTCGTGCTTGTGTACTGAGTCTGAATGTGTCTTTGTATTACATGTGTGCGTGTCTGTGTCTATAAGTCGAGTGCATGTGCCAGCCATCTCCGGCATTTAACCCTTACCACCTGGGCCTGCCCCGTGACGTAGCCTGGCACAAGCGCCGCAGTGACGGGACTGCCACACTTAGTGGTTGCTGTTGTGCTGTTTGTGAGGAGCGGTGGCGCAATGGTTAGCGCACTGCGCTACAAACCCGGCGACGCGAGTACTTGGTGCGATGTGTAAGCATCGCCACAAGGGAGACAAAGACGGCCGTGCGTGGTGTTGGGTACGCCCCCCCCTCCCATCGTGTGCTTTTCCGGACTTCATAGCTCGTTAAGAGCACTTGCCTGTTAAGTCTATACGGGGGGTCTTTGTCGTCGGCACAGCAGGTAAACTGCTCGCGCTCAGAGTGAAAGTGTCAGAACAGGTGACGTGACGCACAGGGCCACGTCACGTGGGACGCTCACCTGTGCCGGTATTTGCATTGATGGGCGTGGAGGGGCGGGGGGGGAGGATGGAGAATCTCAGTCGAGGTCGCGTGAGCGTCGCCCGATCGCGGTCAAAGGTCATCAGCGAGAACAAAAACCACGAACCACATGGGGTGTGCGCGCGAGACGCGACAGCCTCCAGACCGCCACGCACTCGAAAACACCCCAACACGACAACACGCAGAAGCGGTGACGTCACCACAGCGCTTGTGCCAGGCTAGGTGTGCGCTTTTTAGTGGCAAGTGTCGAAGGTGACGGGGAAAGACACATACACACTCATGCACACACACACCGACACACCGCTACACACACACACAACAACAAGATATAGACAAAGACCGCCCCCCCCCCCCCACCGTATAGCCTTAAGAGATTGCTGGGGCAAGTGCTGTTGGCCGGGGGGGGGGGTTGGTGGGCAGCACCCGCGTCACTCCACACACACAGCACCCCCTGCAGAATCAGAACCACCTCGCCACAACATTCCGAATCACACAGCCGCTGATGATCAACGACGCAGAATCGTCGGCACCCACCTAATGGCAGCCGCGAAACCACGGCCACAATCCGCCGAAGCACGGAATGTGACCCGCAGAACCTGTCCCAACGGCAGGGGTTAGGCACCGAGTCTGACGCAGCGAATTGAACTCCCAAATCCGCAACCCTTTCCCCACCGCTCCCTGTCCCTCCGCGTGGCGGGAGAATTCGCCCGGGGCTGAACGAGCTGAGCTGGCGACACGCGGAGGCGAGGGAGGCAGGGGGAAGGAGGGGGAGGGAACGAGTGAGTTAGGGAGATGTGGAGGCCGCGGGGAGGGAGGACAGGAGGAGGAGGGTGGTGAAGGAGTGGAGTAGAAGATGGGGACATGTGAAGGGGGGGGGGAGAAAATGAGCGAGGGAAGATGGAGAGATGCAGGGAGAGATAGGGAAGACGGGAAGGTGATCGGGATAGATGGGAGACAAGGGAGGGAGTGAGAGAGAGGGCCGAGGGAGGGGAGGGGGGAGGTGAAGGGGTCATCCCAGGGCAGCTGCCACACGAAGCCGGAGCTCCCCGGTCTCCGGAGCTGGTGGCCACGAGCGCGATCCGGGACCCCGGCTCCGGTCTCCTCCTCACTCCGGGGTCCCACCGAACCTGAACTCCCTGCTGGCAGGCCTGAGCTGCTGCGCCACGCCGAGTGAACGAGTTGTGTGCCCGGGCCTACCCACGCAACGGTGGATGATTGACGGCCCGGAAGTTGGTTTATTAATCGCATTTGTAAGGGGTCGTCCATAAATGACGTCACGCGATTTTGGACGATTTTTGACCCCCCCCCGTCACACGGCGTCACAAAAAGTCAGACCCCCCCTCAAATATGACGTCACAAAGCTCTGCCCCCCCCCCCCAAAAATGGTTCAAATCGCTTTAAGCTATTGTCATTGTAGTGCGTATTTAATATGGCGCTGCACTCTGATGTTGTAGGAGTGATGTTATAATAATTCTATATTCATTTAAAATTGTGCATATTGATGTGACGTCACATTTCTCAAACCCCCCACCCCTCGTCACACATCGTCACAAATGTCTGACTCCCCCCCCCCCCCCCAGGTGCGTGACGTAATTTATGGACGGCCCCTAAACATTCAATGCACATGCGTGTAAGCCTACAGTTATACTTTGTGCGCGGGTGTGTGAACGCTCACGGCCAACACCGATCCTGGGCGCCCCCTAGGTCGACTCAGCCTCAAATGAGTACCTGCAGCGGTGTGTAAACATCGCCACTCGGGAGACAAAGGCGGCCGGGCGTGGTGCTTGCCGCCCACACCCTCGTGTGCCGTGCCGGCCTTCATAGGCGCGCGCTAACAGCACTTGCCTCATCAGTTTGTTAAGGCTACACGGGGGATCTTTGTCTTTTACATATGTCGGGAGAGGTGGCGCAGTGGTTAATGCACTGCGTTACCAAACCTGCTACCTGAGTTGGATTCTCAGTCACGGCTAGGTTCAGTGGCGAGTGGCCCCGGATCAGCCTAACACGAGTGCGTGGTGTAATGCATAGCCACTGGGGAGACAAAGGCGGCCGGGCGTCGTTCTGGCACTTCCCCCCCCCCCGCCCCTCCCACTTCCTACCCACCCCGCCCCCCCCCAACAGTTCGAGGCTGTGCGGGGAATATTTGAGGTGCGCTCCAAGTGCAGATGAGAATGTCTGCTGCGCTGACTTCAGTTGTAGTTCTACGGTGTCATCTTCCGGGGAAGCTGCCCGACACGACGCGTTGCGCTGCTCGCTCGCTGGGCGCGAGGGCCCCACGTGGCGAATTTCTCCGTCTCGCGAGCAACTCGACGCCAAACGGGAAACTTGGGATTCGCACGTTGGAAAGTAGAGAGAGAGGAAAAAAATAAAAAACAAAAAAATCCATAATTTCGTTCGTATTGGAGGGTCACCGTCACTCCCTTTTTACAGACAATTATTTTGGTGGCGTGTTCACTTTGCCTTGCTGCATTGCTACATACTATGTCTACGGGACCTTTTTGCCAGTATCAATGTATCTTTTTTTTGTTTATTTATTTTGGTATAGCCCTGTGAGCCATTCGGCTCTTGAATCGGGTGCAACCACAACAAACAAACAAACACGAACAAGACAACATCTTAAAGTGACGATGTGACTGTGCAAACAGAAAATCCATGAAAAAAAACCAGCTAAATATTCCTGAAAAAAGCACCGTACACCAACGCTGTGTGCAAAAAATCCCAGTGGGATGCAAGTCAAACAACAACAACAACCACAAGAAAACTTAGATTAAGGCCATCAGTCTGTCTGGTCCCACACCGGCGAGACAAGGCCACGAAGAAGGCTGGCTCTGGTGTAGGCCAATCAGTTTCAAAGACAATGGCTACATTATTGTCATCAGAGCGTGTTTGTTCGCAGACTTGATTCCTTGAAAAAGCTGTCTATTTGGTGTCTGAACATCTTAGGGGCCGTCCATAAATGACGTCACGCACCTGGGTGGGGGGTCAGACATTTGTGACGATGTGTGACGAGGGGGGGGGGGGGTTGAGAAATGTGACGTCACATCAAAATGCGCAACTTTAAATGAATCTAGAATTGTTATAACAACACTCCTACAACATCAGAGTGCAGCGCCATATTAAATACGCACTACAATGACAATAGTTTAAAGCGATTTGAAGCATTTTTCTATTTGGGGGGGGGGGGGGCAGAACTTTGTGACGTCATATTTGAAGGGGGGGGTCTGACTTTTCAGTGACGCCGGGTGACGAGGGGGGGGGGGTTAAAAAATCGTCCAAAATCGAATGACGTCATTTATGGACGGCCCCTTATAACGCCTCCTGTTTTATTACCAGAAAGGATAAAATCTTCTCTTAGTTTTCATGCCATACTATGGTTCATGGATGGATTGAAGTCACGTGGCTGACAAGGGTGATGGGGATTAATCGGGGTCACGTTGTCCCCCCCTCCACCCCTGCCCCGCCACTCCGCTGGCATCACAGGTGGCCTCGCGGGAGGTATAGAGATCTGCATCACGTTCCCCACGGAGTACGTGAAGACGCAGCTCCAGCTGGACGAGAAGGCGAACCCCCCGCGGTACCGGGGCATCGGTGCGGCCCCACACGCCTTCGCTTAGCGCGCACACTCTTAGCACCGATCGTGTACACCTTGCTCTCAACATCACACTGAACGTGCACCGATAACCCTGGACGCACTCGGCGAGCGTGATGCTGCTGACGCTTAACGCACGCTTGACCCTGAACGCACGCACGTGCGAGCGATTAAGCACCGAGCGCGCGTTTTGCACGCGGTCCATTTGCGCTTGGCGAAACTTCACGCGCGCGCGCGAGCACTCACCGCAAGCGCTGCGCCTTGGCACTTAACGCACGCGTCCATTAAAGACAACACAAATAAAAACGCGCACAAATCACAAGCAACACCGTGACGCACGCGTGCGCTCCCCTCAACACGAGGAGTGTGCGCCGTTTAGTGCACGTGTGTGCCCTTTACGCTGAACACACACGTGCACGTGTCGCACACAGGTGCGGCTACAGGTGAACTCACTTTTACAAGCGCATGAACATACTCCCCCCACCCCGACCCCTCCATTCCCCCCCCCCCCCACCTCATACATGCTATCCCGCAGGCGACTGCGTGGGTCAGACGGTTCGGGGTCATGGAGTCAGAGGTCTTTACCGGGGGCTCAGCTCCCTCCTCTACGGCTCCATCCCCAAGGCGGCGGTCAGGTGAGTTATTCATTGTTTTTTTCGGTAAAGCCACGTATGTAGAAATACAATAAAATTATATTAAAACAAAAAACAATCACGACGTTTCGATCACAACGCAAGCGATCTTCATCAGGTGTCAAGAACAAATCACGGAGGTAAATACAACAAAACGATGAGAGACGAGAATTCAACAAACCTGAAAAAACATTATGTGAAGCACATCCCGTCAGGCCAACAACACAGTTAGACACTTCCTGGCGGACCACGAATTTCGGAAGTGTTAAATTTCGTGTTCAACGGGTGACCCCCTCTCGCACATCCCCGCGACCCCGAGACCCCCTAAGATCAGGCGCTGGGAAACATTTCCCGAAGGGCCGATCCGCACATTGACGCACACCTGCAGTCTCTGCAAGAAGCCCTGCGGGGGAGGCCTTCATCTAGCAGTGGATAGACCACGGCTAATCGATAATGATGATGGTAATGATAATGAATCAATATGTTTTATGATGAGATGATGAATCAATATCAGAAGATGGTGATGGTAACGATGAGTTGATATGCATGATGAATCATCATTTGATAACGATGAATCCATATTCAATCACGGACAGATCACGGCCGACGACGATGATGATGATGATGATTAAAAGTTTGTGTTAATCGATCGTCGATACGGGAGGATCACGATGATGACCTCCATGACTGCCACCCTCTCTCCGAACCCTTTCCCTGCATCCCCCCCTCTCCGCCCCCCCCCCCCCCCCGCTCCTCCACCACCGCCCCCCAGGTTCGGGATGTTCGAGTTCCTGAGCAACCACATGCGGGATGAGAACGGGACCCTGAACAGCACGCGGAGCCTCCTGTGCGGACTCGGGGCCGGCGTGGCCGAGGCCGTGGTGGTCGTGTGCCCCATGGAGACCGTCAAGGTGAGGGCAGGCTCAGCGGCGGCGACGTCACTAAGGCGCTCGGTGCCAGGCTGGGTGCACCTTGAGACGCGCGTGTAAACCATGGCCAGGGCCTCGCTGCTCTCGCATAGCCAGACGGTGAAACGTGCCGGATGGGGCGACGCAAAAGATGACGTAACGAAGCACTTCGTTTTGGGGGGAGGGTGGTGGAGGTGGGCGGAGAGGGGGGCAGTAGGGAGCTGGCCAACACCACCCGGCCGCTTTTGTCTCCCCAGCGTTGCTGAACTTTTAGCACGCCGTGGCATGTGCTCATTGGAGGCTGAGCCGACCTAGGGGGGAGGAGGAGGAGGCGTGGGGTTGGCCGTGACTAGGTCAGATACCACTCGCCCCTTCGGTCGAACCCTCGCGGGGTCGTAGCGCAGTGCCAGTGCGGTCCGCCCCCTCCGCCACAACCGCCCTCCAATTTCGCCCAGCCGCCCTTAAGAGGCGCTTGCTAACAGCGCTTGACCCAACAGTCCGTGATGGCTACACGCGGCCGTCTTTGTGCCACCCCCCCCGTGCTAGCGATAGCATGGGGCCGCCACAGTCCAGCGTCCACGCCTCTGGAATGTTGCCCCCGTGCCAACACTCGGATGAAATTTGACCCCGGCCCTCATCGCATCGCTGATCATTAACGAGTGGCATAAGGACGAGCTCAGTCGTATCTGTTGTGGTTAAAGAACTGATTAAAAAAATGAACTTTTACCCATGGCCACTACAGCTGAGAAGGGAAGTATTGTCAAGGATGTAACGTTTGTGGAAAAGAGAAGGGAGCGGGAGAGGGAAGGGATGGCCTGGACGGAAGTCCCCGAGACGGACAAAGAAGAGGACACGGCTCTGGATGAGGAGAGAGGAGAAGGAGGGAGGGAGGGATGACCGGGGCCAAGATGTCGAAGGGGATGATGAGAGGGGAGGGAAGGAACGGAGGATAGAGAAGGAAGGAGCGAGCAGCAGTTAGCAGCACGGAGGAGCAGCGGCGTCTGTTTTCAGAATGGGCGGGAAGAGGAGAGATTCAGAGTGGGCGTGGCTTGAGCTGTTTTACATATAGATATATATAGGGGCATATTCTATTCTGTCTAAATTCAACCAACCACATTGCTTATGATTAGGGCTAGTGGCTGGCTAATTGGTTAGGGCTGGCGTCTGGCTGGCTGGTCGGGTGGCTGGCACGACTCACATTGCGTGGGTTTATTTCATGGCCACGCTGGCGTGGCCGCTGTTGACGGCCCCCGGGTTTCACTTTCTGTCCGAGTGACCTCCACGCGCGCTGTGTGGCTCCAATTATCGGGCAGGGGAGGCGACGGTGGCTTTGTGGGTTGCGCAAGAAGCGGCGGAGCAACGCGACCTTGGGCACAAAAAACTCCAGAGAGTGGGAGAGAGAGAGGGCGGGAGGGGGGGCTGAGGGGAGGATACGTACATTAGCCCCCCCCCCCCCCCACGTGGCACGGCCACTGTTGTGACGTAGGGAGCCGCGCACCACTCCCTGCCGATGAGGTCACTCTCGGCGTCTTCAGTTCAGTTCGTACCGCGCGCCGTGCCGGCAATGATGGAACTTCCCGGATGAGCTCCCCCTAGCACGAGCGAGGAGGAGCGAAACGTCGGACATCGTGCCCAACTCTAAATTTACAGCGGGCGTCAGGGTCGGGATCGAACCTATGCCCTCCTGCATACCAGGCGATGTAGTTAACATCTCCTAGCCACCGTGATGATGATGATGAGAGAGAGACACGCAAACTCCAAATACACAGAAGGCGTTAGGGTCGGGATCGAATCCACGAGACCTCCTGCATACCAGGCGATGTAGTTAACATCTCGACGGCGCAGTGACGACCCGACAGGCAAACAACATCGGAGAGCCCACGCGGCGCGGATCCCTTGGTCGTTGTTTGTGGGGTTTAATAAAATAAATAAATAACCCTGCATCCGGACGAGGTGGACTGTGATCCAGGCAAGGAGTTGGGGTATCAAACCTCGCCGGGCAGCCACGTGTCCGAGCCATGGTCTTTGCAGCGAGTGGGTTTGTGAACACGTCTGTGTGGAACTTGGAGCGCTGTCCACCGGGATGTTTCTCAGGCTCCTGCCCCTTACGATAAAAGAGAGAAATCGACCAAACATCCCAAATGTAAGCAACGAGCCTCCTCTAAACCAGACTCGGGACTCGGGAGCGAGGCCTTACCGGTGCTACTGCTGCTGCTGCGGCTGATAGATGAAAGCCTCCCCGATGCCATACCGGTTACAGGAGGCTGCGTGGCTATACTTCACCACGCTCGTCGTTGCGGGTTGGTGAAGCTGTTGTGATGGGGAGTGGACGGGTTCAGGACTCGTTCAGATTTCACTCGAGCGCCCGTGGTTTTAGCCGGGGCCGGAACTCAGACTCGGGTCGCCGGATTCACAACGCGGCACGCTAACCTCTGTAAACCACCAAAAAACAAAGATCCCCCGTGTAGCCTTAACCGACTGTTGGAGCAAGTGCTGTAAGCGAGCACCTATGAAGGTGCTCGCTTACAGCACTTGCAGCACTGCACACGAGGGGGTGGCTGGACACCACCACACCACCACACCCGGCTGCCTTTATCTCCCTAGCGGCGATGTTTACACACCTCACCAGGTACTCAATTGAGGCCGAGTCGACCTAGGGGAGGCCCAGGACCGGTTCAGATAATCGTCACCGGTGTTGGCCGTAAACAAGAATCAAACTCGGGTCATAGCCGGGTTCGTAGCGCTAACCGCTACGCCACCGCTCCCCACCGCATCAGCAACCACTCACTCGCTCCTCGATGGCATAACGATCAGGGCATTGAGGTGGTGCTTGGGGGTGCGACAAGAGCTGAGGCAGAGGTTGAGGGGTCACGGAACGGTCGCGTTGATAGCTGCGAGACTTTGGATCCTGTGGCGGTGTGAGGCGGTGGAGACTCTTTGGACCTGGCCACAGGAGGAGGACAGCTTCACATAGAACAGAGAGCTCCACAAGCCGCGCCTAAGGCACCAGCTCACCTGTCTACTCAAAATATTTCCCAATCGCTGGCTCAGCACCCCCTGGGAGATCTCTCCCTTCATGAATTATTTACTAAGGCTCACCCGTCTAAGGCACCAGCTCACCCGTCTAAGGCACCAGCTCACCCGTCTAAGGCACCAGCTCACCCGTCTAAGGCACCAGCTCACTCGTCTAAGGCACCAGCTCACCCGGCTGTTCCGCAATTACTTCACCTCCTGGGGAGTCCCCACAGCGCCCGCCCAAGCGAGTCCCAGTCACCTACCCAGCCGCCAGCCACGTCCACAGGCGTGATGGAGAGGCCCCCCGCTCGGAGCTCGCGAGGACCGCCACTCATCCCGTAGAGCGAGCGCCCTCCTCCTCCTCCTGCGCCCTCCGCTGCTGAGTGACCTTGCTGCTGTCTTAGCTGACACAGTCCCCCTCCTCCCCCCATCCCTCCTACCCCCCCCCCCATCACCTCCAAATCCTCACTCTCCACACTCTTCCTCCTTCTACTGTGACGCCGTATCACTCATCATCATCATCGTCCTCCTCCTCCTCGTTCCTCTTCCTCACACTCGGCACAAATCTCCTCCAATGCCGTTCCTCCTCCTCACTCGCTCCTCCTCACTCACTCCTCCTCACTCGCTCCTCCTCCTCGCTCCACCTCCTCCTCTTGCACCGCTCGCCATCCCAGTTCCCGCTCGCCCCCCACCCCCGACCGCTTTCGCTTGACTCCATTCATTCCGTCCGTCCGTCCGTCCGTTCCCCCGCGACTTTTCGCCGCCGCCACTGCGCCGTCGGCGGCCTCGCGTCGAGTCGTTGGGGTCTCCCCGCACAGCTCGAGACGAGGCCGAACATTTGTGACTCCGCGCTGCGAAATTTTTCGTGGATTCAGAGGCGCGGGGAATCCAGAACCCGCGCTACCAACGAGTGCCCAAGCTCTGTGCTCCTACATATACATTGTGCTGTTTGCTGATGATGACTGAGATGCTGCAGCTGATGACGCTGCTGTTAATGGTGAGTGCTTGTGAATCTGCGTGTACACACGCGCGTGCTTCTCTGTACACGTGTGTACACACGTGTATACTTGTGTACACACGTATACACGTGTGTACATGTGTGTACACGTGCACGGGTCCTTGTACACGTGCGCACGTCTCTGTGACTTTCCGCCCCGCAGGTCAAATTTATCCACGACCAGTGCTCACCCAACCCCAAGTACAGGGGCTTTTTCCACGGCGTGCGGGAGATCGTGCGCCAGGAGGGTGAGGATACGCTCACCACTTGACCTTCTTGAGCGCACCTGTACACTCACCTGCACCCTCACCTGTACACTCACCTGTGCACTCACCCGTACTCTCACCCGCACTCTCACCCGCAGCCCCACCCGTTGGCTACTCTGAGCCTATCTTCTCACCTGTGCACTCACCTATATATTCGTCTGTACACTCACCTGTGCGCTCACCTGCGCGCTCACCTGTACCCCCCGCACCTGTGTGCTCACCAGGTGTGCGGGGCACCTATCAGGGCCTCACCGCCACGGTGCTGAAGCAGGGCAGCAACCAGGCGATCCGCTTCTACGTCATGACGTCACTACGCAACTGGTACCGAGGTGGGCGGAGCTCGGTGGGGGGGGGGGGGGGGTCACTAACGCAGAGACCCGACGACTCTTAAGCCTAACCCCAACATCAACCCCATCACTGATATTGACCCGAATACTGACCCCAAGTCTAACTATCGCCACAACTCTAATCCCTCATCCTGACCCGAACCCCAACGATAATTCCAACCTCCAATCCCAACCAGAACTTTAACCTCAACTCTAGCCATAGGCCGAACTCTATCCCGAACCCCAACTACACGTGCAGTTGTTGTTGTTGTTCCGGTTGTTTCTTTGCATCGCTTTCATCATTTTGGGTGGCCCAGGTCACTCGACCGCTCCATTCTCGACCGCTCCATCCGCTTGAGTCCTCACCTCGTTCAACAAAACTCGAACTTGCTTTCCCCCTCCCTCTCCTCCCCCCCCACCCCCGCCCCGCCTCCGAACCCCGTCCAGGCGATGACCCCAATCGCCCCATGAACCCCCTGGTGACGGGGGTCTTCGGGGCCACAGCAGGAGCTGCGAGCGTGTTCGGCAACACCCCCCTCGACGTCGTCAAAACCAGAATGCAGGTGAGACCCCCCACGCACTCCACTGGGCTACCCTAGAGGGCTCCCCCCGTTACCCCAGACTCCCCTAGGGGGCTCCCCCCGTTACCCCAGACTCCCCTAGGGGGCTCCCCCCGTTACCCCAGACTCCCCTAGGGGGCTCCTCCCGTTACCCCAGACTCCTCTAGGGGGCTCCTCCCGTTACCCCAGACTCCCCTAGGGGGCTCCCCCCGTTACCCCAGACTCCCCTTGGGGGCTCCCCCCGTTACCCCAGACTCCCCTAGGGGGCTCCCCCCGTTACCCCAGACGCCCCTAGGGGGCTACTCCCGTTACCCTAGACTCTCCTAGGGGGCTCCCCCTTTTACCCCAGACTCCCCTAGGGGGCTCCGCCCGTTCCGCTAGGACCCCCACTTCCCCAGGGTCCCTTAGAGCTAGCCGTGAATAAAGACTTGGTGCTGCTGATGGTGGTGCCTATCATGATGATGGTGCTGCTGATGGTGCTGCTGCTGATAATGTGGATGGTACCGATGGTGCTTATAAAGACTCCCAAACTGATGGTCACGTTGATGATGATGATAACGATGGTTCTGATGCTGCTGATTATAATAACGGTGATTATAATGGTGTTATTGATTGCTGCTGCTGATGACAATTATGCAAATGATGGTGCTTATAATGATAATGTTGCTGCTGATGATGATGCTGACGATGATGCTGACGATGGTACTGATGATCATCATTAACTTCGCGGTGTCGCGGTTTCTCCTTTGGCCGCCAGGGGGCCCTGTTGCGCTGCGAGGTGAACCGCGTGGTTGGGGTCGGTTAAGTTTCGGGGTTCAAGATTCATGGTCAGAGTTAGATGTCTCTTTAGGCGTTAGGGTTAGCGAGTTGGGTTATGGTTTAGAGTTTCGAGGTTTGGGTTAAGCGTTATGTGTACCGTTGGGGCTCGTGGTTAAGGTTAGAGACAGATTCATAATTTAGGATCAAGGTTAAGAAATGGGGGTTAGGATTTGAGGTTAGAGTTTAGGGTTTTAGACAAGGGTTAGAGGTTATGGCTTCGGATTAGAATTAGCATTTATGATTGGGGTCAGATTTCACAGTTCAGGGTTATTGGTTTAGGTTTAGAGCTGGGGTCAGAGTTTAGGGTGCAGCGGCGAGATCAACCCCTTCGAAGTCAGGCGTACATCGCTCAACCGCTGCTGTGGGATCTGGCAGGAGGAAGGAAGCGATGGCCCCGGGCGTGGTGGTGGAGTGCATCGGTGACATAGGGCGCCGCGGTGGAGAGATGTTAACTACCTCGCCCGGTATACAGGAGGGTGTGTGTTTGATCCCGGCCCTGACGCCTGCTGCTGTATATTTGGAGTCTGTGCGTGTCCCCACGTGTCTCCATATTTGGAGTCTGCGCGTGTCTCCACGTGGTCACGTGGACTTTTCTCGGGATCCCCCAGTTTTTCCCTCTACATGTAGAATCAAAGCACGTGTTGATTCTACATTCTACATGTAGAATCAACACCACGCGTTCATAGTATTTGGCTGCTATACATTCTCGCACGATAAGCCACTTCGTTAATTTGCAGCCAGGTCGCTTCTAAAAAAGAGCCGTGCAGCTCAGTGTGCCCTTACTAGGTAAAAATAAAAAAGAAAACACATTGTCCGCGGTGACCTGTTGGTGATCTGTTGGTGACCTGTCGGTGACCTGTTGGTGACCTGTTGGTGACCGTGATCCCTTGGCAGGGCCTGGATGCACACAAGTACAAGAGCACGTGGGACTGCGCTTACCAGATCGCCACCAAGGAGGGAGCCAAGGCGTGAGTTTACGCATCGCCCCCAAGGGGATTCGTCGACGGGAACCGACCAATCGATTACGAATCGATCTTATTGTGCTCACGGTTTACCCATCGAGTATTAACGACTCGTCGAAAAAAAATGTTACGCGTCACGTTCCCACGGGATTCACGAATGGGACGGAGCGTGGTTGGCTGGCGCTGATGGAGACAGAGCAAGCAAAACGAAAGTAAATCGATTTTAATCGACGATTCGATTAAGCTTAAACGAAAACACGGTCTCCCTAGCCTCGTCACCCATCCCTTCTATATAGCTGCCAACCCCTCATCAGTATCTACCTTATTACAGAGCAATTCACACCTTATTGGTCACCCCGTGCCCTTATAAATCTCAACGTTCATCCTACAAAGTCCCATCACAAGGGAGAAACGCAAATAGACAACAAAAATGTTTGTTGCACGTATTGAAACGGCTGTACACCGCATGGACCTGAAAACTCAATTTCCCTGTACAAGAATACAGGGCAAACCGTACGGGTTGACACGGTATGCACATGTGGTGGTGCATCTGCCAATCATCTCAGTCAGTCAACCCATGGCACCTGGATCTGTCCCGTGACCTCCTGCCATCTGGACGTGCGACACTTTACGTGGCCTTAAAGTGTACATAGCCTGGCACAAGCGCCGTGGTTACGTCACCGCCACTTAGTGGCGAATGGCGCTTGTTGTTGTTGTTGTGAGTTGGTGATGATGATGATGATAATAGCTTAGGGTCGGAAATCCAAGATAACAAGGAGAGCCGTTTTTTTCGAATTCGGTAGAAAAAAATCCTGCTATATTTTAAGAGCCTCAATGCGCACTGTGCGGTGAACACGAGACGACGGTGGTCCTCATCAATAAAAAAACGTCACGGAGCGGTCCTTAAAGAGGCACCGCACGAGGCCCCGCAGCCTGCAGGTTTGCCGACCCCCGGCTTACGGAGCAGCGCTACGAACGCTCCCCGGTCCGCCGGAGAGCGGACTCAGAATTAGAACGATGCACAGACTCCGATCGGCACGGTTGGCTACGTACGGTGCGAAAGAAGTTCAACATACAAACTGCGGTTGGGGTGGCCGCAGTCACTGCCCTGTGGGGGGGTGGGGGGGTGGCGGGGGGGGGGGAGTCCTCGACCGGGCTCCGGTTAGGAACCCCGGCTGTAGAACCTCACCGTAAAGTTCGCCGGCGGTCTTCAGTCGACCCTCTGCTTCCGTCCGAATTTGCCTCGCGTGGCGATCCCCGCCTCGTTCGTTTTCCGAGATCTCAGACGAGTTCGTGGCGGGTCGAGCGGGATTCAGTTTCAGTTTCATTTATGTTGGTATAGCCCTGTGAGCAATTCGGCTCTTGAATCGGGTGCAACCGCAACAAACAAAAACATTTCTGTTTAAAGCTTTCGTGACTACAGTGATTCATATTCTTGGTTCTTTCGGTAAAGTCAAGCAGAAGGGAAACAATTTTTATTATTATTTTTATTATTTTATTGTTTCCCTTCTACGTGACTTTACCGAAAGAACCAAGAATATGAACCAAAAACATGAACAAGAAAACACCTTCAAGTGACTTACACCACAGGGTTGACCTGTGGTGTAAACCTGTGGTGTAAACGGGAGGGCCGCGCTTCCTCGGCGTTATCTTCCGGCCGGTTTGATGTGGAGGCGCGGACACCCGAGCCAGCGGTGTGCAGGCCGCCACTGGGTCGTGTGGGTGCCACCTTGCGGGCAACGTAGAACAACCAAGCAACTTCCATTCCGAGACGCGTGGCCCGCGTGCTCTCCCGGTGGAAGGCGCTTTGGAAGTGTAGAACATGGAAGTGTCGAACATGGCATTACTATGTCGCGGGTTGCAGTTTGGGGTTCTAGCCAAGGGTTAGAGGTTATGACTTGAGCTCCTTCCGCCAGCAATCACACGGTCGGGCAATTGCAGGGCTGCGCCTTTAACCCCCCCCCCCCGTCGCGTCCCGCTCTGCCCCCCCTCCCCCCAGGTTCTACAAGGGCACGGTGCCGCGCCTGGGCCGCGTGTGCATGGACGTAGCCATCGTCTTCATCATCTACGACGAGGTGGTGAAGGTCCTCAACCGCGTCTGGAAAACCGACTGAGTCGCCGGCACTGGAACGTTCCTTTTCCACCCTCCCCCTTCCCCACCTACCCCCCCCCCCTCCCACCTAGTCCTACGCACCACTCCCCCCCCCCTCTCCACCGCTCCCGCCCCCCAAATGCGAGCCCCACGTCTTCACAGGGGTCGCACTTGGATCCTCGTCCTCGCACCCTCCCCACCACCACCACCACCACCAGGGGAAGTTGGACCCAGCGCGGTGCGCCCACGGGGGTTCTATGACACGGGAGGAAGAGGGGGGTGGGGCAACCACTTCGTATGGAGGGCAAGACAAAAACAAAGATCCCCCGTATAGCCTTTAACAGACTGCTGGGGCAAGTGCTGTTAGCGAGCAGCACCTATGAAGGCCGGCACGGCACACGAGGGGGTGGGTGGCCAGCACCACGTCCGGCCGCCTTTGTCTCCCTAGCGGCGATGTTTACTGCACACCGCACCAGGTACTCATGTGAGGCTGAGTTGACCTAGGGGAGGCCCTGGACGGGTTTAGATCATCGTCACTGGTGTTTCGAACCCGGGTCGCCAGGTTCGTAGCGCAGCGCACTCACCGCTACCACTACCGCTCCACACACCCACTCACACCCACACACACCCACACACACACACACCCACACACACCCACACACACCCACACACACACACCCACATCCACACACACCCACAAACACCCACACACACCCACACACACCCACACACACACATCCACACACACCCACACACTCACAACTCTCGGTGGAAACCTCCGTGAGTCGGGGACGAGTCTGCAAGAGCAGATCTTGGAGGTCGCGAGGTGTCCACTGCGCATTCACTGCTGCAGGATCTGGCAGAAGGAAGGGAGCGATCGCGGGGTGTGTGATGGTGGTGGTGTTGACAGTGGCATTAGCTGGGTTGACCTCTTGACCTTTAACGTGAGTGCCCCCTCGCCCCCGAATCACCCCGGCAAAGCTGCTTCCGACAAGGGGGCAGAGTTCGTGTGTGGAGGCGGGGGGGGGGGGTATTTTAAAACCACCGTTGCCGAGCAAAGGCAACAAAACGCCAAGCGGACAGCAACAAACAGCGCGATTAAATTTTGATTTAAAGCTTTCGTGACTGCAGTGATTCATGTTCTTAGTTCTTTCGGTAAAGTCACGTTGAAGGGAAACAATAAAATAATAAAATATATATATATAAAACAATAAAAGTCTCACGACGTTTCGACTGTAACACAAACAGTCATCACACCTGATGATGACAATAACATTCTCACGACGTTTCGACTGTACCATAAACAGTCATCATCAGGTGTGATGACTGTTTGTGTTACAGTCGAAACGTCGTGAGAATTTTATTGTTTTATATATATTTTATTATTTTATTGTTTCCCTTCAACGTGACTTTACCGAAAGAACCAAGAATATAAAAAACAGCGCGATTGTTCATTCGGGCCCCCCCCCCCCCACGCCAAGTCTCATATAAACTCGCCACTGCTTTGTAGTACACTTGAACAGATCCCACAGGTCCAAGCCAGGTCCCCTCGACCCCCCTCTTGCCCCCCCCCAGCCCACTCCCTGGCCCCCCCTCTCGAGGGAGGATGTCCCCGTGTGATCGATTCCCGAGTCGAGCATGAGAATGTGGGGAGGGGGTGAGGGATTGATGCGGTTAGGCGTGGTGAATGTTTAACCGCACGTGGTGTGGTTTCGGTGCTGGGATTAAACGGACTGCGATCGTAGGTTAGGAAGAGGCGTGGCAGGCTGGGTATTGTCAGGGGTGCAAAGGTAACGGGTACGGGTAACGGGTACCGGTTACGACGTACAAGTAACGGGTAACGAGGTACAAGTAACGGGGTAACGGGTAGATGATTTATAAGCATGGTGGGAAATTGAACCAATGCGATTACGCGTGTGCAATGCATGAGTCGTAGATTTTTAAAATGTTCATCGATTGACACTGAATTTTAATAATTATGCGAATAGAAAAATGATGGTGGAGATGATGATAATGGTAATGCTAGTGGTTGTAATTACGTTAATTAATTTGTTTTAAACAGTGGAACATTCGCGTGTTGTACACTATTAAAAACACACGTGGATTTTAAAATCCGCGGAAGTGACCCAACTGTGTGTGCGATGCCGCGTGCTTCCTCCACTTAGGCCACAGATGCATCCGCACATCTCTTATTTCCCAAACACCTCAAGTGATTATCACCATCCCGCCCCTCTATTGGTGGGTGGCGCTTCTCTTATCACTTCATCGAGCCGAGTTCGATTCCCGACCACGGCTAACGTCAGCGGCGAGTGATATATCTGCACGGGTTCTGCCCATCCTCCGTCTTCCTCATGAACCCGCGAGAACCGGCGTGGTGAAGTATGGTCACACAACCCCCCCCCCCCCAATGACCGACACCAGCGTGCGCGGGGAGGCCTTCATCCAGCAGTGGAATCGCACAGGCCTGAACGTTACTCTAGAACCTATGACCCCCCCCCCCACTCCTCCCCACTCTCTCATCCACCGTCCCCCATTCACAACAATTATTGACGCTGAGCTTCACCTCCAAGTGGAGCGAGCGGCCCTGCGGGGGGTTAAGTCCGGCGAGGGGCACCCGGGTCAGAGACCCCCACGCGTCCACGTGTTTGACTTTTCACTCTGCGCCCCCTCCACCCCCTGTACACGAGCTGACCCCCCCCCCCCTCGCCCTCCTACCGCTGCCCGTAGCCGTCACCTCCCTGGCCCTTCACCCACGCGGGATCGCAGTTTTTTTGTTGTTTTGTGTTTTTTGTATTTTTGCGCAAAAAATTCAAACCGCGCCGCCTCCCTTCCTCCCTCCACTTGCTCCCCCCCTACCCTCCTTGCCTCCTCCCACCCACCCACCCTCCCTCCCTCGCACTCACGCTCACTTCTTACATCAATCTCGTGAAAGTCCACACGCAGGAGCGACCCCGCTTGTCCCGGGGTCCCGCGATCCGTCGCGAGTAAATCGCAGAGCAGCGCAGTGCGCCGAGTCAACATCTCCGGGACAATTCTTCAAGATCTTTCTTCCGTCTTCCATCCCTGAAGAGTGACAGCGCCCACCCCCCCCCCCCCCCCCCCCCCCAAAGGACCCCGTTTCTCTCCGGGATCTGTGATCGCCGCTCCTCCCTTCGAACCCATCTCCTCCTCCAGTCGCGCCAGACCTCAGCGCCACCGCTCATCTCGAATTGTCGCCTCCATCCGCTCGGCTCGCTCACATCTCCGGTGTCGCCACGATGCCTGCCGATGTGCTTCGTCCCTCTTCATCCTCCTCTACATTCCCATCATCATCCCCCTCCTCTGCATCATCATCATCATCCCGTCCGCCGACGAGGATGCTGCTGCTGCTACTGCTGCTGTTGAGCGGCGCGCGTTTCGCCACCGCCGCGGGTTCCTGCCGCCCCCGAGACGCCGCCGCTGCCGCAACCGCTCTCGACGCTGGGCCGGACGCCGTCGGCCCGCGCTGCTGCCCGGGTCGCGACAACTCGTGCCGCGGGCTCGACGAGGACGCGGGGGGTCCGGTCCAGCGAGCCCGCGAGGCCCTCTGCTACTGCGACGCGCACTGCGAGAGGACGGGCGACTGCTGCCCCGACCACGCGCACGTCTGCCGGGAGAGCGGTGAGTGCTCCCCCACCCCACCTCTCCCTCCCCCCTCTCCCTCACCTGACCCCCCCATCTCCCCTACCTGTGAACCCCCCCTGCCACCCCCCCCCAACCTTTCTATGTCCACGATGCCCCCCATCCTGTGGTGTTGCGTGGGCTTGAGGAAGCTCGTGTGCGTGGGGAGTCAACTCCAGGCCAAGTTGTTTCGGTACAATCTGGGACCTCACCTCTCCCACATAGGCGTGGAAAGTTGGGGGGGGGCAGGGCTGAAAGTTGCCCCCATCATCAATCCGTGGACAAAGAAGAAGGGGGGCAGGCTTTACGTTGTCAGGAGCCCCCCCCCCCTCAACATCACTAGTTACCCAGCTCTCGCCCCCCCCCCCCAAATATAATTTCCCATGACTCTACTCAACAGTGTCTAAACTGTAGTGTACAAATCGAGTCTCTAAAAACCGTGTAGAGGAATATAGATCGATAGATAGATGATGCTAACGTGAAAGTTATCAATAATGGCCATGTCAGAGCAGCTGACAGGGCCATCCTGTGGGTCCACTCGAACCGGGGGAGGGGGGGGGGGCGAGGGGGGGCGCAGTTCATCAGTGAGCAGCATCGCCTTGCCGAGGCGTGCGGATGCAGCCGACTCCAATGCCCTTGTGTGTGAGAGATGTTGACTACCTCGCCTGGTATATAGGAGGTCGTGGATTCGATACCGACCCTGATGCCTGCTGTATATTTGGAGTTTGCGTTTCTCTCTCATCATCACGGTGGCTAGGAGATGTTAACTACCTCGCTTGGTATACAGGAGGTCGTGGGTTCGATCCCGACCCTGACGCCTGCTGTATATTTGGAGTTTGCGTTTCTCTCTAATCATCACGGTGGCTAGGAGATGTTAACTACCTCGCTCGGTATACAGGAGGTCGTGGGTTCGATCCCGACCCTGACGCCTGCTGTATATTTGGAGTTTGCGTTTCTCGCTCATCATCACGGTGGCTAGGAGATGTAAACTACCTCGCCAAGTATACAGGAGGTCGTGGGTTCGACCCCGACGGGAGTTTGCGTGTCTCTCTCCCCGCGGTCGCGTGGATTTTTCTCCGGGTCCTCTGGTTTTTCCCTTGCACATTTCGAATCGGCGTGCGTTTAGAGCATTTGGCTGCAATACATTTCCACATGATGGTGGTGATGATAATATTAATAAGCAGTTTAATAGTTGAAGTTGTTTTTATTACGACAGATTACAATTCCGAGAGTTACAGATACCTTGCGCTTGTAACGGGCGCCTCGATATCGGAGCGAGGTGCAGGGCCACCTACCTTGCTTAACTAGCGTAACTAGCTTAACTCGCTTAACTAGCGTAACTAGCTTGACTAGCGTAACTAGTGTAACTAGCATAACTAGTGTAACTAGCGTACCAGCGTAATTATCTTAACTAGCATAACTAGTGTAACTAGCTTAACTAGCGTAGCTAGCGTAACTAGTGTAACTAGCTTAACTATCGTAACTAGAGTAACTAGCTTAACTAGTGTAACTAGTGTAACTAGCTTAACTAGTGTAACTAGCGTAACTAGCGTAATTATCTTAACTAGCATAACTAGTGTAACTAGCATAACCAGCGTAACTAGTGGAACTAGCGTAACTAGCGTAATTATCTTAACTAGCTTAACTAGCGTAACTAGTGTAACTAGCGTAACCAGCTTAACTAGCGCAAATAGCGTAACTAGCGTATCTAGCTTAACTAGAGTAACTAGCGCGGGAGCAGGGGGGTGCCTTTCCCCCTCCCATCCCCTGGTGGCCAGTTGGAGGCCCCGTTGACACCCATCATGAGATAAGTTTTCAACAACAGTGTAAAAGAACAAGAAACTGATTTAAAAAGCGCTTTAAATTTAAAAAAAATATTTTTAATGAAAATGCTTTCATTTACGTTCCACGGTTCATTTTCATTCAATTAGAGCTGTTTCGTTGAGGCCACCACGCGCCCGACTGCCGCCACCAGCTGAGCTGACAATGAAGCCACTCAGACGCCACCGGTTCTCGGAAGCAGCGGCGGGAGCTCTGTGGGGCTGCCCCCCTCTGTCGGAGGGCGCCTGCAGTGGGCTGAGCGGGCGCTCCCACGTGGACGTTCCTTCGTTTCGCGATGACGTCACAAAGGGAATGTTAATTTGCGAGAAATGTTTAAAAAAAAAGAAGGCGAGGACTCGGGTCACCTGCGATCTAGAACTTCGGAAGGCGAGGGTTGTTGGCGCACGGAGAGATCTGTGGGTTCGTGAACCCATCTGTGCGGACCTTCCCTCCACAACAAGCAACACGATCACTGTCTCCAAATTAATTGGCCAAACAACGAGCCTTGGGACTCAGTGAGATTGGACGAGCGATGTATCGTCCCCCTGTGAGTCTGCCCTCCCCCTTCAGCAACCGTCTCCACCATCGCTGCATCCTCCCCTCCCCGTTCCATCCATCCCATGTCACCCATCCCATCCATCCATCCCATCCCATCCACCCATGCCATCCATCCCATCCATCCCATCCATCCCATCCACCCATGCCATCCATCCCATCCATCAATACCATTCACCCTATCCCATCCCGTGCACCCATCCCATGCCACCCATCCCATCCACCCATGCCATCCATCCCATCCCATCCATCCCATCCACCCTATCCCATCACGTGAACCCATCCCATCCACCCATCCCATCCACCCACGACCACCCCCCCTCGCCTCTCTCCCCCCAGGGTCTCGGTGTGTGTGGTCGAAGTTTGGTGTTTGGGAGTTCAGTGTTTGTAGACACGGGGGCCACAGAGGTCAGGTTTTGGTCTCGCTGACCTCTCCGTGGACCAGGGCTTGAGCGGCGTGTTCCATTGTTGGGTGGTGGCTACGCTGCTGCACGTGACTGCCTGTAAGCCAGCGCCGTGGAGGCAGCAACGAGGGTTGGTGAATCACCGCACGGATGTTGTGATATTCCCTGGGCGTCGAGAAGGTTGTCATATACCCTGGGTTCGCCAGGGGAAGGCGATACAGCAAGTGGACTGATGGCCACCTATTTCCATCTGTACGGGGATAGAGTGTTGTTTACGCCTCGTGCAAGCCGTGGGTTTTCTCCGGGTGCCCCGGTTTCCCAGTTCCACGTGGTATAATAATAATGCGAGTGTGATAATAATCAAAACTCATCATTAATTTGGGGCCGAAAACTTCCTGAAATAAAACCACAACGTGGCGGCAGCAGGACCCTCTGAGCGCTGCTGAGTAGGGGCGTCTCTCGCTACTGAACCCCTCTCCGTGTCTCTCTCTCCACGTGTGTCTATGTTCGTGTCTCTCTCTCAACGTGTCTCTCTGTCTGCGTGTCTCTCTCTCAACGTGTCTCTCTGTCTGCGTGTCTCTCTCTCCCCGCCTGTCTCTCTGTCCGCGTCTCTCTCTCCACGCGTCTCTCTGTTCGTGTGTCTCTCTCTCTCAACGTGTCTCTCTGTTCGTGTATCTCTCTCTCTCCCCACGTGTCTCTTGTCCGCGTGTCTTTTGTCTGCGTGTCTCTCTCTCCCTGCGTGTCTCTCTCTATTCGTGTCTTTCCGTGTCCGCCTGTCTCTCTGTCCGCGTCCCTCTCTCTCCACGTGTCTCTCTGTTCGTGTGTGTCTCTCTCTCGACGTGTCTGTCTGCGTGTCTCTCTCTCAACGTGTCTCTCTGTCTGCGTGTCTCTCTCTCCCCCCGCCTGTCTCTCTGTCCGCGTCTCTCTCTCCACGTGTCTCTCTGTTCGTGTGTGTGTCTCTCTCAACGTGTCTCTCTGTTCGTGTCTCTCTCTCGCTCTCTCTCCCCGCGTGTCTCTTGTCTGCGTGTCTCTCTCCCCGCGTGTCTCTCTCTATTTGTGTCTTTCCGTGTCCGCCTGTCTCTCTGTCCGCGTCTCTCTCTCCACGTGTCTCTCTGTTCGTGTGTGTCTCTCTCAACGTGTCTCTTTGTTCGTCTCTCTCTCTCTCAACGTGTCTCTCTGTGTGCGTGTCTCTCTCTCCCCGCGTGTCTCTCTGTCTGCGTGTCTCTCTCTCCCCGCATGTCTCTCTGTCTGCGTGTCTCTCTCTCCCCGCGTGTCTCTCTGTCTGCGTGTCTCTCTCTCTCTCTCCGCGTGTCTCTTGTCCGCGTGTCTCTCTCTCTCCCCGCGTGTCTCTCTGTCTGCGTGTCTCTCTCTCCCCGCGTGTCTCTTGTCCGCGTGTCCCGGCGTCTCCCCTCACAGCGGTGGACTGCACCGTGGGCCCGTGGGGCGCCTGGTCTCCGTGCGACTCCGCGTGCGCCCAGGGCAAGCAGGGCCGCGCCCGTGCCATCCTCGTGCCCCCGAGAAACGGGGGCCGGGGCTGCCCGGACCTGAGGCAGCGGCGCGGCTGCTACAGCCCGCAGAGCAACGCCTGCCGCGGCGCGGAGGGTAACTAAAGTGCACCCGTAATCAAGGTTATTGAGTTGGATCGCGTTATTTATAAATGTGTCGCAATCCTCCACCAGCCGATACGGCCAATCAGTAAAAAAAATGTGTCACGTTAACAAAACGTCAATAAGTTATTTCTTCAGCCTTAAATGAGTGCGTGGTGCGGTGCGTGTTCAGCGTCAACACTGATGGGGGGGGGGGGTGCCTGGGCGTGGTGCTGACCGCAGCACCCCCTAATTCGCCGTGCCGGCCTTATTAGGTGCTCGCTAACCGTCTGATAGAGGCGCCACGTATATCCCGTAGAAAATTTGGCCACTGCTATCATTAATTGTCCAAACGATGATAAGCCACTTCGTTGAGCTATCATTTGTGAACAGGTCGCTTCTGAAAAAAAATAGCTACATAGCTTCAGTGGGCCTTACCTGGTAAAATAAAATGTAAACATTTTTAAAATCGTGTTACTCTCTGTTTGTCTGCCCTCTGCCCCCCCCCCCCCCCCCCCCCCACGGTAGAGATGGCCAGCTTACTGCCAGAGTTCTACCGGCAGGAGCAGAAAGACCCCTGGAGAAGACCCCACGTGGTGCTCATGGAGGAGGAACCCAGGTGAGTGTGGTCTTGGCGATGGTGGTGATGGTGGAGGCGCGGGGTGATGGTGATGATGGTGGTGGTGGAGGCGTCAGGTTGGTAGTATGTATGTTGAACTTCTTTCGCAACCGTACATAGCCAACAGTGCTCGTGGACTATGCGTGTCGGTCGCCCCATCCAAATGCCGCCAATCTCAACGCCGCGTTGAGCCTCTGAGGTCGAGACGGGGCCCATTCCGCGTGATTCGCGCCCGGCGGTCTCCGCTTTACAGGAGACACACAACGCAGACGCAAGCTTCACCTGATGGTGTGACAACCAAATGGGGAACAGCATGCCGACAATACATCCACCCACCCACCACCAACCCCATCCATCACCAACCCCACCCACCCATCCACCCACCACCAACACCACCCACCCATCCACCCACCACCAACCCCACTCACCCATCCATCAACCCCACCCACTCATCCACCCACCACCAACCCCACCCACCCATGCACCCACCACCAATCCCACCGATCCACCCACCCATCCACCTACCACTAACCCCACCCACCCATCCACTCACCCATCCACCCACCGCCAACCCTACCCATCCACCCACCACCAACCCCACCCACCACCAACCCCACCCACCACCACCACCCCTTCCCTCATCAGGAATTCCCCGTTTCTCTGCCCCCCCCCCAACCAAACTCCGCTCCGCGTGAGTTTTTACAAATTGCCCCCCCCCCTCCAATTCGGTTGGGTCTCTGCCGAGAGACCACGTGGTGAAGCGAAATGCAACTGTGACCACGTGAATCGAGCTGTGTGACCACGTGACCACGCGGGCAAACATTTCAACCTTCACTGCAGCCTTGCACCCCTTTGGTTCTCAATGGTTTAAACATGTATAATATTAATAACTGCATAATATGAATAACTGTATAATATTAATAACTGTGTAATATTAATAACTACATAGGGCTTTATGAAACAAAGCAGTGGATGTACGTGCTTCATTTGTATTTGCGATTATTTACCTTCTAAAAAAATCTGGCCATGTCTCGCACCCCCAGAAAGGGCATCTCGCACCCCCAGGGGGTGCTGCGTGCACCCCCAGGTGAAGAAGAACCGCTGCTTTAAACGAACGCTGCTCGATGCATATTGCTCGTTAATAATAAATGTGCCGATGGCCAAAAGCGTCATTTACCTTGCACTGCCCCATCCCCCCACCTCATGAAATGAATGCCTCTTTCATCATCATCAGCAGCAGCATCAACCATCGCACGCACTCCGGTCACCCTCGCGCCGCCGGCTTCTGGCTAACCATCGCACAAAGGCGGTGGGTCCCCGCGTCGCGCGCTTTCAGACGCGGCCGTCTGGAACGCTCTTACTTCCGATATCAGGAAGCCACTTGAGCCGTGCACTTTGAAATCATCATCTAGATTGACGAACGCATTTCGTTAGAACTGCTTGTTGTGTTTAGTTTGTGGTCCTTCCCCCGCACCTCCGATTAGCGCTGCTGGCTTACGTGCGGGTGCGAAAGAGGTGCAACGTGCACACAGCAGCAGCCACGGTACAGCAAATTCCCCGAGTCTCACGCCGCCACTCGACAATCTCATGACAAGCGCCGCAACAGTGACATTCTCTCTCCTCCCTTCCTCCCTCCCTCCCTCCTCCTCCAATGCCTCCGTCGTGCTCAGCCACTGCGTCTACTTTCGCGTGGACCACGTGAGCAGCGGCTGTCAACTCCCGGGGCTGGTGTCGAACCGGGCCCTCTCCTACCCGCCGGCACAGGCGGCGGCGCTCTGGGCCAATCGCCTGCGCCGCGGGAACCGCGTGTGCGCCGAGTGCAGGGGCGGGGCGGCGAGGGGCGGGGCCCGGGGGGGGTGTCCGGGGGAGGGGGTGCATGCGATCACGTGAGGAGCCCACCCCCCCTTCCCCCCCACTCAATGCTTACACTCATCACGTGTGTGTGTGTGAGATGGTGATGGTGTGGATTATAGTCACCCATAATCAAGGTTTTTGTTGGGTTAGATCGCGTAGATATTTAAGATGTGGTGTCGTTAAACCCGCCACCACCCGACACAGTCAACTATTACTATACTCGCAATGGTTTTAATTTTAATTTAAAGCTTTCGTGACTGCAGTGATTCATATTCTTGTTTTTTTCGGTAAAGTCACGTTGAAGGGAAACAATAAAATTAAATGTTTCTTGCCGCTGGTTTTCACACCTGATGATGACTGTTTGTGTTACAGTCGAAACGTCGTGAAAATTTTATTGTTTTATATACATTTTATTATTTTATTGTTTCCATTCAACGTGACTTTATCGTAATGGTTTGTCACGTAAACAGAACGTGACGATTCGTTACCTGTACAGCACGCCAGTTGTGTGTTGGAGAGTAAACCCACAACATTTACAATCTGAGTACGACGTTTCGCCAGTAAGTACAACTAGCTTCATCAGGCGACAGCCAGGTTTGTGGAGAAATTCTCCGTGTTAAACGGATCATTGCCATGTTGAGACGATGATTGTGGGATGTTCAGTTGATAGTCATCATTAACATCAGGATCATCATCATCAGCGGCGGCGGCGGCTTTGTCATCAGCTGTATCGTCATCAGTGTCATCATCGTATTCATCGTTACCATGATGATGATCATGAACACCAAATCACAATCATCATAGTAGTCATCATCACAGACAACCGAATCATCATCATAACATACTCGTCACAAGCGTGAAATCATCATCACCATCATCACGAACACCAACTACAGCACGCTACATAATGACAATTTATATATTTCTATTTTTATCTATAAATCAGAATATATATTTATACTGGAGGAATCCGATGAGCTATAAAGCTCTTTTTCCACAGATGTCCAGTAGGGGCACGGGGTAAGAACGTTACAACAACACACACACAATACAACAACACACACAATACAACACACACAATACAACAACACACACAAAACAACACACACACACAATATATAACAACACACACACAATACAACAACACACAATACAACAACACACACAAAACAACACACACACAATACAACACACACACAATACAACAACACACACAAAACAACACACACAATACAACAACACAATACAACAACACACACAATACAACAACACACACAATACAACAACACACACAATACAACACACAATACAACACACACAATACAACAACACACACAAAACAACACACACAATACAACAACACAATACAACAACACACACAATACAACAACACACACAATACAACACACACAATACAACAACACACAATACAACAACACACACAATACAACAACACACAATACAACAACACACACAATACAACACACACAATACAACAACACACACAATACAACAACACACACAATACAACACACAATACAACACACACAATACAACAACACACACAAAACAACACACAATACAACACACACATAATACAACAACACACACAATACAACAACACACACAATACAACACACAATACAACAACACACACAATACAACACACAATACAACAACACACACAATACAACACACACAATACAACAACACACACAAAACAACACACACAATACAACAACACAATACAACAACACACACAATACAACAACACACACAATACAACACACAATACAACACACACAATACAACAACACACACAAAACAACACACAATACAACACACACAATACAACAACACACACAATACAACACACACAATACAACAACACACACAATACAACAACACACACAAAACAACACACACAATACAACAACACAATACAACAACACACAATACAACAACACACACAATACAACAACACACACAATACAACACACAATACAACACACACACAATACAACAACACACAATACAACACACAATACAACACACAATACAACAACACACAATACAACAACACACACAAAACAACACACAATACAACAACACACACAACACAACAACAACACACAATACAACAACACACACAAAACAACACACAATACAACACACACAATACAACACACAATACAACACACACAATACAACACACAATACAACAACACACACAACACAACAACACACACAAAACAACACACAATACAACAACACACACAACACAACAACAACACACAATACAACAACACACACAATACAACAACACACACAATACAACAACACAATACAACAACACACACAAAACAACACACACACAATACAACAACACACACAAAACAACACACACACAATACAACAACACACAATACAACAACACACACAAAACAACACACACACAATACAACAACACACACAAAACAACACACACAATACAACAACACACACACAATACAACAACACACATCAAACAACACACACACAATACAACAACACACACACAATACAACACACACAATACAACACACACAATACAACAACACACAATACAACACACAATACAACACACAATACAACACACACAAAACAACAACAACACACAATACAACAACACACAATACAACAACACACACAAAACAACACAGACACAATACAACAACACACACACAATACAACACACACAATACAATACACACAATACAACAACACACACAAAACAACACACACACAATACAACAACACACATAAAATAACACACACACAATACAACAACACACACACAATACAACACACACAATACAACAACACACACAATACAACAACACACACAATACAACAACACACATAAAACAACACACACACAATACAACAACACACACACAATACAACACACACAATACAACACACACAATACAACAACACACACAAAACAACACACACAATACAACAACACACACACAATACAACAACACACATAAAACAACACACACACAATACAACAACACACACAATACAACACACACAATACAACACACACAATACAACAACACACAATACAACACACAATACAACACACAATACAACAACACACAATACAACAACACACACAAAACAACACACAATACAACAACACACACAATACAACAACACACACACAATACAACACACACAATACAACACACACAATACAACAACACACACAAAACAACACACACACAATACAACAACACACATAAAACAACACACACACAATACAACAACACACACACAATACAACACACACAATACAACACACACAATACAACAACACACACAATACAACAACACACACAATACAACAACACACATAAAACAACACACACACAATACAACAACACACACACAATACAACACACACAATACAACACACACAATACAACAACACACACAAAACAACACACACAATACAACAACACACACACAATACAACAACACACATAAAACAACACACACACAATACAACACACACAATACAACACACACAATACAACAACACACAATACAACACACAATACAACAACACACAATACAACAACACACACAAAACAACACACAATACAACAACACACACAATACAACAACACACACAATACAACAACACACACAAAACAACACACACACAATACAACAACACACACACAAAACAACACACACACAATACAACAACACACACACAATACAACACACACAATACAACAACACACAATACAACAACACACACAATACAACAACACACACAATACAACAACACACACAATACAACAACACACACAATACAACAACACACACACAATACAACAACACACAATACAACAACACACACAAAACAACACACACAATACAACAACACAATACAACAACACACACAATACAACAACACACACAATACAACAACACACAAAACAACACACACAAAACAACACACACAATACAACAACACACAATACAACAACACACACAAAACAACAACACACACAATACAACACACACAATACAACACACAAAACAACAACACACACAATACAACAACACACAATACAACAACACACACAAAACAACACACACAATACAACAACACACACAATACAACAACACACACAATACAACAACACACACAATACAACAACACACACAATACAACACACAATACAACAACACACACAATACAACAACACACAATACAACAACACACACAATACAACACACAATACAACACACACAATACAACAACACACACAAAACAACACACAATACAACACACAATACAACACACAATACAACACACACAATACAACAACACACAATACAACACACAATACAACAACACACACAATACAACAACACACACAATACAACAACACACACAATACAACACACAATACAACACACACAATACAACAACACACACAAAACAACACACAATACAACACACAATACAACACACAATACAACACACACAATACAACAACACACAATACAACACACAATACAACAACACACACAATACAACAACACACACAATACAACAACACACACAATACAACACACAATACAACACACACAATACAACAACACACAATACAACAACACAATACAACAACACACACAATACAACAACACACACAATACAACAACAACACACAATACAACACACACAAAACAACAACACACAATACAAAAAGTGCCCTAACCCCGTAACCCATTGACGGGACACAGTGGGGGAGTTGGCGGGGACGGCCGGGTGGTTTTTCCGCCAACGGGAATCATCAGCAGGGTGCTTGCGCTGTCATTGTCTCCGTGCGGCCAGGACGTTCTGGGAGGCCGCCTGGGTGCCCGGCTGCCGGGGCTCGTGGGTGCGGGAGGAGCGGCGGGAGCGGTGTCGGTGCCGCGGCGAGAGCCACGCAGCTCTGCTCGTGTGACCCCCCCCCCACCCCCCTCACCACACGCACCGGGGGGGTTTGGGAGGACGGAGGACGTGGGGTGAGTGGGGGGGGGGTCAAGCAACGCGCTCCGGCCTCACCGCGCTGGTCACTCGCCGACGTCTCCGTGAGACGCGCGCGTGCGTAGCCACGTGAACGCTCTCTGTTGCGCCGCACCGGGTAGAGATGTGAAGCCAGCCGTGGCGGGCGGGGGGCGAGCAGCGATGCGCGTGGTGTTACGCAAGTTCTCGCTCAGCCTTGTCCACACCGCCAGCTCAGAGGAACTGGATGCGTCTGCCAGGTTGTCCACCAAGACCGGGTCAAAGAGTTGAGGGAACAAAAAATGTGTCCATCGCAATATTATCTCAACTGTCAAGTGTGGTGCTTCTAAAGGACATTCAGTTCGTTTGAGCTGGTGGTCTAGATAAGGCTGAGCGCTCTTGGTGTGTTGTTAAATCTGTTTCTGGTCGGCTTTAATGTTGTTGGGTTCGTTGTTTTGTTGGGTTTTCAGTTCCAGATTTGAATTATTGAACCAGGTGTGGGCTGAGCGAAGGAACTGAGGTCACTGTCCATTCATTCTCTCATCTTGACCCGCAATGCCCTCTGTGGGACCACGTGTCGCGGTGCGTGGGCACACGACCGGCATCGCTCTGCGTGTCAATTGTGTTTTGTTTTAATCGAACCACGCGTGAGACCGAGTTGGCTCAGCGAGATCGCTACTCATCTCATCATCACCACCACCCACTCACCCTTCACCACCACCACCACCACCCACTCTTCACCACCACCCTCCTCACCGCGACCCCGTGCCACATTCCTCACCACGACGCGAGCGACGGGTGGCGACCGTGTGGGATTGAAACAGCGCGTGGTGGGGACGTGGGGTGAGTACAGTGAGGGTACAGGGACAGGGAGACAGGACGCTAGGGACAGGGAGACACGTGGGAGGGGGGAGGGTAGGGAGACACGGGGGGGGGGGGGGGGTGGTTGAGTGGGGGGTCCCTGTACGTCGCTGGGAGCCACGCGCGTCAATTAGCGCCCCCCCACCCCGCGAGCCCCCGAGGGAGCATCCCGGATTATCCCGGGGAGACGACGATGATGGAGGTGGCGGTAATGGAGACAACTCTGCGTGTGGCGTCAGACGACGTGGGCTGTTAAACCGCGGGGGTGATGATGATGATAATGGTGGTGATGATGATGATGGATAGGACGGTAGTACATATGAGATGACGTTGTTGTTGGTGATCATGATGGATGTGATGGTAATGATTTGCGTATTTTTTTCTGCTGTTGATGTGTGTGTCGGGGTGATGCTGATGGAATGTGCCGATGATGATGGTGATGCTGGTGACATGCTATGCGAATGAATGGAGATTTGCGTTCACGGATGTCGATGTTGTTTGGGATGATGATGATGATAATGATGTTGATGATAAAGCTGAGGGTGATGATAACGATGAGAGTGATGATTAGGGTGGTGAGGGTCGTGGTGGTGGTGATGATGATGATGGTGGTGGTGATGACGACGTTGCAATTCCGCCCACGTGAACTCGGATCTCTCCTGGGCACTCACTTCAATCTACCTCGACCAGTGTCAGTTTATAAAAAGTAGGTATATATTTATTGTTATATCCATTACCAACATTGTACCTTTATACCGTGTACCCTTTGTGCTGTGATGCTTTGTAAAATCCTTCGTGTGTTTTTATTTCGTGTTTGTAACTTTGTCAGTCCACTGCGGAATGAGGTGGGGGGGGGGGCGGTGTTTGACCATACTTCACCGCCCTGGTCAATGCGGGTTGGTGAAGGGGTGGGAGCGAGGTGGGCAGACAGCGTTCGGATATCGCTTGCCCACGGCTCGTCCGGGAATCGAACTCCGCTCACGGGGGTCCGCAGGTCAGTGTGCTAACCAATGCCCCGCCGCTGCCCGTGTGAAACCGTGAGACTTCAATCGTAAGGGCTGAATATTTGACAGTGTAGACAAAGATCCCCCGTGTTGCCTTTGAACAGGCTGTTGGGGAAAGTGCCCTGAGCGAGCACCCATTGTTAAGACCGGCACGGCACACGAGGGAGGATCTGTGTGGCCAAACTACGCCCGACCGACTATGTCTTCCTCTGGCGATGTCTACACACCGCACCAGCTACTCATTTAAGGCCGAGTGGACCTAGGGGAGGCCCAGAATGTGTTTAGATAATTATCGTCACTGGTGTTATTCGCCGTGAGCGGGAATCGAACTCGGGTCGCCGGGTTCGTAGTGCAGCGCGCAAAACGCTACACTACCGCTCCCCTACACAGACGCATACACACCTCCATCTCCACCCGCACCACCAACCATTCCACCCACACCTGCCCCTCCACCCTCACCCGCATCTTCTCTCACCGGCACATCCACCCGCACTTCCAACCACTCCTCCACCCACACCTGCCCTTCCACCTCCACCCGCATCTTCACTCACACCTCCACCCACAACTGCCCCGCCTCCACCTGCATCTCCACCCACACCTCCAGCTCCACCTGCCACCCCACACCTGCCCCTCCACCTAAACCTGAACAAAAAGCCCCGCCCTTGAATCCCCCCACACACCCACGTGTCTCGTGCCACCCCGCCCGGCTCTTCACACGCTCGCGTCTGCGTCGAGAACGTCCGTAGGGAATCGACTCCACCGGCCGTGCCGGGGCCGTGCCGGGGCCGTGCCGGGGCCGTGCCGGGGCCGTGCCGGGGCCGTGCCGGGGCCGTGCCGGGGCCGTGCCGGGGCCGTGCCGGGGCCGTGCCGGGGCCGTGCCGGGGCCGTGCCGGGGCCGTGCCGGGGCCGTGCCGGGGCCGTGCCGGGCCGTGTATATTAATTAACGCGTACAGGGACGGGGGTGCGAGCGTGGTGCTGGCCTCGTGTGCCATGCCGGCCCTCATCGATGCTCCTCCCGAACAGCACTTGCCCCCAAAAGTCTGTTAAGGCTCTACGGGGGGCCTTTGTCTTCGTGAGCTAGTGACACACTCATTAGCACGTGGATAGACGGATATGTGAGACATTCATTGTGCTTATCCAGTTCGATGCTTATATTCGATTATTACGTTGTTAAACTTTTTTTTGCATCACGGGTAACCGCATGAAAAGAGATAAAAACCGGTTCGCCGCCCATAGAATAGTCTGGCATTAAAGCTACCGTGACATTGGTTTGCCCCTTTTTAACTTGAGCAACGAAGGCAGCTGCCACAGTGGTGCCAACGTCTCGCGAACTGGGCTCGCAATCCGGAGGTGGCCGGGTTCAAACCCAGTACACCGGCGCGGTAACCGACTGGAAACGGTTATCGGTTCACAACGATATTCACTCCGCATTTCCCTGGAGCAGTGTGTCGCCGGGATGGCAACGCAGCGCGCTAACCGCTACACCCCCGCAGCCCCACCGATACTGCGCACGCCATCACGTAGTACTTCATACTCACACCGTGCACAACACACATGCATGCCACACACACACGCCTTCGTTTAAAGATACATTAATGTACTCTATTATAATTCATACCAGCAAAACTTTACACGTCACCCCAAAAGACAAAGACTGATATCCACAACACGCGCAATCCGTACGCATCACACGCATGCCTTGTACAGCGCGAATTCCGGCCATACTTTAAACACGCATACTCACGTGACGTTACGCTGCATATCAGAGATAAAGATCGCCCGTATAGCCTCATCAGACTGTTGGGGCAAGTGCTGTTAGCGAACACCAATGAAGGCCGGTACGGCGCACGAGGATGGCCAGCACTACGCCCGACCGCCTTTCTCTCCCTAGTGGCGATGTTTACACACCGCAACAGTTACCTATTTGAGTCGACCTAGGTAATACTCAGAACCGATTCAGATAATCGTCACTGGTGTTGGCCGTGAGCGCGAATAGAGCTCGGGTCGCCGGGTCTCGGAGCGCAGCGTAGCGACGACCATTGCACCGCCGCTCCACACCAGCCGTACATATACCACGCTCGCGTGCGCCAGGAACCCCTTCTCACTGGGACACCCTCGAGGCTCCTCCACACTCACCCTACGCTACGCACCTGTCCAAGTATCGGGGCGGGGGGGGGGGTCACACGAGCGTGGAGGGCGACCAAGTGTCGCCCGCTTTTGTGTCCAGACGGAGAGAGCGAGGGAGATACAAAGACGGACTTTATTTTTTGTACGAGCGTGGAGCTTTGCCGACGAGAGGATTTTAAGCCCCGACAGATCGCAACAAATCGCGTGGGAAAGACGAGGCGACCGCATTCGTCAAGATTTTGTCTCTCGGTCTTTATTTACATAAATCAATCACAGCTCGTCATTGGAAATCACAAAACAAAAAACGTTCACGGCGCGTGAGGTTATTCCGAGTTAGGGTGGTTCAAACGATAAGAGTTAAAAGCGAGGCTTATAATTCCCCCCCCTCCCCCCCCCCCCAAGGAATATTTTGGCAGTCGCTGGTAGACTGGAGGTGGTGACACGTGGCTCGTTAGGCACAGCCATAGCGAGAGGTATACATGACGTGGTGTGCCGGGTACAGCAGGGACAGCAACCTGTTGAAATTAAGCCCCGGTTAAATCTACCATGGTTTAAGCAACATTTTCCATTCAGATCGACTTTAAATATTGACGCGCGATTCTCACGTGTGGCTTTTTCTCGGTGCCATCCGCTCTCCTGTCTCAGTTTTTTTAGAAGAATATGGTGGCGTGTGACGCGTCTGGGATCGGTCGATCGTTTAGGGAAGGAGACATGGCGAGGGTGGGGGAGATCATCAATTTTGATTTAAAGCTTTCGTGACTGCAGGGATTCATATTCTTGGTTCTTTCGGTAAAGTCACGTAGAAGGGAAACAATAAAATAATAATTTGTATATTTTTATCATTTTATTGTTTCCCTTCTACGTGACTTTACTGAAAGAGATCATCAATGTTGAGCGGAATTAACCAGCGTTGTTTATTAAACACGCCAATACGTTTAGTAATTTTCTAGTGTCGGTTCATGTCTTTTAGAGATTCAAGTTCATTTACTGGATTGGAATGGCACTGCTACACTAACACCGTGAACGGAAATTTGCACATGGTGGAAAATTATAACCATAATAGATTTGTCTTTCTTGGAATAGCCAAACCTATGGATCAAAAAAATAAAAATTGACAAGGAAAATGGAACAAAAGCTGAAAGCGCACAAAAATATGCTACATGTAGCAGTACACGCTACATGTAGCTGTACAAAATCACGTAGCGGTATACCTCCGATTAGCGTGGTTGGCTACATACGGTGCGAAAGAAGTGAAACGTGAAAACAAAACTGGGTCTGCTTGTCGAGTCCAAGGTGGGGGCTAGCGTTAGAGGTTGGGATAGAGGCTGTTTGACTGGCTAGTCCGTGTTAGTGGTCAACACCAAAGTGACAATCTAAACTCCTAAATAGAGGCACTGACTGAAATGGTAGTATGGCACACACCAGCCATACAGTCTATCCCTACCCCTAACCACACGAAGCCAACTAGCGTCCCGTATGTGCAACATCCATCAAGTATTTCCATTGAATATCACATAAAAATGTATAAGTTACAACAAAATTATTCTGGTGTTTTTATGTCATTGGCAATGGACCACAACCCTCTACCGGCACCTCCACCGACGCCGTTTCACTCCCAGAATCCCCTTTTCACTTTTCTTCCACTTTTGGGGCGCCCACAGCACCAGTTGGTGCAGCGCTCTGCGGCTCCCTCTTCAAAGGCATCGCTGGGGCCGCCGGCTCCCGGCCACTCGTCAAAGTGCCACACAAAGGGCATCCTTGTGAATGCAAATGTGAAACGACAACAACTGTGAGAGATTCGCTCTCCCCCCCCTTCACTCTCTCTCAGCCCCCACCCCTTGTGGCTCCTCGCAAGCATTCACCTGCTCCATCCAAATCTCACTCCCAACAAAGGGCCACAGTGTGTGGCCGGGTGAATGCCGTGGCCGCACGGTGCCCACTCCCCGCCCCCCCCCCCCCTTGCCGTGCAAACCGCTTTCATCAATGGGGTCGCTAACCTGCATTGAAAAAAAAAATCACGTGAATAAAGTCGAAGCTAGTTATACAGGCGCAGTTATGATGTCAGCAACGCGTCATTACGTGAAGCTGCCCTTTTGTGATACGGATGCACTTTGGATATAATCACGGTTGGACCTGCCACCAAGCGACGTCCTTGCATTCAGCCTGGCGGAGCCACGGGGACAAGCCGATGCTCGTGCGCAATGGTAAGGCCACGCAACCGTTTCCATTAACACCGTCTTGTGAAATTATAAATGACGCTACGGTTTTGGAAAAGTTGCTTCTCTTCAGAAGAGAGAGAAAGAGAGAATCCAGAATATTTTAACATAGTTGGGAGACGTTTGTATGGGCCGTGCTTTGAATAAAACTGTGATATCGTTTTTTAAGTCCATACGTTTCGTAGAGTTGATCAACGGTTTTCTCCGTGGTCAGTTTTAGCGCAACATTCGTGTTTTCGCCAACGTTCGACTCGGTCCCATTTTTTGGCAAAATCTCGCCGACGGCCCCACCGCCAACAGCAGGCGATGCATTCACCCCCCCCCCCGCCCCCAACGAGTTTCGCAAAGCGGGGGTGGGTCTGGCCCAAACGTGCAACAGAGCAACTTCAAAACGGCAGAATGAACAATATTTGCAGGCCCTTACTTTAAACACAGCCGCCAAACAATCCCACGGAACACGCACTCGCTCCGGCCCACACCGTTCCCAAGACGGCGAGCGAGCGTGCATGCGGGCTGCCTGACCGCTATTCCACAATGGCCGCAGGGGCACACGATGACAACCGGCTGTCATCGGCCTCTCGGCTCGCCGCCGAGGGCCTGTGGTCACCGACGGCCCAGTACGAAGATAGACGGACGGACGCGCCCCCACCCATCACGGCTCCCCGAGCGAGGTTCGCGTCAGCGATCGCTTCCATGCCCTCCCACCCCGGTATGGCGCAGGTATGCGTCCCTTTATTTCGACGAGGTGAGGACTCCGATGAGAAACGGTTTGAATTCAGTTTATTTTCAGCGTGAATGAGCAAAACTCTCGTTGGACGGGGATGGTTTTTGCTACACGTCACTCTTGCAAACTATGGCAGAGGGCCCCTTAAAATCGAATCTATAGAAGAGGATAATTCCCAATGAGAATTAAACGACAACAATAAAAATCTGTGCGAAGCGCAAGTCAGTCGTAGCCGCATGACGCATTTACAATAAATCGAGTCGCGCTGCGGTAACACCTCGGCCGTTTCCACCGTTCGAGTTTCCTTCTCGCAAACCTGAGCCACGCGCGCCGAGCGACGGTGGAATGCTGCGGGTTTGGGTGAAAGGAGAACGAGCAGCACGAGAGTGAAAGGCGGCACGGGCGGTTACAGCAGCGCGGTCTCAGAGGTGGGTTGTGCTGGTGGGGTGGGGGTCCCGTGGGGGGGGGGGGGGGCGCGTGGGCTCAAGCCCCCAAATTCCTCGCATTCCCACGAGCAACAGTTTGCACAGGGACCAAAGGCAAGGAGAAGCGAGCGTGAGAGCCCATACATTAAGGTTTCCATAGTGACAAACGACACGGGAGTGCGCCACGGCACGGCCAGAATTAGGTGTTAACGCGCAAATGAGGCGTTTCATTAGTGGAAGGAAAGCGATGGCGGGCTCTGTGATTTAAGGCGGTGAGGGTGTAGTGTCTTTGTGCGCACGCACGTGCCATCTTGGAAAGCGGTGGTGTAGCGGTTAGCGCGCCGCACTCTGAACCCGGCGTTCGGAATTCGATTCCCGCTCACGGACAACACCAGTTACAATGATCTGAACTGGTCCTGGGGCCTCCCCTAGGTCTACTCGGCCTCAAATTAGTACCCGGTGTGCCGTGTAAACATGACACACTCGGGGAAACAAAGGCGGCCGGACACGGTGCTCGCCACTCGTCCCGACGTCTGCCATGCCGACCTTCATAGGTGATCAATATTTGATAGGTGATCGCTAACAGCACTTGCCCCAACAGTCTGATAACGCCTATATGCGATGGGGGGGGGGGGGGGGGGGGGGGGGGGGGGTCTTTGTGTGCCGTCTTGGTGTGTACATTTGCACATTGCGTGCTTACGCTGCCTCGCTCCCCGTTCGCGCTGCGTTCCATGTGTGGGGAGCACGCACGCACGCGCGCGATGGCGAGCGTATTCGCATGCCTGCGTGCGTCCGTGCCGAGAGCCGATTTCAGGGAAATAATAAACGCATAGCGGCAGTACCGGCAGCCCCAGCAGTGCGTGAGTGCGGCACGCGGGCCGAAGGCCGTCACACGTGCGCTGCGCGTGCGCGAGCCCCCTTGCGTGCATGCGTTCTTACTTTATATGGAGAGCGCTGTTGTTTGACCAGTCAACACGCAGGTTGTGTAAACAAAAAAAACACAAAAATACAATAATTTTGCCGGGAATAGAAACAAGTCGACAAAAAAGGTGAAACGATCCCAGCTCTTGTGGTCGTTCGTCAATACAAGGATGCCAGGCATGCAACGATCCGCCATCTCCAGTCGATTAATCGTCACAGATTGTGGTCGAGATGGATAGATTTTTGTTGTTGCCATATGGGTGAAATTAGCGTTTAAGGGGTCACGCGAACCCATGCCGTACAACGCACGATTCGAAAATAACAAAGCCTCTGCAGACGTGATTCGACACAAGTATCGGGGGCGTATCGTTACATGCCTCGCACACAGCAACCACAACAACAACAATAGCCGACATTCGCCACTAAGCTGACGGTGACCTCGCCACATCACTTGCGCCATCCTAAGGCGCATGCTTTGAGGTCACGTGACATGTCGGAGGCTCGCTGGGAAAACGTTACGAAACAGACCCAGGCGTGAACCTGGGTTAACTGACCGAGGTAAATCGCGCATTTCGCACGACTTCATCCACACAAAGGCCCTCGCGAGTGTCGTTTGCGAGTTGCCGTCCCAGCCGCCACCGCCATCGTCGTCGTCGTCGTCGTCTTCGTCGCTAGCGAGCACGGTGCTCGCCGCTGGCTAGAGCTTGCGGACCTGCTGGTTGGTGCTCCTGACCCGGGTGTCCACCTTGTCGACCCGCGACGTCAAACGGTCGATGACCTCGTCCTGCTCGCCGATCTCCATCTGCAGTCCCAGCGCCAGGCCCTTGAGGCGTCCGAGGCCCATCCCGATGTCCTCTGTCGGGGTACGGGACAGGCGCACGCGACGCGGCTATGAGCGGGGGTCGCCGTGATATGACGACGCTTTTAATTGGTCGTTAACTGCTTTTGGTGTTCGCTGTATTCTTATAGCGCAAGGCTGTTGGTAAGGAAGGGGGCTACGTTTCACGGACAATTGTATTCGGCAGTATTTTCACAGAAAGGGCACAATTTTGCGATGTGGCTTTCACCAATTCGGTAATTTGCGAGTAAATTTAAAATCAAATTTTTATCGTGATGCTGGCGCACGTGCCTCAGAGACATGTGGCAGGCTGAGGTTGAGTGATCTGCAGCTTAAAGTAATCTCCGTTCGTAATGGAAGTACAGCAAAGCACGGAAACAAAACAATTAAAGTATAAAAGGTACAGGGGAAACTGATATCGTGATAATTATCACATCGTGAAAATCGTATCGAAGAGCAAGCCCGCCCTCCTGCACGTCCCATAAACACGCACTGCTGCGATCAGGAGACAAACACGGGACTCCCACGCCTGTGTGGCGTCACGGTGTGAAAGTAAATTAATTATCTCAAACATTTTTATGGATGCGAGCAAACTTTTCCAAGTCTAATGCAGTAGAGTGAGGCCCTCCCCTCGCCACGCGGGGTCGAGAGGGTTGCGTGACCGTACCTCACCACGCAGCTCAGCGCGGCCTGGTGAGGGCGAGGAGCGTAGACGTGGGAGCGTAGCGGAGTACAACAAAGGATTTTTGCTGCCCCACAACGTAGCCCTACAGCAGCCTACAACACCTGCTGAATGCACGGTGGTAACTCATCCAAGCACTGTCCAGCTCAAACCTCCGTTTACTTTCCGAGATCGGGCACATTTGCGGGCGATTTGATCATAAAGTACGATTTTGATTTAAAGCTTTTGTGACTGGAGGGATTCATATTCTTGGTTCTTTCGGTAAAGTCACGTAGAATGGAAACAATAAATAAATTATATGTTTTATACATATATTTTGTTTTACTTTATTGTTTCCCTTCTACGTGACTTTACCGAAAGAACCAAGAACATCAAGTACAAGTTGAAAATCCCAGAATTTCCAGATTTAAATGCATCATTATTCTGCTAAATGCGGTGCGGCGCACAGGCGCTACACGCGAAACGCTCCACCATTTAGTTGAGCTCGCGTCCTTTTTTATTGCACAAGTGTGACATTTGCAACGAAGCAAGAAACCATTCTGGGGATGCGGCCGGTCTGACCTGCAGGCCAGAAGATTATCGGCCAGAAACATTTGTGTCGCAAGGTGGAAAAAGGGATTTTTAAAAATATAATAATTATAGCATTTCCTAGCCGGAGCTGTCACTGGAGGGGCGGCAGACGCCTCGGCACCCATCAGCTGTGTAAACACGCCGGGCGATTCGGTGGATCGCACCACATAGTTACTCTCTCGCGGCGACGACGACGCAGATGCACTCTGCCTCGGGCCCCACCGTGGGTGTGTGCTGCACTACACTCGATTCAGCCTCAGCACACGCATCAGGTGGGCTTTTCAAAATGCTTTTCACTTTAAAACCTCAAAAAATAAAAGTTATTGTACGTTTGTAGTCCAAAAGAATTCCGATGACGCGTTTTGCCCCGAGGAATGTCCACCAAAGTAAGTCTGGGCTGCCCTCCACTGTTTAAGGCGGTGTGTGTTCAGGAACGTGCCCCCCCTCCGAGAATGATTGTTTAAGGGTGCTTTATTAATTACAATTATTATTATATCGCAGGATCGTGAGAGGTGGCGGTGGCTTGGGGGGTGGCCTTCATCCAGCAGCGGTTTGTCCACATCTGATGTTGATCAAAAGTTATGAGAATTTACTTTTCGCGGTTGTTTTTTATTTTTTTCTTCTTATTTTTCTTCTTCCCCATCCTGAGAAGGTTATTTTATCCACGCAGCAGCACAGGTATTTACGTCGATCAATGAGCTTTTCCCAGGAATAACTCGTAGCACGTGCGATTCTATGCGCCATAAATTTAATCCACACGCGATGACACATGCGGGGGGAGGGGGTGGGGGGGGCAGCGGCCCTTAGTGCATTCCCGGGCAGACACACAAAGTAAATCTCAACCGAGTCGATGCTCGTCGCACACCCCTCACTCCCCGCGTGCATTCCATCGCAAATCCCCTGCCATCGGATCCCCCGCGGATCCCCTGCGGATCCCCCGTGCACATACATAAGGGGGTGGTGGGGGGGGCAATTGCTACCCCATAAAGAAAAAAATGTAAATAAACGACTTGACCTGAAATCCACGCTTGTAAACCCCACTTAAAGGAAATAAAAACACGCAGGGCCGGACCCTGCAAGCGCTCCAACGAAAATATGCGCAATGACAAACGGAACGCGTCTTGTCTTGACAGCGGGCGGGAAAGGGGGGCGACCGCCAAGGGTGCACGGTTTCACAAATGCCGCGACAGGTATGGAGATACGATACGCATCTCCTGGACCTGCCAGCTGGCGGTAAATAACAGAATCTTTTGAGCTTGCCCCATAGGATTTCTCCCGGAGAGGGATACTTACATACTTGGTGGGATCACATATATTATCTATATCCCGATTTTCCCTCATCCACATTATGTACAAATGCAAGGTTTATAGCGGTCAGAATCTCGTGACCTCGAGCTGCGACGTGGAAATTCAGTCTCAAAATCCCTTATCTAGAACGGCAGAATGAGAATGCCAAAAGCAGTTTACAAGTTTCACACTACATTTAAATATATTCTGTCATTTTAACGAGTGTTTTGCATGTGGTAGAGACTCGAAATCCATTGGCGCACTTCGGGTACAAATGGACATCATCACTCATCAGTTGATAAGTTCCACGTGTGTGAATATTTGCAACGAGCGCACACGCACACTCCGAGAGAACTGTGGCTGTTGTGGCGAATTCCTGGTGTAGCCCACGTTGCCCATCGGCAAGCACAAGCTGGGTGTCACAAACTTCAGTCCTGACGAGCCACCAGGGTACACACGCCCTTACCCACGCTGACCAATTTTGCCTCCATTCAAATCGAACCGATGACGTCAAAACACGTTCCGCGTGATGTATATTGCGGTCCTGTGTGTGTGCGTGCCTGTGTGCGCGTGCCTGCGTGTACATGGCACCTGGGTCTGTCCCGTGACCTCCTGTCATCGAGCCTTCGATACTTCATGTGGCCTCAAAGTGCACCTGGCCTGGCACAGGTGCCGTGAAGACGTCACCATCACTTAGTGGCGAATGGCAGGTGTTGCGTGCCAAGTGTTTTGCGAAAACAGCTCGTTCAAATTAAATTAAGACGGGGACCTTGTGATTGAGTGCGCGTTCCAGGCGATGCAGATTAAGAAACGCTCATGCAGCGCATAACCACTCATTGTATATTATAATTCACTTATATTTGAATGGCGAAGACCGATAAACGTGGAAAGGTGGACTCCGGTTGGTGGCAAGGACTGGAGTTTGAGAAACTACCATAGTGTCTTGTACAGCTGCTGCAGTGCCCCCTAGTGCCGAGGTCTTGTGATAGTCAAAGACAAAGATCCCCCCGTATAGCGTTTAACAGACTGTTGAGGCAAATGCTGTTCGCGAGTAGCACCTATGAAGGCCGACACGGCACACGAGGGGGTGGGTGACCAGCACCACGACCGGCCGCCTTTGTATCCCCAGTGGCGATGTTTACACACCGCACCAGGTACTCATTTGCGGCCGAGTCGACCTAGGAAAGGCCCAGGACCAGTTCAGATAATCATCACTGGTGTTGGCCTTGAGCGAGAACTAAACTCGGGTCGCCGGGCTCATAGGGCAATGTGCTAACCACTACACTACCGCTCCCCACTGTGTTGGCGTCACACATACGCACGCACGCACACGCGTGTCTCACCCAGGTCGTTGTCCATTTTCTGGTGGTACGCCTGCAGCACCGGGTTTTTCTTGGAACCGTCAACCTTGGCAGCACCACCCGGCATCGTCTCCGATCCAATGTCGTCATAAAAACCTGCGCATGCCATCGCGGCACAACCGTGGGTCACAACAAACGCGCGAATAATGCCAGCCAAATCGCTACCCTCCGTGTGTTCTGTCAATCGCTAACATGCTTACCGAGCGTAAACTGAATCGCTTTAAATATCCTGTGTTTTATTAAACAGTGGAGTGTATGAGGGGGGCATAAAAATATATATAAAAACAAAGAGCACTTTATAGCCATGAAGACCGTTGGGGCCAGTGCTGTTCGTGAGCGCCTATTAAGGCCGGCACGGTGCAAGAGGCAGTTCGGTAGCCAGGGCCATGCCCAACCACTTTGTCTCACCAGTGCTGATGTTTATACACCAGCTACTTATTTAATGCTGAAGAGACCTGGCGAGGCCCAGGACTGCTTCAGATACCACCTGCAGGGAATTGACCTCAGGGAACCGCGTTCAGTTGTGCAGTGTACGCTAACCACTACTAAAGGATCTTTAACAGTTTGGCCATCCCTGGGTTGGCGAATAAGAGACGCAGGTTTGCGTGGATCAGACTATTGAACAGGGCGGCTGGTCCTTACCAGCCATCTCTTGTTTCCTAAGCACGGGGTGGCAGTCCTCATACTGACTCTGAGTCTCTTTACTTTTGTCTAGCGCCTCCTGCAGCCTAAACAGAGCACGCACAGCAGGGACGTCAACACTCGGCACATGGCGCAAAACAATTTATACAAACACTGCAGCATTTTTTTGCATGTTCAGTTTGGTGTCCTTCCCCTGCACCTCCGATTAGCACGGTTAGCTACTTACGGTGCCAAATAAGTTCAACATACATACATCTAGTTTCTAAACGCGAGCGCAGTTAGAATGCTGCATTGACCCAATTGATTAAAATAATTTATTCCGCTCGCGATAAAATCGTGCGTGTAAAAATCTATTGTTGTATGCACTCGTTACATTTAGTTAGGGTAACGGAGTGAACAGAGCTGCTAGACAACATAAGCGTGAGAAACTATGTAAAATGCAATAAAAACAACGCAAAAATAATATTCTTGAGTCGAATGTCCCTGAATCATGACAATTCATCACATCGATATGGAAGTGACTGTGTTACACGCAAACTGAAAACACACACACACATTAAACACACCAGCACACTGCAGTCAGTATCTAGTGGCGTGTATTCATTCCAAAAGCTTCTGTGTCCCCCATCTCATGTACTAAAATGTCATTGCTCTCTGTGACAATCTTTATAGAGCTACACGTGTTCGTTGCGCTCATTTACATCCAATCCAAGGCACCGTGCTGCGGTCCACATCAAATTTGTATTTACTCGGGTTTGTAGGGCACTGCCATACACTTGCCAGTGAACAAGTCACATGCCCGTGCTCATGTGACGGGAGGAAACGGATTGAGTGATCGATTGCACAATGTGCAGTGTGCAGTAGCCATCCTCCTGTCAAAGCCTCTCGAGTTAGCGGCTAAATGGTGTCCTTGTGTTGCAGTTTTGAGCTGCCCATAACGACTTTGTATGTTTGTTGAATTTATTTCGCGCCGTACATAGCCAACCATGCTAATCAGAGATGTGGGGGAAGGACAACAAAGTCAACACAAAAAGGAGTTCTAAAGAAATTAGTTTTAAATCTAGATTTAAGAGTGGATAGCTCCAGTGGCTTCCTAATATCGGAAGAACGTTCCATATGGCCGCAGAAACGCATCTGAAAGCGTGCGATGAGGTGACCGTCTTTGTTTGATGGTTAGCCAAAAGATGCTACGAGGCTGACGGAGTTCGCGTGATGGTTCATGCTCCTTGACAAGATCAACAAGGTATCGTGGTTCATTTGTGGCAAGCACTTTGTGTGTAATAAGTGCGACCTTATGAATATTTTTGTAATATATTTTAGTAATTACTAGTGACCAGGCTGAGCCCAACAACTCACTACAATTGAGAACCCAGTTTAACCACAAGAAGCCAAAACCCCTGTTTCAAACCCAGGATCTGAGCAGCGCTGGTGGGGAACTACAACCCGATACTAGTGCCCTTTTTCATTTTCTTTCTTTCGTATGGCTGATGTAGATGCAGAGCAACAACTACAATTTGACATTCAGGTGTTACTCGTGCCCTGTGACCATTGTATTCCACACAGAGCTTGATCACAGTCACGGGGGGTGGTTTTCGAGACAGAAATTCTGTACAGAGCTCCAACTCGGTGGGGTTGGTACACCCCCCCCCCCTCTTTTACGCACCTGGCATTCCCACGGGCGGTGTCCTCTACGGGGGGCTCTGCTTTTGGGGGCTCTGGTTTGGAGCGGAAGTAATTGGCCAGGCCCCCGAACACGCTCTTGATGCTGCTGATGTGCCTCTGGCTGATGGTGAGGTCGCCGTCCATTTTGTCCAGGGTCTTTTCGGTGCGCCGCAGAGCCTCGCCCTGGCGAATCAGCTCCTGCGTTTGGTCAGGGAGAAGTGGGCACCATGGTGGCGAGATGTTAACAACCTCGTCTGGTATACAGGAGGTCGTAGGTTCGATCCCAACCCCAACGCCTGCTGTATATTAGGAGTTTGCAAGTCTCTCTCTCATAATCACGGTGGCTAGGAGATGTTAACTACCTCGCCTGGTATACAGGAGGTCGTGTGTTCGATCCCGATCCCGACCCTGACGCCTGCTGTATATTTGGAGTTTGTATGTCTCTCTCCCTGTGGTCGTGTGGATTTTACCCCCGGTCCTCCGGTTTGTCCCTCCACATTTGGAATTTGCACAATGATTAAGCCACTGCACTGAACCATCATTTCGCTTCTGAAAGAGAGCTATGGAGCTCAGTGGCCTTTATCAATCTAAGGCGCATGGTGCCTTAAGATTGGATGTAAAATAAAAAAATAGTTTGTATTTTATAAAAAACACAACGTATTTTTAACGCAACAATGCCTTCATCTGCCTGCCTTTTTCCCACCGTCAGCCCAGCCTCCTCCAACCCTCAGGGGTTCTTCCTCGGCCACGCACCTAGTGTTGCCAAAGTTAGCGAATTCGTCGGTAGATCTTGTGGACTTTTTGTGTTTTAGAAGTGGCTCACATTTCGTCAAGCGGCATACGTCGAGTGGCTCTCTGGGACGAGGGATATGAAGCGTAACCCTGGAGTGAATCGATGTCTGCGGTAAGGATCCTGTGTCCTTTTAACCATATTTAGCCACTTGATAAATTGCCAAGCCGTAAGCGGCACAAGATGAGTGCACAGACGTGAGGTGTTGTTCCGCAGCTGACCTCAGCTACGAAGGAGACAGAAGTCTCCAGACCCCCTAGCCTTCCTGTCCATCTGTCCCACAGCTTCTCTGTGACCGTGTCTCTCCCCACTCCCTGTCTCCCCATGTCCCTCCCTGTCTCCCCATGTCCCTGTGTGTCTCCCCATGTATCCCCCTCCCCAACTCACCACGACCCCAAGGTTATCCCTCCATATATATTCCTCTTCACAGCACATCCTTGTCCCCATGAGTGTCCTTGCGTCCCGTTCGTCCACCGCTCCCCCCCCCCTAGGCTCTCTCACCGTTTCTCTCCCCATATCCGATTGTCACACCGTGTCAACCCGTACGGTTTAGCGCCGTATTCTTGTACAAGGGAAATTGAGTTTCCAGGTACACAGGGCGTACAGCCGTTTCAATAGGGCCAACAAACATTTGTGTTGTCTCATTGTTTGCGTTTCTCCCTTGCGATGGGGACTTTGTAGGATGAACGTCGAGACGTATAAGGGGCACGGGGTGACCAATAAAGGTCTGGATTGGTCTGTAATAAGCTAGGGCACTAGACAAGCGATTACTTTGTCAGCATAAATAAATACAAGTTCCCGGTGCAGTCCACCCCGCGGTCTCAGTCCACCCGTCCCAGCGAGTTAACGCCGCACGTCTCTCGCCGTGTCCCCCGATGCTCCCCGTAACCCTTCGGGGTCTCCACGACGGGGTTATCCCCGGTGTCACCCCTTCGCGTACCTGGGCCGTCTCCACTCCGACTTTCTCGGAGTCGGCGATGAGCCCCGCGGAGCGCCCCGTGCTCTGCGCCATCGCGCGCTGCCGCCTCAACACCTCCTGCCTCAGCTCTTCTTGCCGGGTCCGCGGCGCCTCGAACTCCTCCTCATCATCATCATCCTCCAACTTGTCTGCCCTCCTCCTCATCCACGCATCGTCGTCGTCGTCGAAGGGGTTGACGCCGCCGGCTCGCGTCGTCATCGCGGACAATAAGACGGACGGCGAGAGACGGAGGTAGTTTTATAATGGCGGAGCGATATGGGGGGGGGTGGATTAGATTTCGCAGTCGGGATAAGCGGCTCTGAGGAAGGGCGGGGGGAGGGGCAAGGCCGGGGCGGGGATTCTCGGCCGGGCCGCCCAACCCACTAGGCCCGGCCTCCAACAGACGCGTCGAGTATTCATTTTTGTCTGTAAGTCAACGGCGACTATGAGGTAACTATTCGCACGCAAATGTACAAACTTGTCATCAAGAAAATTGTTTTTTTTTTAATCGTCGGTGTTAACGAGTGCGGTCTCCAGCTCGTTTTGGACATCGGTGAAAACGATTTATTGTACTCCAGGACGTCTGTGTGGAAAGAGCTTTTTGACTTTTCGGATTTTCCTCCAGCTGTAAATAAATTATTCTGATTATTATTGCCTGGCCTCTCGTGTTGTGAATGTTGAGGGCTATTGTTAGAAACGTGGCCTATGCCGGTACAATTAGATTTTTTTTCATTTTAAAGGCCACAGCGTTATTGACGAACGCTTTGAGTTGTTTTTTTGCACACATTGTTGGTTGCATGCAACTGAATTGCTTACGTGTGGACGTCTCTGCAACCAGTTGCACGATCAATTTCTTACACGAAGAGGGGAAAAAATCCCCGATGGCTGAGAGACAGATGTATGAGGGAGACGTATTATTGTCTGCCCATGTTCTACTTTGAAGTGATGTATCGTATCGCCGTGCGAGCTGATTAGGGCTTGATCGTCACGATCCTGAGGAATGGCGAGATTGAAGAGTGATCTCGACCGCCCTTAAGTCTCCTCTTAACTTACGCATTTTATTCTGCGTCAAATCCCACGTGGAACCGGGAGTTTGGACAGGTCTTAGCCCACGCGATTTACAGAATTGTAATTTGTATTATTGCAATTTGTAGAATTGCGTGAGGCCGCTCTGTGGTACTCAGGCCCCCTGAATCCGCGGTTGGGATTTTCGTTGTCACTAGATCCCCCCCCCAACGCAGTTGCAGGAGATGAAGCTTCTCTTAATTCGAGAGCGACCTTATTAATGTTTGTTTTACGCAGCAATACACAAACAATAGCGGTGAACTGGTCAAATTTTTTACAATAAACGAATAGGTTCTTGAAATGTTTGAGGACAGTGGAACGTTAAAAACTGGAAACTGCAAACGAGACGGTGAACAACGGAAACGGAGTGAAGAATCGGGAGTTTGAGTCGAAAATCTCTGCCCGAATTGAGTAACGCGGCTCATGGATACTAAACATGTGGTCAGAGTAGGTGATACTAACTCAGTCGCTCAAGCACACTCGGCAATATTTTTTTATTCAAAGCACCAAACTGCAATAACTCAAATCAACAAAGCACTCCAGCCTTAAATATGCCAATGATGTTTACTGTATTTGTCCTGGAAAGGCCAGTCTCACTGATTGTTCATTAGGGCCATCTAATGGGATGTGTTGCCAATCCCGTATTAATGAGTGGTGTTTGCTTCGTGTGGCAAGAAAGCAGAGTAATTGGGAGAAAACCCACTGCACACAGGAGGGGAGAATGCTCAAAAATGTCCACGCGAATGGCTTCACAAGCCTACTTGCTGTACTGACACCTCTCGGCACGTCGGAGCCTAGCGAGTTTGGCAGTCTCTTTGTGATCCACCAACCCCGTCCTCCAAAGCGCTGGGGACCACAGGTGTGCACCACCACACCTTCAGTAGGTGGCGTGTGACACTTTGCCTTTAAATCAACACAAAACGATGCACACTGAAACCCTAATATTTCCCAACTTCGTGTCACGCGGCCGCTCACATTTCGAACGCGTGATCTCAACAGTGCCAGCTCAGCGCTCTGACCTCTGAGCCACCCGGGCACCCCACACTCGCCAAAATTAAATCGCCACCAGCTGATTGGAATTGGGGTTTAATACGATTCATCATTTAATATATTCAAATCGGTCACTAAGTCCAGGTAGCCAGAGTCAGATACCGGTGACTTAACGGGTTCTCAAGTGTGATGAGTTGATGGTCTTAACCCAATCACCAATCACTGCACAAAAGAACCATAATATACAATTTAGTTTCTGGAATTTATTTGGATAAATGTTATCCCTGAAAATGAAAAAAAACATGCCAATCCGGAGTGATCTCTACCAACAGTGGCCGGGCCAGACCAGCTGTTGCCTGGGTGGTGAAGGTCCCGCATTGCCACCCATCGTCACGCCGTGGTCTGCGTCATGCGACGGATGTCGGCGATGAGTTTGGAGGCAAAGGTGCGGTGGTCGAGAGGTCGCGTGTCCATCATCACTGCCTTGAGGCGCATCTCATCCTGCGAGGGTGTGCATGTGAGGGCAAAGGGGTAGGGGCAGGAGAAAATCAGCCACCACAGGCGTCAATTCGATACAATACAGTGCAATTTGAAGATATATATACATGGCGTTTGAATGCGAGCACATGTCAATACGCTGCATAGAAAACTGGGCGTGTTAATTTCACAGAGGAAGTCGCTATAGTGATACGGATGAGAGGAAGAGGCCGTCGCGTTGGTGAGGTTCTCACGTTGTAGTGCTCGGCCTTGACTCGCAGGCGGAACATGTACGAGCGGAACGTGGCCTCGTGAAAGATGCGGTCGATGGCTTCGTCATCCTGCAAATTCGCGCAGCACACGGGGAACGCTGTCAGTGCCTGGTGTCGGGGGGGCTCCGGATCTCGCAGAGTGGCGGCAGCCCCCTTGCTTCTCTGCTCGCCGAGATCCCTTAAAGCGACCACTGGGTCGCAGGGCAGCATCTTGCCACCTGAGCCTGCTACACAGAGTAACGGTCGTCGCGTGACAATGAAATACCTCCGAGGACAAAATGCATGTTGGAGAACGTTACAGAATCGACGCGCATGCGTGACCTTTCCTTCCGTGTTTAAATGCAACCAGCCGCTGGTGTTGTTTTGTGCGGCCCCCGTCCGTTTTCGGACTGTGCCAGACATTCCACCGCATGCCGCGCGATGGCCAGTGTTGGGCCAACGCCGCGCGTCGCCGTCCAACCGTGGCCAACGTTGGCCCAACAGTGGCACGTGATGCGGCACAATTGCAGTTTGCGGGCGGTTTGCGTGCGGCTCACACCCCTTGCGCCTTGAGAGCGCCCAGCCGCTCGGCCGTGTCTCCCAGCAGCACCTCGGACGTCTCGTGGAAGCACGTGACCCACTGGTTGTCCGAGAAGTCTGCCAGGTTGGCCTGCAGGTGGGCACAGGTGGGCATGAGTAATGTGTGTACAGCATGTGCAATGCCCCCCTCAACCCCCCCCCCCCAATGCAACAATTATTTCTGCATGTACAGCCCTTGTCATTCTACTGCTGGATTGCTTCCCCATCCCATGCGGGTCATAAGCCCGCCTCCCTGGGCTGTCTGAGTGTCTCTCTCTGTGGGTCTCTATGTTTCTCTGTGGCACTGTGTGTCTGTGTCCGTCGAGACAGCTTGGGGTAAGCCAGGGGTGGGGAACCTATGGTGAGCAGGCCGTATCTGACCCACGACTTCATTCCATACGGCCCACGGCCACAGGAAAGGATACTTTTTCAAAGCGACCCGCAACACCAAAATATATCCCTCACTGCAGGCATCTTAGACGTACTAATCGGCCACTGGAGGGGAATCATTTTGAAATCCTGGGTGTACTTTTCACATGCTCCGTCAATTCTGTTACTGATAGAGCCTCTTGCAGTGGTGTATTTGTTCATGTTTGGCCTGCTAGAGATATTTAAAGTCTTCTTGGGTGCTAAGTAAGGAAAGGGTTTCCCCGAGCCTGAGGCAGATGAAGCGCGTGCTGCACCTGCAGGAAGAGGCGGAATTTGAAGTTCGTGGTTTCCCGGTCGCAGCGCTCGCACCGGAACTTCCCGCTGCTCATCGTCACCACCTTTTTGCTGCAATCAGCGGAGGGACACGCCTGGTACAGGTAGTTCTCCTTCTTCAGGAAGATCACGGTGCCCTTCACCGTGAAGTAGTCCGGCTGCCAGATATCAAAGGACAAGGACAACCAAACACAACGGACCCGACTCGTGGACTGTAGGCAGCTGTGGCTTCGATTTAATTTTAATTTGTTGTTGAAATTTCGGCTGTTGTATTCGAAGCTCACAATGAGGCAAATCGCCACGGTGAGTTGTTATTTCAGCTGCTTTGTAAATCTGGATGAGGAAGAGCTGGGTATATATTGGATAATGCTTGCATACCACACTCGCTCAATAGCATAAATGTGCACACCAGTGCACTCTCCACGGTGCAGTCCCACGTCTTCACCTGCTCACCTTAACTCAGATCCTCACCTGCTCACCCTGGCCAGGCCCCCGTCGCGCTCACTCTAGCCAGGCCCTCACCTGCTCACCTTAATTCAGATCCTTCTCACCCTGACCAGGTCCCCTCCTGCTCACCCTGGCCAGGCCCTCACCTTAATTCAGATCCTCACCTCACCCTGACCAGGTCGCCACCTGCTCACCCTTGCCAGGCCCTCACCTGCTCACCGTAATTCAGATCCTCACCTGCTCACCCTGGCCAGGTCCCCCTCCTGCTCACCCTGGCCAGGCCCTCACCTGCTCGCCTTGTCCCAGGTTCTCGTCCTTGCTCTCAGCGAAGGTCTTCCAGATTGGTGTGGCACTGCTCCACCCGGACATGGAGCTCCTCCTGTCAGAGATGGACTCGCCCTGCGTGTGCGCGCCCACGCGATCGTACCTGCGCCACACACGGGTGGCAACAGTTGAAAAAAAAAGTGGATTCTCAGGGGAGTGGGGAGGGTGGGGAGTGGAGGTTGAAGTATGGGTGGTGGCGAGATGTTAACGACCTCGCCTGGTATACATGAGGTCGTGGGGTTCGATCCCGACCCTGACACCTCCTGTATATTTGGAGTTTGCATAGTTCTCCCCGTGGATGCGTAGATTTTTCTCCGGGTCCTCCGATTTTTCCCTCCACATGTAGAAACGTGATTTTAAAGTATTTGGCTGCTATAAATATCCACACAATAAGCCATTTCGTTGAGCTATCATTTGTGGCCAACACGCTTCTGAAAAGAGCTACATAGCTCACTGGGCCTTCCCAGTTCAAATAAAAAAATGTTTAGTTTATAATTTCTGTTTGACATTAAATGGAGATAATGCTCCGGAAAGTAAGCACAACGGGGAGATGGAGCGATGGAATCATCTTGTGTGCGAGTGCCGGGTGGATTGTTACATCGCAGGATTATCAAGGATGGTGGACAGGTTAGGGACGCCTTCACCTAGCAGTGGATAGATCATGGTCGATGATGATTTACCTTAGGTCACATCCGACTCGGATCGGTTATGTGAACATCTATAAAACATCAGGTGCATCGTGCACAAACACCACACTGGACATGGGCGGTTAATTGTCCAGGCACATTATGTGACATTGCACTGTCATTCAGCCAGCACGCAGCCTATCTGGAGTGCTGTCCATGGCACTGTGTGGGGCCGAAGGGCTAAAGGATCATCAGGTGGTGGTGCTAATGACTTAGATGACTGAGTCAGTCAACCCATGGCACTTGGGTCTGTTCCGTGACCTGCCAGCGGGCCTTCAACACTTCACGTGGCATCAAAGTGCACCTTGCATGGCACAAGCCCTGCGGTGACGTCACCGCCACTTTGTGGTCAACGGCGGTTGTTGGTGGTGGTGGGAGCGGTGGTGGAGCGATAAGTGCGCTGCGCTACGAACCCCACGATCCCGAGTTCGATTCCCACCCACGGCCAACATCAGTGGCGAATATGTGAACCAGGCCTGAGCCTCCCCTAGGTCTACTCAGTATCAAAATGAGTACCTGGTGCAGTGTGTAAACATCGCCACCAGGGAGACAAAGACGGCCGGGCGTGGTGTTGGCCACCCACCCACCCCCCATCGTGTGCAGCCGTTCCGGCCTTCACAGGTGCTCGCTAAAAAACACTTGCCCCGACAGTCTATTAAGGGCTACACGGGGGATCATTGTCTTCTTTTGGTGGTGATAGTGGCGGTGGGTGGAGGAGGAGGACTCCGAACCAGGAGCGCAGCTGGAACGCGGGCGGCATGTCCGGGTTGAGCTGAATGCTGCTGGACGTGAGCACGGAGAGCGAACAGCCCCCGAAATCCGACACGCGCGCCCCTCGGATCGCCACCACGGGCTGCCTGTCTCCAACAAACTTCAGTGCCTGGGGGGGGGGGGCGAGTAGAGGGGACAAATGTTACGATCAATCGGAGGACGAGGGGCGTGGTGGATGATGGGATGAGTGGACGGGAACGGCGATGGTGCGGCCAATGTATGTGCGTTGGACTTCTTTCGCACCGTACGTAGCCACCCGTGCTAATCGGAGGTGCGAAATGTTACACCGGCGTGGCCGGACTGGCTGATGTGGCTGGGTTGACGGGTCTGACTGGCGTGGCCGATGCAGCTCAGTCCGCTTGTTTTATTCCGGAGTGGCTGGCAATGGTGTACCGGATACGGTGTGCCGGGAGTTTGACGTCTGTGCGAAGGTCCACCAACCTCCTGGCCCCACAGGGTGACCGTCACCACCTTTCCCGACGCGTCCACCAGGCGTATGTTGCGCCGAGCCAACTCGCGACTCGAGTTGCGCAGCTGCACCATGGAGACCTCGTCAAGGCTCTGGCACACGCCGATCACGTCTGCGCAACACAAAGACAAAGATCCCCCGTGTAGACTTGACAAGGCTGTTGGGGCAAGTGCTGTAAGCGAGCACTTATGAAGGCCGGCACGGCACACGAGTGGGGTCGGTGACCAGCACCACGCCCGGCCGCCTTTGTCTTCCCAGTGGCGATGTTTACACACCACACCAGCTACTCATTTGAGCCAGCAGCAGCACACGGACACACGCACACACGCACGCGCATTCCTAACACAGAACCCGAGCACGTTAACATTTTGCGTGTGTTTTTCGTATGTGTTGCTGCGGCTGCTGCTACTGCTGCAGATGTGGCTCCTGTTGGTCCGCACCCACGAGCGCGTTCTTGGCGAGGCTGGGCAGCTCGGCGATGGAGGTGTAGGTGGGGATGGTGACGGGGATCTCCACAGCCTCGTCACACGCCCTGATCACCGTGTGCGTCGCGATGGACACCTCGTAATCGTGGCGCACCGTGCTGAACTGCTTGTTGGCGGCCTTGAGCACTCCCCTGCTCAGGTAGTACACCTGGGCAAGGGCGGGTACGCAGCATCATCAGTTTTCGTTCCTCCCTGAAGGCTCATCGTTTTCCAATAGCGTATCCATCCACTACTTCCTGTCCGCATCCGTAAAACCCTGACCATCCTCCCCCTTTCCCCTCTCGTCGTCATTCCTTGCCATCCCTTCCCCTCCCCAACAATCAAACCCACATCCCTTTTCCCCATCGGCCAATAACTAAGATACCATTTATCATTCTGGTAAAGCGCTTCGACAAATGCGCTGTATAAAATCCTCGATAAGCTAAAATCGTCGCTTATCTGATACCGTCGGGGAGCGTAAACCGGGACACGGACTCCGGTGATCCTCGCCAACAGCAGCAGCGGCTTCTGGCTGGCCATCGAACAAAGACAGCGGTCGCCGCATCGCGCGTTTTTCAGATGCGCTTCTGCGGCCGTCTGGAACGCTCTTCCCTCCGATATAAGGAAGCCACTGGAGCTCTGCACCTTTCCATCTAGATTTAAAACTCATTTATTTACAAATGCTTATTTGTGTTCAGTTTGCTGTCCTTCCCCCACACCTTCGATTAGCACGGTTGACTACGTACGGTGCGAAAGATGTTCAACACTCGTACATCATCATTGTTTTGATAATTATCGGAGGTGCGGGAAACCGACTCCGACTGCCCAGAAGCGTCGTTCACGAGCCTCCTCCATCACACCCCACTCAGAGACCCGCACACGCCCGCCTGTCTATGCACCCGCATATCATGACAACTGCTGCCCTCTGTGACCCTAACCGCCGACAAATCTCCGCCCCGCCATTGCAGCCTGGCTCGGCCTCAGCATCTCCAGAGTGCTAAGCGCAGGCTGGAAGAAGGTTCAGTGGACGAGGTTCGATGCCGGGATGGGCTCCCACCTGGTTGACCTGGAGCTGTTCGTAGTATTTGTCACACTCCTCGTTGAAAGCGATGGCCCGGATCTCCCCCTGCTCGCCGCGCCAGATGATAGTTACACAGGCAAGCGGGGTGGGGGGGGGGGGCTATGGGTGGGGGATGAGCTGAATCCGCGTTTCACATTTCTCATGGTCAAATTCGAAAAATGTTGCTACAATATTTAACAGCCGTGTCCACCTTCCCTTTTTGTGTTTAGTTTGTTGTCCTTCCCCCGCACCTCCGATTAGCACCGTTGGTCACGTACGGTGCGAAAGAAGTTCAACAAACATACATACGCAGGTCGTGAGAGCAGAGCTAGAGCAGAATGCACGATCGACCAATGCAGATTGTATCGTCATTACCAATTATGTGTAGCGTTCAACACGTGTTTTACAGTTTGGTTAGGCATCATCAGCCCTAACGATGTTTGGAAAGCCGACTGGAGTCACAAACACCTCCCGCGAAAGACCCTGAGTTTATGCGAAGGAGGGATCATCATTACAGCGATGATGATGATGCACCACCACTCTGCTACTCCTGACGCAGTTACCTGGCACGTGAACCACCTCGATGTCAAATTACAGCTATTGCTCTACGGCAACATTAGCCACGCAAATAATGTGTTTAGCATTGAATGATGGGTTGTGACCCCCTCCAGCCCCTCTTGAGAGTGAGAGAAGGGAGAGAGGGGGGAGCATATAAGGGAGGAGAGTCAGGCTCACACACACTTGATTATTCAGAAGTTTCGAAGTGTATGAGCTAAGAAGCTCTTTTTCAAGGGCGACTCAGCCAGCAGACATAAAATAATTCGACATTTACAGAAAAAAGAAACGTAATAGCAATTGCGTTGTAAAGTCACATTCACACTTACAACTTTAGTGGGTTTTAATAGTTTAAATGAGGACAGAGATGGCAGAATGGAAGATGCCAAGAGGCGAAACTTCTTAGGTGGTTCCTAAACGTTGGGGTCGGAAACATTGTATGGTTTTGACCACAAAATTGCGTGCGAAATCTGGGAAGATGTTCACAAACAATCCAGATGCTTTTGATTGTCCAGTAATGCTATTTTATTATTTAATTGGCATATTGATTAAACTTGAGTTCTGTGTTTTGTTTTTGTGATTATTATTATTATTTTAGTTGCTGTTGCTATCGGTTCGTTGAGCCGTCTCTCACGCTCTCATCCTGGAGGTCGATGCTGAAAAATCGACCCTCCCCGCGGGAGTTGCTCCATCGGCGAATGTCCGACTTGGAGGTGATGCGGGCACGGATTGTCCACCTTCAGTGGGGGGGCAGACAGCGGGGGGGGGGGTTGTTAGGGGGCGGGGGAGGTGGGGGTCGCGGGGGAGGAGCTTGTCACGTGTAGGCGAGAGAAAGATCGCGGGGTCAGCTCTTGCTTGCCGAGTGGGGTTCACGTTAAAATTTGAAGGAAAACGCGGCCCAGCAACAAACTCAAGCGAATCATTAACGTCCTTGCGGAGAGGGCAAACAACACAATAGATGCGCAGATAATGCCTCGCCCTCATATCTGTCCCTGGTTCTAGAACGTGAAGAATGTTGTACACAACCCTTTGACCCTACGGCCTTATGGGGGTGCATCATTTCGGCGGCATTGATTATGGATAAACAGAAACCTCTGTGCCAGTTTTAGCGCGCAGCGTCTCATCAGCAGAGTCGAGCTTCGCTTGAATCAGTGCCGGTGACCTGCCACATGGAACAGCCTAGGACTCTCTCTCTCTCCCTTAGAGATGTGACTTCCAGAAATATATTGAACGTCACGAAACAATCACGAGGGTGGTTGTGGAGAACATCAATAGCAACGGAAAAGCACGACAACGTCTCCCTCATATATCCACGTGCAATATAAAACATTATTTTGACGCAACCCAACAGCCCCACGGACTTCTGGGAGTGCATTTATATATGTATCGACCCACTCCGCCTGTGGTGAAGAATACACAGGATGACAATGATCCCCCGTCACGCCTGTAGCAGGCTGTTGGGACAAGTGCTGTGAGTGAGCACGCGTGAAGATCGCGGGTGTTGTGGCCAGCAACACGCCGGGCCGCCTGTGGTCTCCGTACTGGCAATGTTTACAAATGGCACCAGGTCCTCGTTTGAAGCTGAGTCGACCTCGGCGAAACCCATGGCCGGTACAGATGGTTGCCACCGATGTTGTACGTATGCACGTTGAACTTCTTCCGCACCCTACGTAGCCAACCGTGCCAATCAGAGGCGCTGTGAGTGGGCCGGGTTCGTAGCGCAGCGTGCTCATCACTGCGCCACCGCTCCTCCCCCCCGCCCCAGACACACGTCGAGACGTACCTGTTCTGGTACGGGTTGAGGTTGGATATGGGGAACGTGCGAGCCGGGGATCCCGTTAAGGGGGTCCCGGGGGTTCCCGCGGGCCCCCGCCCCGAGAACGTCGGACTCCCGATGGCCTCCCTGATCGGGGGACGCGGTTGGGGGGCCGAGGGAGATGCCGAAGGGGCAGCCAAGCCCTCTGTGCTGGACCCGGGCTGACACTCTGCGGAGACACCGCGCGTCGATCACCTGCAACGTGAGTGGCGACTGCTGTATCCCTGCGGATCTGTGTCCAATCCCAGACCTCCCTTGCGCGGTATTCACCTATTCGATGAGTTGTGAAGGGGATGGTTCTTTTTTGGGGTGTTTTTTTTGTGTAGGACCAAGGATTTGGGTTAGGGATAGGGTTTATGGTAACCGGGTTAGAGCTCAGAGCAGGGGGGGAATTTACTGAGAGCCGAATAGAACTTTCATTACCTTTTGACGGGCAGATTACACATTCACACGCATCTTAGCGATGTCAAAGAATGCAAACCCAATGTGCGTGTCAGCAAGAGTACAGAAGTGACAGAGGGCATTTAAAATGATAAACCCCGTTTGGCCAGCTGACAGGACGGACGGACAGACAGATGGAGAGACAGGTGAACGGAAAGATAAACGCACAGACAGGTAGCTGGATAGACAAATTTGTGAATGGGCGTACAGGTGCATGGACAGACTGGTGGGTGGACAGATGGAACGAGAGGCCCCGGGCCTTCGTGGCGGTGGCCTCACCCTGGGTCCCAAAGGCCTCCCCTCCGCCCCCATCCCCCGGGCGCAGAACCTCCAGGGCCAGCAGGAGCACGAGGCGCCTGTGGGGGGGGGGGGGGGGGCAGGGCACGTGAGCCTCGCAAGCTCCGGGTGGGGAGCGAACCGCTGAAGTTGGGAGCTTGTGGGTGGGTGGGAAGGGTGGGGGGCGAGTACTCAGGCTAAACGATTAATCGATTCCAAATCGAAATTTGAAACAATGCGATTAGCACATCGCAAAGGCTGCGATTTTTTGCGATTTGTAAAGTCGATTTACTTCCTTATTGGAATTTATTTATTGTTTATTTTTATTCTAACTTTATTTATTGAACTTACCAATTGTTCTATGTTTGATTGTTCTTTTTCAATTAAAGCATATTAATAAATACATGTTGGAAGAAATTAATATATTTTAAGTTCTCATCCGTTAGAATATATAGAGCAGTTCATATGTTGATGGGATCATGTGGTAATGCTCCATCACTTGTTTTAAATCTATTACACGGTGAATATTGAACTGAAACTTGACTTACATTTTTTTAAATCGCAAATTAAATCGCAATATCTGTCAGAAAAATCGCAATTAGATATTTTCCACAAATCGTTCAGCCCTAGTGAGTACTGGTTGCGGGGATTAAGCTAGTAGGGGCCTGTATCATGTGATGTTATAAAGGGGCCCTAAATATAAAAAAACATGAATATTAAAACACATTTTTTTACTTGCATAGTAAAGTCATTGTTTTATTTTTCATTTGCTATACAGCCAGATAATGCGACAAATCGCTAACCTTAAACACCCAGTCGTTCATAAAAGTTGAAGGCGGTATAGTACTATAGTAATAGAGCAAGTGCAGAATCACTGAACCGGAATTGATAGTTAGCGCGGGGCCCGTAGCTGCTACATGTATAGTAGTAGCTACTCAATATGTATCTACTACTAAATATGTAGCAACTTTTGATCCAAGGATAATCCGTCACTAGGGTGTGGGAACAGGGGAGAGCACGGTTGATGCATGTGTGTGTGTATGTTGAACCTCTTTCGCGCCGTACGTTGCCAAGCGTGCTAATCGGAGGTTGCGAGTAAGAACGTCTGCCAGTCATCGCAGTCGACCACCCAGCACGCTGGGCCTGTCCCTTCGCCGAGCCTTACACACTCCACGCGATCGTCTCGAAAGTGCACCCAGCCTGGCACAGGCGCCTTGGTTACATCACCGCTGCTGAGTGGTAACTGATGGCTGTCGGGGGTGGGGGGGGGTCACGGGAGGGCGAGGGGCGGGGGCCACGGGTGGGTTTTTTTTGGGGGGGGGGTGAAGCGAGGATTCGGGCGCGCGGTGGGGGTTTGGGCGAGGTGTGACGGGGTGGGGTGCGTGAGTGGAGCGGTAGTGTAGCGGTCAGCGCTACGCTGCGCTGTGAATCCGGCGACCCGAGTTCGATTCCCGCTCACGGCCAACACCGGTGACGATTATCCGAACCGGGTTCCGTGCCTCCGCTAGGTAGACTCAGCCTCAAATGAGTACCCGGTGCGGTGTGTAGTAAACGTCGGCACTCGGGAGACAAAGGCGGTCCCGGGCGTGGCGCCGGCCAGCCGCGCCCTCGCGTGCCACAGTGCAGGCCTTCACAGACCGTGCTGCTCGCTAGCAGCACGGTCTGTGAAGGCCACGCGGTGGACCTTTGACTTGTTTGCATGGGTCAGGATGGGTGTGGTGGTGGGTGGGGTGGTAGGTGAGGATGGGTGTGGTGGTGGGTGGGGTGGTAGGTGAGGATGGGTGTGGTGGTGGGTGTGGTGGTAGGTGAGGATGGGTGTGGTGGTGGGTAGGGTGGTAGGTGAGGATGGGTGTGGTGGTGGGTGGGGTGGTAGGTGAGGATAGGTGTGGTGGTGGGTGGGGTGGTAGGCGAGGATGGGTGAGTGGTGGGTGAGTGGTGGGTGAGGATGGGTGTGGTGGTGGGTGGGGTGGTAGGTGAGGATGGTGTGGTGGTGGGTGGGGTGGTAGGTGAGGATGGGTGTGGTGGTGGGTGTGGTGGTAGGCGAGGATGGGTGAGTGGTGGGTGAGTGGTGGGTGAGGATAGGTGTGGTGGTGGGTGGGGTGGTAGGCGAGGATGGGTGAGTGGTGGGTGAGTGGTGGGTGAGGATGGGTGTGGTAGTGGGTGGGGTGGTAGGCGAGGATGGGTGTGGTGGTGGGTGGGGTGGTAGGTGAGGATGGGTGAGTGGTGGGTGAGGATGGGTGAGTGGTGGGTGAGTGGTGGGTGAGGATGGGTGGGGTGGTGGGTGAGTGGTGGGTGAGGATGGGTGAGTGGTGGGTGAGTGGTGGGTGAGGATGGGTGAGTGGTGGGTGAGTGGTGGGTGAGGATGGGTGTGGTGGTCAGTGAATGGTGGGTGAGGATGGGTGTGGTGGTGGGTGAGTGGTGGGTGTGGTGGTGGGTGAGTGGTGGGTGAGTGGTGGGTGAGGATGGGTGAGGATGGGTGAGTGGTGGGTGTGATGGGTGAGTGGTGGGTGAGTGGTGGTGAGGATGGGTGTGGTGGTCAGTGAATGATGGGTGAGGATGGGTGTGGTGGTGGGTGAGTGGTGGGTGAGTGGTGGGTGAGTGGTGGGTGAGGATGGGTAAGGATGGGTGAGTGGTGGGTAAGGATGGGTGTGGTGGTGGGTGAGGATGGGTGTGGTGTTCTTCGTACTTTTGGAGTCCCTGACCCTCTGCTCACGATCATTAAGGACCTTCATGATGGTGAGCGGGCCCGGGTAAAACTAAGTGGCCGGGAGTCAGAGCCATTCCCTGTACACCTTGGGGTGCGACAGGGATGTCCTCTGGCTCCCACATTTTTTAACATCTATTTTGACCACGTACTTCAAGCCTTCAATAGCTGTACCGGCGGAATCTCCATTTGGTACAGATATAATGGGAGGCTGATCGATGTCCGGGTGCGGTGAAGGGATGGCTCCCTATTGCCCAACCACGTTATGTATGCCGATGATTTGGTAATAGCTGCTCATTCAGAGGAGGAGTTGGAGACTGCTGCTGAGACTGGAGCGTGCCACTAAGAGATGGGGCATTACCATCAGCCCCACCAAAACTAAGCACCTGCCTGGGTATTTTGTATCATCGGACACTCCACCCCCACAACTCCCAATCGGTGATGGGGCAGTTGTGGAGAGAGTGGAGAGTTTCCCATACCTGGGCAGTGTGCTTATGACCGGCTCCAGTTTAACAGCAGAGGTCTCACTCAGAATCAGTCGAGCGGAAATATCTTTTCATCGGTTGCGTAACGCTGCGTGGAAGCTACCTGGTCTGTCGCTCCGCACTCAGCTTCAGATCTTCTCGGCCACGGTCATTCCCTCCCTTCTCTACGCTTGCGAAACGTGGACCCCCCCTAATGGAACATCTTCGCCGGTTAGAAACATTTAGGTTGGCCTTCCTACGATCCATCCTGGGTTTAACCAGGCTGGATTGGGTGAGGAGCTCACAAATCCTTGAAAGATCTGGGCAAGGTCCCATCGGTGAGCTCCTCTGGCAGGCAAGACTGCGTTGGCTGGGTCATGTAGCCCGCATGCCCAGCCACCGCATGCCGAAACAGCTTTTGTTCGGCCGGATCGAGGGGGTTAAACGGGCACGGCACGGGCTAGAGAAGAGATGGAGTGATGTGGTACAGGAGGACGTGGAGTTGAGTGGCCTTGCCGATGACTGGTACCAGCGGTGTCAAGATCGGCCTCTGTGGAAGAGGCTCGTGAAGGATGCTACTTGGCAGTTGGAGGCAGTCGCCCTCCAACAACAACGGAGGGCGGAGGAGCGATGCTCACAACAACGAGCGGAGCGCCGGGTGGCTAAAGCACAGCAGGTTGGCAGAGTAGGGGGCACAGGTGGTGCATCAGCCAGTCATCTCAGTCATCTTAGTCAGTCGACCCGTGGCACTTGGGTCTGCCCCGTGACCTCCTGCCAGCGGGCGTTCGACACTTCACGTGGCCTCAAGGTGCACATGGCCTGGCACAAGCGTCGTGGCGACATCACCGCCACTTAGTGGCGAATGGCGGTTGTTGTTGTTGTTGGTGGTGGGTGAGGATGGGTGAGTGGTGGGTGAGTGATGGGTGTGGTGGTGGGTGCGTGGTGGGTGAGTGGTGGTGGGTGAGTGGTGGGTAAGGATGGGTGAGGATGGGTGTAGTGGTGGGTGAGTGGTGGTGGGTGAGTGGTGGCTGAGGATGGGTGAGTGGTGGGTAAGGATGGGTGAAGATGGGTGTAGTGGTGGGTGAGTGGTGGTGGGTGAGTGGTGGTGGGTGAGTGGTGGGTGAGGATGGGTGTAGTGGTGGGTGAGTGGTGGTGGGTGAGTGGTGGTAAGTGAGTGGTGGTGAGTGAGTGGTGGTGGGTGAGTGGTGGTGGGTGAGTGGTGGTGAGTGAGTGGTGGTGGGTGAGTGGTGGTGGGTGAGTGGTGGTGGGTGAGTGGTGGTGGATGAGTGGTGGTGGGTGAGTGGTGGTGGGTGAGTGGTGGTGAGTGAGTGGTGGTGGGTGAGTGGTGGTGGATGAGTGGTGGTGGGTGAGTGGTGGTGGGTGAGTGGTGGTGGGTGAGTGGTGGTGAGTGAGTGGTGAGTGGTGGTGGGTGAGTGGTGGGGGAGGATGGGTGTAGGAGTGGGTGAGTGGTGGTGGGTGAGTGGTGGTAGGTGAGTGGTGGTGGGTGAGTGGTGGTGGGTGAGTGGTGGTGGGTGAGTGGTGGTAGGTGAGTGGTGGTGAGTGAGTGGTGGTGGGTGAGTGGTGGTGGGTGAGTGGTGGTGAGTGAGTGGTGGTGGGTGAGTGGTGGTGGGTGAGTGGTGGTGGGTAAGTGGTGGTGGGTGAGTGGTGGTGAGTGAGTGGTGGTGGGTGAGTGGTGGTGAGTGAGTGGTGGTGGGTGAGTGGTGGTGAGTGAGTGGTGGTGGGTGAGTGGTGGTGGGTGAGTGGTGGTGAGTGAGTGGTGGTGGGTAAGTGGTGGTGGGTGAGTGGTGGTGAGTGAGTGGTGGTGGGTGAGTGGTGGTGGGTGAGTGGTGGTGAGTGAGTGGTGAGTGGTGGTGGGTGAGTGGTGGGGGAGGATGGGTGTAGGAGTGGGTGAGTGGTGATGGGTGAGTGGTGGTAGGTGAGTGGTGGTGGGTGAGTGGTGGTGGGTGAGTGGTGGTAGGTGAGTGGTGGTGGGTGAGTGGTGGTGGGTGAGTGGTGGTGGGTGAGTGGTGGTGAGTGAGTGGTGGTGGGTGAGTGGTGGTGGGTGAGTGGTGGTGGGTGAGTGGTGGTGGGTGAGTGGTGGTGGGTGAGTGGTGGTGAGTGAGTGGTGGTGGGTGAGTGGTGGTGGGTGAGTGGTGGTGGGTGAGTGGTGGTGGGTGAGTGGTGGTGAGTGAGTGGTGGTGGGTGAGTGGTGGTGGGTGAGTGGTGGTGGGTGAGTGGTGGTGAGTGAGTGGTGGTGTGTGAGTGGTGGTGGGTGAGTGGTGGTGGGTGAGTGGTGGTGGGTGAGTGGTGGTGAGTGAGTGGTGGTGGGTGAGTGGTGGTGGATGAGTGGTGGTGGGTGAGTGGTGGTGGGTGAGTGGTGGTGGGTGAGTGGTGGTGAGTGAGTGGTGAGTGGTGGTGGGTGAGTGGTGGGGGAGGATGGGTGTAGGAGTGGGTGAGTGGTGGTGGGTGAGTGGTGGTAGGTGAGTGGTGGTGGGTGAGTGGTGGTGGGTGAGTGGTGGTGGGTGAGTGGTGGTGGGTGAGTGGTGGTGAGTGAGTGGTGGTGGGTGAGTGGTGGTGGGTGAGTGGTGGTGGGTGAGTGGTGGTGAGTGAGTGGTGGTGGGTGAGTGGTGGTGGATGAGTGGTGGTGGGTGAGTGGTGGTGGGTGAGTGGTGGTGGGTGAGTGGTGGTGAGTGAGTGGTGAGTGGTGGTGGGTGAGTGGTGGGGGAGGATGGGTGTAGGAGTGGGTGAGTGGTGGTGGGTGAGTGGTGGTAGGTGAGTGGTGGTGGGTGAGTGGTGGTGGGTGAGTGGTGGTGGGTGAGTGGTGGTGAGTGAGTGGTGGTGGGTGAGTGGTGGTGGGTGAGTGGTGGTGGGTGAGTGGTGGTGAGTGAGTGGTGGTGGGTGAGTGGTGGTGGGTGAGTGGTGGTGGGTGAGTGGTGGTGAGTGAGTGGTGGTGGGTGAGTGGTGGTGAGTGAGTGGTGGTGGGTGAGTGGTGGTGGGTGAGTGGTGGTGGGTGAGTGGTGGTGGGTGAGTGGTGGTGGGTGAGTGGTGGTGGGTGAGTGGTGGTGGGTGAGTGGTGGTGGGTGAGTGGTGGTGAGTGAGTGGTGGTGGGTGAGTGGTGGTGGGTGAGTGGTGGTGGGTGAGTGGTGGTGGGTGAGTGGTGGTGAGTGAGTGGTGGTGGGTGAGTGGTGGTGGGTGAGTGGTGGTGGGTGAGTGGTGGTGGGTGAGTGGTGGTGGGTGAGTGGTGGTGGGTGAGTGGTGGTGGGTGAGTGGTGGTGGGTGAGTGGTGGACCTGCCGTCACGTAGCTCCGTGCTGCTGTACGAGTCGACCCGCACCACGCAGCCGGCGCTCACGCGGCCATCGGTCACCAGGGAGTTCAGCTGCGTGGCCAGCATCACGGCTGTGACACACGATATGTGACACACGACGCACACGACATGTGACCCACGACACCCTGACACACGACATGTGACACACGACGCCCCCGACACACGACATGTAACACACGACATGTGACACACGACATGTGACACACGACACGTAACACACGACATGTAACACACGACATGTGACACACGACGCCCCCGACACACGACATGTGACACACGACATGTGACACACGACACCCCCGACACACGACATGTAACACACGACATGTGACACACGACATGTGACACACGACACGTAACACACGACATGTAACACACGACATGTGACACACGACGCCCCCGACACACGACATGTAACACATGACATATAACACACGACATGTGACACACGACATGTGACACACGACGCCCCCGACACACGACATGTGACACACGACATGTGACACACGACACTCTAACACACGACATGTGACACACGACACCCCCGACACACGACATGTAACACACGACATGTGACACACGACATGTGACACACGACACGTAACACACGACATGTAACACACGACATGTGACACACGACGCCCCCGACACACGACATGTAACACACGACATATAACACACGACATGTGACACACGACATGTGACACACGACGCCCCCGACACACGACATGCGACACACGACATGCGACACACGACATGCGACACACGACATGTGACACACGACATGAATATGCGTGATGCCAGCCTTCCGCCCCCTCGTCGCTTTAATCCGGGCCTGGGCATCGGGCGCGATACTCGAAGCTTCATCCCTGGGACCCCTGTAGGGACACCTGTAGGGACCCCTGTAGGGACATCTGTAGGGACACCTGTAGGGACATCTGTAGGGACCCCTGTAGGGACACCTGTAGGGACCCCTGTAGGGACACCTGTAGGGACATCTGTAGGGACACCTGTAGGGACATCTGTAGGGACCCCTGTAGGGACACCTGTAGGGACATCTGTAGGGACACCTGTAGCGACACCTGTAGCGACAAAGGTAGCGACCCTGTAGGGACACCTGTAGGGACCCCTGTAGGCACCCCTGCAGGGACACCTGTAGGGACCCCTGTAGGGACCCCTGTAGGGACATGTGTAGGTACCCCTGTAGGGACACCTGTAGGGACCCTGTAGGGACCCCTGTAGGGACACCTGTAGGGACCCCTGTAGGGACACCTGGTGGGACCCCTGTAGGGACCCCTGTAGGGGCCCCTGTAGGGACACCTGTAGGGACACCTGTAGGGACCCCTGTAGGGACACCTGTAGGGACATCTGTAGGGACCCCTGTAGGGACACCTGTAGGGACCCTGTAGGGACCCCTGTAGGGACATCTTCAGAGACCCCTGTATGGACCCCTGTAGGGACACCTGTAGCGACACCTGTAGGGACCCCTGTAGGGACATCTGTAGGGACACCTGTAGGGACCCCTGTAGGACATCTGTAGGGACATCTGTAGGGACACCTGTAGGGACATCTGTAGGGACCCCTGTAGGGACCCCTGTAGGGACCCCCGTAGGGACACCTGTAGGGACCCCTGTAGGGACACCTGTAGGGACATCTGTAGGGACCCCTGTAGGGACACCTGTAGGGACCCTGTAGGGACATCTGTAGGGACCCCTGTAGGGACCCCTGTAGGGGCCCCTGTAGGGACACCTGTAGGGACCCCTGTAGGGACCCCTGTAGGGACATCTGTAGGGACACCTGTAGGGACACCTGTACGGACACCTGTAGGGACCCCTGTAGGGACACCTGTAGGGACCCCTGTAGGGACACCTGTAGGGACATCTGTAGGGACCCCTGTAGGGACCCCTGTAGGGACACCTGTAGCGACACCTGTAGGGACCCCTGTAGGGACATCTGTAGGGACACCTGTAGGGACCCTGTAGGGACCCCTGTAGGGACCCCTGTAGGGACACCTGTAGGGACACCTGTAGGGACCCCTGTAGGGACATCTGTAGGGACATCTGTAGAGACCCCTGTAGGGACATCTGTAGGGACCCCTGTAGGGACCCCTGTAGGGACACCTTTAGGGACATCTGTAGGGACATCTGTAGGGACCCTTGTAGGGACACCTGTAGGGACCCCTGTAGGGACCCCTGTAGCGACCCTGTAGGGCCACCTGTAGGGACACCTGTAGGGACATCTGTAGGGACACCTGTAGGGACCCCTGTAGGGACCCCTGTAGGGACACCTGTAGGGACCCCTGTAGCGACCCTGTAGAGACACCTGTAGGGACACCTGTAGGGACATCTGTAGGGACCCCTGTAGGAACGCCTGTAGGGACCCCTGTAGCGACCCTGTAGGGACACCTGTAGGGACACCTGTAGGGACATCTGTAGGGACCCCTGTAGGGACACCTGTAGGAACACCTGTAGGGACCCCTGTAGGGACACTTGTAGGGACCCCTGTAGGGACCCCTGTAGGGACACCTGTAGGGACATATGTAGGGACATCTGTAGGGACACCTGTAGGGACCCCTGTAGGGACCCCTGTAGGGACACCTGTAGGGACCCCTGTAGGGACCCCTGTAGGGACATCTGTAGGGACCCCTGTAGGGACACCTGTAGGGACATATGTAGGGACATCTGTAGGGACCCCTGTAGGGACCCCTGTAGGGACACCTGTAGGGACCCCTATTGGGACACCTGTAGGGACACCTGTAGGGACACCTGTAGGGACCCCTGTAGGGACACCTGTAGGGACCCCTGTAGGGACACCTGTAGCGACCCCTATTGGGACCCTTACACGAGCTCTTGGTGACCCCGTCCGTCAGCATGAGCCGGTATCTCTCACTGCCGCTCTGCGCCTGGAGCAGCCGGTAACCCTGCGGCACAGACACAGGCAGAGAGACAGGCAGAGACACAGGCAGAGAGACAGAGATACAGGCACAGACACAGGCAGAGAGACAGGCATACAGGCAGTGAGACAGAGACACAGGCAGAGACACAGGCAGAGAGACAGGCAGAGAGACAGGCAGAAACACAGGCAGAGAGACAGGCAGAGAGATAGAGACACAGGCAGAGAGACAGAGACACAGGCAGAGAGACAGGCAGAGACACAGGCAGAGAGACAGAGAGACAAGCAGAGACACAGGCAGAGAAACAGGCAGAGAAACAGAGACACAGGCAGAGAGACAGGCAGAGAGAGAGGCAGAGACACAGGCAGAGAGACAGGCAGAGACACAGGCAGAGAGACAGGCAGAGATACAGGCAGAGAGACAGAGACACAGGCAGAGACACAGGCAGAGATACAGGCAGAGACACAGGCAGAGAGACAGGCAGAGAGACAGAGACACAGGCAGAGAGACAGGCAGAGACACAGGCAGAGAGACAGAGACACAGGCAGAGAGACAGAGACACAGGCAGAGACACAGGTAGAGACACAGGCAGGGAGAAAGAGACACAGACAATCAGAGACAGAAAGTTATAAATGCACACAGGCAGATAGACAGGCAGGCAGGCAGGGAGACAGACAAACTGGCGGACAGGTATTTGGACAGACGGGCAGGCGGGTAACGTCGAGGGGAAGTTATCGAACCAGGCGAGAGCTCGACGCAACCACGATGGAGTCTCAGCACTGAGCCAAATAGACATCGATGCCAAAACGACGGTGCCTCATGAGAAATCGAATATAGTGCACGCGCGTACAACGACGTTGAACAACATATATATTGCCGCGTTAGTCGGCTCGGACAGATACATGTTTAGACTGATCATAGCGCAACTACAAACTCAATTTACAGGAAGAATACACGGATATCGGGTGACTTGTGCTGATATGTGAACTGATAAGTACATGTGAGTCAAATGCAATTGCAAGTGAAGTTATCACAGACAGATGGGCTGGCTCACACCACGTGTTTCCTACTCCCATCTCCACGCAAGCTGGAGTGGAGAGTGTGCGTAGAGGTCACGGGGAGCGAGTGTAGGGGTCACGGGGAGCGAGTGTATGGGTCACGGGGAGCGAGTGTAGAGGTCACGGGGAGTAAGTGTAGGGGTCACGGGGAGTAAGTGTAGGGGTCACGGGGAGCGTGTGTAGGGGTCACGGGGAGCGTGTGTAGGGGTCACGGGTAGCGTGTGTAGGGGTCACGGGGAGCGTGTGTAGGGGTCACGGGGAGCGTGTTTAGGGGTCACGGGGAGCGTGTGTAGGAGTCACGGGGAGCGTGTGTAGGGGTCACGGGGAGCGTGTGTAGGGGTCACGGGGAGCGAGTGTAGGGGTCACGGGGAGCGAGTGTAGGGGTCACGGGGAGCGTGTGTAGGGGTCACGGGGAGCGAGTGTAGGGGTCACGGGGAGCGTGTGTAGGGGTCACGGGGAGCGTGTGTAGGGGTCACGGGGAGCGTGTGTATGGGTCACGGGGAGTAAGTGTAGGGGTCACGGGGAGTAAGTGTAGGGGTCACGGGGAGCGTATGTAGGGGTCACGGGGAGCGTGTGTATGGGTCACGGGGAGTAAGTGTAGGGGTCACGGGGAGTAAGTGTAGGGGTCACGGGGAGCGTGTGTAGGGGTCACGGGGGGCGTGTGTAGGGGTCACGGGAAGCGTGTGTAGGGGTCACGGGGAGCGTGTGTAGGGGTCACGGGGAGCGTGTGTAGGGATGGTAATGGAGTGGAGGGAGTTGTGGGTGAGAGGCGAGCGGGGCGTCTCACCTGCACCTGCAGCACGGGTGCTGGGGGCTTCTCTCCCCGCGCGCAGATCGCCTGCAGGGACATTTCACATCGCACAGACGCAAGACGGACAACACACAGAGCGGTGGCGCAATGGTTAGCGCACTCTACTATCAATTGGGCGATCTGGAATTTCGATTTCCGGCCATGACCGTAGCGTGAGCTGGCGAGTGACATCTGAACTGGTCCCGGTAATTGGGGGAGGGATGAGCCAGACGATACTCCCGCTTCTGCAATGCTCGGTTTGTGATTTGTTGAAGCTGACGATGATGATGGATGATGATATTGTAGGACACTTGAGTGGCACGCGTGGATGACCTCCCATCGCGGTGCTCAGTTGTGTCGTGACCCCACGTGATCGGGCGCGTGGGTCCTGTTTGTGTCGTGGTTTTGGGGTTACATGGGGGAGCACCCCCTCCCCTCTGCCCCCCCCCTTCCCCCTCTCAACCCCCTCCCCCCTCACGCCTCGCTTATCTCTCGGTATCGAGGGTATCAGGAGAGGGTGCGAGTCGCGGTTTGCGGCGGCTGCAATCTCCCGCCATCTCCCACCACCCCCCCCACCATGGGGAAGGGACGAGGCCAGGCAGCTGGAGGGTTAATGGAACCGGGAAGGGTTTAGGGTTGGGGTTGGTGTTTGCGGAGGTAGGGATAGAGTGCGGAGAAGGTGGGGGGTGTGGTGTGATGATGGAAAGAGGGCGGTTAGTGGCTATGGTGTCTTTACTGCAATGATGACCAAGAGGTGTTTGACACACACACAGGTATTCTTTGGGTCTTTCGGTAAAGTCACATAGATAGGTTCAAAGGAAATAACAAAAAACTACGACGTTTCGATCGCAACACAAGCGGTCGTCATCAGGAAAATAGGGTTAGCTTCTAAAGGCAAACTGTTTATAAAGGTTTAAAATGGGCGTAGCCAAAATATCAGCAGCATGGTTGGGGCAGCTAATGTTAATGTAAGTGGTGAGCAGCAACCGCGATTGGCGGTGAGTTTCCACCAATTGAAGGGCTGCCAGGTAAAAATTAGCATATTAATGTAAGATCGGTGAGCAGCCTCCACGACGAGCGCGCCGAGGTGGCTATGTTAATGTGAGAGATTAGCATGTTAATGTGAGAGATTAGCATGTTAATGTGAGAGATTAGCATGTTAATGTGAGAGATTAGTGTGTTAATGTAAGGTCAGTGAGCGGCCTTCACGGCGAGCGTGCTGAGGTGGCTATGTTAATGTGAGAGATTAGCATGTTAATGTGAGAGATTAGCATGTTAATGTGAGATCACAAAGCATCCTCCACGTCGAGCGCGCTGAGGTGGCTGTGTTGATGTGAGAAATTTAACCTGTTCATGTAAAATCGGAGAGCCGAAAGTAACAACTAACATCGGAAGGTGGCAGGATGGGAAACTAGTTGATAACGTCCTTCCAATCATTGCTAAGTTTGTCCCCATCTTCTCGGTTGAAATTGTGTCTGCGTCTGTATATATAGATGGCTTCATGAACGAATCTTTGTTGATAGTACCTTCGTCTTCGAAAAATCAATATCGTGTGAGCCCACCGCATGAAAACAATGATCAGCCACGGCCGAGGTATTGGTCCTACTGTGTTTCAGATCTGCCTTGTGTTCACGAACACGGTCCGAGACATGTCGCTTGGTTTCCCCAATCTAACTACTGCCGCAGACACAGCTCCGTTCCCCGGCGAACGCTGACAAAGGCGGCGAGTGATATCCGAACACGGTCCCTGGATAATTCGCTTCACCAATCTTCACTTACCAGCGTGGTGAAGTATGGTCAAAATTAACCCCTATAACCGACAGGGCATGTGGAGGCCTTCATCCAGCAGTGGATTTATCAAGGGGCTGTGCATACAATTACGATTACTGTCTATACGGGGTGGGGTCGACTTAGTCTTTCATCCCGACCGGGGGTCGATAAAAACGAGTACCACTTTGTGGAAATTCGGCACTGAGTGTCCCACGGAAAGACTCACCCTCGTCGTGAGAACGTGGAATTTCCACCACTGGCTTAAGGCTTTTAAAGAAATGCATTTTTAAAGAAATGCATTTTTAAAGAAAAATGCATTTCTTTAAAAGCTGCTGTTTGTGTGCTGGTTTATTGTCCTTGCGCCGCACCTCCCATTAGCACGGTTGGCTATGTACGGTGCGCAAGAAGTTCAACATTCATACGTCACTCGTGCCGAGTGACCCCAACGGAGCGAGCGCGATGGTGGCGCGCATGGCCGTAACTTGATGGACCGTAACTTTAAAGTCTTTATAGACTCTAGATATAGAATCCTTATTTAAGCAGCAGTTATGTGTTGACAACGTTGGCCTCTCCCATTACCCCGCCCCCCCCCGCAGCGCCGATAATCCACTCACACCACCACCACGACGCTCACGCAGTAGCGATAGAGGCCAGATTTTATGTTGTGCATTTTAAATTACGCGCATCGCAAACTCTTGGGAATTTCATCGCGAGACGCTACGGGGTCATCGGTTAAACTTTCCGAGCACTTGACCCCGTTTGGGTTCAGCTTTCCTTCTGTTATCACTAACGCTTTTGTTGTTTTAATTACACACTATAATTAACGTTCAAAGGCTGGCCCTTTACCAGGACATTGGCCCTATAGAAGGGTCATTGTCCGACACGTCGGCCTACCCTATATAAGTGTCGCGGATTTTTCCTCCGGGTCCTCCGGATTCTTTCTCCTCCACACTTAGAGACACGCGTTTAGAGGATTTTAGCTGCGATTAATGTCCACGCGATGAGCCTCTTCGTTGAGCGATCATTTGTGGCCAGGTCGCGTCTGCGAAATATATATCTACAGAGCTCACTTGGGCTTCTTTAGCTGCTAAAATAAAACAATAAAATAGTTTAGTTCATCGTCCCGCTGTAAAGGGAGTGTTGATGACGATGGTGATGGTAGCTGCGTGACGTCTGCAGTCGCAACGCGATCGCCCCGTAAGTGTTATTTTTGTTCAAACAGTGGAACTCGGCACCTGCTTAGGGTTGAGCGGGCGTTGTTCACTTACCCGCGTTCATCTGCACTGTGTGTGCGCGGCGCGGATTGTCGCGATACGTTCATCTGCACTGTGTGTGTGCACGGCGCGGATTGTCGCGATACGTTCATCTGCACTGTGTGTGCACGGCGCGGATTGTCGCGATACGTTCATCTGCATTGTGTGTGCACGGCGCGGATTGTCGCGATACGTTCATCTGCACTGTGTGTGTGCACGGCGTGGATTGTCGCGATACGTTCATCTGCACTGTGTGTGCACGGCGTGGATTGTCGCGATACGTTCATCTGCACTGTGTGTGTGCACGGCGCGGACTGTCGCGATGCGCACGCGGCTGCGAGAATAGCGACAGAGAAAGAGAGCGAGCAAGCGAGCGGGACATCGTTCTCACCTCCAGGGTGCCCTCGGATAGACCCAGGTCCATGTCAGTCTCTGTTCGCTGCTGGCTGAGTGCGACTGAGCTACGGGATTGAGCTACAGGACTGAGCTACGGGACTGAGCTACGGGATTGAGCTACAGGACTGAGTTATGGGACTGAGCTACAGGACTGAGCTACGGTACTGAGATATGGGACTGAGCCACAGGACTGAGTTATGGGACTGAGCTACATCAGCGCTCGACCCAGACCTCAAGAGCCCAAAACCGCATCGGCTTCCTTGCAGCTGCGCTCGCCTCCCCGTGCACGTGCCCATGTCTGCGTCAACAATTGCAATGATGATTATTTTAATAATTGCAACGTCCTTACTTATCCAGGAGGGCAACGCTGAGTCGTTGGGCTCTCTGTCAGGAAGACTTTGCTGTTTTTTCCCCAGGATCTTTCCGTTGCGTGTAGTCACTTTAAGATGTTCCTTGTTCATGTTTTTGTTTTGTTGCACCCGAGTCAAGAGCCGCATGGCTCACATGGTTATGCCTAATAAATGAAAACTGAAAACCTTGACTGTTTATTCTAAGATGTTTCCAGTCCCGAATTAATGATGGGTTGTGTTTATTGAACAAGCGAGATAAAAAAGAAAAACGGAGCGCCCGGAGAAAACCACCCACGCACGAGGGGGCAACACTCGATCCCCCGTATAGATGTCATCAGATGGAGATTAGTCCACACTTCGCTGTGCTCCCTTCTCCTGGCGAGCCAGGGTATGGAACCTCCTCTGCGCTCACGGGAAGGGAAGTTTCAAAACATCAATGCGTGATCCACCAACCCTCTTTGCTGCCTGCACGGTGCTGGGTTACAGGCGGCCACGTGGAGCAGCAGAGCCACCACGACCCGGCTCACACTCATGACTGGCTTACACATACCGACATAGTAGACTCCTCTTTCACCGATGAATGTGCAAAGACAAAGATCATCCATATAGTCTTTGACAGACTGCTGGGGCAAGTGCTGTTAGCGGCACCTAATGAAGGCCGGCACGGCGCACGAGGGGGTGGGTGACCAGCATCACTCCTGGCCGCCACCCCTCCCCCCCCCCCCCCCCCCCCCCCCGTGGCGATGGGCTCGGTGAACCCCATCATCCAGCAGTGGAATGATCACGGCTGATGATGGTGATGATTGCCAGCAAATTATGGGCCAATATAATGTTTTGCTCAGTGACCGCGGTGCTGGCCCAGCGATGGCATTTATTCAGAAACCATGACCGACTTTCACAACTGACGAGTACATTTAGAGAATAAGTGATACGCCCCCCACCCCAATCCCCATATCTCTCGCACAAAGATAAAGATCCCTTGTTTATAAAGCCTTGGAGACTGCTGGGGCAAGTGCCGGCAGCGAGCGCCTATTATTAAGACAGGGCACGTCACGCAAAGGGCGTCGGGTGGTGTGTGGCCGCCGACACATGCCCATCCGCCTTCATCTCCCCACTGCTGACATTCACAACAACAATAACAACAATGACAACAACGCACCAAGTATTCTACTCATTTAAAACCGAGAGTCGTCAGCCTAGGGGGGAGCAGGGGGAAGGCTGAGACAGTCGCACCGCTCGCCACTTGCGACGCTCTCAAACCCCTGGGAACTGAGCCCCGGGTTGGGGAACATTGTCCGTGAACCCGCTCATGTGATCGCCATGTGGGCAAGGAGCATTTGGGGGTGGGGGAGAGAAGGACTGCTGCTCACAGGGAAGGGCATTGTCTCGGGAGCGGGTGAGTGCAATGGTTAGCGCTACGCTGCGCTACGTACACGGCGGAGAGACCCGGGTTCGATTCCCGCTCACGGCCAACACCGGTAACGATGATCTTGAACCGGGTCCTGGGCATCCTTCCCTCGGTCGACTCAGCCTCCAATTAGTACCGTGTGAGATGTGTACACATCGCTAATGGGGAGACAAAAGGGGCCGGGAGTGGCGTGTGCCACCAACCCCTTCGTGTGGCGTTCCGACCTTCATAGGTGCTACTCGCTAACAGCACTTGCCCCAACAGTCCGGTACAGGCTATAGGGGGATCTTTGTCTTTATTATCTTGCGCTCCCCCCCCCCCCCCCATCGCCAGTTACAAGAGGCCACGTGACGTCCCCCACTAACGGCAGCTGCTGCCCACCCCCCTTCTCGACGCCTGACCAACGTTTAAGACGAGCGACCAACATCAGTGATCCATGCCTTTCGCGGGTAAAAGTGTTGACGGCTCACGTAGCAAAGCGCTCTTCACTACCTCTCAGAGGGGGGGGGGCACTTTGGCCGATAAGACATCATCAGTGTGTGCGAGTGAGGGAGGGCCCGCCATGTGGCCCGCGGGCCTAGCAACGGTGCTGAGAATTGTGAACCACACCACCACCACCCCCCCTCCCAGCCCTCAGTAAAACCTAGCTGCTGCGTTGCGAGGTGGCTAGGAGATGGGAGCACAGCAAGTGGGTTCTTCAATTCCTCTGCGCGTGGACCCTCAGAGTGTTTTTCGGCGTGGGGGGGGGGGCGGAGGCGCGAGAGTCGTGACGTCGGCACGCACGAGCCGGCCCAACGCTGTGACGTCACCGTCGTCCCACGTGCCAGAGCCAGCCAGGCAGCCATGGGACGCGAGCCAGGCAGGCAGCAAAACTTTACATTGTTTTACTCTGTGTAAGTGAGATAGCACTGTGTGATGTGGGTGGTTGGGTTGCTATCTGGACACCACAAAGCGACAAAACGTGGAACACCAAATCCAGAATCTGTGTTTATATCGGAGGAATCCGATGAGCTTTCAAGCTCTTTTTGTACAGATGTGAAGTCGGAACGGGTCACATAATCAGAGAACGAAGGTTGTTGAGTGGGCGTCGCAAATCAATGTTCGAGATTTATTGACAGCACCGTGGGTCAGCGTTTGTAAATGGTGACATATTATAGTGAATGGCATCGTGAGGAAAGCAGAATCAGCATAGGAGGTGTGAGTGGACATGTCATCATCACCACCGTGATCATCACCAGCACCATTATCACTAGCGTCATCATCAATACCACAATCTTCACCATCGTTATCATCACCCTCGCAAACAATATAACCACCATTCATAATCACGACCATTATCATCACTAGCACCACCATCATTATCACTATCGATATCATCACGACCACAATCATCACTATCGTTATCATCACCCTCCCCAACAATATAACCACCATCATTACAATCATCAACAGCATTATTATCACCACCACCATTATAACCAACATCATCACCACAATTATCTCCATCATCATCATCACCACCACAACCACCATTGTCATCATCACCAGAATCGTCACCACCACTACAATCATCATTAACAGCCATTATCGCTTCGTTTAAGATTGAGAGTTTTATTTTCTTACTTATCAACCCAATGCACATACACGATTATAAGAGTCAATCAGCGTTGGCAGGGAACCGTGAACGGCATTCGTTAATGACAAACGCGCACACACATTGTGTCACAAAGACAAAGCCCCCCCCCCGTGTAGCCTTAAACAGACTGTTGGGGTAAGTTCTGTTGGCGACTAGCACCGTATGAAGGCCCGCACGGCACACGAAGGGGGGTTGGGGTGGCCAGCACCACGCACGGCCGCCTTTGTCTCCCCACTAACGATGTTTTCACATCGCACCCAGGTACTCATTTAAGGCTGAGTCGACCTAGGGGGAGGCCCAGGACTCGTACAGATATTCGTCACTGCTTATCGCGCGTGAGCGGGGAAATCGAACTCGAGTCGACGTGCGGATTCGTAGCGCGACGCGCCCTAACCGCTGCGCCACCGCTCCCCCCGTCTATAAGGCACAGTCCTGGTGTTGCGACATCGCTCAGGTACAAACATCCACGCCGGGTGGGTCGTTGCTGGCTCTTTACGGGCAGACGTCACTTCACAGCAGAGCACTCACCGTTGGCATGGTGAACGCTATCGCGCTCAGCTAATCTCGAGGCTGAAGACGTCCCTCGGGGTACGGCGAATCGGGGCGACCGCCCCGGGCCCCACGCTTTGGGGAGGGGGGGTGTGAGGGAGACGCGCTTTCGTCGTCAGCGCTGTCAGATGTAACACTTTCCGTTTTCGTTTGAAGTCGTCGGAGGCCCCACACAGGAGGGGGGGGGGGGGGTTTCCCCAGGCCCTGCACCCCCCCTGTTGACGAACCTGCTCATGAGCTCATGATCTGTCTATCCACGGGTGTCACGGGGCTTCCTTGGGCGCAGATCCATCTCGCTCCTTGCACAGTTTGGCATTCCAATGCTGGATGAGGCGCCACGGTGACTATGCGATGTTAACCACCTCGCCTGGTATACAGGACGTCGTGGGCTCCATCACCACCCTGACGCCTGCTGCTGCTGTATATTTGGAGTTTGCTCTCTCCCCGTGGTCGCGTGGATTTTTCTCCGGGTCCTCCGGGTTTTCCCACTCCACATTTAGCAACAACATCGCCACGCGTTTGGACTATTCGGCTGCTGTACATTTCCACGTGATGACGACGAGCCACTTCGTCGAGCGATCACTTGTGATGGCGAGGTCGCTTCTGAACAAATAGCTACTTAGCTCAGCGGGGCCTTACACCTGGTAACACAATGAATAGGTGAATGGTTTTAAAGTGAGCTGATGACCTCACAGCGCCATCACTGTCCGCCCGTGGTCACCTCCACGGGGCGGGTCCTTCCATCCTTTGGCTGCCATTCCGTCACCAATCGTCCATGGGCCCGTGCACCGAAGGGGATGTGTAGCATTAACCGATGGTTATCAATGCACGCACGGACACATATTTGCGTGTAAATTAATTATATCCCATCTTCATTTGATGTTGATGTAGAGCGCCGTGGCTCAAGGCGCCCTCTAACAACAGAGTTGAACAGCGGTGAGAAAAAAACCCGGAGAGATTTAGATGGTCAAGGGTCGAGGAATGAGTGACCGTAACAAGGGGGGGGTCACGTGGGGTCACATTGAGAGCAGGGGGGGCACGTGGGGTCACGTTGAGAGCAGGGGGGGCACGTGGGGTCACGTTGAGAGCAGGGGGGGGAACGTGGGGTCACGTTGAGAGCAGGGGGGGCACGTGGGGTCACGTTGAGAGCAGGGGGGGCACGTGGGGTCACGTTGAGAGCAGGGGGGGGGGAACGTGGGGTCACGTTGAGAGCAGGGGGGGGCACATGGGGTCACGTTGAGAGCAGGGGGGGCACGTGGGGTCACGTTGAGAGCAGGGGGGGCACGTGGGGTCACGTTGAGAGCAGGGGGGGCACGTGGGGTCACGTTGAGAGCAGGGGGGGCACGTGGGGTCACGTTGAGAGCAGGGGGGGCACATGGGGTCACGTTGAGAGCAGGGGGGCACGTGGGGTCACGTTGAGAGCAGGGGGGGGGGAACGTGGGGTCACGTTGAGAGCAGGGGGGGGCACGGAGTAGAGGGGCGAGGGGCGAGAAGAGGAAGGGAGTGGAGAGAGACGACGACGGAAAGAGGAACACGTGGGTGAGAGAACAACACTCATCGAGGTTAGAGGCGATTGGGATCTGTTGAGAAAGGTAAGAGGTGGGGGGGGGGGGGGGGCCGCATTGGTCAAGGGTCGTGGAGGAGCGGAACCCGCCCGACGAGACGACGGGCCGAGGAATAACGTCCCCTCGATTGCAGGCGACACTTGGATTGTTGCATCACAGAACCGTGTTGGCGGGAGGGGGGGGGGGGGGCGTTCATCCAGCAGTGGATTGATGAGGACCGATGATGAGGAGGAAGGGGATGATGCAATGTGCGTCCAACAGCCGCTGCTGTAAAAAAGAAATGAACCTGAGTCACCCCCAACAGGTTGGGCTCTGCCTGGTCGGCGTTGGTAATTTAAACGGCACCCCCACAACCCCCGCTTTACATGACCCCCACCCCGGGGGAACTTGCGCAATCACCCCAAAGCTCCATCCCTGTACACCGCCCCCACCCACCCTGGTTGGAGGCCACGCAGATAAAAGCGTGAGGGGGGGGGGGGGGTTGTGTCCCAGAGGAGAGAGAGAGAGAGAGTTGGGGCTGCGGCGCTCTGGTCCAGCTGCCGGTAACGGCACCGAGCGTGCGTGGAGGTGAGAGCGCGCGCGCACGCGTGCGTTCGTGTGTGTGAGACAATGTGTTCTGGGCCTCCCCTAGGTCGACTCAGCCTCAAATGAGTACCCGGCGCGGCGTGTAAACATCGCCACTGGGGAGGCAAAGGCGGCCGGGCGTGTTGCTGGTCACCCCCCTCTCTCGTGTGCCGTGCCAGCCTTCATCGATGTTCGCTAACAGCACTTGCCCCAACAGTCTGTTAAGGCTTTACTGGGGACCCGTGTCTCTTACTCTGTCTATCAATTGTCTTTGAGTGGGGAGCGGCAGGTCAGTGGTTAGAGCGCCGCGCTACGAAGCCGGCGATCCGAGTTCGATTCCCGGCCACAGATAACATTCGGAGCGAGTGGCATCTCTCTACCTGCGTCGGACCTCTCTCTTAGCACTGGGGAGACAAAGGCGGCCGGGCGTGTTGCTGGTCACACCACCCTAAGTCGCGCCTTAATGAGTGTTCGCTAACAGCACGTGACCCCATCGTGTCTGCGTGCCACACAGAGGATCTTTGTCTCTCCCTGTGGTTTCCGCAACCTGTATTTGGCCTCCTCTAGGTTGACTCGGCCTAAAATGAGTACAGTACCTAGTACTGCGTGTAAACATCAGCACTGCTGCACTTGCCCTAACAGTCGATACAATGAAATGGGGGGGGGGGGGGGGGGGGGTGGTATCTTTGTCTTTGTGTAGGGCATCCGGTGTGAAGAGAAACGGAGACACGCAGAGAGAGAGAGAGACACACAAGGAGACAAGAGACACGGAGATACAGGGAGATAGTGACACGCACACGTGGTCTGACACAGAGACACACATTGAGACACACGTGGTCTGACACAGAGACACACATTGAGATACACGTGGTCTGACACAGAGACACACATTGAGACACACGTGGTCTGACACAGAGACACACATTGAGACACGCGTGGTCTGACACAGAGACACACATTGAGACACATTGAGACACGCGTGGTCTGACACAGAGACACACATTGAGACACACGTGGTCTGATACAGAGACACACATTGAGACACGCGTGGTCTGACACAGAGACACACATTGAGATACACGTGGTCTGACACAGAGACACACATTGAGACACACGTGGTCTGACACAGAGACACACATTGAGACACACGTGGTCTGACACAGAGACACACATTGAGACACATTGAGACACGCGTGGTCTGAAACAGAGACACACATTGAGACACACGTGGTCTGACACAGAGACACACATTGAGACACGCGTGGTCTGACACAGAGACACACATTGAGACACATTGAGACACGCGTGGTCTGACACAGAGACACACATTGAGACACACGTGGTCTGATACAGAGACACACATTGAGACACACGTGGTCTGACACAGAGACACACATTGAGACACACGTGGTCTGACACAGAGACACACATTGAGACACGCGTGGTCTGACACAGAGACACACATTGAGACACATTGAGACACGCGTGGACTGAAACAGAGACACACATTGAGACACACGTGGTCTGATACAGAGGCACACATTGAGACACACGTGGTCTGACACAGAGACACACATTGAGACACGCGTAGTCTGACACAGAGGCACACATTGAGACACGGGAGGGTTTGCTGCTGCTGCCCATGGGTCACCCCTGCGGGAATCTGTGCGGCGGAGGGAGATGCAGGGCGCTCTCCCGGTTCGTTCCCGTCAACTGGAAGAACGAACTCCGGGAGGTGGCCATGCTCGCCGTGCCAGTGGTAAGAGCAATCAGCATCAGCAGCAGCATCAGCATCACCACCACCACTGGAATCACAATCACCACCACCAACACTGCCACTGTAATCACCATCAGCGTTATCATCTTGCGCATTGTCTACAGAGATCTAAGCCCTGTCGGGAGTTCCATAGAGGTTTAGTTTTTTTTTGTTTTAAAATAATTATCGCGGAATCACGCGGAGGGTCATTTTGGAAGGGATGGACGGGCAGAGAATTCCTCACCCTCACCCCCCCCCCGCCCCCGGAATGAGGAACGAGAGCTGCCGAGCGGCTCCCGGTGGAGCTCACGACTCATCGCCCCCGCACGGTCCACGAGATGACTGACAGGGGCTGTTTTTGATCAGTTGCAAAGTCGGGGCCCGATTTCGTGAGTTTTGTTGCCACGTTGTTCCTCCTCTTTTCCTCCTCGTCCATACTTTTGGTGAAATCCCACCGCAGGAAAGGCTTCAATAGAAGCCTAGGGATGGGGCCCTCCTGGTAACCCCCCTCCACCGCCACCCCAAGAGAACCTCCTTCGTATCCCCGCGTCCCGACAGCACCACTCAATGTGATGCAGCCACGAGGCTGCGGCGGCCCCCGCGGCCTCCTCCGGCCACGAGGTTCTCCGGCTCACAGGGGCCGGAAGGGGTCAACCGAGCGGGAGGCGAGCACGGAGCCACTGTGCTCAAAAGTGCCCTTCAACAAAGATACCACGAGGGACCCCTAGGCCAGCGGGGAGACAAAGGCGGCCAGGCGTGGCGCTGCCGGCATGCATAGGTGCTGCTCGCTAACAGCTGTTGCCCCAACGGCCTGTTGAAGGAGACACGGGGAGGGGATCTTGTTGAAGGCACTTTGGGCACAGTGGCTGCGCGCTCGCTCTCCCCTCGGTTGACCCCTTCCGGCCCCTGTGAGCCGGAGAACCTCGTGGCCGGAGGAGGCCGCCACAGCCTCGTGGCTGCATCACATTGAGTGGTGCTGTCGGGACGCGGGCATACGAAGGGGGTTCTCTTGGCGGGGGAGGGGTGGGGGGTGCCGGGAGGAACCTCTAGGAAGGGACTCCCTTGGGGGGGGGGGGGTCACTCCCTCGCCGCGTGCCCCCTCACACTTGACCACGTCGTCAGGAATGGGGCTCGACCCTCAGCGGCGATGCGGTCAGTTCGGGTCGCCCCGAATCAACAAACGTTCGAATTTGGCTCAAAAGTTCCTTGGACTGTTTTCGCACCCACCGTGCGTGGCCGATCTCGCTCATCGGATGCGCGGGCGAAGGACAAACAAACTAAACACACTGTTTGGTTCTTTCGGTAAAGTCACGTAGGTAGAAAAAATAAATAAAAAATATTATTTTATTGGATCCCTGCAGTCACAAAAGCTTTAAATCAAAACTAAACACAAAAAAATCAGTTCTCAAGAAAGCACTCCGCGTTGCGGGGTTCTTAACTGCCCAACTTCTGAGCCAGTGGTGGGATTTTTCCACATTGCTATGGGGGTAGGGGGGGGGGGGCCTTGTACGTTCCACAGTACGTACGCGTGAGCGAGCCGTGGCGCGGATGGCCAAGCTGATGCCTCGTGTTGCCCCGTGTGTTCTCCTCGCCCCACGAAGACCGTGTCCAGCTTCCTCATCTTCTGCATCAGCATGGTGAGCACCGTTTTCTGCGGCCACCTGGGGAAGATCGAGCTGGACTCCGTGATGCTGGCGTCGGCGGTGAGACAATTCACATTTTGTATTATTATTGTTGTTGTTATTATTGTTGTTGTTATTGTTGTTGTTACCTTCGTCGTCATCGGCAGCCTTAGTCTACCCAATGCTGGATGAAGGGCTTCGCAATCCTTTGCCATCGGAATATTTTGCCCACCCCATATTAGCGTCTGTAAATTTATATATATATATAGATTTACGCGTGTGTGTATATAAGTACGTATAGACTCAACACAGTCGTCAATAACACCACCGTGTGAGTGGCCTGAAAGTGAAACAGAGATGACGTTTCGGGCAATGACCCATCTCCATGGCAGACATGATCTGTGTGTGCGATGAGGAAGGGTTCATATTACGACGCGTGATTTGTACACCAGCGCCAACGCAACGGCGTTTACCAAATAATGTGATGAGTGATACAGACGGAGAGTAGCACATGGCTTCTGAAACGCCCTCGCCAATTGTAGCTTCAAGCAAGGCGATTAAACGAGGCAAAACCAATTACAATTGATTTTTTTGATTAAAATGAAGCCCTCAATTGTGAAAATTAAACAAATCGCCAGGGTGGGAGGTTGGAGGTGGGAGGGGTGGGGGCAGGGTGGAGGGGGGGCAGGGTGGAGGGGGGTCCCGGAGGTGAAAACGTCCACGCGTAATTTAACATTCCGGCAAAATTCACTCGTTGGGCAGCGCACAGCATTCTCTTGTTGTGCCGTATTGATGTGCTCTCCGCCTTCAGCTTCCGCTGACCAGCTCGGTGCAGTACGGTCAGTTGGCCTCCATGACCCACACGGCGTGGGCAGGCCCTCATCCAGCAGTGGGTCGACAGAGCGGCTGCTTGTATAGATGGCACCAATGAGCAACAGGTCTCCACATTCAGAGCCGGCTGCGTCTGCTGCGCAAGGCGCTCAAGGTCAAGTTCTAGAGGTCGTCACGGACTACGCCGCCAATGCCGCACGCGCACACACGCACGTCGTCATCGCTTCCTTTCTCCTGCACGTCACGTTGACCCTCGCTGCGTCCGTTCCGCTCGCAGGTGATCAACATAACGGCGATCGCCGTGGGCGTTGGGATGTCTCTGGCGTGCGACACGCTCATGTCACAGGTAGGAGGGGGTCACGGGGTCGGTCACGAGAGGGCACGGAAAGCGTGAGTTTAGTTTTTTGAACACGCGGCCCTTTGTCTGTCCACCACAGGAGGTCGTGGGTTCGAACCCGACTCTGACGCCTGTTGTATATTTGGAGTTTGCGTGTCTCTTTCCCCGTGGTCACGTGGATTAATTTGCACTGACCCAGGTCATCCTTGTGAATGACACCTAACCCATAACGGCTCCTCACCTCGGGCGAGATTGAACGAACGAACTAATCAAATGGAGCCCACCGGCGTCAACGATCCACTACTCATTCCTGAGCGGCGAGCTCGCGAGGTTAACCTCGCCTCGAGGCCGCAACGCGAGGATGGCGCCTTGAACCCCCGTCCGTGGACGAGCGGTGACTCCGCTCGTCAATTGTCCACGTGTGGTTAATGGGAGCGAGGGGGGTGGTGGCGGTGGTGCGGGCACAGCGGTAGCGCCAGATTACCTCGCCGATCTCGGCAAGGAGCATAAACCACCATCGCCCAAACCCCGGTGGTCATCCTCGCAGCAGCGGCTTTTGGATATCCATCGCGCTTCTGCGGCCGTCTGGAACGTTCTTCCTTCCGATATTAGGAAGCCACTGGGAGCTCTGCACTTTTAAATCATCATTAAGATTGACAAACCCATTTCTTTAAAACTCCTTTTCGTGTTTAGTTTGCCATCCTTCCCCCGCACCTCCGATTAGCACGCTTGGCTACTGGCGTTGTGAAAGAAGTTCAACATACGGTACATACATACCGCGGGTTCACTCCCCGGTCAACTCGACGTTGTGGGGAACCCGCTGTGGAGGAGCCCGTTACATCACCACAGCTGTCAACCCATACGGTTCAGCGCCTATTCTTGTACAGGGAAATTGCATTTTCAGGTCCATACGGCGTACAGCCGTTTCAATACGGGCAACAACATTTTTGTTGTCTATTTGTTTGCGTTTCTCCCTTGTGATGGCACTTTGTAGGATGCACGTTGAGATTGATGAGGGGCACGGGGTGACCAAAAAGGTCTAAGTTGGTCTGTAATAAGGTAGGGGCACTGACAAAGGGTTGACGGGTTTGCATTACCATGTGACACGTTGAGTCGGGGAGCTCTAGCGCTGGGTGCCCCCTGCACCTGTGGCAGTCGTTGGCAGGAGCGGCACCGCACATGCGTGGCGTGGGTCAGAGCGCGGATGACTAGCAGCTGAAGTTGGGCAACAAGCGGCCAGACACAGAGACATTAGTCGACTCGCATGCCACACACACAAAGAACCCCCTTGCAGCCTACACGGACTGTCGGGGCAAGTGCTGATGGCGAGTAGCACCTATGAAGGCTGTAAAGGCCACACACGGCCACCTTTGTCTCCCCAACGCTGATATTTACACACTGTAGCAGGTACTCATTTGAGGCTGAGTCGACCTAGGGGAAGCCCAGGGCCGGTTCAGATAATCGTCGCTGGTGTTAGCCGTGAGCGGGAATCGAACCCGAGTCGCCAGGTTCATAGCGCAGTGCACTAACCGCCCCACCACCGCTCCCCACAGTCCAACAGACACACACACGCTCAGCGGTGGTCACTCGTCTCCCCGTCGCTCTTCTATTGCTGCTTCCACGGTTACTGTTCCCGTGAACTTCGCTCGTCGATTCCTCAACCAGTGGGGGACACACAAACCACCGCCACCATGCCGCCACCCGCTGCGCGTTCTCTCCCCAGGCGTTCGGAGCCAAGAACCTGCACGAGGTGGGCGTGATCCTGCAGAGAGGCATCATCATCCTCATGCTCTCCTGCTGCCCCTGCTGGGCCCTCTTCCTCAACATCCGCCCCTTCCTGCTCACCATCGGCCAGGACCCCGAGGTGGCAAGGTGCGTGCCTGCTCCCTGCGCCACGCGGGGTGCCGCTTGGCGCCGTGCCCCCCGGGCACCGTGGGCACGGCCGTCTCGGGCACAGCTGCAACCCGACGGGCGGCGTCGGCGCGTTTCCACTCCCGGCTCAACCAGTTTCCGTCTTGAGTTGGAGGTCGTTGGGAAAAAAACACAATTAGTAGACGCGACCCGCGAGGCGACCTCCGTTTTAACCCGCCGCTCGTTTGCTTGACTCGTTGTGTCGCGCTCCCCACCCGCAGGCTGGCGAGCCTCTACGTGCTGATCTGCATCCCGGCTCTGCCCGTGAGTGCAGCACCCCCCCCCCCCATCACGCTCTCACGTGCACCGATTTCACTTAAACGTCGACGATGGCGAAAGCGTTTCGCAACACCGCTAGTTGGCAGCGGCGCACAATCAACATAAAGCAAATTAATCAATTACACTTAATTAGTCAATTACACTAAATTCATCAATTACACTAAATTCATTCATTACACTAAATTCATCAATGACATTGCCCTACAAGGAAAACATTCACACTCAATCACGCGCGCATATATAATGGGAAATATTTTGGGCAATGGGACAGGTCTCCTTTGTAGCAGAGAGCTCGAGAGGGCAGAAAGACAGGGCAAACAGTAACAGGCACCTTGTTTGCTCGCACACAGCTTAAAGGTCCGCGGTCTGAGCGTGGCTGTGTTTCACTCCAGCGCTGTCCTCGAGACAGCCTGATCCCTTCACCTGATGAAGGCCACTTGTGTTGTGGCCGAAACGTCGTGATTTTTGTTTTATTTTTTTTACCTACGTGACTTTACCGAATAGAACCAAAGAGTATGGATCCTTGCAGTCACGAAAGCTTTAAATCTAGAATAAATCTAAAACAGTAACAGCTTGAGGATGCAGCCTGGGGCCCTGATAGAAATCCTATTCTACAAGTTTCTAGGGTCCTGTGGTGCATGGCGCGGTATCCGGCCACTCTGTCGCCGCTACGAAGAGGGTTCCATTGGCCTGAAACGTCACCCACCTGTCAGACGTTTTGTTTTCTCTTTCTCTCATAGGGCCACAGTGGTTCCTGACGACTGTGTATCGGTCGCTGCTGTTCAGTGTTAACGGTGTTGCATTTCACGTGATCGTTTATATTGTACACAGATTTTGTTTGCTGCTGATTCGGGAGGTTGTTGTGTTCTAGATTTGAAGTTTTGGTGTTGTTTAACAACTTTGGTTTGTGTGTGGTGCTGTTTTGATTTTACACAGGCCATATTTTTATACCAGCTAGAGAGCAAGTATCTTCAGAACCAGGTCAGTGCGTTGGTGGCGATTAGGTACACGCACACAAGTGTAACAAAGATGCCCCGTCTTGACTTGGAAGCCTGTGGTGGAAAGTGCTGTTGGCAGGCATCTATTAAGGGCCACGCATACATACATACATCTGTGCTTGATTAGTTCATAGTTCATAGTTCATTTATTTGGTACAGCCCTGTGAGCCATTCGGCTCTTGAATCGGGTGCAACCGCAACAAACAAAAACACATGAACAAGAAAACATCTTAAAGTGATTATGTGACTGTGCAAACAGAAAATCCAGGAAAAAAATATCAAAAATATTCCTGAAATAGCACCGTACACCAACGCTGTGTGCACGATCACAATGCACCGTTTAACAATCCCGTTTCTACTATTCGAATCAATTGTACTGTACGTGTGTGAGCCAACCGTGCTAACCGGAGGTGCGGGGGAAGGACAACAAACTAAACACAAAAAGGAGTTCTAAAGATATTAGTTTGTCGATCTTAATGCTTTAAAAGTGCGTAGCTCCCAGTTGCTTTCCAATATAGGAAGGAAGAGCGTTCCGGACGGCCGCAGAAGCGGAGATGAAAGCGCGCGATGCGGTGACCACCGCCTTTGTTCGATGGTTAGCCAAAAGCCGCTGCTGCGATGATGACCAGAGTTTGCGAGATGATTTATGCTCCTTAACGAGATCAGCAAGGTACTGTTGTGGTTCATTTGTGGCAGGTGCTGTGTGCGTCATGAGTGCGACCTTGTGACGTATATTACATTATTTTTAATTCCTCGAATCGGACAACTTGGTCTCCATTGTTGTTAAGATCATCCTGTAAATTTTACTTGATTCTGCGAGGTTTAGTTCCGCGGGGGCGAAAGCTTTTGCTTGAGAACTCCGATCCCATGCCGAGTCTCGTGGGGCCATCAACTCCGGCACGGCGCGTGTGCGCTGCCTGCGTGTGGAGTGCAGAGCATCACGATGCCACAGGTGTACACGGGCCTGCTGATGAATGGCCTCAACGCACTCTTCAACTACATCTTCATCTACGTTATGGACATGGGTGTACCGTGAGTCACGCGCTCGATTGAAACTATAGCAGCCAAATATTCTTGGCTGCAAATTTATTATAAGTACGGAGTGAGGACCCGGATAGAAATCATCCACGTGACCACGGGGAGAGAGACACGCAAACTCCAAATATACAGCAGCAGCAGGCGTCAGGGTCGGGATCGAGCCCACGACCTCCTGCATACCAGGCGAGGTAGTTAACATCTCCTAGCCACCATGGCACACGCGGAGACAGCGACCCGCCCCCACACAGGCTGTTGAGGCGAGAGCTGTCGACGAGGACCTGTACGAAGGCCGCAACGTCACACGAGGGTGGTGTGGCCGTAAATGCACCCGGCCGTCTTTGTCTCCCCAATGCCGACATTTGCACACTACACCAGGTGCTCATTTAAGGCTGAGTCGACCTCGGTGAGGCCCAGAACCGGTTCGGATATACGCCACCGATGCTGGCAGTAGGCAGGAATCGAACTCAGGGTGCTGGGTTCATAGTGCAGTGTGCTAACCACGATGCTACCAACAACAGCAACAACAACCGCCATTCGCCACTAAGTGGCGGTGACGTCACCACGACGCTTATGCCAGGCCATGTGCACCTTGAGGCCACGTGAAGTGTCGAACGCCCGCTGGCAGGAGGTCACGGGGCAGACCCAGGTGCCACTGGTCGACTGACTGAGATGACTGAGATGACTGGCTGATGCACCACCTGTGCCCCCTACTGTGCCAACCTGCTGTGCTTTAGCCACCCGGCGCTCCGCTCGTTGTTGTGAGCGTCGCTCCTCCGCCCTTCGTTATTGTTGGAGGGCGACTCCTCCAACTGCCCAGTAGCATCCTTCACGAGCCTCCTCCACAGAGGCCGATCTTGACACCGCTGGTACCAGTCATCGGCAAGTCCACTCAGCTCCATGTCCTCTTGTACCACATCACTCCATCTCTTCTCTGGCCCGTGCCGCGCCCGTTTAGTCCCCTCGATCCGGCCGAACAAAAGCTGTTTCGGCATGCGGTGGCTGGGCATGCGGGCTACATGATCCAGCCAACGCAGCCTTGCCTGCCGGAGGAGCTCACCGATGGGATCTTGCCCAGATCTTTCAAAGATTTGTGAGCTCCTCACACAATCGAGCCTGGTTAAACCCAGGATGGATCGTAGGCAGGCTAGCCTAAATGTTTATAACCGGCAAAGATGTTCCATTAGGGGGGTCCACGTTTCGCAAGCATAGAGAAGGGAAGGAATGACCGTGGCCGAGAAGACCTGAAGCTTAGTGCGGAGCGACAGACCAGGTAGCTTCCACAAAGCGTTACACAACCGATGAAAAGATATTGCCGCTCGACTGATTTGGAGTGAAACCTCTGCTGTTAAACTGGAGCCGGTCATAAGCACACTGCCCAGGTATGGGAAACTCTCCACTCTCTCTACAACTGCCCCATCACCGATTGGGAGTTGTGGGGGTGGAGTGTCCGATGGTACAAAATACCCGGGCAGGTGCTTAGTTTTGGTGGGGCTGATGGTTAAGCCCCGTCTCTTAGTGGCACGCTCCAGTCTCAGCAGCAGCGTCTCCAACTCCTCATCTGAATGAGCAGCTATTACCAAATCATCGGCATACATAACGTGGTTGAGCAATAGGGAGCCATCCCTTGACCGCACCCGGGCATCGAGCCAGAGGACATCCCTGTCGCACCCCAAGGTGTACAGCGAATGGCTCTGACTCCCGGCCACGTAGTTTTACCCGGGCCCGCTCACCATCATGAAGATCCTTAATGATCGTGAGCAGAGGGTCAGGGACTCCAAAAGCACGAAGAACAACCCAGAGCCCAGGCCTACTGATGGTATCATAGGCCTTGACCAGGTCAATAAAGCAGAGATGTAGGTCTTGTTGGAATTCCCTACACCTCTGCTGTAGCAGACGGACAGAAAATATGGCATCTGTGCAAGACCGCCCTTTCCTTGCCAGGACCTTTCCCGGCACACTGAGGAGTGAGATGCCCCTGTAGTTGTTACAGTCTGTGCGGTCCCCCTTCTTAAAGAGGGGGACCACCAGGGCATCCTTCCAATCCTGCGGAACTCGTCCATTGGTCCAGACTGTTGTTATGATGTCATATAGGGCAGTCTGTGCACAAACGCCACCTTCCCTCAGCATTTCGCTTGGGAGATCATCTCTACCCGGTGCCTTTCCTGGTCTCAGACTCCGGATCGCCTTCAGTACTTCCTCAACAGATGGCACCTCAGCCACTCACTCACAGGGGGTGACTTCTTCCAATATTTGAGGCACTGTAGCCTCAGCAGGGTCATCCCCACTTTGTGCCACGATGTTTTCCTGGCTGAGTCACAGTCCTAAACCTCGCCCATTTACCCTCGACATCAGGAGGAGTGGGGACGATGCCAACCCCAGCCACAAGCGATGATGAAATTCTCGCTTGCAACTTTCATCAGATAACTGAGACCAGGCCACATTAGGTTCGAATGGGGTCCTGGGTGTACACCCACCACCGGAGTGGAAGAATGGCAGGCGCATCTTACAGATAACTAGTCGATGGTCAGAGGGCAGATCAGCTCCACGGTAGGTCCTGGTGTCAAGGACATGGGCTCACATCCGCTGGTCCGTTACTATGTAGTCCAGCAGATGTTGTTGCTTGGACCCGGCATGCATCCATGATGTTGTGTGGATGCGCCGATGCCGGAACAGCGTGTTGGTATTTACAAGCCCATGGGCTGCACAAAAATCTAGCAGTCTCCTACCGTTGTTATTGAGCTGATCTGGCCCATGCCCTCCAATCACTCCAGACCAGGTACCAGCATCATGACCAACTCGGGCATTGAAGTCACCCAACAAGATGACTCTATCCCGATGGGCCACTTTACCCAGCACCTGTGACAGGAGGTCATAGAAGGCATCTGACACATCGGCTTTGCCTGCATCCCTCCACGGATGTTCGTCTTCGGTGGGGGCATACGTAACCACGACCACCACTCCTCGCCTCCGGTTGATGGGAAGGCGAGCCCAAAGTAGTCTGGGGCTTACAGCTTCCCACACCTCACTGCCACGCTCCCACGCCCCCTTAATTCTTTTGTTCAAAAGAAGAGCCACACCCTGTTGTTTGGCAGTCTGCTGCCCCGAGAAGAGGACTGTCCACCCCTCATGGTGGCAGGAGCCATAACCGGTCCACCGGACCTCCTGAATGCCACAGAGATCCAGGCGGGACCAGTCCAGCTCCTGACAGAGGAGTGGCAGCCTCTCCTACGCAGTGAGCATTCGAATATTCCACGTGGCCCCACGAAGTGGCTTTTCGTTGTTTTTGGAGGAGCCCCGAGAGTAGAGATTCAATCTCCTGGCTCCGCCAATTGGGGTTTGGCCAGGAGACGGCATAGACGCCTGTCCCCCCGGGGCCTCCGACACAAGCTTATTAGTTACATATTTCAGTCGTGGTTTAGTGGTAAATTTTTTAAGGTGGAGGGATTACCAGCCCCTCGCCCGTCCAGAGCCCCCGTTTAGCCCCTGTGGTGGTCACAGACGCCATGAGGGGAGGATCCAATCGGAATTGGCCCTCCCCCCACAGCACTGTCCACAACAGAGTTGCCCGTCCGGCACCACGAGGAGGTAGGGGGTTGTTTTGCCGGACCTCTTACACACACACACGTACGCATGCACACACGCACACTTGCTGTCTGGAATGCCTTGCCAATCACTCAACCCATTCCTCATGCCAGACTTGAATTGGTGGGATGTCGGGGTGATCAGAGTGGTCGCTCAGGATGTAGAGCTGCAATGGGGGTACATACAGTTCACAGCACGGCATGTTTTTACGTCTCTCTTTCTGTATGTACATACAGTATGTTGAACTTCTTTCGCACCATACATAGCCAACGGCGCTAATCGGAGGTGTGTGCGATCGGGAACGTTCTCGTGCGTGCGTGCGTGTGGCAGGGGCTCGGCGGTGGCGTACGTGATCTCCAACTACAGCCAATCCATCTTGCTCTTCGTCTACATCCGAGTGAGAGGCCTGCACCGCAACACCTGGGCAGGTGATGGACGCACACGTGCGCACGCACACACGTGCACACACACACACACACGCACGCGCGTGCACGAGACGAATAGCAGTGTGGGGCCCATCAATCTAAAGAGATACTTTTCACGGATGTACAGTATGCATGTTGAATTAATTTTTGCACCGTACATAGCTAGCAGTGCTAATCGGAGGTGTGGGGAAAACTCTGTAGGTGAGGTGAGGGAGGGGTAAAGGGAATCGACTGAAACATTTAAATATTGATCATCGAAAATAAAACAGCCAAACGATTTGAAGAGGAAAATCTACCACTGCAGCAGTTTTAATCGTAGAGCTGTTTAGACGAGTACTCTTTTGAGCGGTGAACTAAAAACCCCAACTTGGAGGACCTCATAACTTTACACAGGCGACAAAAACTCGCTACGTCGACAGGGATTCCTCTCTGTACCTCCACAGTCCGTGAGTCAGGTTAACCACCCCCTGTGCATCGCCGATCTTAATAGGTGCTCGCTAACAGCATTTGATAAATAGTATATCGAGGCGATATTCGGGATGTTTGTTTTTGTGTGGCTGCGTGTGTGTGAGCAACATTACACCCTCAGATAGCATGCAGTCTTTAGAGGTGCTCACAGCATTTGCCCCAAAATACTGTGTAAGCTACATGGGGGATCTTTGCCTTTGCCTTTTGTGTGTGTAGGTTGGTCCTGGGACTGCCTGCAGAACTGGGGGGTGTTCATGCGTCTGGCTCTGCCCAGCCTCGTCATGGTGTGCATGGAGTGGTGGGCCTACGAGGTCGGCATCTTCCTGACCGGTCAGCCTCCCACCCACCCCTCCCGGCTCCAACCGCCCACCAAAAAACGAAGATGCCACAGGCGACCAAAGCCGTTGGTGCCACCGCAACCTCATTACCAACAACACTGCCCCCCCCCCGCGTGTCACTGCTGCTGCTGCACTGTAGACACACGGCCAACTCCCCCGTGATCACCGGGCTCGTGGAGACCAACCCCAAGGCAGTGGGAGCGAGATGTTAACTCCCTCGCCTGCTATGCAGGAGCCTGCGCGTCTCTCTCTCTCCCTGTGGTTGCGTGGATTTTTCTCCGGGTCCTCCGGTTTTCCCCTCCACACTCAGAATCGGTCACGCGTTTAGAGTATTTGGCTGCTGGGAATTCCCACATGACCTGGCCACAAATGACAGCTCAACGACGATGGCTTATCACGTGGAAATGTACAGCAGCCCAATACTCTAAACGCGTGATGTTGATGATTAATACAGAGGGAAAAACCGGAGGACCCAGAGAAAAATCCATGCAACCATGGAGAGAGAGAAACATGCAATCTCCACATATAAAGGCGTCAGGGTCAGGATCGAACCCATGACCTCCTGCAATGAAATGACTCCCGACCAACATACAACACAAACAGATGAACTGCTTCACGGTAGATTAACGATCAGCTCGGCTCGTTACACATCGCAAGCATCCTGCCGATTGGTTAACAATTGAAAAATTGAAATCTAAGACCTTGCATGGCAGCGAGGGGCAAAAAATGTCTTATATGACGCATTTGTTGTGTTGTAATAACCTCACCGGGCTGTCAATCAGCACGGACGTGCACATTCGATATCGCAAACTCTTGAGTGAGAACGATGCGTCGATCCGTCGATCATCGTAGATTATTATGGGCACGACGCAAGCATGGAACCGCGTGCGAAAAAAATCGTTGTTTTTTTTAAATCCACGTGCGTCAATGTGCAATGGGTTTGCGTCACCTCTGCAGCCACTAGAGGCGCTACTATTAACGCCACTGTGAATCGGTCCAAGCCAAACGTAAACACGTGTCTACATGTGACCGGGTAACCTTGGTTGGTATCCAAGTCCAGACACAGGACTGCCCATCGGTATCAGAACTTGCCCTGGGCCTCGCCTAGCTTGGCCTTAAATGAGTAGTGCCGGGTGCGGTGTGTAAGCATCAGCACTGGGGATACAAAGGTGGCTGGGCGTGGTTCTGACTATATGGTCCACTTTACCTGTCATGGGCCATTCCGGCTTTAATAGGCGCTCGCTAACAGCACCTGGCAGCACGTTGTATAAGGCTGAGAGGTTGCTTGTGTGCATGTGATGCATGGGGAGCAGTGGTGTTGCACTATGAACGTGGTGACCCGAGGTGGCCTCAGCCTCAAATGAGTACCTGGTGCGGTGTGTGAACATCGCTACTGGGGAGACAAAGGCGGTCGGGCGTGGTGTTGACCACCCACCCGCCTTGTGTCCCGTGGCCGCCTTCATAGGTGCTCGCTCAGCAGCACTGCCCCAACAGTTGATGAAAGGCTATATGGGGGATCTTTGTCTTTTTTGTGTGATACGCACGCGCGTGCAGGTGTTCTCGGAGTGCTTGAGCAAGCGTCCCAGGCTGTCACCTATCAGCTGATCACCATCACGTACATGGTAAAGCCACTGCCACGTGTGCCCACGTTGTCGTTCAACTTTGACACGTGTGTCGTTTATTCCCAGCAAATTAGTCAACTTGGCAAAACGGCGAAATGCCCCCCTCCTGAAAAAGAGTCTTGAAGCTCAGTCAGGCTATCCTGGGTAAACGAATATAAATAAAAACCTCAGCGCTGTTCCACCGATCCGATTACCCTGCGAAAGAAGCTCAACGTGCATACAATGGAACAGCTCTCTTCTGCAACGACAGCGCAGAGCCAGAGCCAAGGCTCCTTCAGGATTCGTAGGGTTTAGTGTTTATTGCCCAAGGCTAACAGAGGCAGGCGAAGGCACTTTTAGGACTATTTAGGTAAAAATGTAAAATCCTGAAACTCGGAAAGCCAAAAACCAAGTTTGACACAGCTGTCAGAAACCACCAAGAATCTGTCTGTCCACATCAAAGACAAAATAACGGTTTAGTCGATGAGCCTTTGGGCCCTCCTGGAGCAGTGTTGTCCAGCAGCGTCTCCTTCGATCAGGGCCGTTAAATTGAGCCGATAAGTTTGTTGTCAGTGCACGAACAATGAATGCCAAAACTGTACTCTTTGGTTCTTTCGGTAAAGTAACGTAGGTAAAAAAGTCAATAAAATAAATTAATTAAGCAAAATAAAACAAAAATGAAAACAACTCAATTAAATCACGACGTTTCGGAGGCAACACAAGCTTCCTTCATCAGGTGTAAATGCCAAAACTGTACCGCAGATCCGACGGTACCATCCCTCTTTGTGTGTTTTTTGGGGGGATTTATTTTTTTAGGCCCGAGAACCAAATCATCGTGGCTATTCCAGTTTCCTGCCACATGAAGCCAGACGTGACATTGCCAAAACGTTCGAATGCAGGACCCTCCAAACCAAGAGTCTCGAGACTCGCTGATGCTTGCAGTGAAAATAAAGGCCTTATTATTGCTTCTAGATTTGAAGCTTTCGTGACTGCAAGGATTCATACTCTTTGGTTATTTCGGTAAGTCACGTAGGTTAAAAAAATAATAAAATAAAATAAATGAAAACAACTAAATTAAATCACGACGTTTCGGGCGCAGCACAAGCGTCCTTCTTCAGGTGGGGGACAACGTAGCGAAAGCACAAACGCTTAAGTGCGTCTCAGAGATGGCTGTGACGAGCGATTATATAGTCGCCGGGGGCATGGACAGAGGGGGGGGGGGCATGGTGAGTGTGGGGGCGGGGTGTGGGCTGGGAGGTAAAGTTGGGAAGCCGAGGGTGCGCTAGGAGGCAACGACTTGGGCCGAAACTGGGGCTTTGTGATGTAGATGGCGGAAGTAGATAAGCAAGCTAGGATTAAGCCTCATTTTGTTATGCTGCCGGGTGGTTAAATTCGCAATGCGCAGCTTGCGAATTGCGAATTTACCCCCCCCTCTCTCCATGCCCCGTGACTATATAATCGCTCATCACAACCATCTCTGAGACACACTAAAGCGTTTGTGCTTTCGCTACGTTGTCCCCCACCTGAAGAAGGACGCTCGTGTTGCGCCCGAAATGTCGTGATTTAATTTAGTTGTTTTCATTTATTTTACTTATTTTTTTACTTATTATCGCTCTTGTTGTTGGTATTTTCTCTCTGCGCCGTAGATTCCCCTTGGGCTCTCTGTGGCGGTGAACGTTCGCGTCGGAAATGCTCTTGGCGCTGGGCGGCCGGAGCAAGCCAATAACTCTGCCAAAGTGGTCATGATCTGCATCGGTCAGTGCTTCTGGGATCGCTTCATAACATCTGCAAACACACACGCGCGAGCAAACCCTCGGCCTTGTACAATGTGCTGCCAGGTGCTTCCAGCGTTGTGAAGCCACTACACCTCCCGATTTCCTTCCCCCGCACCTCCAATTAGCACGGTTGGCTACGTACGGTGCGAAAGAAGTTCATCGTACGTACATACGTACCGGAGGTTCTCTGCGGGCCCCTAGCGTGGCTGGGCAAGACCTGCTGGGGTGTAGGGGGTGTGAAATATGCCATGCTTACTAAGGAACAACAGTGCCACCCCCTCGCTCCCAGTCAGCGGCAGCTCCTCGGCATGACTGGGTAGGTCAAGAGGTCATCACGCACAATGCAGTTTGCTGCCACCCACCGTGGTCGATTGACTAAGTGGATAACTTCGGCATGTTAGTCTTTGTGTAATATTTATCATTTGTGCATCTATTATAAAAGCCCGTCGTCCCGTTTGTCCATCAACTAAATTATTAGAGCCTTTCCGAAGGCTTGAATCTAAAAGTTATAGAAAGTGACCCCCCCCTGCTCGCAAATGTGGGGGTAAAGAGTTGATCCAACAGGTTTCCAAAAATTGTAGGACAAATAATTTCACTCCCCACCCCCGGCCCCACAAACGAATCCCTACACAGCCTACATACAACAGGCAGTAGCATCTGCACACCATAGCACTGTGTGGCCCCAAAAAAATAAAAATATACGACAGGCGTCGTTGCGGGCATCTTCATTGAACACGTCGTACATTCATGTGTTGAGCACATTGATGTGCTATGACGGGCAACTTCCTGAAGCCTTGCCTAATGTATGAACGTGACGGGTTTTGTTCTCTTTACGCGCGTGCGCGCCACCGCCATATCGAGGACATTCTGTGGTGAGAAGAGCTTTTTTTTGCACTTCCTCTACGATCGCAGAGGCCGAGTTGAATCGATTCCACGGCAAGATAGTCGGGGGAGGAGAGCGCCACCCAGTGAGCACCCTTCTTGTGTACACGCTCGTGCACGCGTGCTGTTCTCTCCGCAGGCTTCATGGAGTTGCTGAACGCCGTCATCCTGGTGGCGGGCCGTCACGTCGTCGCCTACGTGTTCACCACTGCGCAGTAAGCACGTTGCCCCTCGTGACACCGCCGCCAGTAAGCACGTCGCCCCTCGTGACACCGCCAGTAAGCACGTCGCCCCTCGTGACACCGCCACCAGTAAGCACGTCGCCCCTCGTGACACCGCCAGTAAGCACGTCGCCCTGTGACACCGCCAGTAAGCACGTCGCCCCGTGACACCGCCGCCAGTAAGCACGTCGGTCCGTGACACCGCCAGTAAGCGTGTCGCCCCGTGACACCGCCAGTAAGCACGTCGCCCCTCGTGACACCGCCAGTAAGCACGTCGCCCCGTGACACCGCCGCCAGTAAGCACGTCGCCCCTCATGACACCGCCACCAGTAAGCACGTCGCCCCGTGACACCGCCAGTAAGCACGTCGCCCTGTGACACCGCCAGTAAGCACGTCGCCTCGTGACACCGCCAGTAAGCACGTCGCCCCGTGACACCGCCAGTAAGCACGTCGCCTCGTGACACCGCCAGTAAGCACGTCGCCCCGTGACACCGCCAGTAAGCACGTCGCCTCGTGACACCGCCAGTAAGCACGTCGCCCCGTGACACCGCCAATAAGCACGTCGCCTCGTGACACTGCCAGTAAGCACGTCGCCTCGTGACACCGCCAGTAAGCACGTTGCCCCGTGACACCGCCGCCAGTAAGCGTGTTGCCCCATGAGGCCACCGTCGCCGCCTCCGCCAGGGGGATTAAACCACAGCACTTGAAACTTGCCGACCAGGGGTAGAGAACCTTGTTCTTACAGAAGGGCCTTCAAACACCTTTGGCGGGCCACTCGTTATGCAATAATCACGGGAAAAGAATAACTCGGCTCGCTTACCTTTGCCGCACTCAAGCGGCTGCTTTCCTCTCACTCGGGGCACGATGGGCACTCGTGCGAGCCCCGTGCATACACGCGAACAATCTTGCCAGGTCGGAACTATTCCCCTCCAGTTCCCGATTAGTGCAGCTAAGACGCTTTCAGTGATGGATAATCATTGTTTGCCAGCCGTTTTTAAGTGGTAGGCCTCATGGTGCCATGCCTGGCGTGTAGCCCATAGGCTCACCCACCCGTCGTGCCGTACACTGCTGCAGGCAAGCAATGAGTGGCAACGTACGTCTGCCCAGAGTGTGATCTGCGCCGGGTGCTAACGATACCCCCCCCCTTCCGTGCCCCACTGCCCGCGCCCTCTCCCACTCCCGTCCCTTTCCCGGTCGCCGTTGACGTTTGACCGCGTGCAGTGACGTCATCGACATGGTGGCGGCCATCATGCCAGTGTGCGCCGCCTATCAGCTCTTCGAGGGGATTGTGGTGAGTGCCGCGTGGAGCCGACGGGAGAGGAGGGAATGGATTCATGAGGGTGCCCCCCCCCCCCGTCGCCAGCGAGGGTTTTCTCTGTACACTTTAGTGTTTTTTTTCGGGTCAGTGGACATGTACTCAAAGAGGAATTGATCAAACATCCTAAGCAGGGAAATATCCTGAAAAGCGTCTGAGACTCAATATTTAGCAGGCATTTTTTATTTATTTAAATGGCTACAGGAATAATATTGTCGTTTTTCCAATCGTGCCTCCCAACAGGTAAATGGTGATTCCAAAGGAAAGATAATGATCTTTAACAATATCATAGTCATATCTAACAGCATTTATCAATCTACTGCTGGATGAGGGCCATACTAAGTCATGTTGGTAAACAGGGTTGTTTTAATGATACTTTACCACGTTGTTGGCTGTGGCTCGGTTAAGGGTTGGAGGGGGACCAGAGTCAATTCAGATATCAATAATAATGTTATTTTATTCTTGTATTATAGTTCTGTGTTGCCCATACGCAACAAAGGATGTTAGCTACTTAATGTGTGTGTCGTGGATACTCTCCTCACCCACAGGCTGAGACCAGGCAAGGGGCCCATCCTATTTACTGCACGTCCATCACACACAGCTGCCTCCTTCATACACCGCTCTCTCCTCTCGCCACTCCTCTGACGCCCCCTCTTATCCTCACGGTCCCCTCTCCCGTTACGTCCCACCTCCTCTCATCCCTGTCACCTCATCCCCAACGACCAATCAGGAATCGTCACCTCGTCTACCGCCACCAGTCACAGATCGTCACAATGCGGCGGTTACTCCAGGTCAAATCGCTGCAGGGATTGACGTCAGATTGTTAGGGGATAGGGAATGCTGATGTTGTGGGGACCGTTACGGAGGAACATTACATGTGGTTGCATTGAAATGTGAAATGAATCCAAATTATATGTCCATCTGTCATTCCATATCCCTCCCTTTCTCCCCCTCCCTTTAGGTTGTGAGCGGCGGGATCCTGCGTGGTGGAGGGAGGCAGAAGGTCGGTGCCGTCGCTAACTTCATGGGTTACAACGTATTCTCCCTTCCCATCGGCATCAGCCTCATGTTCTGCACCTCGCTACGCGTCATCGGTGAGGCAGGCTTAAGTTTTGCCGAAGTCTGTTTTTATTCGGTTTTTTGGGCACATCTCGGTAGCGCAACTCCTCGTTTACCACAAACCTCACCAATCCCAACCTGGTGGTAACTGACTCCGAGCGGTGAAGTACCAGGGTTCCAACCTTCCACGGAAAACTTGGACATACCCTCGACCGCTTGAAGACAGGGGCAGGGAAGATGCGGCCCACTTGCTCCACGAGTGGAGCGTGAGGAGCAGAACAAATGATGACTCTAGCCACCACCCAAGTCAGACGATCGCCCACTCACTGAAGCCGTTGAATGGAGCACTAACCTCGACATCAAACTACAACTGCTTCTACAGCCATACGAAGAAGAAGAAGTACAGTAATTCCTCGTTTAACACGGTAGTAGTAATGGATGCATTCCTGAAAAGTGCTGCGTTAAGAGAAAACACGTTAAGCGAGGAATTACTAAACTTACATACAGGGCATGAATAAATAAGTAAACAATGCTAATTTAAATTACATTTTGCACCTCCGATTAGCACGGTTGGCTACATATGTGCGAAAGAAGTTCAACATACAAACGTGCATACAAACCTATCCAAAACCACCCTGCAAGGCAGGAAGGCCTGGGGGGTCCAGCACATCGCAGACTGGATGGGCTTAATCCACGAGCTGCGGATCCGTGATGGTGAACACCGGCAAAGGTGGAGGGAGTGCGCGGACGGTTGGCCCAAGAGCCTCAGTGACTAGGCCGGTCATGGGGAGATGCAATATTTTTCGTGACAGAATCGTTGGCGGATTTTAACGTTCAATGCTGCGGCCTATGGTAAAGGAGACTGTGCCCAGTGGCGTTTTCACGAGCCGGAGATGTGGTGGTGTTTGCTAGGTCTCTGGATCGGCATGCTGGTCGGCCTGGTGATGCTGTGCATCTTCATGATTTTCTACGTGTGCCAGTTGGACTGGAAGGCCATGGCCAATGAGGTAAGGCTCAAATAATCCATTCTCAGTTCCCTGAACACTTCATTGCCGCACCGATGCATTGATTGTTGCTCTTGGTCATGACTAAAGCTCGTGGCCCAGGGCTAAATCTGCCTGCTCCTTAATTATCTTCTCGCCCTTACTGCGTCACCTCAGTGGCGTCACCATCGAGCGTGTAGGGATCACAGCTGCACAGGGGCCCACGGGCCGTAAGGGGGTCCCAAGTGCAGGGCTATGATGGGCGTTGGGACGTTGGGGTCGGTGGAGGCCCCATTTCAATCCTGGGACCATGGCCCATGCCAACAGCGCTACCTCCACCGCCTCACCTACCACCAATCCCTTTCCGACATCGCTTTGGTTTAATTCTGCTGGCACACCTGAATAATTATTCCTGCTGCAGGCCCAAGAGAGATCCGGCATTGGGGTGAAACCACAGAATGTGGAGGAGCAACAGGATGTCGACAAGGATATGAACGGACTCTCAGGGCTACCTGCAGAACACGGTAAGGGTGACTTGACATTGGTGAAAATTGTTAAGTCGCATCCTGCCATCTGCATCGTTTCAGTGATAAGTGCCTCTATGGGTAGCCAATATCTCTTCTGTGGTGCTGAAGAGGGCTCTTGCATATTCCATAGACAACAATAAAAAACAGTAAAAGCATGTTGTCTCACAAGAGACCGAAGAGAGACAGTATTCAAAAATGTAAATAAGAGAACACGAATCTTTATTTTCGACACATAGCTATTGGTGTGACGGGGAAAAACAAGATGAACGATTGCTCTTCGGTGAAATGGAAGGAAGAATGAACAGAACTAGACAGAGGCTAATATGGATAGTTTTGTAAATATAACCAGGATAATAGTTTATCAACGTGTTAGCAAAAGGCCAACATAATAGAGAGTGGAATAGCTTCATCACTGAGGTCACACATCCTCAGTGATGAGTAGAAATCCAAAGATAGAAGGAAGATAATTTATCATCCTTCCCTGGATGTCTTAGAATGCCCTGGCCCTGATTCTACTTCATCTCGTTGTCTCCTGCTCTATCTGCCCCCCCTCCTCCTCCACACCCACCGATCGCTCCTGACCGTGCTACTACTCAGACTCCAGCGAAATGTCACCCGAAGTCATTGTGCTGCCTTTAAACGGCATCGACTCGAACGCGGATATGGAGGGACTCGAGGAGCTGAACGCACCCAGACATCTGCTGCCGGCCATCACCCTGCGCCAGCTGCTGCTGCGCCGTTCTCTCGCCGTGCTGCTGTCGCTGGCGGTCCTGGCGGCCGGCATCACTGTGAGGATGATGACGCAGGTGGAGGACTCGCCGGCGCGGCCGACGCCGTTCAACAGCACCGTCAGCAGCGCCGTCACGGAGGGCTCGCGGTTATTACCGGTGTAGCGAACGGCCAATCGGTCGACCGTTTTGGCCTGGCACGCAACAGTGTGGTCTCATTGGCAGTGCTTGGAGCTGCTGGTGGTGATGACGATGATGCATAGTACCCATGATGAAGTGGGGCTCCCTAAGAGTGGAGTGGCTCAGACAGCACGACGATGCAGTGCAGTGGGAGGGCTCGCCAGTGCAGGTGACCGACAGTCCCATACAGAGGATGTTCCTGGCCTTTTTTGGCCCAAAAATAATAACTCTCGGATTTAAAGCCAGGTTGAACCTTGCTCTCGTTTGTTTTTTTATTCTCTCACTTCAATGACCACCTAGTACCCTGTGAGAGACTCATGCCCGTCCGTGAGTCAGAGTACTGGGACTCGAGAAATCTGACCCCATGACGGAAGTTCAATGGGACCCAGAGGCAGTAAGGTGTAATTTATTTTTCATGAAGAGCACATTAATGTACGGTTTTTTATTGATTTTTTTGGACCAAATATATTATCTTGACTTTTATTTCACTTGCATCTCTAGCCGTGTTCCGGTGTTGAATTATTAAAACGTGCAAGGACGCCTCGTAATGAATAGACGTACGGCGTGCATGAGCATGGGCGCCACTGGGTGATGGAGCGTGCATGAACAAAGCTGTGATAAGAGAGAGAGAGTTCAGTGAAATTATACGGTGCGCTCGGAATGGCAATCATGAGACGCGTAGTACAGGAAATGGGGAGTTGCTGGTTGTCAGCAAAATCCCAACGATTTCCATCGGTGCTATGCACAGCGTGCATCTTCTGCCGAGTTATCTTGACATTGCACTACGAAGATGTTTATACGTATATCTTGTAAAGCCACGTGTGGGAGTGGTGGTGCAGTGGTTAGCATACTTCGTTATAAACCCGGTGGCCAAAATTCGATTCCCGTCCGTGGCATATGTACCGCTCCAAGGCTGGCCCCTTAACAAACCAGCACTGACTACCACGGTAAATATGGTCAAACAACCCCCACAAACTGACGGTGTGGAGAAGTCTTCATTCAGCAGTGGATTGACAAAGGGCTATTAATATACTAATCTGATACATACTGCACTGTACATGAATGTGCACCACTGTCGAGGTTTAATTTGACTGTGCTTTAATGTAATTATATACTGTATATGCTGTGTGCAAGACGAGGCATATAAACCTCTGAAGACTTACAATTACCACATTGCCCACGCATTATGCTAGAGGCAGGCCTCACGTGAGAGTGGCAACATATTGTCTTCATAGGGCAAATAGGAAAGTGGAGCCCTGCAATGTCTTGCTGACGCCCGCCACTGCTGGCTGTAAACGCTGCCCACGTCCTGCAATGAATTGGGGGCAGCTGAATGAACGGTGGCAGCGGTCACCATACCTGCCCACCAATCGGCAGTATTTTTAATCTCACCAGTTTTTATATGACAATTTTAAACGGGTAGTTTCATTTGATCAAACATATTACTCTACACTCAGAGGAAAATTCGCAGCAGTGCAAGCCTCTGTCAACTGTCCTGTTCAACTCCAGGGAGGAAGACACGTTATTATTCCTCTGCCTTTGGCTGCCTCCCCCTCTCTCTCTCTGTTAAATAAATACACCCAGCCACTGTTTTTGCACAGCATCTGAAGGCGCTCTGTAAATCCACGTCGTGCCGTCATTTGTGCATGTGTCGCGGCGAATTCCGCTTGACGTGAATCTCCGCATTCGTGTTGGCATCGGTGGCCACCTTCGTGAAAGGCCTTCGTTGAAATTTGTTTTCGTTAATATTTATTTCAACAGAAAACGCAGGGAAATTGTCCACACGGGTTTAATGTGAACGTCGCCGGTCGCCGTGAGCCACGTGTGTGGACGAGTGCACGTACCCAGTATTGTACGGAACGTTGTACCAACGTCGAGCCAACGTTCGCTCATCAGTTTCAACCACGTGCCGACGTTCGCCCAACGTTACATGTTTCCAGGGGGCCTGTGCATCTGTGCACCTATGTGCTGCACCAAACAAAACGGCTACATGCACTGCTCCGTAATTGTGTTGATGACATTGTATTAAGCCTGGAATAAAGCACCGTAATTCTGAACAATGATACTGTAATGTTCTTTGGTTCTTTCGGTAAAGTCACGTAGAATGAGAATAAAATAAGAAATTGATAAAATAAAATAGCGCAATAATATTCTCACGACGTTTCGAATCCTTGCAGTCAAGAAAGCTTTAAATCGAAATTATACTGTAATGTGTACAATATCTGGATATTCATCATGCTAAGTCTATCGTGGCCAGTAGATGGCAGTCCAGCAAGCCGGTTGTTGAAGCAGGAACTCTTTGAAAGGGAGTTTCGACCTAGCCAATTACTTTTTAAAATGTCATCTCCAATTAGTGGGGTTTCTCCCGATAATATGGGTTTCTTCAAGTATGCAACATCAAGAATTGGCTAAATATCACAGGTCCTGGCTGTGTGACCAATTAGTTCATTATATGTGTCCCCAAAACTAGATGTTTCATTTGTCTGAACCACCAGAGGGGGGCATATACTTTGAGTGGTTCTAGTTTGCGAATGCGGCCAACGCCAGCGAATTATTTGATAACCGCTTCAAATGAGCGGATTGAAAAATAATCCACCGCTCACCAGCCACACAATTGACGCCTCGTTACCGCTGAAATATCGCCGCCTTTAAGCGGTATGTCGTTAGCTCTGGCCCATGGATGAGATGCAATTGATTCGTTGGAGTCTCAACTCATGCCGCACGTCCAATGCTGCACGTTGAACGTGTAGTTGAGTAACAACTCCAGCCACTAGAGGCTGCTATATTCGGATTTTTAGAAATCGATTTTTTTTTGTAAATAAATCGCGACGCCGAGACGCCAAAAGGCACTGAATGTCGAGACGGGGTATAATCGTCACACGTATAAAATGTACACCATAATTATTTCAGCATAAGGGGCCGTCCATAAATGACGTCACGCGATTTGGGACGATTTTTGACCCCCCCCCCCCTTCGTCACACGACGTCACAAAAAGTCAGACCCCCCTCAAATATGACGTCACAAAGCTCTGCCCCCCCCCCCAAAAATAAAACATGCTTCAAATCGCTTTAAACTATTGTCATTGTAGTGCGTTTTTAATGTGGCGCTGCACTCTGATGTTGTAGGAGAAAACATTTATTAAAAAGTCAATTTAATTAAGTAGAACGTGTTGTCTATATTTATTTAAAGTTGCGCATTTTGATGTGACGTCACATTTCTCAAACCCCCCCCCCTCGTCACACATCGTCACACATCGTCACAAATGTCTGACCCACCCCCCTAGGTGCGTGACGTCATTTATGGACGGCCCCTAAGCCTAAGATACATGGAATGGGATTTTTGTTTAGCGTTTTATAGGAGTGGAGTATTTCGCCTCCCCACCCACTTAAATAAATACCAGTCGGTGAGACTTCACCGGACAAATGAAGTACTTTTGAGTTATTTGGCGTTGTTTAATTGATCGTTATATAATGCTGTATTATTTTTTGTTTACATATATAACTTATCATTAATACTGGTAGGAGCGAAGTTGTAAACTGAGTGTACCAGCCTGCAATAGATTAATGTGTCCGTCCGTCCGTCCCCTTTCAAAAGCCCCATACTACCGTATACCGGGAAACAATTCCTCTACTACTGTAGCCCATATTGGCACCGAAATACAGAGAGAGGAAAGTGGAAAACAATTTACGAGCTGTGCAGTGGACACCTGCGAGATGGATCGTGGTGATGATGATGATGAATGGGCTTCATTGGCTGGCCGTCTGCTTCCCTTACAAAGATGCCCGCGGGGTTTTTATGTAAACGCACCCCGAGCCGAGATTGACAATTAATGATAAGTTCTATCTCATCATCATTAGACCTCCTTTGCCAGTACCAAAATGTAATAATAGGGGTTTTCCCCTTTTTTCTGGCAACAAAACTGAAACCTTTTTACGAGGATTAATGTCTGCATTGTCCTTGAAACTGATTGGTCCACACCAGAGACGGCTTTCTTTTGAGCCTCGACCCAATTGGTGCTCGACCAGATGACGCCAAAAGGCGTCACACAGCTCAAAGACAATGCACTATCAAAGTAACGAGGGATCGGGGTGAGCATCTACATCATTAGACCTCCTTTGCCAGTAACCAAGTTCTCTATATATTTGTTTTTTTTTAATATATGGCATTATATAACGATTTACGAACCGCCCCTAGGCTGCTCCCCTTCACAAAACAGCACCGACTACCACGGTGAAGTATGGTCAAACAACCCCCACAAATGAGAGTGTGGGAATGCCTTTTATTCAACAGTATTGACAAAACGGCTATTAATATGCCCCATCTGATATGAACATATAGTACTATATATATTAATGTACATCGCTGTAGAAGTTACATTTATTGACGGGACCTCCCGTGCCAGTATAAAAATACAATAATAGGTTTGACCCTTTCTAGCAACAAAACAGTTGTGTTAAGATGTTAACACACCAAACTTAACCATTTTTACAAGGAATCATATCTGCATTAACCACATATACTTGTGGTGAACATGCAAACAAAAAAATACACGCTCTGATAGTAAATGATGCATTGTCTTTGAAACTGATTGGCCCACACCAGAGACAACTTTTCTTTAGAGCCTCGTCTCTGCTCACCCCGAACTCTCAATGTCCTGCTAGTGGCATTGTCTTTGTGCTGTTCGCCTTTTGGCGTTGCCCTCTGGTCTAACGCCGTTTGAGACGAGCCTCTAAAGAAAGCTGTCTCTGGTGTGGACCAATCAGTTTAAAACACAATGCATCATCATCATCATATACTACCAGAGCATGTTTTTGTTGTTAACATGTTCACCACAAGTATACGCGGTTAACGCAGACATGATTCCTCGCAAAAAGGTTTCAGTTTGATGTTTTAACATCTTAACATGACCGTTTTATCGCCAGAAAAGGATCAAAACCACCTATTCTTGTGGGTTTAATGTCACTCTTACTTATTAAACTAAACTATGAAACTATTAAATACCCCTAGGTAAGATGGCCGCCGACAAGTCGCTCGTCGTCGATGGGAGGGGCGAGGGGGGGTGAGAGGGAGGGGCGAGGGGGGGGGCGAGAGGCCCCCGCCCCCCACCCTCCCGCTCGCCATCTTGTGTCGCGGTGCCCCACGATGTTGGGCGACTCGGCTCGAGTTTGATCCTCCGCGGCGGTGCAGAGAAGTTCGCCTCGCAACCCCCGGTGAGCGGCTCTGCGAAGGCGGGCGAGCGGGTTCTGCAGGGCTCCCGGTGCGTCCACTCGCCAGCAGCAGCGGTAGCGGCGGCGGGGCGGCACGCACCCGTCCCGGGGTTGGAAGTGGCCAGGCCTGGGGCCCGCAGGGCCCTCGCCTGGGCACGTCGCTCGAGACGTCGGGCCTCGCCGCTCCGTCTCCTCGGGAGCTGCGTGGCAAAAGCCGCGTCTTCAAAAGAGACTCAGCGAATGCGACTACGGGAGTCGTCCACATTCTTCGTTTGGTTTTTGGCATCGTTTTTATAAGTGCCGATTACGCAGGCGAAGCGGAGTTCATTATTTTTTTGTTAAACGCGTTTGTGAAGTTTCGCCTGGCCTCCCGCGCGATTCCTCTGGACACGCAGAGCTGATCAACGTGCATGGCTCGAAACGTCGCCGATTATATAACGTTTTTTACACTTGAGGCAGCGTTATTGACGATTGTTTTTTGTCATTTGCGCTCGTGCACGACTGCCAAAGTAGCGTCAATTGCGCGGCATTTCATTTAGCGAAGACAACGCCAGTATCTCTTTGCGATGCCCTGCTGTTTAAGTTTACGAATGTATTGCTAACGCATTGTTTTATTGTTTCTGTGATAGAGCCGAGGTGACCATGGCGGGTTTCGGCTTCGCCGGAGTGCGAGGCCAGGTACCTGGGCCAGGCAACGCCACAGAGTTCATGAGCGAAGAGCAGCTACAGGAGAAGGGTGAGCCGCTGGTTCCCGATTTACAGCCCCGAGCCACTGGTGGAAATTCCACGTGCCCATGGCGGGGAACGGGTGGGAGGGCGAGTCTCTAATATGGGACAATCACTGTTGACTAAGCAAACTAGTTATTAATGTATCGACCCCCATGGGAGAGGGGGATTTTGTGCTGAGTAAACCCCCCCCACCCCCCAAACAGGATTTGAATTCGCAACCTTGCGATCGAGAGCCGCTCAGTCTGCCGCTGATCTGGTGGGTGTAGTTGTAGTTTCAGGCTGAGTTAAAGCAGCCGCCGCCGCCGCCACAGTCATCGTAGTAGCGGCAACAGCAGTAATAGCTGTAAGCATGGCAGGCGGCAGCAGAAGTAGTAGGAGCAGCAGAAGTAGTAGGAGCAGGAGTAGGAGCAGCAGGAGTAGCAGGAGCAGCAGGAGTAGTAGGAGCAGCAGGAGTAGTAGGAGCAGCAGAAGTAGTAGAGGCAGCAGTTGTAGTAGGAGCAGCAGGAGTAGTAGGAGCAGCAGGAGTAGTAGGAGCAGCAGGAGTAGTAGGAGCAGCAGGAGTAGTAGGAGCAGGAGTAGTAGGGGCAGCAGGAGTAGTAGGAGCAGCAGGAGTAGTTGGAGCAGCAGGAGTAGTAGGAGCAGCAGGAGTAGTAGGAGCAGCAGGAGTAGTAGCTGTAGCAGAAGTAGTAGGAGCAGCAGAAGTAGTAGGAGCAGGAGTAGTAGGGGCAGCAGGAGTAGTAGGAGCAGCAGGAGTAGTTGGAGCAGCAGGAGTAGTAGGAGCAGCAGGAGTAGTAGGAGCAGCAGGAGTAGTAGGAGCAGCAGGAGTAGTAGCTGTAGCAGAAGTAGTAGGAGCAGCAGAAGTAGTAGGAGCAGGAGTAGTAGGGGCAGCAGGAGTAGTAGGAGCAGCAGGAGTAGTAGGAGCAGCAGGAGTAGTAGGAGCAGCAGGAGTAGTAGGAGCAGCAGGAGTAGTAGGAGCAGCAGGAGTAGTAGGAGCAGCAGAAGTAGTAGGAGCAGCAGGAGTAGTAGGGGCAGCAGGAGTAGTAGGGGCAGCAGGAGTAGTAGGAGCAGCAGGAGTAGTAGGAGCAGCAGGAGTAGTAGGAGCAGCAGGAGTAGTAGGAGCAGCAGGAGTAGTAGGAGCAGCAGGAGTAGTAGGAGCAGCAGGAGTCGTAGGAGCAGCAGGAGTCGTAGGAGCAGCAGGAGTAGTAGGAGCAGCAGGAGTAGTAGGAGCAGCAGGAATAGTAGCTGTAGCAGAAGTTGCCGCAGCAGCAGAAGTTGCAACAGTTTTGGATGCAACATTTTATAACAGCTCCAATGCAACAAAAAAAACGGGTTTAAGGGTTAGGGTTAGCTCCAACGCTGAACTCTCTTTTATGATGATCCTGAACACTTTATTAAAACTGAACTAGGTTAGGACTCTCCTTACTAGGACATCGGTGCAGTTGGGTTGTCTCATCCAAAAACACGTTTGTCTCGTTTGGTTAAAAAATGTAAGGAGGCCTTTGCTTTAGATATGTATAATAAACCACACTCAGCCCCTTGAGCCTGTTTGTTTCCCTTGAGCAGTGGGGTCCAACGACATTGCAGTGTATCAAACAGCCTGCACGTGTCTTATTTTCCCCGCCTCGCTTTGTATCAGCCCGAAAATGGCAGCAGCTGCAGACGAAGCGCTACTCGGAGAAGCGAAAGTTCGGCTTCGTTGACATGCAGAAGGAGGACATGCCTCCGGAGCACGTGCGGAAGATCATCCGCGATCACGGCGACATGACCAACCGCAAGTTCCGCCACGACAAGCGCGTGTACCTTGGGTGAGTCCCGAGTGATGACTGGCAAGGCATTGTTGGCCTGCGATGTACACTCAAAGTTGGTCTTATCATGGGACCTTTATAATCAAAAGTGCAATCATCCAATGAATGGAGTCCTTTATAAGCAGATGAATGCCCATTGAGACAAAAACGTATCTCTACCAAGATGTTATTAAATAACAAACTGCGAAAGAGTAAAGGAAAAATTTGAACTGAATATACAAGTTAATCTAGCTGACACATGACAATCTGCTTCTGCATGAAGGCCTGATATTTTCAGTCAAGTAGGTTTGAGCACTTGATTTTTATCGCTGAGGGTTGATGAAAGGTGGGGATCCCGGACCGGTTGAAATATCACTTGGCACCGATGTTGGCCGTGGAAGGGAATTGTCAAAGGTTTGTCAATTTGTGGAGGGAATTTATTTTAATGAAGATTGGTAAACGTGGTTGGATGTGAGGATTGGGATTTTGGAAACCCTACAGTAGTGTGGTGGTGTGTCCTGTTGCAGCGCCCTCAAGTACATGCCGCACGCGGTGCTCAAGCTACTGGAGAACATGCCCATGCCGTGGGAGCAGCTACGTGATGTGTCGGTGCTCTACCACATCACAGGCGCCATCTCCTTCATCAACGAAATCCCCTGGATCATCGAGCCCGTCTACATCTCACAGTGGGGGTGAGTGAACACACGCGTGCTGATGACCACTGCTCTGAGCACGGCTGAATGAGTCGGCCTCGCGTCGTTAGCAGGACTGCCAAAAATCGTGATAATTGGGCACATGACGAGTCATTGAAATTGATATGCTCATGATTATGCATTGAATCGTGCATCAAAAAGAATCGATCTCGTTATGATAATTATAGGCAAGTTTAAACTTTAGCGTGAAGCGTTCACGTACTATGCATTACCTTTACCTGAGAAATATGAACGCCAGAAATCTGAAACTTCAAGTTCCTCTTCCAGAATGGCCGGCAGCGGGCTCCATAATCTCTAGCGGCAGCATATCCACACCGTTCAGACATTCAAATTTGCTCGCAGTCGGTTCGGATTGTGGTCTTTTGAACTGCACGTGCGCTGACGTGTTTGCGTGCAGCACGATGTGGATCATGATGCGGCGCGAGAAGCGCGATCGACGGCACTTCAAGCGCATGCGCTTCCCGCCGTTCGACGACGAGGAGCCGCCGCTGGACTACGCAGATAACGTGATGGACGTGGAGCCACTGGAGGCCGTGCAGATGGAGCTGGACATGGAGGAGGACTCTGCCGTGAGGGAATGGTTCTACGACCATCAGCCACTAAGGGACAGCCGCAAGTATGTCCCGCCGTGCGAGAATGGCACATTAACAGATGACAAAACGCAAAACACTCGGCCATTATTTTGTCGGTGCGTAGCTTGGCTGTGTCCCATACTATATTGCACAAGTTGTAAGCCCCGTTCGGAAAAATGGAGACTTTAAAACTAAGTGTAAGCATGGGTTAACGTCGCACTAGTAAAGACACTGATATCACTTGCAAATCGTCATGCAGGGATGTCACAAGAACCATCTTACACAGTGCATTAGCACGATTTCAAAGTATAAGGAGGCTTCAAACTTTTAAGGGAAGCACAAACACTGCGCTTGATTACAAGATCAGGGCTGTTTGTTTTTTTTCTTGTTTCATGGTTTCCTTTGGCTGCTCATAGTTGTAGCTGATGTGGAGAAACGTTTGTGTTGTGAATACTTACGTGGCTAAACACTTTCTGTGGTGCTGTGTGTCGTCATCGTCCCCCCATCAGGTTTGTGAATGGCACCACGTACCGGCGGTGGCAGTTCACACTCCCCATCATGTCGACGCTGTACCGGCTCGCCAACCAGCTTCTCACCGATCTAGTGGACGGAAACTATTTCTACCTGTTCGACTTGAAGGCATTCTTCACCTCCAAGGCCCTGAACCTGGCCATCCCTGGAGGGCCCAAGTTTGAGCCACTTGTGCGTGACGTCAACCTGCAGTGAGTTGTGTGTGGACTCCTTATTAAATTAGTGTTATGGTACTTACTATGACTTGAAGTTGATTTCAAAATTAAGTTGGATTTTTTTGTAAACATCCGTATTAACGTGGAGTGAATGACGAAAGGTCGGGGTGAAGGGTTAACACATACATAAAAAGATGTATCAACAAATTAAGAGTCGTTTCCTGATAAAATGAGCATGGAGCAGTTTTTATCTCATGTTTATAGCTCTGAGCCAGTGGTGTAAATGCCACGTATCTATGATGGGAGCCAATCTGACCACTGGACAGCCACTGTTGGCCTCCCACAAAGTTGTACTCTTCCCAAATAGGATTTTAACTCTTAACCACTTGCTTGCAGGCTACATGGTGTGGTGAAACCGTGGCAAAGGTTACGTCCGTGTTTGCGCTGTACGGTTGATGTAAGCTCCGAAAACATTTTCTGATCCCCATTTTTTGTAACAGGGACGAGGATTGGAACGAGTTTAATGACATCAACAAGATCATCATTCGGCAACAGGTCCGCACCGAGTACAAGATCGCGTTCCCCTACCTCTACAACAACCTGCCGCACCACGTGCACCTCACCTGGTACGCTCGGAGATGTAGGCTGCAAACAACTATCTTGTGCCAGTGTCTCATTATATGCACGTTGAATTATGTATTAGTTGTGCAATGATGTTCGAGTTGTAAATTATTCGTTTCTCTCGTGATATGCATGGGAGTAGATTTTTTTAAAAATGTATGTGGGGTTTGAATCACGGTTGGCTGTGTACGGTGTGAAAGACGTTGAACATACATAGACAAATTGGCACATGCCTTTTGTATACATAATTCTTTTTATACATTATAATGAATCAAAACAAATATGCACAGAACACTCCCAGTGTCTGTGCTTTGAAAATGGTGGACAGCATATGGAACAAGTGATTTATGTTATAAGTTATATTAAAGAGGGGTGTTTCACATTTGCTTTCTGAAGGCATTGTAGAAATCGCAAAGCTAAAACTTTAGTAATACTTGGAAGGTGGCCAGGTGTGTGTTTCTGGCTGATGGAATTTTTTTGATAACAGATTGTAGCCCTGTAATGCTTTTAGATTGAGGCTGCAGCTCTGTATTCTATTTCCGTGCAGGTACCACACACCTAATGTGGTGTTCATCAAGACGGAAGACCCGGACTTGCCCGCCTTCTACTTTGATCCTCTGATCAACCCGATCTCGCACAGGCATGCCACTAAGGTACCCTGACCGTTCTTCACTCTGTCTCGCCTTCAGCCAGCAGCCCTATTGGTTGACCATCACCAACGTTTACTCCCGGCAGCAGTCACAATAACCGTTGTCTTGTCCCGGCCCGCAGAACCTAGACCCCGTGCTGGACGACGAAGAGGACTTTGAGTTGCCGGATTTTGTGGAGCCGCTGCTGAAGGAGACGCCGCTGTACTCTGACAACACGGCCAACGGCATCGCGCTGCTGTGGGCCCCGCGCCCCTTCAACCTGCGCTCGGGGCGTATGCGCCGCGCCGTGGATGTCCCTCTCGTCAAAACCTGGCACGTTTCCGACCCCCCACGTATTGCGTCGTGTCGTTACTGCTCGTTAGCGTGTCGTCCTACGGTACTGTTTGCGTGCAGAGTAATCGTTAAGAATAGTCTACGCGGCCATTTGAAATAGATTTTTACGGCCGCATTACATATATGGAATCGTGTGCGCGTGTGTAAAAATATAGTTTTTATTTGTATGTGTTTGTAATTGGTTAACAAACATTATAGTATAGGAATAGGTTTTACCCTTTTAACTGGCACAAAAACTGACACCTTTATTTAAGGCATGTTTGCAATAACCAAAAGCCGTCTCGGGTGTAGACCAATCAAATTCAAGGACAGTGCATATTATTATCAGAGTTGTCTTTTTTATTTGGATTTTGACTGCTTGTGTTGTGGTTATTGCAAACATGATGCCTTGAATAAAGGTGTCAGTTTTTGTGCCTGTTAAAAGGGTAAAACCTATTCCTATATCTTGTTACTGGCAAAGGAGGTCTCATAATGTAAACACTATAGTCTAAGAATAGGTTTTTACACTTTTTTCTGGCAACAAAACTGAAACCTTTTAGCAAAGAATCATGCCAATGCATATATTATCAGAGCGTTTTTTGTTTGCATTCTGACCACAAGTATTGTGGTTAATGCAGACATGATTCCTTGCAAAAAGGTTTCAGTTTTGTTGCCAGAAAAAAGCGGAAAAACCTATTTTTATATTTTGGTACTGGCAAAGGAGGTCCCATGAAACAGTATAGTCACTTGAGATTCTACATCCACCGCAATGGTAAAAACAAATTTCATGAATTGAATCTCGACACAGAATTGTTATTTATGACATCAGGAGATGGATTGGGTAAATAAGTGTGCCTAAAGGTTGTGCCGACGTGACTACTGCTTGGCAAGATTGCATTTTGATATTCCTTTCGTGTTAAACGAGGATGGAAAACCCAAGTATGCTAATAATACACGCGTTATGCACGTACCTTTTTTTCTCTGCGTGGGTTTTGCCGTGGCCGTTCATGATGACCGATGTCTAAGTGCTATTCGAATGCACACCATGTGACAAATATGAAATGACTGAACGATGGCCACGTCGTATCGTGTAGAAGGCCAGTTCGCTGAAACGTCGCCGTAAACCATTTCACGTCTGGTCGCCCGCAGGTACCGAGAGCACTGCCCCGCTGGGCAGCCCGTGAAGGTGAGGGTTTCCTACCAGAAGCTTCTCAAGTACTACGTGCTCAACGCACTCAAGCACAAGCCACCCAAAGCTCAGAAGAAGAGGTAAGCAAGTGCGCGACCCGCAAAGTCTTGGGAGTTATTTGTTTTTTGCCGGCACATTCAGAGTAGCAGGTTGTTGTGCTTTTTTTTTTCAACACGGGGCTTTTTAGTGAAAAAGCAATATGCCAAGGTGCGGAGATAAGAGATTGTTTACTCGCTGTTTACGTGACCTGCTTTGAGATGTGGATTATTGACAAAGAAAACAAGAAGTCTTTAAAGAAACGCGGAAAGGTGCGTGCTTAGAATTGCTGATAGAGATTAAGGGGAACACTGAGAGACAGAGGAACACGTGGATCGTAGAACATACACAAGACAGACATTGTTGGGATATGTGGACTTGGGCAGGATACGTCGTTCGAAGAGATTGTGGCTTTTGGCCGAGACTAATGACAGTGGCAGCCAATGGTTGGGACATGCCTGAAAGTATGTCCACCACGGTGATGGGAGGCGATGAAGCCTGCTTGTTTGCAGGTGTTAGATCAGGGGTCGGCAACTCAAATAACTAAGAGCCATTTTCTTCGAATTCGGTACAAAACTCTTTATTTCAAAAGCCGCAATACACTGGGAATACATGCATAACGTCACGAAGCAGTCCGTATAGAGCCGCAGGTTGCCAACCCCTGGGCTAGATGGATTGTTACATTGCTAGACCGTGACAAGGCGACGGCTTGAAAGGGAGGCCGTCACCTTGTGATGGATTGATCTTGACCGATGTTGATTCAGGGTATCAGCGGGTGTTTCTTTACTCGCCTTGCTGTTTCAGGTACCTCTTCCGCTCGTTCAAGGCGACCAAGTTTTTTCAGTCGACCAAGCTGGACTGGGTGGAGGTGGGACTGCAGGTGTGCAGGCAGGGGTACAACATGCTCAACCTGCTCATCCACCGCAAGAACCTCAACTACCTCCATCTGGACTACAACTTCAACCTCAAGCCCGTCAAGACGCTCACCACCAAGGTGCGCGCACGGGTTCCCTAATCGTCCCACTTCATTATTGCATTCTTCGTTCAGAAAAAAATATATCCCAAGTAGCTGTTTAAACGACTGCACTCGTGTTTAAAGCTTTCACAATCTACTCGCGGTCAAGTTTTGGCGTTGCTGATTTTTGCCTCGTGCTCCTGTTGTGTTTTTGCAGGAGAGAAAGAAGTCTCGTTTTGGCAATGCGTTCCATCTGTGCCGTGAGGTCCTGCGTCTCACCAAGCTGATCGTGGACAGCCACGTGCAGTACCGCCTCGGCAACGTGGACGCCTTCCAGGTTCGTTCCTCCTCGCCTGGAGTCGCCGCTCCGTACCATTTTGAGTGCGCGTGCAAGTAAGCCATGTGCATGCCTGTGTACAGCCTGGTTTGTCAATCTACTGCAACACCGTGTGGGCTGTGAGAGTTATTTTACATTACTTCACGCTGATTGGTGCGGATTGGTGACTGTGGGGGCAATACAGAACAACAGTGGATGCTGTTGCACTGCCATCTCCTCTCCACAATGTCTCCTCCACCCTATTTATATCTACGGTTGTCACCTGTTCAAACACTATCCAGGCTCCATCCTGCTCACCTTCCGAGGACTCGCAGAATCTGGCATGCTTCAGGTGATTAGGGCATAGGCACACGTATGCCAAAACGTGCCAAATGGACTTTTTCGAACGTGTACTATAAAGAGACGATCGCGTTCCTGTTTAACCCAGAGCCACCACTCCCTTCTCACTCAGCTGGCGGACGGCCTGCAGTACATCTTCGCCCACGTGGGCCAGCTCACCGGCATGTACCGCTACAAGTACAAGCTGATGCGGCAGATCCGCATGTGCAAGGACCTCAAGCACCTCATCTACTACCGCTTCAACACGGTTAGCACGGGGATGCTAAGCGTGCCCACATGGGCAGAGGATGCGCCGTCCTCTGTGAATGGTGTCAATCTACTGCTGAATTAGTGATGTCCTTCCCCCCCCGCACCTCCGTTTAGCATGGTTGGCTTCGTATGGAGCGAAAGAAGTGCTACATACAATGGTGTCAATTCATTGTATGTATGGATGTGGCCTTCTGCAAGGCACCAGTGGTGCATAGGCTATTGTTTCCCTTGGAATTATTCATGAATATGACATAATATAAATAACTATATAGTCTGGAAAAAACAACAACCAGTCCTGAGCCGCCACTGAATATGTTCTAGGAAGCTATTAGACTGGAGTAGATGGCATGTGACTAGTAACCACAGCCATAGCCGGACGGACCCGGCTGAAATTAATTGTGCCTTGCACATAATCGTACATTTTCTTCGATATATAAATGGAAACCAATATCCGTTGTGACCTTTGCCTTGCATATTTGTGATAGGTGGTATCCGTAATGGTGTGTGTGTATCGCTGCGTGTGTCCCTGTGTATGTGTATTCAGGGTCCAGTGGGAAAGGGCCCTGGGTGCGGCTTCTGGGCACCAGGGTGGCGCGTGTGGTTGTTCTTCATGCGCGGCATCACCCCGCTGCTGGAGAGGTGGCTGGGAAACCTGCTCGCCCGACAGTTCGAGGGTAAATATCCTAAAAGTGTCGTCTCTTCGTTCTGCAAAACCAATTATCGCATATATTCCACCATCGGCGCAAAATGTTCAACGCCGTCTCGTATGGAATAGTCGTGATTACTACTTTTGTACTTGCACTAACCGGGCGTTAACTTTGCTCGCCGCTTGTTCTCTACCGGTTGCTCGCAGGGCGACACTCCAAGGGCGTTGCCAAGACGGTGACGAAACAGCGCGTGGAGTCGCACTTCGACCTGGAGCTGCGCGCCGCGGTCATGCACGACATCCTGGACATGATGCCTGAGGGCATCAAACAGAACAAGGCGCGCACCATCCTGCAGCACCTGGGCGAGGCCTGGCGCTGCTGGAAGGCCAACATCCCGTGGAAGGTAACACTCGCCGTGCGGTATGTTCCACGCTGTGAGAACGGGCACCGTCTGTTTCTTGTCTCTCTTCGACCGCTCGATCGCCACGTGATTACGTTCATTCGGCCTCTTCATTCCACCTTCTCGCCACTTGCTATAAGATGCTTCCGAGACCGATGGCCGTTTGTTGGGCGACTGCACATATGTGTTGTAAGGGTTTAGCACACATGAAAATGCAACACGAGCATACCAAATTGACGATCATCACACAGCAGTCTTTAGTCTGATCGAAGACAACTTTCCTGGCAGCGGTCTATGTACCGTGAAGGGTACTGTAATGATATATTGATTCTTCTATGAAAATCGATTGTTACACTCAGGACATATATATACACATTGAATCGTGTGTGAGAATCAATTTGAAATGTATGCAAATTAACTCCCAAGCAGTAGGCTGATGGAATAAACAAAACTACAATGAGGGATAGAAAAAGAAACATATGAAGGAGAGTCAAAAAAAGGCCATAATATCGATTATTTTAATCGGGACTCCAAATTGTAACGATTCCTGCAATCACTGCAGCGGGAGGCATGTAATTATTACATGCCAGCCCGTCTCTCGTTCCTCTAATAGCCAAATAACTTTATCACCCTGTCCCTAATATGCGACCCATCTTTCCTGCCGCCTCCAGGTGCCTGGCCTGCCAGCGCCCATCGAGAGCATGATCCTGCGCTACGTGAAGGCCAAGGCAGACTGGTGGACCAACGCGGCGCACTACAACCGTGAGCGCATCCGTCGCGGCGCCACCGTCGACAAGACCGTCTGCAAGAAGAACCTGGGCCGTCTCACTCGCCTCTACCTCAAGGCCGAGCAGGAGCGGCAGCACAATTACCTCAAGGTGCCTAAATGAGGGATTGGCTTTGGCTACTCTGCCTACATGTGTATGTATGTACAGCCCTTTGGCAATCCTTTATTGCAGTGTTCTTCATTGCAAGGCCCGTGGGCCAATGGCGTTCCCTAGATGGCCTTTAGTGCGGCCCCTGATGTGCGGCCTCCGACAATACACAGATGTGAAAACACTCCCCATCATCGTGCTGCTGTCAAACCGTATGGTTTCATATGTGTGGCGGCCCTCAAGCCGATGTCTTTTCGGCACTGCTCTACTGGATGAGGGCTGGTACGGTATATGGAGTTGTTTGACCGAACTTCCTCCACATTGGGCAGAGTACGGGTTGGGTAAGTTGGAGAGGGCATAGACATCGGAGCTGCACTCCCTCTGCTGCCCACCACATTGCCCCGCAAGCCCGATAACAGCCTGTTTTTGTACGGTGGTCAACCCCGGTTAAGTTCTTACCAGATCGGACACAGTATGACTTTGTCAGAGGCATTAGCTACAGTAGTTGTATACAGAAACAGTTTAATCTAGAACACTGGTTGTTAGAGCGTGATGTTGTAGACATGAACGAAACGCTGTCCCTGGAGATCGCTAACTTGCACCGCTAACGCTGCTCGCACTTCCTGTGCGTGGTTAGGATGGACCGTACATCACGGCGGAGGAGGCGGTGGCCATCTACACCACGACGGTGCACTGGCTGGAGAGCCGGCGCTTTTCGCCCATCCCCTTCCCTCCGCTGTCGTACAAGCACGACACCAAGCTGCTCATCCTGGCGCTGGAGCGGCTCAAGGAGGCCTACAGGTAATGTCAGCTGTCTGGCGATGCGCACGGTGGAGACGTAAACTGCGCGGTCGGGGCGCTTAGGAACTTAGGAAGATTTAAAACTGGGGGGGTGCCACGTTGCCAATATGTTAACCACCTCGCCTGGTATACAGGAGGTTGCGGGCGCGATCCCGACACTGTCGCCTGCGTGTTCTCCCCGTGGTCTCGTGTAATTTTCTCTGGATCCTCCGGTTTTTCCCTCCACATTTAGAAACAAGCGTATAGAGTATTTGGCTGATATACATTTCCACGTGATAAAAACACTTCGTTGAACTTTCATTTGTGGCCAGGTCACTTCGGAAAAAGCTGTATAGTTCAGTGGGCCTTACCTGGTAAAAACAATTGTTTTAGTTTAATGTTTTTATATTGAAAGTGGGCACAGAGTAATTTCTGGTTGTTTTTGTTGTCGTTACATTCCTCCCCACTACCCCTGCTCAGCGTGAAGTCGCGTCTGAACCAGTCTCAGCGCGAGGAGTTGGGTCTGATCGAGCAGGCTTACGACAACCCTCACGAGGCTCTGTCTCGCATCAAGCGTCACCTGCTCACACAGAGAGCCTTCAAGGAGGTGAGAATGTGAACTGTTGACGTCGTCTTGGCCGCTCGCCCGTCCTTCCTCGTAACTTTGTACTCGCAGCTCCTGCAGGTCCCTGCGCTTGTCTCCTCGCTGCCAGTTCTCTTTGGAGACGTCGAGCAGTTTGTGCAGCCTGCGCTTTTAATCTCTCGCGGCGCAGGTGGGCATCGAGTTCATGGACCTGTACTCCCACCTGGTACCCGTGTACGACGTGGAGCCGCTGGAGAAGATCACGGACGCCTACCTGGACCAGTACCTTTGGTACGAGGCCGACAAGCGCCGCCTCTTCCCGCCCTGGATCAAGCCGTCCGACTCGGAGCCACCCCCTCTGCTCGTCTACAAGTGGTGCCAGGGTGAGTAGGGGGGGGGGGTGGTGGTCCCTACCTCTGTACCTGGGTGATTTTTTTATAATTGTATCTGTGTAATTATTTATTAATTGTCTTCACAACGTAATTGTAATTTTCATCATCCATGGTGTGATAAATTGAGTTGGCCGGGTGGTACGTGTACATGTGCAACCCTACTTTTGTCAGTCCACTGCTGGATGAGAGCCGCCCCATGCGGCTTGGGTAATTTGCATTATTTCACCATACTTCACCGTGCTGGTCAACAGCTTAGGTTAGTGAAGGAATGAGCGTGGAAGAGGGTGTACCCAGAACCGGTTCAGATATAATTCGCCACTGATGTTAGCCCTGGCTGGGAACATAACTTGGGCTTTCCAATTCAAAGTACATGATGCTAACCGCTGCGCAACGGTCTAGCCCACAATTATACTACAATCAGGATTAAGGACAAAGCAATCGGCCTGGTAGTTATTTACTTAAATAGCATTACAATTTGTTTCCCTGCGAGCGTAAAAACTTTCCGTCGTTGCTGTCGCCCTTCGCAGGCATCAACAACCTGCAGGATGTGTGGGACACGGCAGAAGGGGAGTGCAACGTGATGCTGGAGTCTCGTTTCGAGAAGATGTACGAGAAGATCGACCTGACGCTGCTCAACAGGCTGCTGCGCCTTATCGTGGATCACAACATCGCCGATTACATGACGGCCAAGAACAACGTCGTCATCAACTACAAGGTGTGCCCTCGCTTTGGTCGTCATGAGTGACCCAGGTCGCTCTTGAAATACGAGACTCTCCTAATCTCTAGAATTCTCTCCTGGCTAATCGAAATAAACGTGAAACCTGAACCAGCCATGACGAGCCAACCTTCTTCATTCACCCACTAGAGCGCTGACTGTCGGTGCTTTCTGTGATTGTAGCGGTGTGCGCATGAATGTCTTGTGACGTGCCTTTGTGACTTGACTTCCTACTGTTAATGCAGCTTTCTGGCTGACTTGGGACTCTCCTACACTAATAAATTTGTCAACCCTACATTTGTCATTGGGTTTCCAATGAATAAATAGGAGAAATGCACTGGTGCCTTTGTGAATCCATTCCAGGTTCTGGAGGGGAGTGGAAGCAGGATCGCTATGATGTCGCTCACCATTGTTAGCTGTGGCCAGGAATCAAACTCGGGTCGTCATCCTGCACATCCGATTAGCATGGTTGGCTACATACGGTGCGAAATAAGTTCTGCATAGTGCAGTGGGCTATTATAATTACTGTGCAACCGCTCCAGTCTCGGAGAAATTACACCATTTGAATTTATTTAAAAAAATATTCTAGTTGGGCTGTTATAAGTATACAAACAAGAAACAAGACAGGGAAATAGGAGATCAGACACCTTTGCAAAAATATTATATATTTTTTTTAGTTGAATCCTGACTCCAAATTGTGTGCTGAAATTGCTGGCAGAGGTCAAAACTGTTACATGCCTGGTTGTGTTAATCCGTGGTTCTTTCTCTTCCGACTTTTATTACCGCCAGGACATGAACCACACGAACTCGTACGGCATCATCCGCGGGCTCCAGTTCGCCTCCTTCGTGGTGCAGTACTACGGGCTGGTGCTGGACCTGCTGGTGCTGGGCCTGCACCGCGCCAGCGAGATGACGGGGCCCCCGCAGATGCCCAACGATTTCCTGTCCTTCCAGGACGTGGTCACCGAGTGCGCCCACCCCATCCGCCTCTTCTGCCGATACATCGAGAAGATCCACATATTCTTCCGGTCAGTGCGAGACGTGCGAGCCACGTGCATCTCGCTCACCTCTTACCCGTGCTGCGTTATAGGATTGAGTGCGAGAGAGTTCTGAATTAGCGATATATTTCTTATGTATGTGCCATTCATTATCCATTCCACACCACCTATTAGCACGGTTGGCTACGTACAGTGCGAAAGAAGTTCAGCATACATAAGAATCAGAATATTTATACTGGAGGAATCCGATGAGCTATGAAGCTCTTTTTCACAAATGTCCAGTTGGGGGGTGCCTAAGAACGTTACAACAACAAACAATATAAAAAACACGATATTAGTACAAATGGAGTACAACTGTGTGGTACGGCTTAAAGTAGCAAGGAAGCACTGCAAAATCTACTCTACAGGATGACTTTGTTTTGTGCTTTGCGAGTTTCTCTGGAGCGAGCGGTGACGGTGCGTGCGTGCGCGCTTTTGCTATCGACTCGCTGCAGGTTCACAGCGGAAGAGGCGCGCGACCTGATCCAGCGCTACCTCACGGAGCACCCCGACCCCAACAACGAAAACATCGTCGGCTACAACAACAAGAAGTGCTGGCCGCGCGACGCCAGGATGCGTCTCATGAAGCATGACGTCAACCTGTGAGTGTCTCGCCGACTCGGCGCGTGCGATTTTGAGCGCGGTGCGTTGGACCAGGGGACCAGGTTTTTGGTGGCAGGGCTGTTCAGAATGGGTCGAGCCCATGTCCCCCCAACCCTTGGGTTTGTCTTCTTCCAGTTTTTTGGTGACAAAAGTTTTGCTTCACTCTCATTACAGTGGTATAAAATAAAATGTACGTACTGCAGGAATGGAGAATTGTAAGGCTTAATTAAAATATAAAACATAACCGTTGGCAGTGATTCACCTGCATCGATATAAAATACTTGCCACTCTTCGATTAACACTGCCTTGGAACAGAATAATCTGTAATATACAATATTAAATTCAGACCTTTTCGTTCCCAATTGTAAGAAATTCTTCCTGACAATTGTCGTAAGTTTATTTCAGCGATGACATTTGTCTCCAATGGTTTTTGTGCCCCAGTTCACGCCGTCGCGCTTTGCTGTAATTGTCTGCGCCGCTGAGTTTCCCTCCCTCCCTCTGCGCCGCGTCAGGGGCCGGGCTGTGTTCTGGGACATCAAGAACCGACTGCCACGCTCCGTCACCACGGTGCTGTGGGAGAACAGCTTCGTGTCGGTGTACAGCAAGGACAACCCCAACCTGCTGTTCAACATGTGCGGCTTCGAGTGCCGCATCCTGCCCAAGTGCCGAACCTCCTACGAGGAGTTTACTCACCGCGACGGCGTCTGGAACCTGCAGAATGAGGTTCCCCTCCTCCCCCCACCCCCCCATGTGATCAACACGGCCCACTGGGTTATAACGTCGCATATACAACGCGACAAATGAACCGCCCTCCACCCAGTGCTGTGTTTGTGCTCTGTGTGTATGTGAGTGGCGTTGTTTACAGATGTTAATATATCTGACCATTCTACAGATCCGTCTAAACGTCGGTCCCCGGCGATCTGAATAACTTCTCCTTCTGTGACGTATAGTGTTGTTACCTATTCCTTTTTTTGGATTGCCGCAAGTGGTGCGATGAGTCGTTGCCTTCCGCGACGAGTAACTCTCGCACCCTTTGGTAAACTAACCATGTGTCTGCTGCGCGCGTTGCGTGTGTGCTGTGCACAGATCACAAAGGAGCGCACGGCACAGTGCTTCCTGCGCGTCGACGACGAGTCGATGCAACGGTTCCACAACCGCGTACGCCAGATCCTCATGGCTTCCGGCTCCACCACCTTCACCAAGGTGCCTGACCGCAACCATTGTGTTTCGCGTGCCGCTCTTCTGCCGAGCCGCACTTTTCTCACTGCCTCTTGTTAGTTTCCTTTGAACTTGTGTCAGCCTGAGCGCATGTTTCAATCGGACGTTTTTCTCTCTTCTCAGATCGTGAACAAGTGGAACACAGCCCTGATCGGGCTGATGACATACTTCCGCGAAGCGGTGGTCAACACGCAGGAGCTGCTGGACCTGCTCGTCAAGTGCGAGAACAAGATCCAGACGCGCATCAAGATCGGCCTCAACTCCAAGATGCCCAGTCGCTTCCCGCCTGTCGTCTTCTACACGCCCAAGGAGCTGGGAGGCCTGGGCATGCTCTCCATGGGGCACGTGCTCATCCCGCAGTCTGATTTGAGGTGCGTAACGTTGGAACGCCCTGGGTTTTGCCGTGGGACGTGGGTCGGTGTAGCGCTGGGACGTGGCAGAATTGGTTGCTCTGCGTGGGGATGTGGGGTAGTGTTTTATGTTTCTTTTGTTTAGTGGATTGGATGATGTTAGGGACTGTTTGGTACAGCCTGAAAACGTACAAATGAGAAATTAAACCATGAACCGCTGAATTATGTCACTTCATCAAATTGCACAGTGGCAAGGGTGAATTGTTACTTGCCTAGCACCGAATGGTTACAAGTCCTGCTTCAGCTTTGGCTCAAGCAAAGAGCTTTTGTTGGCCAGCACTCAAAAACAGGTGTGGAGCAGATTTCTTTGTCCGTGCGTGTGTGTATCGGGAGATGAAACGACCGTGGATTGTGTGACTCTGTGGAATTGTGCGGCGATCACGTAACGACGTGCTGGTGGCGTTCTTTGTCCGTGGCAGGTGGTCGAAGCAGACGGATGTGGGCATCACCCATTTCCGCTCGGGCATGAGTCACGAGGAGGACCAACTGATCCCCAACTTGTACCGCTACATCCAGCCGTGGGAAAGCGAGTTCATCGACTCGCAGCGCGTGTGGGCCGAGTATGCCCTCAAGCGGCAGGAGGCCATGGCGCAGAACAGGTGCGTTGTTTGTGTGTCGGTGTAGCGGTTAGCGCACTGCGCTACGAACCCGGCGACCCGAGATCGATTCCCGCTCACGGCCACTACCAGTGACGATTATTTTAACCGGTCCTGGGCCTCTCCTAGGTCGAATCAGGCTCAAATAAGTACTTGGTGCGGTGTGTAAACATCATCACTAGGGAGACAAAGGCGACCGGGCTTGTTGCTGGCCACCCACCCCCTTGTGTGCCATTCCGGTCTTCATAGGTGCTCACTAACAGCACTTGCCCCTACAGTCTGTTCAGGCTATACGGGGGATGATTGTCTTTATTTTTGTCGGTGGGTATAGTTGCGTGTGTTTTGACCGCATCGTAGATTTAGCTGTGTACTTGCGAGTTTGCACGAGTGCGTTGTAATGTCCCCTGAAATGTTTATGCGAGGGTTGTTGTGGTGGTGTTACCTTGCACAGGCGTCTGACGCTGGAAGATTTGGAGGACTCATGGGACCGCGGCATCCCGCGCATCAACACACTCTTCCAGAAGGACCGGCACACGCTCGCCTATGACAAGGGCTGGAGGGTGCGCACAGACTTCAAGCAGTACCAGGTAATGATCTCGTGTGCAGCGTCTGAATGCCTATTGATTGCTAGTTATCGAACGCGGTGATTCTGTAGACGAGTGTCAGAATAGATTTTGAGTCCGAACCTTCTGTATGGGATGCAAAGTGTTCGTTCGTATGCAACGTTCTTTTGCTGTTGTTTTTTATTATTATTGTTAAGTGATCTTAACCGTACGCTGTTCTTCACCACTCTGCTCCGCCGGGTGATGGCTCATGCAGGTGCTGAAGCAGAACCCGTTCTGGTGGACGCACCAGCGGCACGACGGCAAGCTCTGGAACCTCAACAACTACCGCACGGACATGATCCAAGCCCTGGGCGGTGTGGAGGGCATTCTGGAGCACACGCTCTTCAAGGGGACATACTTCCCCACCTGGGAGGGTCTCTTCTGGTAAACGCTCGCGTTGCCTCTGCGCATACCCGCCGCAGCTGCACCACACGCCTGTGCTGCTGTGTGTTTGATCTGTGTGTGTGCGCGCGTGTACACCGTTGCTCTCGCTAAGTCGGTGTTAACTGGAGTCGTTTTCGCTGCCGTTCAGGGAGAAGGCGAGCGGCTTTGAGGAGTCGATGAAGTACAAGAAGCTGACCAACGCCCAGCGCTCCGGTCTCAACCAGATCCCCAACCGACGCTTCACCCTCTGGTGGTCGCCCACCATCAACCGAGCCAACGTAAGTCCACCGGCAGCCGGTGCACGTTTTCGCGTGGGGTTGCATCGTCGCCGTTTGGTCGGATTTGTATTCTTGGTTCTCTCGGTAAAGTCGCGTAGAAGGGAAATAATAAAATAATAAAAATTTTACTATAAAATTCTCACGACGTTTCGATTGCAACACAAGCAATCATCATCAGATGTGAAAACCACAGCAGTAAAATTTTGAAAAAAGTGGCGTTTTTTTCTGAGCCGGTTAACAGAAAAAACCGACACTTTTTTACATGAATCCCTGCAGTCACGAAAGCTTTAAATCGAAAAGAAAATGGTCGGATTTGGTTTTCGCGGTAACTTGATCGCACTGCTGGTGTGTGCCCTCCATCCCCTCCCGCCCCCCCCAGGTGTACGTGGGCTTCCAGGTGCAGCTTGACCTGACCGGCATCTTCATGCACGGCAAGATTCCCACGCTCAAGATCTCGCTCATCCAGATTTTCCGCGCCCATTTGTGGCAGAAGATCCACGAGAGCGTGGTGATGGACCTCTGTCAGGTAACGTGACAACGCGCGTGTTGCAGATGCGTCGTGTTTGCAACGTTTGTCCGTGTGTCTTGTGACCCTTTTGATAACTGTCGTGGCTTTTGTGTGTGCATTTTCACGTGAGCGGCGCCTACACAAATTGTACATTAGTTCATCGCCGTGCCATGCGTGCGTGCTCCGGTGGAAACAGGTGTTCGACCAGGAGCTGGACGCGCTGGAGATAGAGACGGTGCAGAAGGAGACGATCCACCCGCGCAAGTCCTACAAGATGAACTCGTCGTGCGCCGACATCCTGCTGTTCGCCGCCTACAAGTGGAACGTGTCCCGGCCCTCGCTGCTCGCCGACTCCAAGTGAGGATTGCCGCGCTCCTCAACGATAACGAGAAACACGCTCATCAGAGCCGTCGAATTATAGAACAGACATGACCCGTTCTGGAATAAATACGGCAGGTGTTAAGATGCTCAAACGCCGGTTGGTAGACACCTATTACAAGCCGTGACGTCTGTATCAACCACATATTTTTGGTAAAACATGCAAACAAATATGCTTTGATAATGTGTGCACTGTCCTTGAGACTGATTAGCCTACACCAGAGATGGCTTTTTTTCACAGCCTTGAGTCTGGCACTGGTGAGACAAAGCCATCAATACCATTGCCGCTGGGCCTTGCTGATTAGTGGGTAAAAATTGTTACAATCTATGCGTGAGACTCATTTAAAGAGTTATCAGAAGCAACTGAGACGATGCTGTTGTGACTTTGTCCGTGCCCACCTTGAATAAAATCCCTCTCTTTGTGTGTATCTCGCAGGGACGTGATGGACAGCTCGACCACTCAGAAGTACTGGCTGGACATACAGCTGCGCTGGGGCGATTATGACTCTCACGACATTGAGCGCTACGCACGCGCCAAGTTCCTGGACTACACCACGGACAACATGAGTATCTACCCGTCCCCCACCGGCCTGCTCATTGCCATAGACTTGGCCTACAACCTGCACAGGTGTGTGGCTGGATGCTCCTAACGTTGTCCCCAGTTGAAAAAACCTGCACCTGTTTCCCAACTTCCCACCGATATGCGACCATTCGTGTGCCTGTGTGTGTGTGTCAAGTTGTTCTGCTCTTTGGGAATTACCGAAGAGAAAACTAGCCGAATTGATCAGGAGGTTACCAAAACCTGGCAATAAAGAACCGGCCAAGGCGACGATGTAATTACACGTGCCTCTGCGACATAATGTACGCGTGACTTCACCTTGCGACGTCATGTGCCGTGCATGCACCTCTTCGTCCCTGACTGCATCGTGAGTCTCTTTTACATTTACGTTGTGTGCTGTCGTTGCAAAGATCCGCTGCTGCTTGTTCCCCCCCCACTCAATTCCACAGTGGCTACGGCAACTGGTTCCCGGGCAGCAAGCCGCTCATCCAGCAGGCGATGGCCAAGATCATGAAGGCGAACCCGGCCCTCTACGTGCTGCGCGAGCGCATCCGCAAGGGCCTGCAGCTGTACTCGTCCGAGCCCACCGAGCCGTACCTCTCCTCGCAGAACTACGGGGAGCTCTTCTCCAACCAGATCATCTGGTTCGTGGATGACACCAACGTCTACAGAGTCACCATCCACAAGGTAATCGATCGCTCGGAACAAGTTTTTTTGTAAAGGGGGGGATATTCTTGTGTCCAGGTGTAGGTGCCGTGCGGGATAGATGGGTGACAGTAGTGAAACCAGATATCACTTTCAAGAAAAACCTGGATGAGAGGCTTAGAGTTGATATTCGCATCTGCATTTAGCATGGTTGGCTACATACGGTGCGAAAAAAGTTCAACATACTGATGTTTTCGCCCGGTTCATTTTATCTTTTGACTTGCTAGCTTCGATGCTCCATCGCAATCGGGTAATGCTGGCAGGGCAGCGTTATGATGCTTTCGCACTGAGTGATGCTGCTTCACTTTGTATTCTGCGTGTATTGCTGTTGTTTTGACGGCTCGCACTTGAACCCCCACAGACGTTCGAGGGTAATTTGACCACGAAGCCCATCAACGGAGCCATCTTCATCTTCAACCCGAGAACCGGACAGCTCTTCCTCAAGATCATCCACACGTCCGTGTGGGCCGGACAGAAGCGTCTCGGTCAGGCGAGTGAATCGCATCTAAACATCTCGCAATGGCCATCATGCCCACACTACCTTTTTTATAGCTGTGGCCAAAAATTCCAGCGTTCAGTTTGCTACCATGCTCATCCTAACCTTTCTAAACACCCGACCTCACCATGGGAAAGTGCTTCCCGCCACCCTACCCCCTAATGTGTGGACCATAGGTCACGTTGAAAGGGATCTCGGAGGTAGCTCCCTGATATCCACTTCTGCAGGCTGTCCTCTACCATGAAGGGTTTTTCTGCTCCTCCCAGGGAGATCCGAAAACGTTTATGGCAGATAATTTTTCTCAAAAATAAAACCTAACCATCATTCCCGGTCACTCGTCACTCCCCATGCAGCTGGCCAAGTGGAAGACGGCCGAGGAGGTGGCTGCGTTGATTCGTTCACTGCCCGTGGAGGAGCAGCCGAAGCAGATTATCGTGACGCGCAAGGGCATGCTGGACCCGCTCGAGGTGCATCTCCTCGACTTCCCCAACATCGTCATCAAGGGCTCCGAGCTGCAGCTGCCCTTCCAGGCCTGCCTCAAGGTTTGGCCTCCTGCGCTGGAGTTGCGCGTCACCATCACGAGCAGTACATTGGCACCCCTGATCGGCGCGGTTGGCTTACGTACGATGCCAAAGACGTTCAATGTACATGCATACGTTAGCGTTGCTGTTGCAACGCTCACATAATGAGATAAGTTTGATCTCATTAAGTTTAGCAAATAATAAAAAAAGCCTATCCCACTTGCGACCAGAATAAAAATGCATTGAAATAAATGTGTGTAGGATGCAACAGATAAGACGTATTGATGATATACACGTGAAGAATTAGATCCAATTGCAGGCGGCTATAATCAAGTGAGTATTTAATTTCTTAAGTGAAAACGTAATTTCATCTTTGAAAACTTGCTCTGTGTGTGCAAATGAAAAGAGAGCAACGGTGTTTTTAGTCTCGTTCTCCCACTTGTTAATTTCAGCGCAGTGGTTTAGAAAGTCCTTGTGTTTACCATGAGGTGGCGCCTTCTGTAGCAGTGAGAAAATGTTTGTTCGCCGCCTTAAGTGGCGATATCGCCAAGCTGTCTGAAAGCACTATATTTACTCTAACACGGGCATGAAACATTTAAGATATTACTGCAGCAGGTACTTTTAAGAGCCTAATGAATGTGTGTGTGCGTATAGCACATAGAACAATCAGTGCATTAATTATTAATGTGTGTGTCAGTGGCAGCATCAGTTAAACGCCACTGTATGCGTGCCACGCCATTCTGAGCTGCACTGTGAAACTCCTTGCTCTGCAGGTGGAGAAGTTTGGTGACCTCATCCTGAAGGCCACCGAGCCTCAGATGGTTCTGTTCAACCTCTACGACGACTGGCTGAAGACCATCTCGTCGTACACGGTGCGTGTCCTTCGTCACAGCGGCCACGTTCGCACGTCAGCGAATTGACGGAAACGCACAACTACAGAAATTAGCCATTTTTTTATGTTGGAGACGCGGAAAGGTTTTTTTTTTTGGCGAGGAAAGTCTACATTGGTCAAGATGCCTGTCTTGTCCTTAAGGTGGCCGGCTGCCTTTCAGAGCACTCCGGCACCATTGAGAACCTGGGTTCGAATCCGGGCAGCTGTATGTGATTTAAACCAGGTCATCCAGTGTAGGGAGTTGATGGTCTTGGCCCTTTCACCAATAACTACGTAAATAACCATCACACAATATTTGTTTTGCTACTTAATTTGACCAAATTGCAGCTCTGAGAATTAAAAATGTGACTTGTCACCCAACAAACATTAGTCTTTGCAGCAGATTAAGCGAGAGAGTGCTGCCCCCCCCCCCCCTACTATGTGAACCAGAGGTCGCTTTAAGGTATCTCAGAGTTAGCTCGGTGGTATCCGCTTCATCGGGCTGTTCTCTATCACGTCTTGTTGGACTCTTGAGAGATCCGAATGGATACCGTGTCTCGTGACATGGCACTGATAGTAGAGTCCAGATCGAATTGGGGGCATTTTTTTCTCATAAGATGTGAATCTGGCCCTAGGAGCACGCGGGTATCTGACCGTGCCGTCGACGTTCTGTGGTTGCCGGCTCACTAAGGGTGCGTGTGGTCCCCTTGTCGTGTGCAGGCGTTCTCCCGTCTCATCCTGATCCTGCGCGCGCTGCACGTCAACAACGACCGCACCAAGGTGATCCTGAAGCCGGACAAGACTACGGTCACCGAGCCGCACCACATCTGGCCCACGCTCACCGACGAGGAGTGGATCAAGGTGGAGGTGGCCCTCAAGGACCTCATCCTTGCCGACTACGGAAAGAAAAACAAGTGAGTCGGACATGGGAGTGGTGGGAGGGTTGGGACTAGTAACGAACTAGTAACTTTTTTTTATTTTACCAGGTGAGGCCCATTGAACTATGTAGCTCTTTTAGAAGCGACCTGGCTATCACAAATGATTGCTCAACGAAGTGACTTAACATGTGGACATTTATAGCAGCCAAATACTCTAAACACACGTTTAATAATGTGGATGGGATAAACCAGAGAACCCGGATAAAATCCACGCGACCGCATGATCAGAGAGCGGCTGTCAAAAATGCACTGGGTTGTTGTGCTGGTGTCTCCATTGTCTTGGCTTGGCCACATGTTCTCAGCTCTTTTATTTGGTTGGTTAAATTGCAAGATGACCACACATTTGGTTCTTTTGAGCTGGTGGTCTGGATAACATATTTTGTGTGTTGTTAAATCTATCTTGTGGTGTGCTGTATTAATGGGTGGTTTTAGCATGATCCGGTCTGGATAGTAATTTTATTCTTCACCCCCAATGCCAAACGTACCAATCGTCTTCTCATCTCTGCGACTTTTACCGACTTCTGCAAAAGTCACCCATCGCGGTGTTATGCCTTTCATCCACATTTACTAGATGGCTAACATTCCTCGTAAGTTTGGCCCAATCCAAGCACTCTTGTCGCTAGTCAAAACATTTGAGCTGCAGCAGCGAGCCTAATCTCCCCCCTTCCTCTTAACTCAGGAGTACAGCATTTGGGGCTTATGTCTACGGAATTTTTGTACCCCCCCCCCACACCACGTTGCGGTTTGTACTCTGTACTGGGCTTCTGAAATATAAAAAAGATTAAAAAACACATTTGAGCCGCTGATCACACTCGCGTTTTTACCCTCTCCGCCCTCTCCACTGCCGCGCCGTCGCCGCTGCGCAGCGTGAACGTGGCGTCACTCACACAGTCGGAGATCCGTGACATCATCTTGGGCATGGAGATCTCGGCGCCGTCTCAGCAGCGGCAGCAGATCGCCGAGATCGAGAAGCAGACGAAGGAGCAGTCGCAGCTCACGGCCACGCAGACGCGCACCGTCAACAAGCACGGCGACGAGATCATCACGTCCACCACGAGCAACTACGAGACGCAGACCTTCGCCTCCAAGACCGAGTGGCGTGTCCGGTCAGTGGCTATGCGACGGAGCGCGACAAACCAGACGCGTCGGCTTCGTTTACTCGGACGCAAGTGCTTGCCCCCCCCCCCCATCTTGCCTTAAATAATCGGCATAACCGACCCGTGTTCGTTCTCCTGTCCTCGTTTGTTTCGGCAGCGCCATCTCCGCCACGAACTTGCACCTCCGCACGAACCACATCTACGTGTCGTCGGATGACATCAAGGAGACCGGCTTCACCTACATCCTGCCCAAGAACGTCCTCAAGAAGTTCATCTGCATCTCGGACCTGCGCGCCCAGGTGCAGCGAGTGGCACAGTCCCCTTTGTCTATCCATAGCTTTACTTTACGAATGTCTTTATATTGGCGTAGCTGGTAACGACGAGGCATGTGACAATTCGTCCATTCAGGTCAATTCATATTAGAAGAATATATATACCATGTATGCATTTTATGAGCTAATGATGCATCTACATGGAAATAAAAGCATCAATGAGGAACAAACAGACGATGTGAGACAAACTAAAAATCTGTTCTTGAATTCAATTGACAGCCCACATTTTGACTGTTCATCGCATTGCCCGCGTGATAAATCTGTTACAAGCTCGTTGCTTAGGTCGTCTAAAACTGGTCTTGAATCACGAGCAGGAACCCGTTGTCGCCCGAGGCGAGAGACTGACGTGGTCGTGTGTGTGTGTGTGTGCAGATCGCTGGATACCTGTACGGGACGAGCCCTCCCGACAATCCGCAGGTCAAGGAGATCCGCTGCATCGTCATGGTGCCGCAGTGGGGCACTCACCAGACCGTGCACCTGCCCAACCAGCTCCCACAGCACGAGTACCTCAAGGTGGGCACGTGGTGACACGTGGTGGCGCGCAGTGACATACGGTTGCGCGGCTGTACTCGGCAATAGTTTGGGGCTCTGCAGTGGCGAGATGTTAACTGCCTCGCCTGGTATACAGGAGGTCGTAAGGTTCGATTTCCGACCCTGACGCCTGCTATATCTTTGGGGTTTGCGTGTCTCTTTCCCGTGGTCGCGTGTATTTTTCTCGGGTCCTCCGGTTTTTGCGCCTCCACATTGATGAATGTGCATTGAGAGTATTTGGCTGCTATAGATTTCCACATGATAGGCCACTTTGTTGAGCTATCATTGGTGGCCAGGTCACTTCTTAAAAATAAATGTATAGCTCAGTGGGGGGCACTTATAAAATAATAAGTAGTTTTAGTTTGTGTGAACAACAGCCGTTTAGTTAGAATTCGGTGAAGTTTGCTGTATTGACCGCTCCCTCCTCCCCCCTTTGTGTTTTCTCCTCCATCTTGGTACACCACCCCGCAGGAGATGGAGCCCCTGGGTTGGATCCACACTCAGCCCAACGAGTCGCCACAGCTCTCACCGCAGGACATCACCACGCACGCTAAGATCATGGCCGACAATCCCTCGTGGGACGGCGAGAAGACCATTGTCATCACGTGCAGGTGCCGCCCCTAGTGTCATCTTGAATACGATCAACAATGTTGTGCCTATTGCAAAGGTTATTTTTTCTTGTTGATATCCTAACAGGGCTTTGTCCCAGACTGGTCACCTTGAGTTTGAAGTGTAGTTCGTGAGAAAAAACAAATACCCTTTTTCAGCACTGGTGGCATTGTTTATGTATTGAAATGTACCAAAGTAATGTGTTGACGATGCTACATTGCTGCGACACGTGCATGTGACAGTAATCTATTGCTGGAAAAGCCCCTTCCTCACAACATGCGGGTCGTGGAGGCTATTTTACCATACTTCACCCTGCCGGTCAGTGCAGTTGGTGAAGGTGGAAGCACTTTCCCCTGCTGCCGACAATGTGCATCTATTGTTACTTTGGGGCATCTTCCGTTAAATGCAGATTGAAAACTCAATTTCTTTAGATTGGAAAGTAATTATTTTTTTTCGTCTTTAGTTTGTTGGCCTTCTCCCGCATCTCCAATTAGCATGGTTAGCTACGTACGGTGCGAAAGAAGCTAAACGTACGTACAAAGCAAAATAAGAGCGGAGTTTTTTGTTGTTGTTGTACCGACGCTGATCCTTGCGCTCGCTCCGGTTTGCGACGTCGTGCGATGGCAGCTTCACGCCGGGCTCCTGCAGCCTCACGGCGTACAAGCTGACGCCCAGCGGCTACGAGTGGGGCCGCTCCAACACGGACAAGGGGAACAACCCCAAGGGGTACCTCCCCTCGCACTACGAGCGCGTGCAGATGCTGTTGTCCGACCGCTTTCTCGCATTCTTCATGGTACCGTCGCAAGGCTCCTGGAACTACAACTTCATGGGTGAGTGGCGTCGCGTCGCGTCGATGCCGGTGGCGTGCCATCGTTGCCCAGAGGTGGCGGGGGGTGGGTGGAGCCCAACCGCGTGAATAACACGACGCTCGGCTGTCTGCGCCGCGAGGTTGGCTCGCCGTGTCAGAGGAGGCAGGCCTCTGGCAACGGAACTGCCCTTGCCCGTTGTGCCAGTGTTCTCATTGCATGATTCGATTGCCCTTATTTGGGTTCACGGTTTCATTAACCAGTTGATTATTGGTTTTTGCTGTGGTGATTCATGTCGAATCCATACCGGCTGCTTGCTTTCCATGACCCAGTCACAACGCGTATGAAATGGAACCGATGGATTCTTACACACACACGGCGGTTTAATCTTGAGTTGATACATCGTGGGTTGTGGGGATGAGGGTTGGAGTCTTACTTTCTTCTATTTAACGTCTCGTTTGGTTTTGATGGCGACTGCGTTTTCGTTCCAGGCGTGCGTCACGATGCAAACATGAAGTATGACCTGCAGTTGGCGAACCCGCGCGAGTTCTACCACGAAGTGCACCGTCCCTCCCACTTCCTCAACTTCGCCTCCATCCAGGACGGAGAGACATTCAACGCCGACCGCGAGGACGCCTACGCCTAGTTGGGGGGTGGTGGGCCCCTTCTTACCCCCCCAGTTAGCCCAGCCACCTGAAGAGGCGACCGCTTCGTGAATTGCTCGGCCAGGTTTTGGCGGTCCGTTTTACTGCATGGGTTGGCCCCGATGGCTGACAGGGGACGCCACATGTGTGATCGTTACAAAATCGGGATGTACATAACCATCACGCGCCGCGCGCTAAGTCCACACAGCAATGAGGTGTGGTGCTATACTTAGATTAGATGTGTTTTGTTATTTCGTTGCATTGTTTTTGTTCTCTGATCAGCCGTGACTTTTCCAAGATCGTAGAGCGGAAGTTAATTGAACTCTGCTTTGGCTCGAGTGGAGTGGTATTATTTTTACCTAAGGTTGGCGTATAGACGTATGTTTTAAGATGTGAGTAGTTCCCGGTGGCTTATTAAAGCGCAATGTGTATTTTCTTCACACAATGACCAATAAAATTATGATAATGAACGTTTCAAGTCTGTTTATTAAAACGTTTAGTGCACTGAAGATCTGGAAAAAGTGTTGAACGTCATATCAAATGAAAGTGAAATTTCACGTGATGCTTTTACACAAAAGTGAGTTCCCTCATCGCATTAGGGCATACTATGTTGTAAATAAAAGAAAAAGTGGGAAATTTTTACACGCAAAAATTTACATACGTCGATTTTGTGCAAATATGGCCAGGAAAATGTCACTTTATTTTTCTATAAAAAGTGAGTTCCCTCATCGCATTAGGGCTTAGTATGCTGTAACTGAAAGAATAAGTCATAAAAAAAACTTTTTTAAAAACACGCTTTTATGAAATGTATCGTACGAGTAATGGAAGAACTCCACGACTCCAGGAAGTGGCCCCGAAGCTTGCCACAACGTAGGGGACCTTGGCCAATTACAGCCAACGCCAGTTGACCGTGGACAATTAGACCCAAGCCGAAACAAAATAAAATGTTTAAAAATATATATTTTTATGATAGAATATAGTATTGTCATCAGTATGGCATAACTATACCAAGTTTGCAGTCGATACCACATTGAGAAGTGGGTTAAAATTGAGTTACAAGATTTGATGATACAACACGAGTTAAACGAAAGCGTATAAAAAGTGGGAAATTTCACCTAAAATTTTTACAAGAAAAATCGACATACTAACTTATGTCGACATACTAACTTATGTCGATTTTGAGCAAAAATGGTCGGAACATTTCACTTTATATTTCTATAAAAGGTGAATTCCCTCAATCGCATTAGGGCTTAGTATGCTGTAAAAAGAAAAGTGGGAAAGTTTACCTATCATTTTTACACGAAAAATCGACATACAGTGAGGGAAAAAAGTATTTCATCCCCTGCTGATTGTGTACGTTTGTCCACTGACAAAGAAATGATCAGTCTATCATTTTAATATGTTTATTTGAACAGTGAGAGACAGAATAACAAAATCCAGAAAAACGCATGTCAAAAATGTTATAAATTGATTAGCATTTTAATGAGGGAAATAAGTATTTGACCCCCTCAATCAGAAATATTTCTGGCTCCCAGGTGTCTTTTATAAAGGTAAGCTGAGATTAGGAGCACTCCCTTTAAGAGTGCTCCTAATCTCAGCTCGTTACCTGTATAAAAGACACCTGTCCACAAGCAATCAGATTTCAAACTCCACCATGACCAAGACCATAGAACTCTCCAAGAATGTCGGGGACAAAGATTGTAGACCTACACAAGGCTGGAATGGGCTACAAGACCATTGCCAAGCAGCTTGGTGAGAAGGTGACAACAGTTGGTGCGATTATTCGCAAATGGAAGAAACACAAAAGAACTGTCACTCTCCCTCGGCCTGGGGCTCCATGCAAGATCCCACCTCATGGAGCTGCAATGATCATGAGAACGGTGAGGAATTCAGCCCAGAACTACACCAAGAAAACAATTGGTAACACTACGCCGTGAAGGACTGGAATCCTGCAGCGCCCGCAAGGTCCCCCTGCTCAAGAAAGCACATATACATGCCCGTCTGAAGTTTGCCAATGGACATCTGAATGATTCAGAGGACAACTGGGTGAAAGTGTTGTGGTCAGATGAGACCAAAATGGAGCTCTTTGGCATCAACTCAACTCGCCGTGTTTGGTGGAGGAGGAGGAATGCTGCCTATGACCCCAAGAACACCATCCCCACCGTCAAACATGGAGGTGGAAACATTATGCTTTGGGGCTGGTTTTCTGCTAAGGGGACAGGACAACTTCACCGCATCAAAGGGACGTTGGGCGGGGCCATGTACCGTCAAATCTTGGGTGAGAACCTCCTTCCGTCAGCCAGGGCATTGAAAATGGCTCGTGAATGGGTATTCCAGCATGACAATGACCCAAAACACACGGCCAAGGCAACAAAGGAGTGGCTCAAGAAGAAGCACATTAAGGTCCTGGAGTGGCCTAGCCAGTCTCCAGACCTTAATCCCATAAAAAATCTGTGGAGGGAACTGAAGGTTCGAGTTGCCAAACGTCAGCCTCGAAACCTTAATGACTTGGAGAAGATCTGCAAAGAGGAGTGGGACAAAATCCCTCCTGAGATGTGTGCAAACCTGGTGGCCAACTACAAGAAACGTCTGACCTCTGTGATTGCCAACAAGGGTTTTGCCACCAAGTACTAAGTCATGTTTTGCAGAGGGGTCAAATACTTATTTCCTTCATTAAAATGCAAATCAATTTATAACATTTTTGACATGCGTTTTTCTGGATTTTTGTTGTTGTTATTCTGTCTCTCACTGTTCAAATAAACCTACCATTAAAATTATAGACTGATCATTTCTTTGTCAGTGGGCAAACGTACAAAATCAGCAGGGGATCAAATACTTTCTTCCCTCACTGTACTAACCTGTCGATTTTGAGCAAAAATGGCCAGGAAAAATTCACTTCATTTTTTCTATAAAAAGTTAATTCCTTAATCGCATTAGGGCTTACTCTGCTATAAATGATAAAAAGTGGAAATTTCACCTATCATTTTTACACAAAAAATCGACGTACTAACCTACGTCGATTTTGAGCAAAAATGGCCAGGAAAATTTCACTTTATTTTTTCTATAAAAAGTGAATTCCCTAATCGCATTAGGGCTTAGTATGCTGTAAATGAAAAAAAATGGGAAATTTTACCTATAATTTTTACACCTTTTTCGATTTTGACCAAAAATGGCTGGAAAAAGAATCACTATTTTTCTATAAAAAGTGAGTTCCCTCATCGCATTTGGGCATAGTATGCTATAGATGAGAGAAAACGTGGGAAATTTCGCATTACATGTTTATGGCCAAATAGAAATAACTTTGCTTTTCTCTAACATTATTTCCTTCATAACGCTTAGGCTTATTTAAGAAGAAGTCACCATGACCAATGCCGTTGGTGGCACGACAAGCTCATTACCAACAACGTTCTCCACCCTCCGCCAGGCCTCAGCTGCTGCTGCTGCTGCACGGTGGACACGTGGCCAGTACCGGCTTATCCTCGTAGCAAAAGTAGCTACATATGTTTCGATTTAAATCTTTCGTGACTGCAGGGATTCATGTTCTTGGTTCTTTCGGTAAAGTCACGTAGAAGGGAAATAATAAAATAATAAAAATGAAACATTCTAAAATAAAAATTAAATATTTATTATTTTATTATTTCCCTTCTACGTGACTTTACCGAAAGAACCCAGAAGATAGCTACATATGCTACAGGCCCCGCACTAGCTTAATCCGGCACTGCCCCCCATCGTGCCTACGGCTCCCCTCCTCAGCGCAAACCTTTCTGTCTCAATCGCATCTCCGGTAAGCACTCGCCCTGCCATGTCCTCTTGCCGACTTACTTACCTCGTTACTGTCACACCAGGGAGAGGGTGCTTCTCGCTTCGTGTGGAGGGGGGCGAGCAGGGAGCGGTGGATTGTGCACGAGGAGAGGGGGCATGGTGAGGAGTGGGAGGGATTGGGAGGAATTGAGAGCGGAGTGCGCAGGAGGGGGCCCTTGTCCCACCGCCTCTCTTCCACCGCCCAGATTATGCGATCTGGAGTGATTAAGTGTAGATCGCGCTCATAATTGATTGTACCAAACCTTGATGCCGCAGTGCAATCAATTTTAAAAGTATATTCTTGGTTCTTTCGGTAAATTCACGTAGAAGGGAAACAATTAAATAATAAAAAATATAAAACAATTAAATTCTCACGACGTTTCGACTGCAACACAAGCAATCATCAGGTGTGAAAACCACAGCAATGAATTCTGAAAAAAGTAGCTTTAAATCAAAACGTAACATTTAAAAGGTTTACATCGTGTGATTTTCGCTAACGTTTGTGGTAAATATTTATTCGAGTTTCCATGTGATACAAATAAATCGATGCATCAGGGGAGGCGACTCTATGGGTGAATGGCTTGGGGAAGCCTTTCTCGAGCACAGCATCAACGAAGGCTGACGACGACGACGAAGATGAGGGATGAGGCGTCCACAGGGTGCACGGCGAATTGGGGCGACCGCCCCGGGCCCCGTGCTTTGGGGGGGGGGGAGTTGGCGTTTCGACATTACGGTGTCAGATGTAATACTTTGTTCGGTTTAGTTTGAAGGCGTCGGAGGGGGGGGGGCTCACATGTCGTGGGGTTTGCCCCTGGCCCGGCCCCCTCATTGTCGGCCCTGATTAGATAGAATACATGGTAAAACACTTCAAATAATTTTGACTTAAAACTTTCGTGACTGCAGGAATTAATATCCTTTGTTCTTTCGGTACAGTCACGTAGATAGAATAAAAATTAAGTGAATAAAATATAAACACAAATGTAGACTGTTTGTAGAATTTTGATTTAAAGCTTTCGTGACTGCAGGGATTCATATTATTGGTTCTTTCGGTAAAATCACGGATAGAAGTGACTTTACCGAAAGAACCAAGAATATGTTTGTAGAATGTTCCATTCCAGGTGAAGTATGTTTTGGTGAGGCAGTGTTTCACCAGGGCCGGTACATCAGCATTCAATCCTTGATGGACCAAATCTTCAATGATTGCAATGGTATCGGGAACAGGAACTTTGAACAAAGAAACTACATCGAAACTAACGAGCAAATCACCTGGGGACAGTGAGATGTATTTAATTGACGATACCAGGTGAGCTGAGTTAAGTACAGAAGAGGTGGTCTTACCAGTGAATGGCTGCAAGGTCTCAGACAGATATCGGGCCAGTTTGGAGGTGGGTGAAAGAGGTACGTGGATGACACGTTTGTCATCTGGCCACATGGCCAACCGGCTCTGAACCAATTCCTCAACCACATCAATTCCATACACTAAGCCATCAAATGTACCATGGAGGTAGAAAAGGATGGCATGCTACCCTTCTTGGATGTCTTAATCAAAAATAGACAAGATGGCTCAATGAGCCATTCTGTCTACAGGAAAGTAACCCATACTGACGCCTACCTAAAACCTGATTCCCACCACCATCCATCCCAGAAGAATTCCCTCATCAAAACGCTACACCATAGAGCTCAATGTATCTCCGGCCATGAACACCTGACCAGTGAACTCACACACGTACACCAAGCTCTCAAGGTGAATGAATATTCTAACTACACAATCCGCAAAGCCATCACCCCAACCGTGAGGAAGGATCCATCTGAGGATCTAATCAAAACCATCACCTTGCCATACATAGCAGGGGTAACCAAAAAGATTTACAAAATCATGAACAAACACAAGATCCAGGTCCGATTTAACACAGTACATAATATTTGTGATCTGATCCCATCTGTGAAAGACAAGATTCCTGACATGCAATATCCCGGCGTCTACAAACTAAGCTGTATCTGTGGCAGCAGTTACATTGGGGAAACTAAGCGACATGTCTCGGACCGTGTTCGTGAGCATGAGGCAAATTTGAAACACGGTGGGACCAATACTTCTGCCGTGACTGATCATTATTTTAATGCGGATGGCTCACACGAAATGTATTTCTCTAAGACGATGGTACTTTGCAAGCCTACTGGCTATCAACAAAGATTCGTTCATGAAGCCATCCATGTATATAGACACAATTTCAACCGAGAGGATGGTTATAAACTCAGCAATCATTGGAAATATGTCATCAACCACTTTGGGTCATGACTTGATTTGTGTTTTCTTGTTAACCTTCACCGTCAGCAGTGTGGCTGTGTGGAGCGAGGTGCAATGATTGCCGTGCGGCCCTTTGATTGGTGGAGACCCACTGCGTTGGCGTTGCTGCCTCATACATTAACATAAGCTGCCCCGCCCATGCTGCTGACACACTTGGGCCACATTAACATTAGCTGCCCCGCCCATGCTGCTGACACACTTGGGCTACGCCCATCTCTAAACCTTTATAAATAGTTTGCCTTTAGAGGCTAACCCCCCTTTTCCTTTTCTTTTATTCAGGTTAAGAACCAGGCTACAGTCTACATTATAGACTGCCAGTACACTCACCCAGCTTAATAACCAGGCTATAGTCCTCATTATAGACTGCCAGTACGCTCTCCCAGCTTAATAACCAGGCTACAGTCTACATTAGAGACTGCCAGTACGCTCACTCAGTTTAATAACCAGGCTACAGTCTACATTATAGACTGTCAGCACACTCACCCAGCTTAATAACCAGGCTACAGTCTACATTATAGACTGCCAGTACGCTCTCCCAGGTTAAGAACCAGGCTACAGTCTACATTATAGACTGCCAGTACACTCACCAAACTTAATAACCAGGCTACAGTCTACATTATAGACTGCCAGTACACTCACTCCGATTTAGAACCAGGCTACAGTCTACATTAGTGTTTCGATTTAAAGCTTTCGTGACTGCAAGGATTCATCTTCTTTGGTTATTTCGGTAAAGTCACGTAGAATGAGAATAAAATAATAAATTGATAAAATAAAATAACACAATAAAATTCTTACGACGTTTCGGCCACAACACAAGCGGCCTTCATCAGGTGAAGGGACGAGACTGTCTCGCAATAATCTCGAGACTGTCTCGTCCCTTCACCTGATGAAGGCCGCTTGTGTTGTGGCCGAAACGTCGTGAGAATTTTATTGTTATTTTATTTTATCAATTTATTATTTTATTCTCATTCTACGTGACTTTACCGAAAGAACCAAAGAAGATACATTAGTGTTTTTTATTCACTTTATTTTTCATAAATGTTCTTCTCTCTACGTGACTTCACCGAAAGAACCAAAGAATAACACTTCAAAGAAGACAAGTGCACGGTGGAGGGGAGTGTACATACAGTCATCTGTATTATAATTAACAAAACAAGAGACACTGCTTCAGGTTTGGTTGAGTACAGCATTGACAAAACGACACGAAGAGGGGAGGGAGGGAGGAGAGAGGAGGAGAGATCGCTGGGAGGAGGAGGAAGAGCGGAACGAGGAGGAGACGTCACGGTAAGTATCCCACAGATCTCACGCTGGCGAGGGCAACAATCTCGAGTCGCACAAACACGACACTGGACGCGCGGAGAATGAAATCGGGGAGAGAGAGAGAGATATCGCCACGTTCGTCTGCGGCGGCGACGAATTCAACGCGTGACCGAAGCTGATGGAATGAGTTACAAATTAAAAAAAACAGCACACACTCAACACACACTGCTCACGGTATCCACAAGTACCCACGCTCACACACACACACTAGTCACGGTATCCACAAGTTACACACGCTCACGGCCACTGCCTGTAACGATGATACCGGTGTATTAATTCACCGCACAAACACCATGCCGCACGGAGCGTCAATAAGCAGAAGCCGTAGCGGCAGCAGCAGCAGCACCCGCCGCTGACGGCAGCAGTGGGCAGCAACAGCAGCAGCTCCCTTTCAGGGGCTCTGGAACCACCCCGCCCATTGTAACCTCAACGTGAACCCCACGACAGCAGAAAAGCTGGGGCTCGCTAAGGTGTCGGACAGAATCACGGGGGCTGGGGGGGGGTGTAACACGGCGGCCTCGTGAAGGAGCGAGGATCCAAGCAAGCCCAGGGAGGATTCTCATCGCAGCTCAACACCGGGTGGACGTGTGCCCGCTACCGTCACGGCTAGCAGTGGAGAAGCCTTACACCTGTGCTGCAGCTGGCCTACTGAACGGCGGTGGGGGGGGGGGGGCAGCGCACGACCCTGGGCCACCGCGGGAAGCGAAGCGCGGCTGTCGGGGCCCAAGTGACCCCGGGCGGCGCGTCATCGTCCCAGTCTCGTCCCCACGGAGCTTTCGTGCCAGCGGGGCGGCAATGGTTTATGTTTTGAACAACGTTCCACTTTAAAAAAAAAATATCATCTGCTTTGGATCGAAGTATTCAGTCGAAGGACGACAACGGGCGACGATAATAATGACGCGACGATAGGACAGCCTTCAAGGTCGACACAATTTTGATTGTAATGCGGTTGTAATGCCTCGTCGAGGTTTAGAGATTCACAGCAGGACCCCCCCCCCCATCCACCACGTCGCACGCGGGCCCTTGCGGGGCCACGCCACGGATCAGGGGTCATGCCAGGGTCAGGGGTCATGCCAGGGTCAGGTCACCCATGGCAGGGCTCGACGCACAGCTCCCAGCTCGGCCACAGATGCAGCTCAAGAGACGCTGCTGGTGGCGGTAACTGGAAGTGGCACGGGACTGTGGATAATTCACAATTAGGCTCGTCATTACTGCAGCTCGGAGAGTCAATATAACCGTAATTAATTAAATTTGCGGCAAAGATAAACAATTGTTTTTACCAGCAGCAATTTATCAGAGCAGTTGCAATTTGACCAAAATACAAATCACTATAATTACCAACTTCTTTTATTATTATTCCGAAACATCGGCATTCCTAATTTAATTACGGGACTGCAAATGAGGTTTGCACCAAAACATGTGGGCCGGGTATCAGGACTGGTGAAGGGCGACACGGTTTTGTTGTTTAAATCCACGCAGCGTTGCGTCTTCACCGCTGTTCTGCAAACGTTTTTTTTTTGCAGCCACCAAACTTCGATCGTAAGCCAACACCTGACACCAACCGAGCCTCCGGTTTTCATCACGCATCGTTTAATTTCGCACCCACTAATATACCCGACGCACGTAGCGCCACAGCAACTGTTCCGTGGCACGGCGGTCGCCCAATCCAAGCACTATCCCGGCTCGTTTCCAAGACCATTCCGTGTGAGTTGGGTCACAGACTACGTCGGCTACAGGCAGCAGAGGGCAGCACGGCAACTATCCATTTCCGTACCGTCCAACGACGCGCCAATGTCCGTGCTCCACGCCATCACCGGACCCGCGCGAACCGGCGCGGTGAAGTACGGTCAAATAACCAGCCACGAGGCATGCGGCACAGAGGAGGCCCTCGTTCGGCAGTGGACAGATGCAAATATAGGCCTTGCGCGTATGCTCGCAAATACCAAGATCCGCAAGCGCCAAAAGGGACTCTGCGTGTGCGTTGGTGGCACAGCGGTGACTCGGAGGGCGGCCGCGTTCGTCACCGCAGCTACGCTCCGATCGGCTCCGCGCGAATCGGTTACCGGGGTCAGTTGAGGCGCCTCGTTTGTGAAAATCCGTTCCCTCCGGCGAGCGGAGCCTCCCGACTGTCACCCGACGTCGAGTGCTTGGGGTGCCGACGTGATGGGCCTGTCGGTCGCTGCTGTGAGTCATTATTGGCCGTGGGGCGTTTTGGCTCGTACAAGCTGTTGTCACTGAGCGCCACCGCGCGATCACAAGCGTAATCACCGGGACTCGAACACCGAAAGCCATAGTGAGCCGAACGAGCCGCAGGTTACAATATGCGTACTGGCTAGGGACATTCAACGACCTTGTCATCAAAGCATTATTTAAAAATCTAAAACTCAAACTCCACTCTTCTAACAATGTACAATAACCTAATAAAGCACTTTGAATTATTTTGAAAAATAAATATGCCATATATATTGTATTATATATAGTATTTATCAACATTTATATAAGTAATTGACAACTGGTTATAATTTACATAAAATACATTCAATCACGGCAAACTCACAGCTTGTTTTTGTGTTTTTTTCTGTTCCCCACCGCCCCCCCCCCTCTCTCCACTTTCTTTCATGGGGGTTTGAAAAAAGTGGAATTACAACGAAAATTAATAAATACGTCGGGAAATCTGACCCGAACACTGCAGGGCACAACACACACACGTACGCACTGCTGAGCCACACGTACACACGCACGCACTGCTCAGCCACACGTACACACTGCTGAGCCACACGTACACACACACACACACTGCTCAGCCACACGTACACACGCACGCACTGCTCAGCCACACGTACACACGCACGCGTGCACGTGCACGTACGCACACACGCAGTCCCATCCCGTACCGCCGGGGTGCACAAACTTAGAGCCTTAGAGGGGGGGATGGGGACTGGACGGTGCACCGCCCCCCACACCCCACACCCCACCACTACCCACACTTCAGCTCCGCGGGTGTCGCCAGGTCGGGAGGTCACCGGGTCACTTGTTGACGACCAGCGTCTGCACCTGGTTGACGAGGTCGCGCGCGATCCTGAGCACCACCTGCGCGTCGTGGTGCTCGGCCATTTCTGTTTGTGGAACGAGAGCCAAGGGGGGGGTGGGGGGGGGGCACAGACGGCACGCGGAACAGCGGGGGCGGTTACACGGCGCGGCGGTGTTATTGTTGTTATTGTTTGAAGTTTTGGTGACTGCAGGGATCCATACTCTTTGGTTCTTTCGGTAAAGTCACGAAGGTATACAATTAAATAAATTAATGCATGCTATATAGCCTCTTGTTGCAGCAGCCCTTTTGCCCGCTTCAGCAATTGTTTCTTGCTGTGGTTGTCCCACCTGATGACGGACGCTTGTGTTGCGCCAGAAACATCGTGATTTAATTTATTTCATACCTACGTGACTTTACCGAAAGAACCACAGAGTGTTGTTATTGTTGTTGTTATTGTTATGCACCCGGCTGCAGGTGTTGGTAAACAGGCCGTGCGTCTCTGCCGTTATTCGGTGGGAGGGAAAAAAATTCCAGCGGCGGCACTATAATATTTCCACAGAAATTTGCCCGTTGTGCGGTTTTGTGTCTGAAAAATGGGTGGAGAAAGCGCATCTCCGCATTCACCGATTTTGCCATCGAAGCGTCGTTTTAAAAATCCAAGACCGAGAATTCACTCTCCTGACAACGTACAGCAACCCAATGCACAGTGGTCGACAAACGGACGATCCGAGTGGCCTTACAACGACTTCGCGTGTCCGGCATGAGCGAGGGGAGCGAGGGCAAGGTGCAGTACTGATCGATGACAGTAACCATCATGACCTCTTGACCTTTGAAGAAGGGACACGATCCAAAACATTAACCTGGTGCACATTTAGCATCACAGTGCATTGTTAACGATGCAGACGGTTACCCGCGTACAAATTCGCGCGTGACGGTCTGCTGAATTATTAAATTAGAGTTTTATTTTTAAACGCGGAGGCCGGGCGGGATGGGTGGTGTGAAGTGGGGGGGGAGTGTATGGGGGGCGAGCGATTGGCGGGCGGGGAGCACACGCGCACCGTTGAAGAACTTGATGATGTCGGTGAAGTCCATGCTGTTGTGCAGGATGATGTCACGGTACAGCTGCACCATGGCCAGCGCGATGAAGAGCACGAAGTGAGCGGAGGAGACGCGGCGCGCCGCCCAGATCACCTCCCACACGGCGAACACGTCGTCGTACAGCAGCTCTGCGCACCGCCACCACCGCCGCCACCACCGCGGAGAGAGGGAGGGAGGCAGAGTGAGAGGCAGGGAGGGAGCAGTAGGTTGAGGGTTACAGGGAAGTTCACGGTTAGCGTTAGCGTGCGCGTTATGCAGAGTGCTCGGGCTATAGCTTAGGGCCTCAGGCTGTAAGTTAGGGTCTAGGTCAGGGATCAACAGCCTGCGGCTTCTCAACCGCAAGCATCTCTTCAAGGACTGATTTCCTGACGTTACTTATTAAGGAACCACCGTCTCGTATTCACCACACAGTGCATTGCGGCTTTTGAAATATTCAGGGTTTTATTTTTTACCGAATTCGAAAAAAAATGTCTGTTGTTTTGGTTGCCGACCCCTGGGTTAGTTTGAGTATTAGGCCTTGTTCTAGGCCTGTAGGTTAGGTCCTCGGACTGTAAAGTAGGATCTAGGGCTAAAGGTTAGAGGTTATAGGTATAGGTTAGGGGCTCGGGCTATTGGTTAGGAGTTAGGACTCGAGGTTAGGGGTTATGGATGTAGGTTATGGGTGACAGCTAAAAATGAAGAGCCTATAACTCAAACTCCTAACCTATCGCCTACAGGTCAGAGGTGAGGATTAGGTGCTGTGGGTTTGGAAGAAAGTTAGGGATAGATATAAGTCCGGGTCAGGCCTAAATCGGCTCGGGTGCAGAAGCGAGGTGGATGGTCAATGAATCGGTGAGAGACAGCGACAGCTTTGGTCGGCCTCGTGATGGTGACAGGCCTACGGGATCAGGGCTGTTGGCTCGGGTGAGGATTAGGGTGAGTACTCTGAGCGGGGTGAAGGGTGAGGGTTAGGGTGAGTAATCTGAGCAGGGTGAAGGGTGAGTGTTAGGGTGAGTACTCTGAGCGGGGTGAAGGGTGAGTGTTAGGGTGAGTAATCTGAGCGGGGTGAAGGGTGAGTGTTAGGGTGAGTACTCTGAGCGGGGTGAAGGGTGAGTGTTAGGGTGAGTAATCTGAGCGGGGTGAAGGGTGAGTGTTAGGGTGAGTACTCTGAGCGGGGTGAAGGGTGAGTGTTAGGGTGAGTAATCTGAGCGAGGTGAAGGGTGAGTGTTAGGGTGAGTACTCTGAGCGGGGTGAAGGGTGAGTGTTAGGGTGAGTACTCTGAGCGGGGTGAAGGGTGAGTGTTAGGGTGAGTACTCTGAGCGGGGTGAAGGGTGAGTGTTAGGGTGAGTAATCTGAGCGGGGTGAAGGGTGAGTGTTAGGGTGAGTACTCTGAGCGGGGTGAAGGGTGAGTGTTAGGGTGAGTAATCTGAGCGGGGTGAAGGGTGAGTGTTAGGGTGAGTACTCTGAGCGGGGTGAAGGGTGAGTGTTAGGGTGAGTAATCTGAGCTGGGTGAAGGGTGAGTGTTAGGGTGAGTACTCTGAGCGGGGTGAAGGGTGAGTGTTAGGGTGAGTACTCTGAGCGGGGTGAAGGGTGAGTGTTAGGGTGAGTACTCTGAGCGGGGTGAAGGGTGAGTGTTAGGGTGAGTAATCTGAGCAGGGTGAAGGGTGAGTGTTAGGGTGAGTACTCTGAGCGGGGTGAAGGGTGAGTGTTAGGGTGAGTAATCTGAGCGGGGTGAAGGGTGAGTGTTAGGGTGAGTAATCTGAGCTGGGTGAAGGGTGAGTGTTAGGGTGAGTACTCTGAGCGGGGTGAAGGGTGAGTGTTAGGGTGAGTACTCTGAGCGGGGTGAAGGGTGAGTGTTAGGGTGAGTAATCTGAGCGGGGTGAAGGGTGAGTGTTAGGGTGAGTCTTCTGAGCGGGGTGAAGGGTGAGTGTTAGGGTGAGTACTCTGAGCGGGGTGAAGGGTGAGTGTTAGGGTGAGTACTCTGAGCGGGGTGAAGGGTGAGTGTTAGGGTGAGTACTCTGAGCGGGGTGAAGGGTGAGTGTTAGGGTGAGTACTCTGAGCGGGGTGAAGGGTGAGTGTTAGGGTGAGTAATCTGAGCGGGGTGAAGGGTGAGTGTTAGGGTGAGTACTCTGAGCGGGGTGAAGGGTGAGTGTTAGGGTGAGTAATCTGAGCGGGGTGAAGGGTGAGTATTAGGGTGAGTACTCTGAGCGGGGTGAAGGGTGAGCGTGTGAGTGGCCCGCCAGTTGCTCACCGCGTTTGAAGTCGAGCAGGAACCAGCGGTAGCAGAAATAGAAGTGCGTGTAGTCTCCGTTCTGCACCATCAGCTCGAACATCTCGGGGTCCAGGATCTGGGAACGATGCCACCACCATCACCATCAACACCGCCATCACTCCCATCATCAACATCACCAGCATCAACATCACCACCACCACCATCGAGACCACCATCACCACAACTCTCATCATGAACGCCACCATCACCAAACACTCCCGCCACGAACATCACCGTCACCACAAACATCACCATCACGCCCGCTGCTTCGTACCTGGATGAGAGACCTCATGTTGGCGAAGTGCGTGTCCATGACGCCGCCGTGCGGGAAGTTGAGCGTCATCCTCTTCATCATCTCCGTGAAGCAGCTGTAAGCCAGCGCCTCTGTGTATGCGTGTGTGTGTGTACATGGTTTGTGTACATGGTGTGTGTGTACATGGTGTGTGTGTACATGGTTTGTGTGTGTGTACATGGTGTGTGTGTGTGTGTACATGGTGTGTGTGTACATGGTGTGTGTGTGTGTACATGGTGTGTGTGTACATGGTTTGTGCGTGTGTGTACATGGTGTGTGTGTGTGTACATGGTGTGTGTGTGTCCATGGTGTGTGCGTGTGTGTGTACATGGTGTGTGCGTGTATGTGTGTGTACATGGTGTGTGTGTGTGTACATGGTGTGTGTGTACATGGTGTGTGTGTACATGGTGTGTGTGCATGGTGTGTGTGTGTACATGGTGTATGCGTGTGCATGGTGTGTGCGTGTACATGGTGTGTGCGTGTGTGTGTGTACATGGTGTGTGCGTGTGTGTACATGGTGTGTGCGTGTGTGTACATGGCGTGTGTGTGTACATGGTGTGTGTGTACATGGTGTGTGTGTACATGGTGTGTGCGTGTGTACATGGTGTATTCGTGTGTGTGTACATGGTGCATGCGTGTGTGTACATGGTGTATGCGTGTGTGTACATGGTGTATGTGTGTACATGGTGTGTGCGTGTGCATGGTGTGTGTGTACATGGTGTATGCGTGTGTGCATGGTGTGTGTGTGTATATGGTGTATGCGTGTGTGTGTGTAGATGGTGTGTGTGTACATGGTGTGTGCGTGTGTGTGTACTTGGTGTGTGTGTGTACATGGTGTGTGCGTGTGTACATGGTGTGTGCGTGTGTATGTACATGGTTTGTGTGTGTACATGGTGTGTGTGTGTGTGTGTACATGGTGTATGCATGTGTGTGTGTACATGGCGTGTGTGTGCATGGTGTGTGCGTGTGTGTACATGGTGTGTGTATGTACATGGTGTGCGCGTGTGTGTACATGGTGTGTGTGTGCATGGTGTGTGCGTGTGTGTGTGTACATGGTGTGTGCGTGTGTGTACATGGTGTGTGTGTACATGGTGTATGCGTGTGTGTGTGTACATGGTGTGTGTGTGTGTACATGGTGTGTGTGTACATGGTGTGTGCGTGTGTGTGTACATGGTGTGTGCGTGTGTACATGGTGTGTGCGTGTGTACATGGTGTGTGTGTGTACATGGTGTGTGCGTGTGTGTGTACATGGTGTGTGCGTGTGTACATGGTGTGTACGTGTGTACATGGTGTGTGTGTACATGGTGTGTGTGTGCATGGTGTGTGTGTGTACATGGTGTGTGTGTACATGGTGTGTGTACATGGTGTGTGTGTACATGGTGTGTGTGTGTACATGGTGTGTGTGTACATGGTGTGTGTGTGTACATGGTGTGTGTGTACATGGTGTGTGTACATGGTGTGTGTACATGGTGTGTGTGTACACGCGTCCGTGTACGCAGAGGGTAGCGGTCATGCAGTGGTTCGCGTTGCACTGCGCCGAGTTCGATTCCCGCTCACGAACATTAACAGTGGCGAATGTATGACACTGTCCCGAGTCTCCTCTAGGTCGGCTCAGCATTAAATGAACACCTGGTGTGGTGTGTAAACATCGCCCCTGGTGGAGACAAAGGTGGCCGAGCATGGTGCTGGCCAGCGAGCCCATTGTGTTGCCAGGCCAGCCTTCATCGGCGCTCACTAAGAACCACTCGGCCCAAACAGTCCCTTACAAGTCAATGAAGGCGAAAGGAGACGAGAGAATTGGGCTCAGACCGGTGGTCTCGTTCTTAGGGGCCGTCCATAAATGACGTCACGTGATTTTGGACGATTTTTGACCCCCCCCCCCCTCGTCACACGGCGTCACAAAAAGTCAGACCCCCCCCCTCCAATATGACGTCACAAAGCTCTGCCCCCCCCCCAAACCATATTTCCATTTTTAAAACAAAACATGCTTCAAATCGCTTTAAACTAGTGTCATTGTAGTGCGTATTTAATGTGGCGCTGCACTCTGATGTTGTAGGAGAAAACATTTAATAAAAAGTCTATATAATTAAGTAGAACGTGTTGTCTATATTTATTAAAGTTGCGCATTTTGATGTGACGTCACATTTCTCACCCCCCCACCTCCTCGTCACACATCGTCACAAATGTCTGACACCCCCTCCCCCCTAGGTGCGTGACGTCATTTATGGCCGGCCCCTTAAGCAACGGCAGCAAAGCAGCAAAACTCCAGTATGAGAAATAAGAAGAGGTTTTTACCCCCTCCGGCAATGAAACCGTTGTGTTAAGAAGTTCAAACACCAAATAGAAACTTTCTGCAAGGAATCAAATCACTGCATTAAGCAGGCACACGCAGTCCTTGTGGTGACTGTGCAAGCAAACACGCCTCTGGTGATATAGAGGCATTGTCTTTGACACTGATTGGCCTACACCAGGGACAGCAGCAGCAGCAGCGGCCTTCTGCAGGGCCTCGTGGCACCAGCGGCGTCAGAGCAGAGAGGAACGACAAAAGGCGAACATAAAAGACCACAGAGAGGGCCGCGCCAGCGAGCGAGCTGCAGCCCAGCAGCGTGGCCTCGCTTGAGGGGGGGCTGGGGGGGGCTCTTCCGATAACCCGGTGGTGGGGGGGGCACAACACAGTCAGTGTCAAAGACACTTGGATCTCAGGATGAGTCACGACACGATCCCCTTCTGCCCTTTGTGAATTCTGCTCCCCGCCCCCACCCTGTGACCCCCCGCCCGCCCCCCAGGGCCCCGGCAGCGCCACAGGGCCGGCGTGCCGCACGTACCGTCGTCCAGGATGACGAGCAGCGGCGCGAGGATGTCGCACATGCCCTGCACGTAGCCCACCTCCAGGTGCTCCCACACGTAGCTGCAGGAGCAGCGGCGGCGGCACAGCACACGGCGGGCGGGGGGGGGAGGGGAGCGGGGAGCGGCGGGGAGTGCGGGGAGCGGCGAGCGGGGTTGGGTTGGGGTCAGCGGGGAGCGACGTTTCGAACGGCAACGACAAAACACTCGCGAGCTATATTCTTATCCCCAAAGCTGATCCCCCCCCCCGTGACCAAGTCGCCTGACCTCGCCTGACCTCGCCTGACCCTCGGAAGCGAAGCAGGGTCGAGCGTGGATGGCCGAGCGCGTGTCTGCGCTACGCGCTGTTGAGCAGGGGGCAGCGCAGCAAAAGCCGCTGTTGCACTGCACTCGTATGCTCCCGTGTCCCAGCCTTCACCGCCCCGCAACGAGCAGTGCGGAGGCCCTCACCCAGCAACGGGTCGAGACAAGGGGATGTCCGCGTGCAATCTGTACATTCCAATTTGGCCCCGCGGAAGTTGATATCACTGAACTTCTTCCGAGATCCATTTAAGTGGCCTCTTGTTACCCGCACACACGCACACGCACGTAACAAAGATCCCCCGTGTAGCCTTAACAGGCTGTTGGGACAAGTGCTGTTAGCGAGCACCTATGAAGGCCGGCACGGCGCACGAGGGGGTGGGTGGCCAGCACCACGCCCGTCCGCCTTTGTCTCCCCAGTGGCGATGTTTACTCCACACCGCACCAGGCACTCATTTTAGGCTGAGTCGACCTATTGGAGGCCCAGGACCGGTTCAGACAATGGTCACCGGTGTTGGTGACCGTGAGCGGGAATCGAACTCGGGTCGCCGGGTTCGCAGCGCAGCGCGCCGACCGCTGCGCCGCCGCTCCCCACCGCCTCGAGTGGAAACGTGGGGGGCGCCTGCGGGCCGAGGCGCCCCCCCTCCCCCCTGGGGTTGCTGAGCCGGAGGTGGAGGTGCCCCCCCCCCCCACGCACCTGCACATGATGTTGCGGAGCTTGTCGAGGTTGGTGGCCGTGAAGTACCAGAAGTTGCGGTCACAGCGCTGCACGTCCTTCTCAATGCGGTGCAGGTTCAGCGCGTACGTGTCCAGCAGCTCCGTCTGCCGGGGTCACGGGGGGTCACGGGGGGGGGGGGGGTCGTGCGTCCGATCGTACGGCGATTGTAGCAGTAGATATTTACAACTGGATGAGAGCTTTATTCACATGTCGACAGATGCATGGACTTTTATAACAAACTCATTCCTTTCGAACTGCTTTTTGTGTTCAGTTTGTTGTCCTTCCCACGGTTGGCTACGTACGGTGCGAAAGAAGTTCGATATTCCCTGCACATATTGGACGTCTGTGAAAAAGAGCTTCACAGCTCATCGGATTCTTCCAGTCTAGAGAAAGATTCTGATGATGATTCTGACGCACAACTAGCTTAGAGCCCGCGGGGAGTCCAGGTGACTTTTTTGACCGAGGTCAAAATAAACGCACCGTTAATAACCAACGCGTTTCGTCGTGTGAACATTTCGGAATGCGGACGCGACAACCAAATGGATCGCCGAGCAGTGGAGACGAACGCCACCTCCCATCGCTCGCTCGAGCTCAGAGACGCTTCAGTCGCCGCCCGGCGACGCCGCCGTCGATTGGCGCCTCCGGACGCAACCGCGCGGGGAGCCGCCGTACGAGCGACGACTGACAAACGACGATGGCGGTGGTGACGATGACGATTTTGGTCTCGCGGTTCGGCACGGCGACACCGAGGTGGAACCAACCGTGTATGTGGCGCCCGTGGACGACGCCGGTGACACGGCATCGCACGGCAGCACGCCCGGCGCGTCCAGGTTGTTGGACGTCGAGGCGCTCGTGGCCGCCGCCGCCGCCGGCGCCGCCACGGCCTCTCCCGTCGCCGGCGGCGTCGACGAACCCCCGGCCTCCCCCGCGACCAATTCCACCACGACGAGGTCACGGGTGAACGCGTCATCCTGCGGCTCCTCCCGTCCCTCCTCCTCCTCCTCCTCCTCGCCCTGGGACACCTGCCTCTGCAGACGCGGGACCTCACCGAGGCCCCTCGCTCTCTGCTCCTCGCCGCCCGATCCCTCCCGGCCTGCGGCCCGGTTCACGGCGTCGCCGGCCGGGGCCGCGCCCGTCGACGCAAGCTCCTCGGTGTCCTCCGCCGTCGTTTTGTCCGCCGCTGCCGCCAACTCGGAGGCTCCCGCGACGGCCTTCGCCGCCGCATCACGCTCCGCCAACGTTCCGCCGCCGCCGCCGTTCCCTGCTTCCACCGCACCGACGCCGTCTGCTTCTTCTTCTTCTACCTCTTCAGTCATCGCCTCCATGATGATGTCCTCGATGTCCCTCGACTCGTCCCATCCCGCTACGTTACCGTCGAGGAGCGCGAGACCGCCGGCGCCGGCGGTCTCGCCGCTCGCTCCCCCCGGCGTCTTCGGCGCCGCTTCCTCTCGGTCCACGCCGGCGCCGTCCCCTGCTCGGAGCGAAGCGGCGCCTCCGTCGGCCGCCTCGGCCTCGCCCGCCGCTTCCACCGCGCTCTCGTCGTCATCGCGAGCGGCCGCCTCCGCCTCCTCCTCCTCCGTCTCCATCTTCGCTCCCTCGCGCTGCCGTCCGTCTCCGCCGCTCCCCGCGCCGTCGGCACGGTCGGGCGCAGGCTCCTTGTCTTTGTCGGCGGCCGGGTCCCGGCTTCCTCCTCCCCCTCCGCCGCCGCCGCCGCCGCTCTCGGTGCCGTTCTCGTCCAGGCTGAAGCTGCCGGCCGTGGTGCCGCGGGACGACGACGCGAGCGAGAAGTTGCGCGAGGACGGGAGGCCCGAGTCCGGCGAGTCCGGCACCCGCTTCACGCCGAGCTTCACCGCGCCGCCCGCCTTCGTGCCGGCGGCGGCGGCGGCGACGGCGTCGCGGCCCGCCGAGCCCTCCACCTCGTCCACCGACTCAAACACCTGCGTGTGTGCACGTGTGCGTGGGGAGCGGTGGCGGAGCGGTTAGCGCGCCGCGCTACGAACCCGGCGACCCGAATTCGATTCCCGCTCTCGGCCGACACCGGGTGACGATTATCCGAACCGGCTCTGGGCCTCCCCTAGGTCGACTCAGCCTCGAACGAGTACCCGGTTGCGGCGTGCAAACGTCGCCACCGGGGGAGACAAAGCGACGGTGGCGCCGGCGGCGGGCACCTCGTTGCTGATGCTCGAGTCGCGGTGGATGAGCTGGCGCACGTGGCTGTCGATGCTGCTGCCGGAGCTGAGCTTGGCCAGGGCGGCCGCGTGCGACTCGCGCTCGCGCTGCCGCACGATCGCCTCGCACGCCAGCCACTCCGCCATCGTGTGCTCGTAGAGCGCCCGCGTCACCTCGTCCGTCTAAGGGGGCGGCGGGGGGCGGGGGCAGGGGGTGGGGTCGGAGATTCGAGTTAGAGGGGGAGCAGAGGTGATAGGGATGGCGGTGAGTGGAGTGATGGAGATAGTAGTGAGGATAGTGGTGAGGGTTGCGGTGAGGGCAGCGCCGAACCAAAACCCCCGCGAGCGCCGCCAATCACAGTGGGCACTGCACCTCTCTCCGCTCGCGCTCCGTCATCCCGAACTTGTAGTGGCCGAGCAGGTAGGGCCACACCTGGTGACGCAGGCTGTGGTCCACTCCGCCGTAGTAAACCAGGCGCAGGAGCTCCTCCTCGCTGATGCTCTGTCGAGGGGGTGGTGGTGGTGGCGGGGAAAGAGAGAGGGGGAGGAGAGATGTTTTTTTTTTATTATTATCCGACGTGGGGATCCGAACCGGCTCCGTTTTGCCGCGTTCAACCCGGGCAGCCTTGTGCCCCGAACCCCCTCGGCTACAGCTCCCCCACACGGTCAGACCAAAGCCACGGTCGAACCGGGCTGCCCAGCGCCGCCAACGGCGACGTTCGCGCGCCCCTTGAACCTTGCGTGGCGCTCGCGACGCCCGGCACGCCGTTGGCCCGTGCTGGCAGGCGGCGGCGAGCCGCGTCACTTGGCAGGGGCGACGTGAGCGGTACCTTGCTGTCGGACATGTACTGCTGCCACACGAGAGGCGTGAGTCCCTCCCGGGCGCCCGCCGCCGGGATCATGTCGTGGTTGATGAGCGCCGACAGGTGCGTGCGCACCGTGGAAAGGTGGCGGCAGTAGGCCAGCCCTGCGGCACAGAACACGGCAGTCCGGGTCAGCCCGTAGCCGGCGCCGGGGGACGGTGCCCGCCGCGCTGATGCAACCGCCTATCACGGGTGAGCGCGCGTTAATAACTATAATGATTGTAACGTAATAATAATCGCGTCAACTTGTAACGCACGACCGCCGCCGTTGCGCAGCATTCGCTCGCTCTCGCAGCGAGCGGGAGGACGACTCGGAGGGGCGCTACGAGGAACCGCAGGGAGGCAGCAGCAGCTGGGCGGTGAGCTGTTACCCAAATGCCCCCCAATATCTGCGGGTCCTCTATGCATTAGGATGTTATCGGCCAACTAATGAGTGTTTACATGTGGGAGGAAACCAGAGAGGCCAGAGAAAACCCATGCGTGTGAGGGGGAAACACTCTATCCCATAGAGACGGAACAGGTGGGATCTCATCGAGGGGAGCAGTTTCAGTAAATCTAACAAAGGCAGTGGTCACCGCATCGCGCGCTTTCAGATGCGCTTCTGTAGCCATCTGGAACGCTCTTCCGATATCGGGAAGCCACTGGAGCGATGCACTTTTAAATAATCTCGATTGAAAACAAAATTCTTTAGAACTGCTTTTTGTGTTTAGTTTGCTGCCCTTCCCCGCACCTCCGAATAGCACGGTTGGCTACGTACGGTGCGAAAGAAGTTCAACATAACCGTACATACATCTGTGCGATGATCCACCAACACAGTGCGTGTGTAGCCACTCGTGGCCAGCCGAGAGATATCTATGAAGTTCCTTGAGGAAGCCAGTTGTGTGTGTGCGTGCGTGTGGGTGCGTGTGTGTGGGTGTGTGGGCGTGTGGGTGTGTGCGTGTGCGTGCGTGTGTGTGCGTGCGTGTGGGTGCGTGTGTGTGGGTGTGTGGGCGTGTGGGTGTGTGCGTGTGTGTACGTGCGTGTGTGTGCGTGTATGCGTGCGTGTATGCGTGCGTGTGCGTGCGTGCGTGCGGGTGCGTGCTTTCCAGGCGACGACTTGGTCACTTGGTGCCGCCACACTCACATCCGTAGAACGCCCGCGAGAGGATCTGCCTCTTCATGGTCTCGCACAGCAGCTTCAGCGGGGCCCTGCGGGGCGGCACAGGCGGGACGCGCACGTCACGGAGTGGCCGCGACAAACACACGTGGTGCGTACGTCAACGATAACCATACGGTCGGTGATGTTTCGGGCAATGGCCCTTCTTTACAGCGCATCATTTATTTATTATTTACAGATTCGCATGCTCTGAAAAAGGGCGACCACCCGAAACGTTGCCTGTTACATATTCTTCCTTTGAAGGCCACACCGCGTTATTGACGAGCGTGCCGAGTTTTTGTGCTTGTTAATTTCGTTCGATCGCAGTTGGGCGGCTGAAACCCGGCCTCGGCGGTGCCAGCTCAGCACTCTGACCTTTGACCTCCGCGCGGCAGCCCCTCTGCCCACGAGATATGATTTAACGGCAGTAAGCGTTCGTTGGAGGGCAAATACATTGGTTCAGCCCGGAGTGACCCGACCCGACCCGTCCAGACGCACCTGTCATGAGCGCAGGTGATGAGCGAGGAGGAGCGAGCGTCGGGGGGAGTGGCGGCCGGAGAACACGAACACGACCCCCGCCGAGTCGACCCCTCCAGTTGCCACGACAACACGGCGTGCATGCTGCCCCCCTGCAGCTCCAGGAGGTCAGGGGGCACTGTTGGTGGAGTGGTGGGGGGGAGGTGGCGGGAGGGTGGGGGGGCGTGATGGGGGTGGATGCGAGAGTCGGGAGTTGGCGGTGGGTGGGAAAGCGTCGTGAAGGCTGGAATTCAATCCGCTGTTGTGTCAGCCAGGCGACCGTGGTGCGTGTATGCTTGCGCGCATGTGTGTGTCTAGCGCAGTGTGTAAACATCAGCGCTGGGGAGACAAAGGCGGCCGGGCGTGGTGCTGGCCACACTACGGCTCCATGCACCATGCCAGCCTTCGTAGGTGCTCGTGAACTGCACTTTCCCAACTGCCTGTGGAAGGCTATTTGGGGGACCTTGCTCTGTGTATGTGTGCGTGTGTGCGAGTGCCTGCGTGCCGTTCATTGATGCGCATGCTCAGGTAGGTGATGCGGAAGAGGCATTGTGCGTGTGTACGCGTGCGTGCGTGCGTGCGTGTGCGTGCGTGTGTACGCGTGCGTGCGTGCGTGTGTACGTGTGCGTGCGTGTGTACACGTGCGTGCGTGTGTACGCGTGCGTGAGTGCGCGCGTGCCGTTCTCGTTGCGCATGCTCGGGTAGGTGATGCGGAAGACGTAGTCTGTGGCCTCGTCCTCGCCTTCCCCGTCGGGCGGGCGGCCGCGGCACGATCGCCGCTTCAGCTTGGGGAACACCTTGCCCTGCGGGGGGGGGGGCGGGAGCGGGGCCCTCATTAGCCGCACGAGCAATCACATCCGAGCAACGACATCCGTGCAGTTCACCTACGGAGCTCCCGACTCGCCGGGCTGCGAGGTGGCCAGCGAACGGCCATACCATCCATAAGTCCGTGCGTGCAGATCCTAAGGGTGCTTTCACCCCCTCGTACGCCTGCTGGATATTCTCCCGGGTGCTTCTGGTTCTCCCCCCACCCCGGCCCACGTGGAGCGGAATTGCCAACGTTGCCACGATTCACGCAACCGTCCCCACGTAGCAAACGACCTTCCCAGATTCGTTATCCACTTTATTCACACCCCAGAAAAATACGAGCACACCGCTCTCCCAATGTGCAGGGCCGGTCCCTACCACCACCGCCGCCACCACCACCTTTGACCTTGGCGCGATTCATTCTACCGCCTAAGCGGCAACATACCGTTGCCACGCACGAGTACCGGGCTCCTTAACCGCCTGAGCTCGTTCACCACTCGATTCATGCCCCGAAAGAGACGCTGGCACGGGGCGGGGGTGGTGGGGTCACAGAGCAATCGCAGGACATCTCAGCAGAAACGCCCCGGGGGAAGGAGCGTGGGAGCGCAGCGTGCGGGCGGTCGGGCGGGCGGGCGGGTACCTTGCCACGCTGCGACCAGAGCGGCGGGTCGAGTTGCCCGCGGGGCAGGAGGCCGTTCTCCATGCAAGAGAGGAAGGCCAGGAGGTGGCCGCCCTGCGGGAAGTGCAGCGGGGGTCTCTGCACGCCGTCCTGGCTCACCAGCACCACCGTGCCGCCGTTGTCGGCTGCGGTCCGGGCCCCGGCGCACAGGGGATGGGGGGGCGGGGGGCGCGGGGGGGGGTGCGGGGGGTGGGGGGGGGGGAACAGGGGTGTCAGAGAATGTCAACGTGGGAGGGAGGGGGGGAGAGCGGGTGGCCTGGAAGGCCACTGCTGGGGCTACCCGTGCCCAGGTGATTCTATGAATTGTCAAGATTTGGGGTTTGTGATTAGAATTCAGGAATTGGTCCTCGTCGCAAACATCTCGTTTGTATGTTCCGTTTAACCTTCTGTTTCTGTCTTGTTAGGTCCGTTAGCCAATAGGCAACCTCCTGCCAGCGGGCGTTCGACACTTCACATGGCCTTAAAGTGCACATAGCCTGGCACAAGCACCATGGTCACGTCACCGCCACTTAGCGGCGAATGGCGCTTGTTGTGGGTGCGTGTGTGCATCCACCCCCGGTAGTGTAGCGGTTAGCGCTACGAACCTTGCGGTAGTGTAGCGGTTAGCGCTACGAACCTGGCGACCCGGATTTGATTCCCGCTCATGGCCAACACCGGTGATGATTATCTGAACCGGTCCTGGGCCTTCTCTAGGTCGACTCAGCCTAAAATTAGTACCTGGTGCGATGTGTAAACATCGCCACTGGGGAGACAAAGGCGGCCGGGCGTGGTGCTGCCCACCCACCCCCTCGTGTGCCATTCCGGCCTTCATAGGTGCTACTTACTAACAGCACTTGCCCCAACAGTCTGTTAAAGGCTATGCGGGAGATCTTTGCCTTTGTGTTTTCTGCACCTTGGCGCTCGCGCTCACCAGCTGAGATGAACATTCACAACAGACTTTAGCTGCGCCATCTGGGAGCAAGTCTCAGCGAACGGGGTCAAGAGGAAGCAGACCGCGAAAACTTAGTGACACCTCGTGACATGGCTGCCTCGACATCCGACGGCCCACACGATTTGCCGTGGGACGAGAGAAGGGTTTCCGCTCGTGTGTGTAGGTTCCTGTACATTCGCGCGAGCACTCACGCTGCTGGTGGCAGTGCAGATACACGATATCCTCCATGTGAACGGTGATGGCATAGTCCCAGTACACACTGCGCACGCACACAGAGACAAAGATCCCACGTAGAGTCTCAACAGCGAGCAGCTATGAAGGCCGGCATGGCACACGAGGGGGTCGCTGGCCAGCACCACGCCCGTTCTGCCTTTGTCTCCCCAGTGGCGATGTTTACACACCACACCGCACCAGGTACCCACTTGAGGCTGAGTCGACCTAGGGGAGGCCCAGGAACGGTTCAGGTAATGGCCACCGGTGTTGGACGAGAGCGGGAATCGAACTCGGGCGGGCGGGTTCGTAGCGCGGCTCGCTAACCGCTGTACCACCGCTCTCCACACGCAAACGGCGCAGAGGTCACAGTGACCTCCTGCTGGTCACACGAGCGCTGACGCATCGGTGCTCATCCCCTGCTTAAGGCCCTGCAAAGTCAGCGGTGGAAATTCCACATTACCATGACGGGGTTTAGTCTAACCCATACGACAACCACCGTTGACTACGCCACAAAGTGGTAGTCATTTTATCGACCCTGGAGGGAAAAATTATTGGTTGAATCAACCCCTCCAGCCAGGTTGTGCGACCGTCCGATTGCGAGCCGCTCGCTTCATTCCTTGTGGGGTGGGGGCTGAAACTATTTTTTTTATAATTAAAACAAAAATTTGTAGCGAACAAAATATTGATTTGCGTGTTACAATTTCAATAAATGTCCGAAGACGAGAGAGAGCTCAGGGTTGTCGCGAGCAGCGGACAGGCTGCCCGGGCCGCGGCCAGCCACGTCGGACTTCAGGGGGCTCCACTGGGTAGGCCGCGCCCGGACGCCACGACCTCGTCAGTCGGTCTGGCGGGGCCTGTGCCCTGTTAGCCCGAGCCACCTACGACGACGTCGTCAACAACAACAACAACATCGGCGGCGTCGTCGTCGTCGTCGTCAACAACACGGGCACAAGCAAGCGCAAGCAGGAAGCACAATTACACACAACACGTGGGGGACGGCACAACCGGGCAGCTGACATCCGTCGTCCAGGCAGACACGAAGTTCATTGTCAGCCAGGAGACAGTTCACCTTGTGACCCGAACGAGACGGAGCAGTCCCACAAACATCATAGTGCGTGGCCCTCCTCATTAAACAAGGGTTGTGGGACTCGGTGAGGCTTTCCTGGATCAATAATTTACGTTGGGATGTTTGGTGCGATTGACGTTTCAAGGAAATCAGAGTACCCCAGATAAATCCGACACACACGCACACACACACGGGGGTACAACTCTCGGTGGCTTACGTGGTATGTTAAATTTTGATTTAAAGCTTTCGTGACTGCAGGGATTCATATTCTTGCTTCTTTCGGTAAAGTCACGTAGAAGGGAAACAATAAAATAATAAAAATATAAAACAATAAAATTATCACGACGTTTCGACTGCAACACAAGCAATCATCATCAGGTGTGAAAACCACAGCAAGAAAATTAGAAAAAAGTGGCGGTTTTTTTAACGTTAGCACCACAGAGAGCGATTTGGCAGTTATTCAGATGGACGAGTCCATCTATGTTCGGAAAAGAGGAGGGGGGAGACGAAAATACTGGATGCGGTCTGAAAGCCACCATAAACGTGAACAATCAATTAAGACCCGAAATGGTTTATCAAATCCTTACAATGATTGCTAAGCCAGAATCCATCTTCTCAGTTGAAATTGTCTCTGTGTTTGTATATGTGGATAGCCTCATGAACGAATCTTTCATGGTAGCCAGAATGACCCTCTTGAGGAGCCTTTCAAAACCATCACTTTACCCTACATTGCGGGGATCACAAAAAAGATCTCCAAAATCTTGAATAAACACAAGATCTAGGTCCGATTCAACACATTACATAAAACCCGTGATCTGGTTCCGTCTGTAAAGGATGTGATTCCGGACATACAGTACCCTGGCATCTACAAACTAAGTTGCCTCTGTGGTAGTAGTTACATTGGAGAAACCAAGCGACATGTCTCGAACCGCATTCGTGAACACAAAGCAGACCTAAAACATGGTAGGACCAACACCTCGGCCGTGGCAGATCACTGTTATAATTCAGTAGGCTCACATGACATTGACTTCTCCAAGAAAGAGGTTCTTTGCAAGCCATCTGGCTACCATGAAAGATTCGTTCATGAGGCTATCCACATATACAAACACAGAGACAATTTCAACTGAGAAGATGGATTCTGGCTTAGCAATCATTGTAAGGATTTGATAAACCATTTCGCGTCTTAATTGATTGTTCACGCTTAAGGTGGCTTTCAGACCGCATCCATTATTTTCGTCTCCCTCCTCTTTTCCGAACATAGATGAACTCATCCATCTGAATAACTGCCAAATCGCTCTCCGTGGTGCTAACGTTAAAAAAACGCCACTTTTTTTCAAATTTTCTTGCTGTGGTTTTCACACCTGATGATGATTGCTTGTGTTGCAGTCGAAACGTCGTGAGAATTTTATTTTATATTTTTATTATTTTATTGTTTCCCTTCTACGTGACTTTACCGAAAGAACCAAGAATATGGTGGTATGTTAGTAAACCGGCACTCTGTAAAGCCACCTCCTGGCCATCTCGCAGCTCAGCGGAGTCTAGGACTTTCACAAATCTCTACGTGATCCACCAACCCTCGTCTCGCCACCACTCACCCCCCCTCCTCAAGCACGGTCCTGGAATCAGGCCGCCGCGCGTTCGGCCCGACTCGAGGCGATTGACTCTCCGGCCGAGGTCGACATTCGAATCAAAGCCGAGCGAGCGCCGGTGGCTCCGACTCCAGCGCCGGCCGGGTCAGCGGCGTGCGGCCCGGTAGCGCGGCGGTGAAGTCCGAGCCGGCACGGGGCCCGAGCTCCCGTGGGCAGCGGCCACCCCCCCCCCCCCCACTCCCCGTTCGGCCCCAGCACCGCCGTGTAAAGTAGAAAATTAATCACCGCCGAGCATCGACCCGCACGCGCCAACGCCGACCCTTGAAGGTCACCGCTGACGCAGGCATCCCCACCGCCACGGGATTGGGGTGCGGGTGAAGAAGGGGGAAATGGCATCAAACGGAATCCCGGCCCCGTGCAAGAGCCGGTCAAATCAATACGAAAATTATTCCGCAGGGGATCGAGCGAACGTCCCGCGAACCAGGGACGTCCCAGGAAACCCACAGAGACGAGGGGAAGCCCTGGGAGGGGGTGGAGGGGGACGAGAGCGGCCACGGGAACGCGTGATGAGGAGGGGGTCTCGCAGGCAGCGTGAGTCCTGGGGGGGGGTCCGTGGAAGCGAAGCCACCCCCGAGTCCCTGCAAACTCCCCTCCCCTCCCTAACGAGGCCAGTGAACTCGTTAACCCAGGGTGAGGTCATCCCGGCACCCATTAAGGCATCGCTATTCAATTCGTTGACCTTTGTGCTACCGGGTGGAAGTGCGCTGGGAACCAATAATCAGGGCCTCATTTCTCACTGATTATTTTTTTCGGGCCGCTGGTAGACTGCAGTGGGTACGTGACAGCGATGGGGTATACTGATGGAATTAAGTCCTGCTTACAAACGATGATTATGATGGTGTCCCTTGTTACTCCAAGAAAGCCTCACAAACTCATTCCTTGTTAAGGGAGTGATCCTTGTCATGTTTGGCCCAATGACTTTTTCCGAAACGCATTCACATGACTGTGGGAGAAGAGCGGAGGGGCTGGCAGCAAGAACTCGAGGGAGATGCGGTGAATGCGCTCACAAGACGGTCCCACGGCAACACGGGCACGTATCGCGAGAGCACATTACTTCCTCGCTCGCTCGACCATTTTTGTCGTTAATGCGGCCATTTATGGCAGGGGGCTTCATTAATTTCCCATGAGCAGGAATGCGAATGGCCATCACGGACGCTGGCGCCGACACTCGTCGCCGCCATCGAGGCAACGTCCTTCCGCCCCCCCCCCCCCCGGGTAACGGCATGGGTGGGGGGGGGGGGGGGCACGGGCGCATCGTCGTCACCGACAACGCTACGGCCAGGGGTGGAGACGTTAAATTTCGTCGGCGCACAGCCGCACGTTGCCGCGTGCCGATCAAGAGTCGGGAGGCACTCGGTAGTGGCGGAAGTGGCTGAGTGCCCCTCCAGCATCCGATTAATATGGCCAAGATGCTTGCGGTCATGGATAAATATGGTTTGTAGGCCATTTCGAGGCAGTAGGCTGCACGTGGTACACACCTGCCAATACTACTGATTTAAGCCAGTGTTACTTCATTGCAAGGGCCGTGGGCTACTGCCGGTCCCAGGTGCCCTTTAGTGCGGCCGCCGACAATACACAAAGAGTGAAAACCCAATGGTGTTTCAAATGTGTGGCGGACCTCACACCGATGATGCCTTATCGGCACAGGTGGCCGCCCTCTGAAAATTCGTGAAGAACACCGACTTAAGCGGTCGGCTGCCGATGTTGAAACTGTTTGACCGCGGTGAAGGGTTTGCAAATCGCTGAAATTGGTCGGGTTCGAGGTAAGTAACCGAAACAGAAAGTCCCCCCGGGTCAAACGCATTCCCCTCTGGTGCCCGGCCAGTGCCTCCCCCACGCTTGAGCCGTGACGGACCGCAGTCAGGCGGCACCCAGTCCAGCGAGCCGGGCCGCGGCCTCCCGGGCCCCGTTCCGAGTCAATAAATCAAACCCCGCCCCCCCGTCCCCACCGCGCCCCCCCCCCCCCGACAACGAAGGAGCGTCAGGGCCAGACTGGCGTACTCACAGTTTCTGGCAAGGGCTCTTGTCCAGCGGCACGCTCCCGGGGGGACCCACGGCGGGGCTGCGAGCGAACGAGCGGTGCCGCCGCCGCCGCAGGATGGAAAACACGGCGCGGAACGGAGCGTGCGGCACGCGGCATGCACGCCACGACGCAGCATGCACGACATGAGGGGGCGGGGGGGCGAGAAGAGCGAGAGGGTGAGAGTGGCGACGGGGCAAGGGGACCCCTCGCTCGCGGGCGCACGCGCACTCGTGCACGCGCACTCATCCACACAAAGACAAAGATCCCCCGGTCCCGGCGGAGCCTGCAACGGGCTGTCTGGGCAAGTGCTGTTAGCGAGCAGCGCATGAAAGCCGGCACGGCGATTGACGGGGCGGTGTCGATCGCACCACGCCCGGCCGCCTTTGTCTCGACCAGTGCTGATGTTTACATGGCCACTGCAGGGGTTCATTTTAGGCCGAGGCAACCCAGGGGAGGCCCAGGACAGGTTTAGATGTTTGTCACCGATGTTAGCCGTAGCCGGTAGCTCCTTCCAGGTCGGCGGGTTCATAGCGCGGTGCGCTAACCGCTACGTCGCCGCCACCGCTGCTGTGCACACACACACACACCTCTCCTCCACTCTCACGCCCCAGGGACTCCCTCACCCCCCCCAACGCTTCGTCTCCGACCCCGACGCCCCCCGCCCCCCGCTGTCTCATCCCCCTCCAGCAGCGAGCGGTCGTACATCACAATGGCAGCCAGCAGACACGGCCACGGAGCGAGCGCTCGAGGGGCCGGCCGGCGGCTTCGGAGCGGACCACGGGCCGAGCGGCCGAGCGCACGGCGAGGCGCTCCTGGAGCCGGGCCACTTCCACGCTCGGCTCAACTTTGAAAAGTCCTCGCTTACATCGGCCGGCAAGGCCGGGCAGAGTGCGGTGCGTGACACGGCGGCTGATCTCCGGGAATGGTTTAAGGGGGAGGGGGGGGGGGGGGCGAACGGTACCGGAGAGACTGCACGAACCGGGATGAAAGGGAGGGAGGGAGGGAGGGAGGGAGGGAGGGAGGGAGGGAGGGAGGGAGGGAGGGAGGGAGGGAGGGAGGGAGGGAGGGAGGGAGGGAGGGAGGGAGGGAGGGAGGGAGGGAGGGAGGGAGGGAGGGAGGGAGGGGCTACTGTCCCCCTCCGTGCCGGCACTCCGCCGCGCCAATTCGGCCACCAGGCGACGGGGCGCCTCGCCATCCGTTACTCGACTACAAGAGAGATGGGTGGCGAGCGCTCACTTGCCGCCAGTCGCCCGCTCGCCCTGTCGACCTCGGGGCGGGGGCAGGGGGCTGTAAACGACTCAGGCAGAGGGAATGACTCAGGCAGAGGGAATGACTCAGGCAGAGGGAATGACTCAGGCAGAGGGAATGACTCAGACAGAGGGAACGACAGGCAGAGGGAATAACTCAGGTAGAGGGAACGACTCAGGCAGAAGGAATGACTCAGACAGAGGGAATGACTCAGGCAGAGGGAACGACTCAGGCAGAAGGAACGACTCAGGCAGAAGGAATGACTCAGACAGAGGGAATGACTCAGGCAGAAGGAACGACTCAGGCAGACGGTCTTGCAGTCATTGCCGCCCCCGCCGGCAATAACTGCACATCGGCGATTCCCGCATCGCAGGTCAAAGGGCAACGTCCCCCTCGTTGGAGCGAGACCGCAGTTTTTATTTTATTTTCGACGTCTTTTTTTTTTTGGAGATAAAACCATCGGAGGCTTCATCTGCGACGACAGCGGCGCGGACACGCGTGGGAGAACCGAACGGGGAGCAGATGACTCGGAGTCAGGCCACGACCGCTCAGAGCCGGGCGTTGTGCGGTGATGGGGCAGTGGGCGGTAGGGGGATAGGAGATTCAGTTTACCACGTCGGCCTTCACGACCAATCCCTTACTCGTTGGCCGTGTCGGGTGGTGGAGGGTTACGACGCATTTATACTCACGCGATCTAACCCAAAAACCTTTATCGTAGGGACAGGAGATGTTTGCGAGACGGGAAGAACTCCGCTCCTCACCTCTTCTCGAGCTCCCCGTCTCCCAGCGAGCCGTTCATCAGCTGGTTGGGCGTCCACTTGAGGGTGAGGTTCTCCGCCGTTTGGTGAAGGGAAAGGTAGCCCGGGATCACCTCGGTGTCCTCCTTCTACACACCGCGACGGCACAGCACCGGCACATCCACCGCTACCGACGTTTCCACCGTTCGCTACCGGAGCGCTACCGGAGCGCTCGCTCGTCGACACCGACGCCGCCGAAACGTCGCCGCGATCACGCTTGTCAGCATCGCGAACACTTCACCGCCGCCACACTGCGTGTACACGTGCGTGTGTGTGTGGGTGCGTGTGTGTGTGGGTACGTGCGTGTGTGGGTGCGTGCATGTGTGTGTGGGTGCGTGCGTGTGTGGGTGCGTGCGTGTGTCGGTGCGTGCGTGCGTGTCGTGTGGATGCGTGGGTGCGTGGGTGTGTGGGTGCGTGCGTGTGTGCGAGTGTGGGTGCGTGCGTGTGTGGGTGGGTGCGTGCGTGCGTGTGTGGGTGCGTGCGTGTGTGGGTGCGTGTGTGGGTGGGTGCGTGTGTGGGTGCGTGCGTGTGTGGGTGGGTGCGTGCGTGCGTGTGTGGGTGCGTGCGTGTGTGGGTGCGTGTGTGCATCCACCCCCAGGTAGTGTAGCGGTTAGCGCTACGCTGCGCAACGAAACCAGCGACCCGGATTTGATTCCCGCTCACGGCCAACACCGGTGATGATTATCTGAACCGGTCCTGGGCTTTCTGTAGGTCGACTCAGCCTCAAATGAGCACCTGGTGCGGTGTGTCAACATCGCCACTGGGGAGACAAAGGCGGTCGGGCGTGGCGCTGGCCACCCACCCAGTCGTGTGGCGTTCCGGCTTCTCGCTAACAGCACTTGCCCCAACAGTCTATTGCAGGCTATACGGGGGATCTTTGCCTTTGCTTTTTGTCCCCCCCCCCCCAACCCTCCCATCCGCTGCGCCCCGCCCGGCCCCCGCACGTACGGGCTGCACGAGGACGTTGTTCTTGCCGTAGAGGAGGGTCGCGCGCGAGTTCTGGTGGAGCGACTCGACGTAGTCCCGCGCCGACAGCAGCGTGGCGCGCTCGTCCGACACGCTGCCGCTCGAGTGCCGCTTGCGGATTTGCTGCGGGGGGGGAGGGGCGTGAAACGCGGGGTGGGGGGGGGAGCGCGGTGAATACACACACAGCACACACACACAGCACACACACGCAGCACACACACACAGAGCACACACACAGCACACACACACAGCACACACACAGCACACACACACAGCACACACACGCAGCACACACACGCAGCACACACACACAGCACACATACAGCACACACACGCAGCACACACACACAGCACACACACACAGCACACACGCAGCACACACACGCAGCACACACACACAGCACACACACAGCACACACACACAGCACACACACAGCACACACACAGCACACACACGCAGCACACACACAGCACACACACAGCACACACACACAGCACACACGCAGCACACACACGCAGCACACACACACAGCACACACACAGCACACACACACAGCACACACACAGCACACACACGCAGCACACACACACAGCACACACACAGCACACACACACAGCACACACACAGCACACACACGCAGCACACACACAGCACACACACGCAGCACACACACGCAGCACACACGCAGCACACACACACAGCACACATACAGCACACATACAGCACACACACGCAGCACACACACGCAGCACACACACAGCACACACACAGCACACACACACAGCACACACACACACATCACACACGCAGCACACACACGCAGCACACACACAGCACACACACGCAGCACACACACAGCACACACACGCAGCACACACACGCAGCACACACGCAGCACACACACACAGCACACACACAGCACACATACAGCACACACACGCAGCACACACGCAGCACACACACACAGCACACACACAGCACACATACAGCACACACACGCAGCACACACACGCAGCACACACACGCAGCACACACACACAGCACACACACACAGCACACACACACAGCACACATACAGCACACACACGCAGCACACACACGCAGCACACACACACAGCACACATACAGCACACACACGCAGCACACACACACAGCACACACACACAGCACACATACAGCACACACACGCAGCACACACACGCAGCACACACACACAGCACACACACACAGCACACATACAGCACACACACGCAGCACACACACACAGCACACACACACAGCACACATACAGCACACACACGCAGCACACACACACAGCACACACACACAGCACACACACACAGCACACATACAGCACACACACGCAGCACACACACACAGCACACACACACAGCACACATACAGCACACACACACAGCACACACACACAGCACACACACACAGCACACATACAGCACACACACGCAGCACACACACGCAGCACACACACACAGCACACACACACAGCACACATACAGCACACACACGCAGCACACACACACAGCACACACACACAGCACACATACAGCACACACACGCAGCACACACACACAGCACACACACACAGCACACACACACAGCACACATACAGCACACACACGCAGCACACACACACAGCACACACACACAGCACACATACAGCACACACACACAGCACACACACACAGCACACACACACAGCACACATACAGCACACACACGCAGCACACACACGCAGCACACACACACAGCACACATACAGCACACACACAGCACACACACAGCACACACACACAGCACACACACACAGCACACATACAGCACACACACGCAGCACACACACACAGCACACACACACAGCACACATACAGCACACACACACAGCACACACACACAGCACACACACACAGCACACATACAGCACACACACGCAGCACACACACGCAGCACACACACACAGCACACATACAGCACACACACAGCACACACACAGCACACACACACAGCACACACGCAGCACACACACAGCGCACACACGCTCGTGCACAGCGCTGGCGCGCGTGTGGATATCCACCGCGGTGCTGCAGCTGATCTCTCACAGCGCCACCAACCCCCCCGTCGTGACCTGAGCTCAATCGCCAGAGTCAGGATATTTGATTTGTCCTGGAGGAATCCGATGAGCTACTAAGCTCTCTTTCACTGATGTCCAGTCGTGATGCACAACCGCTACTGATTCCGGAGCAGGAGGGCTTCGGGGGTGGGGGGGTTATTCCCCCCTAAGATTAAACAGAGGCCCCCTACTTCCCCTCTGCATACCCCCCCCCCATTAGGGGCAGCACACTGGGGTGGCTAGGAAAGCATTAACGAGGTCATCACGGCCGCACCGATAGATTCAAGGATCCATCGCTGCACTTCGAATTCCCGTGGTCACCCCTCCCCCCCGCGTCTCCCTCTTCACCACGACGCCCGGTGCCGGGCCGGCGCGGGCAAATCGATGCGGGGGGGGGGGGCGGGGGGGGGGGGGGGGGCGGGGGGGGGGGGGGGGGTGGCGGCGCCCTCACCTCGGTGAGGCTGATGTTGAGTGCCGGGCGCTTGGAGGGCGACTCGGCGCGGCTGTGCCCGCTGTGGATGCGGTGCCTCTGCACCAGCTCGTCGGCCGACGGGTCTGTCCAGAAGTGGTCGGCGGTCTTCATCTTGGTGTACTCGAGCGCGCACGGCCCCACTGCGCAGGAGGGGGGTGGGGGGAGGGGACGACACGGGGGGGGGGGCAGGCGACGCCGTCACGTCGCGGAACGACGATCGATCGAGGCTCGAATTTACGCGGCGCCCAAAAAACGCGAGGAGGAGGAGGGGGGTGGGATTTCGTCGGCGGCCGTGCGCGCGTGCACGAGCGATGAACTTCTTTCGCACCGTTCGTAGTCGGCCGTGTTAGTCGGAGGTGCGGGGGGGGGGAAGGACAACAAACTAACACGCACAAAACGCATGCATTCGTGCACGGGCTTGCACACGCGACAAGCGTGCGAACGTGAGGGCCCGTGCGTGCGTGCTCTCGTGCCAGTGCGTGCACGTGTGTGTGTGTGTGCGTGCGAGTGCGTGCGTGTCACCGAGCAGCGAGGCGAGGATGGCTCCGTCAACAGGGTCCATGAGCAGCGCCTCCTTCTCGTAGTACTTGCTGTGGGTTCACGCACAGCGGTCACGGCGCAGTCGGGGAGAACGGGGAGAGAGCGCAAGGTTAGGGGGGGGGGGGGAACGACAGGGCGGGTGAGAAAGAGGGGCGAGAGAGAGCGAAAGTGAGATTGAGAGAGTGAGAGAGCATGGGAGAGAGAGACAGCGAAAGTGAGATTGAGAGAGTGAGAGAGCATGGGAGAGAGAGAGAGACGAAAGTGAGATTGAGAGAGTGAGAGATTTAACGCGGTTAGAAAGCGGTTCTAGTGAGAGGTCCCGTGAGGACTGGCGATGGGTCACTAGCGGCAGCCGGAGGCTAAAGAGTGAAAATCGATTTCATAATTGCCTTATTATTTCTCCCCACCCCCCCCCTTTCAAGAATAACCGATGAAGTGACACGGCACGGCCGGATAATTAACCGAGCAGCTGACAAATGAGCGGGGTGGGAGTTTTGTAATAAAAAGGAGCGAAGTCCGTGAGCGCGGCTGTCGTTCGCTCCCCCCAGAGCCTCCGTGACGCAGACGGCGCCATGGGCGGGCCATGCACGGAGAGATCGCCGTGACAATTGAATCGCGGTCAATTTAAACGAAAACTATATTTAAAAAAACGTGTTTCATTTTGCCAGGCAGGGCCCACTGAGCTATGCTAATAGGGGACTGTGCTATGGCGAGTTGCTGGTACGTGCAGAGGCGGAAGTCCTGTTCAGACATCGCTTTCCACCGTGAATTAGCGGTGGCCGAGAATCCAACTCACGTGGCCAGGTTAATAACCACAGCAATTAAACTAAGCGATTGAACGACTTCGATTTAAAGCTTTCGTGACTGCAAGGATTCATCTTCTTTGGTTCTTTCAGTAAAGTCACGTAGAATTAGAATAAAATAATAAATTAATGAAATAAATTGAAGAAGGCCACTTGTGTTGTGGCCGAAACGTCGTGAGAATTGTATTGTGTTATTTTATTGTATTAATTTATTATTGTATTCTCATTCCACGTGACTTTACCGAAAGAACCAAAGAAGATTGAACGACTTTGTCTCCTGGCTTTTTTTCAGAAGCGACCTGGCTATCAACAAGCGATGGCCCAACGAAGTGGATTATCGTCATCATCATCATCACCACCACCACGTGGAAATCGTATAGTAGCCAAAAACTCAAAACACGTGGATGTTGATTCTAAATGTGGACAGCGGTCACGAAAAGAGAACCGATCCTCTCATTCAATATCGCTTTGAAGCTTTCGTGACTGCAGGAATCCATACTCTTAGAAAAAACAATGTTTTTCTAACTACGTAACTTTACTGAAAGAACCAAAGAGTACGGATCTTCTCATGCGTCAACGACTTCGGCCCGTGGGCGCCGGTGACGCGGGTCGACGATTTCACCCCCCCACCCCCCACCCGAGGGATCTCACCACGCGTTGTCCACCAGGTACTGCGCGATCTTGTCCAGCACGCGCTCGAACAGCGCCGTGCGTACCCACACGTGCTTCACCGTCGTCGGGGAGAGACCCCCCCCGCCACCGCCCTTGCCGAGCCCCCCTCCCTTCTTCGAGCTGTCCTGGCTCAGGGACTGGTGGCCTCTCCTGCGCGCGGTCACGTGGGTATGCAAGCACGCGGGCGGCGCGCGCTTAGATGAGCAGACGAGAACACGATGTGGGGTGGGCGCGGGCAGGTCAAAGGGCACCCTCCTGGCGCGGGTGACTGCTCGACCCGGCGCCGCTGACGATGCTTTGGAGCAGCAGTGGGGAACTTTTTTTCCTGCCGAGGGCCATTTGGATATTTATATAACATCATTCGCGGGGCATACAATAGTATCAACTTTTAAATTAGCCTGTTATATTTGGTCAAATATTTAATTAACTCACCCCCCTAATGCGATGGCTGGAACTGCCTCTCTTTGGCGAGGCGTGTGGTGATGTTAACTGGTATTGACGATGTTGTTGCTACTCGCGAATGCTTTTCCAGGTTTGCTCCGAGATTTATTGAATTTCGAGTTCCCCCCTGCGGTTGCCTTGGCAGGGCCACGCGAAATGATTTCGCGGGGCCTTACACGGCCCGCGGGCCGGACGTCCCCCACCCCTGCTTTGGAGGAAAGGGTTAGCGGGTCACGCAGAGAAAGGGGTTGGGGGGGGACGTCACGTTTCAAAGAAGCTCGTTTCACTTTCCACGACCGTAAGCGCTCCACACCCCCACCCCCCCGTGACAGAAGTGACTGGGCGTGAAAAAACTTAGCGGCGAGGTTCAAGAAACTCCCCCTCGAGTACCGGCCTCGTGTGGCCCAGAGACGCTTTGCGGTGATGGGATGCACGTTGAACTTCTGGCGCACCGTACGTAGCCAACCGTGCTCAGCGGAAGTGCCGGGGGAAAGGAAAAGCCCCGAGAGCGCGAAGCTTCCCAGCTCACAAAACTCACGGCCCTGCCGGGCTGCGAGGTGGCCAAGCAGCACAGCACGTGACTCATGAACCCCACAGGACGTGACTCATGAACCCCACAGCACGTGACTCATGAACCCCACAGCACGTGACTCATGAACCCCACAGGACGTGACTCATGAACCCCACAGCACGTGACTCATGAACCCCACAGCACGTGACTCATGAACCCCACAGCACGTGACTCATGAACCCCACAGCACGTGACTCATGAACCCCACAGCACGTGACTCATGAACCCCACAGCACGTGACTCATGAACCCCACAGCACGTGGATCATGAACCCCACAGCAAGTGACTCATGAACCCCACAGCACGTGACTCATGAACCCCACAGCACGTGACTCATGAACCCCACAGCACGTGACTCATGATCCCCACAGCACGTGACTCATGAACCCCACAGCACGTGGCTCACGAACCCCACAGCACGTGGCTCATGAACCCCACAGCACGTGGCTCATGAACCCCACAGCACGTGACTCATGATCCCCACAGCACGTCACTCATGAACCCCACAGCAAGTGACTCATGAACCCCACAGCACGTGACTCATGAACCCCACAGCAAGTGACTCATGAACCCCACAGCACGTGACTCATGAACTCCACAGCACGTGACTCATAAACCCCACAGCACAGTGACTCATGCACCCCACAGCAAGTGGCTCATGAACCCCACAGCAAGTGACTCATGAACCCCACAGCACGTGGCTCATGAACCCATCCGTGTGGAGCGGCGTACTCGCGGCCGATGCTGTAAAACAATAATCAGGGAACTGGCCGAACATCAACAATGTTGGGCCCCCTCCTGAAAAAAATGGTGTCGAGACTCAGTGAGGCTTTCCTCGGTAAACAAAAGTACACATTTATTTTTGTTACGGTTGAATCTGGATATAAGCACACCGCTCGAGAGCAGGGCCCGGTGTGATTATATCCCGAGTGTGCTTGTATCAGAAGTTGGCCGTTGCCTTCCCGCCACCACTATAAAGTAAGCACGTGTTGCTTATATCAGAACGGTGCTTATATAAGGTGTGCTCAAATCCATTATTTTCGAAGGAGGCCCATCGAGAACAGCGGCTGGCAGAGCCGGAGCAAAGGCAGACGGCAACTCACACGCCCATCACGACGGCTGGGAGAGGGTGCCCACCTGGTTACCGGTACCCACGGGAACAGCCGGTATAGCCACAGCACTGCCGGTATAGCCAGAGCACCGCCGGTATACCCACAGCACCGCCGGTATAGCCACAGCACCGCCGGTATAGCCACAGCACCACCGGTATACTCACAGCACCGCCGGTATACCCACGGGGACAGCCGGTATAGCCACAGCACTGCCGGTATACCCACAGGACAGCCGGTATACCCACAGGACAGCCGGTATACCCACAGCACCGCCGGTATACCCACAGCACCGCCGGTATAGACACAGCACCGCCGGTATACCCACAGCACCGCCGGTATACCCACGGGGACAGCCGGTATACCCACAGGATAGCCGGTATACCCACAGGACAGCCGGTATACCCACAGCACCGCCGGTATACCCACAGCACCGCCGGTAAACCCACAGCCCCGCCGGTATACCCACAGCACCGCCGGTATACCCACAGGACAGACGGTATACCCACAGGACAGCCGGTATACCCACAGCACCGCAGGTATACCCACAGCACTGCCGGTATACCCACAGCACCGCCGGTATACCCACAGCACCGCCGGTATACCCACAGCACCGCCGGTATACCCACAGCACCGCCGGTATACCCACAGCACCGCAGGTATTCCCTCTGCACTGCCGGTCACTACCGGTATACCCACGGCACGGCCGGTACGCCCACAGGACAGCCGGTATACCCGCGGGACACCTTGCTCGCATAGCTCACCGTGATGGCTGGGAAGGGGTGCCCACCTGGTTACCAGTACCCACAGGACAGCCGGTACCCACGTCGCACCCGTGGGCGCGATGCCGCACCCGCACCTGTCGTTTCGCGACTCCACCTCGTGCACCTTGCGGCACAGCTCGGCCGCCGGCGGGAAGACCTTGCCCAGCTTGGTGAAGAGCGCGGCCGTCTTGTCGCTGCGCAGGAAGCCGGCGGCGCGGCGGCGCAGGCCGTGCAGGAGGCAGCCCTCCACCGCGCCTGGGCGTCGCGAGGCCGGGGAGGAGGGGCGGGGGGGGGGCGCACGGGTCAAGGGGTCAGGGGGCCGGGGGCGGGGAGGTGGAGGGCGCACGGGGCGACTCGTCAGGTGGCGCGTAAACGAAAGGCGGGGGGGGGGGGGGGCGGCGGCCGGTTCGTCGATTTAAAATCGATTGCGGTGATCGCGAGATGCACACGGATTTGTGCGCGTGAGAATCGCCGCCGGTTGGATCTGCGCCGCGCCGTGCTGGCACCACGGGCGACGTTCCCACGTCGCGTGCACGGGACGGGGCCGCACGCCAAAGTAAAACAACAAAGCCGCTGGTGGCGACGCGACCTCAGCCACGAGGCCAGCGCCGCGCGTGGCCCAGGGCAGCGTCGGGGTCAGCGACCCGGGGAAAAACAAAGATGCCGTCACCCACGGCGCACAACATCCACCGCTGTGCGCTGTGACTACGAGTCGCAGCCAGACGACTACGACCACGAACCCCCCCCCCCCCCCGCCCCCCCGACGTGCTCCCGGCATCGCGTCTTCGCGGTGCAAAGTCGTCGCTTTTATTTTTTCCCCCTCTCGATTTTTCCAAAATGTAAGTCCGGGTCCCGCTTCTACGGTGACCTTGCCTCCAAGGGTCACGAGAGATTTAGATCGGTGAAGCGACGTGACACCTGCAGCATCTCCAGACGCTCCACAGGAACGACCACTCACATCAAGTAATCATCATAATAATAATGCGGAGAAGACGTCAAATAGCAGAATATCCACAGTGACCGACCACACACAAAGCGTTTCACGTAAAGTTACAGCAGGTTTCAAAATGGATGTAATATTCAAACCCAACAGCACCATTTGGTGGGACATTTCCAGAAAGGAGGAACCTATTTTCCGCGTTATATTTTTGTGTCATGATGGCAGCAGCAGCAGCAGCGTGTTCAGGAGCTCGATGCCAACGTCAACATCAACTGCTGCTGCTGCTGCTGCTCGGCACAACGGGAGATGGCTCCAGCAGACACAGAGTTGGTGTCGTTCTTCCTCCTCCTGCTCCTCCTCCTCCGCTGAAGGAGCGCAGACTTCCACAGTGGTTCGCTATATGTTCCGTGGTTTTTTTCTTCACGTAAGACATTTTAATATCGACCGTGTATATAGGGTGCTTCAAAAAAAATGTTAAAACTAATTTGGGACGATCGTTTTTAATGGGAAAAAGAACGGATAATAAACTGTTACATGATGGCAAAATCTAATGTTAATAGCTTGCAAAAGTTATCCATCATTATCAACGCGTGGCCTGGAATCTTCTCCAGGTGGTCTTCAGAGCCCGGAGGCAGCAGCACGTGTCACGTGGTGTAGTCGCAACATTCTTCAAAGTGTTAACATGTTTTTGAAGCACACCGTCTATTCCTTATGGACGTGATAAGGATCCCTGCCCCCACGTCGCCGCCGGCTCTCATGAGCCCGGCGTGCCGCCGACGACCCTGGTGACGCCGTCCAGAACGTCAGGACGTTGGCAATGTGTGATGTTAGGGAGGATGTGGAATACTAATATTTTATTAATTAAAAAAACACGCTATATATTTCTGATAGATATGTACTGAATGTATATTATTTCTTATAGAGATAGGCAAAGTTTGACTTCTATATTCGGTGAGGGGGGGGGGGGAGGTTGCAGGAGTTCGCTTTGCCCCGCACAGTAGGAATCGACGGGTGCATATATTAATTATTGTTAATTATTATTTATTCTTATTAATTATCTCAATTGTAAACAATAAATAAATGAATTAACGTGTCCAATTTGGAAGGGGTATTGCCCCCCCCCCGTGATCCACCCCCCGTGCCCCCCCCACCCTGCACCCCCCCTGCCCCCCCGCAAACTCGGCCCATGCTTACTGACACGAAGTCACAAAACCACGTCGAGTGGCCTCAAATCAAACGGAGACTCCAGCGCACCAGAGGCAAGGGGGGGGGGGGGGGCAGGAGGGGCTCTGGAGTGCGGATTTAAACTGGGCGCGCTCGCAGCCACGGACCCCCCCACCCCCACCGCACTCTCTCGCGATGACTCCGTGCGACTAGGGGAGTGGAAGGGTTCGTCCCGCCGCCGCCGCCGTGTCGTGAGAAGGGTTTGTTTGGGAGGCGCAGCGCGGTGAATGTTAAATCGGCACGGGAAAGCGAGCACGTCAGAGTGCGGTGCTGGGGGTGGGGCAGGCAGGGCCGGATCAAGGCGTGGGGGGGGGGGGGGCTTTAGGGGCTGCAGCCCAGGGGGCCTCCGCCAGCTGGAGAGTCTCCAGAGATGAAGTAAAAAATTATTTCATTTGTGATTGCTGAATTTTATTAGTTGTTAACTTTGTTTTCCTTTTGAAAATATTACTGGGGGCCTCACAGTACCTGTAGCCCAGGGGCCTACAAAATCTGAATCCGGCCCTGGGGGCAGGGCACCGTGGGTATAAACACGTGGGATCGTGTGTCGCGAGAGACGGACGCAGCGTTTGGTTGGCGGGGATTTGTTGTTTTTTCGGAGTTTAATTTTAATTCAAAAGCGAAACCTCTCTGCAAATTCCGGGGAACGTTCCACGACAAGCCGGCTCGCGTTATTGGATTTAAAGGCCAAATGGCATCGCGCGCGTGCCGCTGCACCACAAAGTCGGCGGCGACTCTCAGCTCGTTGTCGACAGCTCAGCTGACGGCGCGCGTGGAGGGGTGCGCGTTGTAAAAAAAAAATGGTAAAAAAATTCACGGGGAATTTGCTTTGTCGCGTCGCCGAGCGCAACAAATTAAACGCGTTCTGGTAGGAATTTGTTAATATTTCAATATATTTTTTTTGTTTAAATAATTGAATCCATCTAATTTTGACGATATATATACATACATTCGGAGACACCAGTTGTATCGTACCGACGGTGATTAATACAACAACGAGGGACAAAGCGAACGGAAGCACAGGAACCTCTCTACGCTCGTGACGCAGGGCCAGGCTTGGCACACGTGGCTGTGAACGTGGCCTCCCCGTGTTGTGTACACACACAGAGACAGACCCCTTACTCCGTGAGCCAGACGAGAACAAGTTGGTGCCGCTTGGTGCCGCTTGGTGCCACGTGGTTATCGGCCCCACATGGAGACATTGGAACCTCGGGTGGGACCGACACGCGAGATATTTGGTGTGGGCTGCTCAGGGCAGACAAACAAAGCGAGTTCTCTCTCAAGAGCTCTCGCCGTCTGCTTTCGGGTTATACCGTGTGTTGTTCAGAACGAACAACACGCCGTCACACTGTCTTTCTCTCTCTCTCTCTGCTCTGAAGAAGGCCCAATGTCAGATGTAGTTTTCTGTTGTTAGGCAGAGTAAATGACACGCGGTGGTGGGTGATTTTAATTTGTACTTATCCACCACTGCGAATCAGTTCTATCAAACTACTGGTTTAAGGTTGGTCTACCAGACGGTCAGATTTCTACAGGGTCTAGAGAGATAAGTTTCTGTGCAGACAAGTCTCTCTCGAATCTAGACGGACAGATACCAATGCACATTGGTCTCCGGACGGTAGATAGGGGCTGGGAGTGTTGGTGCAGTGGTTAGAACACCGCGCTACGAACCCAGCGACCCAGGTTGGATTCCCGGCTACGACTAACGTCAGTGGCGAAAGTGATATCAGAGCCGGCCCTGGGCCTCCTCCTGCCCCAATCCACACTGACCAGCCGGGCGAAGTACGACCGACACCGCTTGGGATGACAAAGGGCTGGCCGTTATCATTATCATCATTATAATTTTACATTCACTCTAGACCGACAGGTCACGAGACATGACAGGTCAGTCTATCATCAAGGGAGGTCCCCAGGGAGACGAGCCACTCTGGGCAGCGTGTCCGAGCCCCCGGCAGCAGGGAGGATCGCCGTTCCGCGATGGGAAATGTCCTCATTACTGCCGGCGTCGGGATGGAGTGGTGTAGGGGGGGGGCGGCCACGGTTATAAATACCGCGGTGAATCACGGCGTCGCGAATAGATGTCGATGACGCATCAACCACTGGCTCGCACGCCTCGCCGCCTATTGAGGGGGGGGGGGTTTCTTGGGGGTCACCGCGGCCACATGGGGGGTATGGGGGGGTTTGTTTTGGTATTCACACCACGGACTCATGAGAAATACAGAGACACGAGGTGCACGGTGACACCAGGAACATTAGGACATGCGGAACAGAGACACGAGGGCCACGAGGACACGAGGGTCACGGGGCCACGGGGACACGGGGCCACGGGGACATGGGGACACAAGGGCCACGGGGACACGAGGACCACGAGGATACGAGGGCCACGGGGACACAAGGGTCACGGGGACACAAGGGCCACGGGGACACAAGGGCCACGGGGACACGAGGACACGAGGACCACGAGGACCACGAGGACCACGAGGACATGAGGGCCACGGGGACACAAGGGTCACGGGGACACAAGGGCCACGGGGACACGGGCCACGGGGACATGGGGACACGAGGGCCACGGGGACACGGGGCCACGGGGACACGGGGCCACGGGGACACGAGGGCCACGGGGACACGAGGGCCACGGGGACACGAGGGTCGCGGGGACACGGGGCCACGGGGACACGAGGGCCACGGGGACACGAGGACCACGGGGACACGAGGGCCACGGGGGCACGAGGGCCATGGGGACACGAGGGCTATGGGGACACGAGGGCCACGGGGACACGAAAGAAGTCGCTACCTTCATGAGTAAGGAGGTGATTAAGCGCTGTGAGCCCGAGCCACCCAGCACGCACGATGGAGTCGCGACGCTGCGAGGTGAAGACGTGGCGGTGGGATGGGATGGAGGGAGTTTGAGCCATGGACCTGCGCTGCAACGTGCACAGACAACTTTTGCCGGAGTGTTTTATTTGTGCGGTCGTTTGTCTCCATCTTCGGCTGTCCCGGGGCCCTTACCGCACAGCGAGATGATGTGGCTGCTGTCTTCATGCACAAACTTCCGAGTTACCGCCTCCTCCATGATTTGCTTCACCTGACGGGACACGCGGACGCGCGCGATCACACACATACACACACACATACATACACACATACATACACACACACATACAACGCACGCATTTGCCACTCACGGGAACCCACGCGTGTACTCACAGATTACTGCTGGCTGTTAGCGAGCACCTATTAAGGCAGCATAGAGCGCACGAGGCGGCGCTGACGCCAACGTGACAACACGCACCACCGCGCACCACGTACTAATTTTAGGCCGAGTCTACCTAGGGGAGTGTTAACGCTGGGCTGTGTTGTGACACAAACACAAAGATCCCCCGTGTAGCCTTAACAGACTGTAGGGGCAAGTGCTGTTAGCGAGCACCTGTGAAGGCCGGAACGGTACACGAGGGAGTGGGTGGCCAGCACCACGCCCGACCGCCTTTGTCTCCCTATTGACGATGTTTACTACACACCACACCAGGTACTTATTTGAGGCTGAGTCTACCCAGGGGAGGCCCAGGACCGGTTCAGATAATCGTCACCGGTGTTGACCATGAGCGGGAATCGAACCCGGGTCGCCAGGTTCGTAGCGCAGCGTAGCGCTAACCGCTGCCCCACCGCTCCCCATAATGTGGCTGCTGTCTTATGCTCCCCATACCAACACTCACTCACACACTCACACACACTCACACAACAACCGCCATTCGCCACTAAGTGGCGGTGACGTCACCACGACGCTTGTGCCAGGCTATGTGCACCCTGAGGCCAAGTGAAGTGTCGAACGCCCGCTGGCAGGAGGTCACGGGGCAGACCCAGGTGCCACGGGTCGACTGACTGAGATGACTGGCTGATGCACCACCTGTGCCCCCTACTGTGCCAACCTGCTGTGCTTTAGCCACCCGGCGCTCCGCTCGTTGTTCTGAGCGTCGCTCCTTCGTCCTCCGTTGTTGTTGGAGGGCGACTGCCTCCAACTGCCCAGTAGCATCCTTCACGAGCCTCCTCCACAGAGGCCGATCTTGACACCGCTGGTACCAGTCATCGGCAAGTCCACTCAGCTCCACGTCCTCCTGCACCACATCACTCCATCTTTTCTCTAGCCCGTGCCGCGCCCGCTTAGCCCCCTCAATCCGGCCAAACAAAAGCTGTTTCGGCATGCGGTGGCTGGGCATGCGGGCTACATGACCCAGCCATCGCAGCCTTGCCCGCCGGAGGAGCTCGCCGATGGGACCTTGCCCAGATCTTTCAAAGATTTGTGAGCTCCTCACACAATCCAGTCTGGTTAAACCCAGGATGGATCGTAGGCAGGCCAGCCTAAATGTTTCTAACCGGCGAAGATGTTCCATTAGGGGGGTCCACGTTTCGCAAGCGTAGAGAAGGGAGGGAATGACCGTGGCCGAGAAGACCTGAAGCTTAGTGCGGAGCGACAGACCAGGTAGTTTCCACACAGCGTTACGCAACCGATGAAAAGATATTGCCGCTCGACTGATTCGGAGTGAGACCTCTGCTGTTAAACTGGAGCTGGTCATAAGCACACTGCCCAGGTATGGGAAACTCTCCACTCGCTCCACAACTGCCCCATCACCGATTGGGAGTTGTGGGGGTGTAGTGTCCGATGGTACAAAATACCCAGGTAGGTGCTTAGTTTTGGTGGGGCTGATGGTAAGGCCCCACCTCTTCGTGGCACGCTCCAGTCTCAGCAGCAGCGTCTCCAACTCCTCCTCTGAATGAGCAGCTATTACCAAATCATCAGCATACATAACGTGGTTGAGCAATAGAGAGCCATCCCTTGACCGCACCCGGGCATCGATCAGACTCCCATTATATCTGTACCATATGGAGATTCCCCCGGTACAGCTATTGAAGGCTTTACGAACTACGTGGTCAAAATAGATGTTAAATAATGTGGGAGCCAGAGGACATCCCTGTCGCACCCCAAGGTGTACAGGGAATGGCTCTGACTCCCGGCCACGTAGTTTTACCCGGGCCCGCTCACCATCATGAAGGTCCTTAATGATCGTGAGCAGAGGGTCAGGTACTTCAAAAGCACGAAGAACGACCCAGAGCCCAGGCCTATTGATGGTATCATAGGCCTTGACCAGGTCAATAAAGCAGATATGTAGGTCTTGTTGGAATTCCCTATACCTCTGCTGTAGCAGACGGACAGAAAATATGGCATCTTTGCAGGACCGCCCTTTCCTGAAACCGCATTGGGGCTCCGCAAGCCTCTCCTCAGCGTGCCTGGCAAGGCGATGCTGAATAATCCTTGCCAGGACCTTTCCCGGCACACTGAGGAGTGAGATGCCCCTGTAGTTGTTACAGTCTGTGCGGTCCCCCTTCTTAAAAAGGGGGACCACCAGGGCATCCTTCCAATCCTGCGGAACGCGTCCAGTGGTCCAGAATGTTGTTATGATGTCATATAGGGCAGTCTGTGCACAAACGCCACCCTCCCTCAGCATTTCACTTGGGAGATCATCTCTGCCCGCTGCCTTTCCTGGTCTCAGACTCCGGATCGCCCTCAGTACTTCCTCAACAGATGGCACCTCAGCCAGCCACTCACAGGGGGTGACTTCTTCCAATATTTGAGGCACCGCATCCTCAGCAGGGTCATCCTCACTTTGTGCCAAGATGTTTTCCTGGCTGAGGGATTTTCCATCCCCCAGGACCTCAGAAATGCTCAGCAAATCTGCAAACCTGTTCCTGGGGGTCGGAGATTGGATCACCGTTTTTTCCCCTAATGATGGTAATAGGTGTGGCGCTGCAGGTTACTTTTTATGGAGTTAAATAGAGATTTGTGATCACGGGCCACTGAGGAAGACTCCATCCCCTCAGCAACCCGCGACCACCACCCATCCTTGCTGCGCCTCACGGTTCTCCGAACCTCCGAGCGAAGGCTGCGGTAAACCTCCTCATTCTCTGACGTGGGATTCTGTAGCCGATGACAGTGGGCCTGTCGCCTTTTCTCAACCATCCTGAACACCTCCTCTGTCAGCCAGGGTCTCTGGGGAGGTCTGGACCGCATACCCAAAGCAGCCATTGCAGCTGCATGAGTCACAGTCCTAAACCTCGCCCATTTACCCTCGACATCAGGAGGAGTCGGGGACGATGCCAATCCCAGCCGCAAGTGATGATGAAATTCTCGCTTGCAACTTTCATCAGATAACTGAGACCAGGCCACTTTAGGTTGGAATGGGGTCCTGGGTGTACACCCACCACCGGAGTGGAAGAATGGCAGGCGCATCTGACAGATGACTAGACTCACACTCACACACACTCACACACACTTACACACTCACACACACTCACACACACACTGACACACACACTCACACACACACTCACACACACTCACACACACTCACACACTCACACACACTCACACACACACTCACTCACACACACTCACACACACTCACACACACTCACACACACACTCACTCACACACACACTCACACACACACTGACACACACACTCACACACACACTCACACACACACACTCACACACTCACTCACACACACACTCACACACACACTGACACACACACTCACACACACACTCACACACACACTCACTCACACACTCACACACACACTCACACACACTCACACACACTCACACTCTCTCGTGCGATACATTCTGTACACAGTAGGGCTGAATGAAACGATGCTAATAGCAAATCGCAAAGGCTGCGATTTTTTACGATTTGAAAAGTCGTATTACTTTCTTATTGGAATTGTTTTATTTCTCATTATTATAACTTTCTTTATTTAACTTAACAATTGTTCTATGTTTGATTGTTCTATTTCAATGAACACATTTTAATAAATGCATGTTGCAAGCAATTCATATCTTCTAAGTTCTCATCCTTGCATTAGAATATATAGAGCAGTTCATATTTTGATGGTATCATGTGGTAATGCTCCATCACGTTTTCAATCTATTACACAGTGAATATTGAACTGAAGCTTGACTTAAAAAAAATTAATCGCAATCACAATATCTGTCAGAAAAATCGCAATGAGATATTTTCCCCAAATCGTTCAGCCCGAGTACACAGGACGACATCCTGAGACATGGCCCTGAAATCCCAAGACCAGCAATCAACACCCACCCAACCCACCCACCCAGCCCACCCACGCCAGAAAGGTCACCGCTGCTGACCCGGCGTTACGCGTGAGGACGCCGCTCGCGGCAGCAGACCAATCCACCGTGGCGGGATCGCGGCTGCCCGCAGGCTGGTCGGCAAAATCTTTGGCGAGGTGAAAGCGTCACCGGCGTGGCGAAAATTCATCAGGCCACAGTGCCGCTCTCATATTCCTTTTTTCTTCTTTGGTTCTTTCGGTAAAGTCACGTAGAATGATAATAAAATAATAAATTGATAAAATAAAATAACACAATAATATTATTGTGTTATTTGATAAAATAAAATAACACAATAATATTCTCAATATTGTGTTATTTTATTTTATCAATTTATTATTTTATTATCATTCTACGTGACTTTACCGAAAGAACCAAAGAAGATGATTCATTGCAGTCACGAAAGCTTTAAATCGAAATATTCCTTTTTGTTGATGTCAACCCCTGGGAGTGACCCGTAGACCCTGGGAGTGACCCTTAGACCCTGGGAGTGACCCATAGACCCTGGGAGTGACCCATAGACCCTGGGAGTGACCCATAGACCCTGGGAGTGACCCGTAGACCCTGGGAGTCACCCATAGACCCTGAGAGTCACCCGTAGACCCTGGGAGTGACCCATAGACCCTGCGAGTGACCCATAGACCCTGGGAGTGATCCATAGACCCTGGGAGTGACCCATAGACCCTGGGAGTGACCCATAGACCCTGAGAGTGACCCATAGACCCTGGGAGTGACCCATAGACCCTGGGAGTGACCCATAGACCCTGGGAGTCACCCATAGACCCTGAGAGTGACCCATAGACCCTGGGAGTGACCCATAGACCCTGGGAGTCACCCGTAGACCCTGCGAGTGACCCATAGACCTTGTGAGTCACCCATAGACCCTGGGAGTGACCCAT